AAAAAAAAACTATCGGAGTGGGACTTTAAGGCTTTTGAGGTGCATGATAAAATGACAAAAAACTGTACATTATCAATTATAAAATCATATTCAAATGATCAGAACATGGCTCTTACGGTGCTGCTCTCACAGCAAATTACACACTCAAAGAAGCAAATTACATACAGCTCAAAGTAATTTACAACACTAGCTGCCTTTATACACTTTGAAACTCTAATTTTATACGTCTACCGATTTCTCTACAAGGAGACTGATACATGCATATCATAGGGTTCAGTCACATATTTTCGATTTTCAGAAGTACACACAGACAGGTGAAGAGGCCCCCCAAACTGTAGCATCAACAATTTTTCTTTTTAAATTAAACAAAGCTGATTTGGATCAAGTGAATGAAAATATCTGCAACAACATTCGACCTCCATAACTAATGCTGTGTTCGAGTTACCTCTGAAGTCAGATGTCCAAGCTGGGAATCACATCAGAGCTACCAGCGTTTCAGTTACCAAGTCAGAAAAAAGCAAAATCAGAGGCGGGAACAAGATGGCTACATGTAGTTATTCTAGCGCTTGCTTTGTCCAAATATAAGATACAAGAAAGAGACAAGTTCTGCTTTCATTTCTGAGAAATTACATCCTGAAAATGAGGACAATTCCCCGAAACAAATCAGTGCATTATGTATCCTGGTAACCACAACAGTTCCAGATGTTATTACTCATCTCTGCAAATTCCACATGATCAAAACCTCTTGACATGCTCAGAGTCATAAATGCAATTCTTCTTTCTGACTTGCTTTTCTTACTTGATTTTTTATTGTTTAATTCTGTGAGAATGAATCTTGGTGCAGCTGTAAAGAGAAAAGGAAAGGAACTTAGATGACACAAACATTGGTTCCCTTACCTATCAATTCTGTAGGATTCTTCTCGATGAAGTGTTCACAGAGCCTGATGAACATTGCAGTTGTGTCTTTTGAAGGGCATTCTCCATGACTGAACAAAGGAAATGATAGAGGCATTAGTTCCTTCATAACCATCATATGAACCACGTTTGGTTAAGTTTAACATACAAATGTAAATAAACAAGTGCTCATACCCTTTACACTGAAGCTTCACATATTTTATTCCCTCTTTCTCTATGTCGTTCCGGTCATAAAACCGAGTAGTGTTTGTCAGGTCAACCAGCAAACCCATTTTCACCTAAGGAAGACAGAAAAGATTTAAAGACATGATGAGGCTTGATGAGGGTTTGTGGTTTTTAAATGTTTCTCAGTCTTTGGGTCTGAACAGTTACTTACTTTTAGGCTTTTCAGATAGTTGGAAAGCATACTTGGGTGAAACCTGTTCTCCTCTGCAACTTGCTCATCATATCTAGGACCCAACATTGTTTTCATCGGCAGGAATTTACCTATAATAGAAAAGACAAGAAATAAAGAAGTGACCCCTCATGCAAAATGTAGTCCAAGTTGGGGTTACAGCAAGACCATGGATGCAATTAACTGGCCTACCCCAACCGGATTTTTCTCTGTGCAAATATTTGCTAATTTTGTCTTGTATATATGCGAGTAGTATTTTCTGATAAAACATTCTCATTCTGCTGTCTTTTGACTGTCAAATGTATTACTTTCTGCTTGTGTGCAAGAAAAAATTAAATGTAGAAATAGTTCACTGTTTTGCTGATGGTCTTGTTGCTTTGGTAGGTCATACAGAACTCTACTTTAAATTACAGTCTTTTTAATCACCAGCTTCAATCTCTCCCTATCAACACTATAACACAGGTCTAAAAATGCAACTGATCTCTTAACAAATTTAGCTTTGAAGTAGCTCGAAACTTTAGAACAATACCAAGTAGTTAAGTAAATACACTTCATTTACAGACAACAGTTGCAAAGTGTCATATGCACCTAACAAACACAAAACAGAGTAAAACAAATAGCCAAAGAAGGTGGAAACTTGAGCTAGATATAATCTCTCTCTCTCTCTCTCTCTCTCTCTCTCTCTCTCTCTTTAAATAAAGCTGCAATAAAAATACAATAACTATCAGTCAAGGATGGACAGTAGCAGGTTTGAAGTTAGAAGGGACATGACACATCTTGTCAACTATGGAATTTAACAATAGATAAAACACCTGGGAGAGAAGTTGACAAAGAATATAATCATAAACGAGAGGATAGTGAAATATCCTGGGGGTTGGAGGACAGTTTAGTTTCCCACGTAATTTGTTGAAGTTTCTCCAACGCAAGTTGTCTCATTCGTCTATACAACAGTTAGGGGAGAAAGCAACCGTGAGGATAAAACTGGTTTGGCCAGTTAAGGGATCCCTGCAGAAATTTTAGACGTTATTGTCTTTCATAGAAACGGACCACTGAACAGCGTCCAGCGCCATCATGCTACTGACCAAGTTTGTTTGGACACGTGATGCTCTCAGAGCAGCGCTACCATATCATTGAGGCACTGCTCAAATGAGCCATTTCTAATGCCAAACAAATGAACATCAAGTTATTCACGAAATAAGTTTTTGTTCCTGATTGAACTGGAGTCGGAAAGAAATTAGCTTTTACTCCCGCTTATGTAGGTGCCAAGTTAACCAAACAATGTGCGCCCATATAACTTCAAACCAAACCCTATTTGAAATCTAGACAATTGAAGTTTCCCTAGCTGCAACTAAAAACTTTTCGGTTTGCTTAAAAGAGTAATGAGCTTTTACTGTTCATTAGTATAAACCAGTGATTTCGGCATCTCGTTAATAAGCAAACTTGGTTTGTTTTGTGTGGAAATTACTTAAATGTGGCGCACATGCTTGCAAAACTGTGAAGAAAGTCTTGTGTTATGCTTTGCCTGTACGAGAGGAAAATTAGCTTCTTGCTTGGTTTGTGATGTATTAATTTGCAAACACAGTTTTAAGAAAGAGTTACATTCATGCTGAGGTACGTTATATGAAGATATCTGTAAATCATACAATTTAGCTAGTAGCAACAGCGTTTCGTAGATTAACGCGTTTAATCCATGCGTGGTTAAATGTTTTCCGTACCTGCTACAGGTTGTCCTCTCCTTGGACAATTACGCCACCGAGGAGGGGGTCCGGTATGTGACATCTTCGGGAGAGCTTTTAATGAATGAGAATTACTGGCTGGTCCGGCCTGGGGTCGGTGCTCCCTCCTTCAGACCGCGCGGATTCCGGTCTGTGTTTTACGCAAGTACCGAGGATCTGTAGGCCCGTTAGCACCTAATTCAGGTGAGTTAACCGACAAGTTTAAGACCGTGAAACATTATGACGGGCCAGTAGACAAACACACGGCACGCAGGCTATCTCGAATCGTAGAAAAATCAGCATCCCAAAATTTTGTTGTCCTCTGTTCTTTTTTAATCCAGGTTATCTGAAACTGGCTAGCATAACACCAATTCAGTGACAAACGTGCTAGCCAGATAGCGCTAAGCTACGTAGCCGTCTACTTCTGGTTGTTTATAGATGTAGTTAAGACAACACTCGGCACAACACTGCCATCTGGAGGTATATGTGAGCCAAGGTAACCGCAAACACGAATGGGATGGAATTTACTGCTCTTGAGCATTATCTCCCGTGTGTTTGTGTGTGTCACAGTAGCCAAAACTGGCGATAGTTTTTGTATACCCACGTCTTAATTTGTGTATTTTTTTTTCTTGTAAGAAATGGGCTTGACTAAAAGCTAAAGCTTGGATAATTGCAGGATATAACCCTTGTTTTCCCATAACAGAACTATGTACTGTATATGCAGCACCACTAACCACCATACATTGGTGAACTATGGCAAACAAGCATTATACAATTTTGGTTCAGCTTTAAAGCATTGTGGATACTAAGTATTTCACAGATACATCTCACAGGAAGCAGTGTAGAACTTTTTTTCTTTTTCTGCAAGATTACAGGGGTGTCGAATTTTCTTTTGAAACAAAAAAGAGGAACTTCTGGATCCTGCTGAAAGTCACACATTTTTGAACTCATAAGAATACATCTAAAGCTGTTTCACCAACAGTTTAACACAATTGAAAAAAAAAACAATCAAATCGAACACTTTTGAAACAAATTTCATATTTCCTCAATGTTACAGTAGTCTTTAGTTATGAATACTTTTTTTTACAAATACAACGAACAAAAATAAAACATTATAATGTCATCAGTAATGCCTGTTAACAGCTTATTAAAGGAAGTTTTTGTAGCTTTTAATTCCTCTGTTAAGAAGGAAAAAATCTGAGAAGAAGTGATAAATTATTAGAGAGCAACAAATGACATGTACTTATCCTTTTCCCTATTTTGAAGCTAATTTTGAGGGGTAAACTGTACAGAGAGACATTTTTTCAAGCATGGTTAATACTGCAATTTGTGTAAATACAGGTTATGACAAACAGGGAACGTACTGTATAAGAATCTTATCAGGTTTTTCAACAATATTTACACTATATATGCAAGATTTACATTGTGTTATTTCTGTATCCACCTAAAATTTCCCAAAAACTTAGTGCATGTAGGAATACAAACGTCTGAACTGTTGGCCCTGGCTCTACTTGCGTTTCTTCTGTCAGCCTGTTGAAAGAATTTTAGTAATATTGAGGTGAGGCTAATGTGCAGACACAGCTGTTCATTTCCAAGCAAGTGGGCAGAGTTGATGAATTTTATACAATGCATGTGGTGTGTGACAGCTGATACATCCTTTTAATTTGCAGCATTATTATAGAGACTCTGCTTTGGCGTACCATGTCCCATCCCCATATGACAGGATAAACTTTCACTGGATAAAGCAGCTTTTTTGCTGTTATGTCTTATCTTTGTCCCTTTTGCCCTTTTTTGATACAACTATTACACGCTCAGAGTAATAAAAGATATTCTTTAAAATCACATCTTCATTAAAATTCATGTCCTGTTTGATTATGTTTTACGCAAGATGAATCCATCTTGCATAAAGAGGGTGTTTAAATTTAAGCTTGTTTTCTGCATACAAAACCAAATACTTTATCATGTCTGTGCATATCCTACGTTTTTGTTTCCAATTCTTTCAACTGTGCTTTGCCTTTCAACATGTCCAGAGTGACATAAACAGTAGGTGGTGCAGTGTTTTCCAGCTGTTTCACAGCTCCACCCTCATTTTGTTTGCTAGTCCTCCGTGCAGGAGCTTCCTCTGAGCTCTGACTTCGATATGCGCTAGAATGGTTGCTGTCTGACAGAAGCAGCTCTGTGGATTCTTCGGGAGATGACGGATGCAGCATCTCTACACTTTCACCTGAGTATGTACTTTGTTCGTCTGGTGCTGGAACTACATGAGGGACAGTGAATTCCTCCGCTCGGTCTTTAGCTGGTTTGTCTTTATAGTCTTTCAATAGTGTAAAAGTTCCTTCAAGCTCCTCTGGGTAAACTCTGTCACACCAGCTTTCACGTGGAGTACTGAATGGCTGGACCAGAAATGTTCCCTATAGACACACAATAATAAAGAATCACAGATGGCATACATAAAACAGGTGAGACTTCTTGAAAGTGCCTGTAAGATAATTTGGTAGATTATTTAAAGGTACAGTAAGAAACATTTAGCATTTAGTATCTTGCACTATCATGTCTCAGTGGTGCATTCTTGTATGTTTTTAGCAAGTAGGCACTCAAAATGCACAAGTTAGAAGACAAAGGAGAAGAAGAAAGTGGTTCTTTGATTACTACAACTTAATGCAGTAAATGGAGGATCACACTTCACACACATTTATTACAGGAGTGTTTTGTCCCCAAAGCCCACCAGAGAGCTACAGCAGCAGAAGGGGTGAGCAAAGGAGCTCTTAAGTCTAGACTCTGACTGCTAGATGTTGCTAAAAATTCCCTTTCCACACAGTATCTTTAAGAACAAATAAATATCATGGCACTGGTACAGTAGTTACTTAAAGAGCAGAAGAGTTTTATTGCAGTGTGGAAAATGTACCAGAATTCAAGAAATTATTTGTCTGTAGCAGCAGACGGTTTTCTTCCGTGAATACCACCCGATCAAAGCAGCACCTGCTTGATTTTCTTCCTTGGTCACAAATCATCAAAGTCTAAAATATCTCAATGCGTCAGCCACTCAAGTTTACCTCTTGATGACTTGCCGATGACCACAACGCCACAGAGCTGAGTCCAGGGTTAGGTATCGGCTTCTCACTGATTTTCCTCCACCTTAAAGAAAAGTATTTGACTGGTAAGGGGGAAAGTGAGCTAAACTTCATGCACATTCTGTACTAAATGGCTCCCACCTTCTTTATACATATATCTCCCTTGTATTTGTATGACATATCAGCAGAGTGAAACTTACTGAACAGCACAGCATACTCCAAGAATAAACAGAAGGACCACTGTGATGCTTCCACAGACGAGGAGAGCTGTTAAGAGCCTAGGGTCTGTTCAGAAAGATATGCAATCATTTATTTTATAGAAAAACAATGCATTGAGTGCATGAACCTTTCCCTCCCACTAATGTAAATGTCACGACAAGTTGCAATGTTGTTGGGTTTTGGGTGGCTGCAAAACAATGGGGAGGCTTAAAAAAATCATCTTGATTACTCAAGATAAAGTTCCTCAAGTTTCAATGTCGGTGAATGGAAGGAAATTAATCTTGATTGCATATAAATATAAAAAAGTTGATCTACTTCACCAACACTTCATCCACGTTTTCGTCTTAGAATACATCTAAAAAGTCTGGACTCAGATTTTGCTGCTGCTTCAGTCTTAAAATATCTGATTTGTTTGGACTGCAAAATGTGGATGAATGGATGAACAGATGAACGGCATAGGAATGAACTGATAAATGGATTGATAGATAGATAGTTTCTTCTTTTTGGAAAGCAGCTCCTTCAAGATCCTTATCTGACGTCACATTCCACCTGACATGCCAAAGCTTGCTCGTAGCACAGGTGATCCATGCATTTTTAACTAGGTCAGTTGACTGGCAGCCAAACATAATGGATATTTCAAGAATACTGTAGTTCCTAACTTTAACATGACTCATAATATTTCCAGCAAAGTCTCCAAGCTTTTCAGTCCTCCAGCATTATCTTTGGCTCAAAATAATGCCTGATTGTAGCTGAGCAGAGTACTCACCAAATTTCTTGGTTTTAAAAAGCCACTCGCTGCTGTTGGAAGATCCACTGAGAGTTGTAGCCTGGACATAAACATGGTACTGGGTGTCTGGAGTCAGGTCTTTCAAAGAGATGTACTGCCTTGTGCTACCTACAGTAACATCTTGAGGAAAAACAGTAAAGAAAATGCCATGAGAGGAAAAAAACATGAATATTTAAACGAATAAACAAGTTTGAGGAGTCCTTACTCTGCTGTGGTTCTTTCTGTTTGCTGTAGAAGACAGTATAAGTGACAACAGCTCCCCGGCACACCTCCTGTGACCTCACATCCCAGCTCACAGTGGCGCTTTTGTCATAAGCTTGAACATTGGTGATGGTGACATTTGCTAGATCGGCACAGATAAGGATTTCAAAATAAGACTGGTAAAACCAAACAAACAGCAACTTTTACAAACTCTGATAAAAATCTTGATTTCCTACCTTCAACCCTTGAGCAGATCTGCAGAGCTTGTGTGCCATGACCTGTCTTGCCATTAAAGAGGGGTGTTACTGTTATGTTGTAAGGCTTCTTATCCAGAAGGTCTGTGTGAAAACAAAGTATGAACATTTCTTACATTAAAGTGTGATAGCTTCAACACTTGACAGCCACAAAGATATGAAACTTCTACACTTCAAGCAGCGTAGAATTGGCAAGCAATGTCATCTCCTTTGGCTCAGAGTTGTATGTCTGATAAAAAACTATGGTGGGAACATTTTTTACTGGCACCGATGTGCCCCTGGGGACAGCATCTTGTCTTGACCTTTTTTAGTCCCTTAAAATTTCTCAAGAGCCAATTTGAGGTTGACTTTTTAGCCTTTACATCCTTGATGAGGGATTTTTGCCTTTTTTGGGGATAATATGACACAAAAAATGAGAGCAAGACACAACAATAACTGGGTTTGTTTGAAAATGACTGTCTAGCGTGACTTGGTATGGAAAGTTGTTCATCATAGTGGGATTGGAGCCAATTCCTTCAGTACTGTTGACAATGATGGCCCACCTTTTGAAACAGTCTCTCAAAGCACCCTCACAGTGTTGAAACGTGGTGCACATACTAGTATCAAGATTAACTTTGGACAAAGGAAAGTGGACGAATCAACAGCTCTTCTCTGCGCACAGAGGTTGAGGTGGATTTCTAAAGTTTTCTATTGGAGATGAGATTTATGGCTCTTTGAAGGGAGCCAGATCTTGAGGAGCTGTTCCATTCAAAGAGCCATTAAAAAGACTGGCTCATTGTTATATTTATTCATTTTTTAGAGGTCAACAAGGGTACACATGGATGGGAATCATTCAGAAATACTGATTATCCCCATGCTTCGACAGTGAGATCAATATTTTGAATTTTTTTTTCCTCACCTTAAAAATCTTTGTGGCACAATAAAAACTACTCAGGCTACAGGTAACTGATTAAAACTAAGACATGATAAAAATGTGAATGCAAACTTGTACTACCCTACCTGGTGTTTGGGGCACACAGGTGATACGTAGAGGCAGCGCAGCCAATTTGCATATGAGAACGGCTAGCAAACGAACGGCTTGTCATTGTGAACCAGTTCTCATGGTCCACTTAAAAGAGCCACTCAAACGACTGACTCATTTGGAAACCTCCCATCTCTATTTTCTACCCTCTGATGAGCAGTTCTGATTACATGCTGCATTAGTCATGCTGCTTTGAATTGATACTATTGAATTTCCTTTCAGGGATTAATAAAGTTCTAGTCTTATCTTGTTTGTTTATTTGTTTTACAGACTCCAGCCTTTCCAACCTCTGGGAAACATGAGAATAAGTTATCAAGAATAGTTGCATCATTTGCATCTTTTACAAATTTCAAGAACATCTCATCTAGTCTTGTTACGTTTGATGAAAGAATGTTCAAAAAGTTTGTGGCGTCACACAGGAGAAGGAGTAAAACTAAATGCCCCAGTGCTGGTCTCACTCTACCGTTCCCTGTACTCACATGTGACATCACTAATTTACATAAAGGGGAGCCCTGCAGTCAATTTAACTGTATTTGTTGTTTTTATGCTTTACACTTAAAAGACCAACTCCAATGAAAATCATGTTTTTCTTGCTGTCAACATGTTCATATGGCATTTTTCTGATACTATAGAACATATCATGAGAAAAAGGAGTGCAAAATTGCATTTCGGAGTATTTCTGCATTCAACTCGCTGTGAATCTCTAGCAAACCCAAACAGCAGGTTCAGACACAGTGAGATTTCTTACATAGCCATTGGAAAATAGAGAGGATTATCACAGAACAAGCGTGTTCATTAACAGATTGCAATGCTCATAAGAAAGCTAATTATGATGTAAACTTTCATCACGTCCCTAAAGACATTAGTGTCCGAGAGCTTAATAGCTCCTATGTTACCTGCCACTTCTACTACACTGCCAATGTTAGGCTGCAAGCTCACGTGAAGACGAGTGTGCAGAGCAGCACCGTCTCCACCCGCGACTCAATGGCAAATTGCTAATGAGCTACCGTCGCTCTGCAGAAGAGAAGCCCTTGAAAATGGCACAGGTAAAGTGATTTTGGCTAAAAACTTCATAATCACGGTTTAAAACTGCTAAGAACACTTTCAGAAGTAAAAAAAAAAAAAAACTATCGGAGTGGGACTTTAAGGCTTTTGAGGTGCATGATAAAATGACAAAAAACTGTACATTATCAATTATAAAATCATATTCAAATGATCAGAACATGGCTCTTACGGTGCTGCTCTCACAGCAAATTACACACTCAAAGAAGCAAATTACATACAGCTCAAAGTAATTTACAACACTAGCTGCCTTTATACACTTTGAAACTCTAATTTTATACGTCTACCGATTTCTCTACAAGGAGACTGATACATGCATATCATAGGGTTCAGTCACATATTTTCGATTTTCAGAAGTACACACAGACAGGTGAAGAGGCCCCCCAAACTGTAGCATCAACAATTTTTCTTTTTAAATTAAACAAAGCTGATTTGGATCAAGTGAATGAAAATATCTGCAACAACATTCGACCTCCATAACTAATGCTGTGTTCGAGTTACCTCTGAAGTCAGATGTCCAAGCTGGGAATCACATCAGAGCTACCAGCGTTTCAGTTACCAAGTCAGAAAAAAGCAAAATCAGAGGCGGGAACAAGATGGCTACATGTAGTTATTCTAGCGCTTGCTTTGTCCAAATATAAGATACAAGAAAGAGACAAGTTCTGCTTTCATTTCTGAGAAATTACATCCTGAAAATGAGGACAATTCCCCGAAACAAATCAGTGCATTATGTATCCTGGTAACCACAACAGTTCCAGATGTTATTACTCATCTCTGCAAATTCCACATGATCAAAACCTCTTGACATGCTCAGAGTCATAAATGCAATTCTTCTTTCTGACTTGCTTTTCTTACTTGATTTTTTATTGTTTAATTCTGTGAGAATGAATCTTGGTGCAGCTGTAAAGAGAAAAGGAAAGGAACTTAGATGACACAAACATTGGTTCCCTTACCTATCAATTCTGTAGGATTCTTCTCGATGAAGTGTTCACAGAGCCTGATGAACATTGCAGTTGTGTCTTTTGAAGGGCATTCTCCATGACTGAACAAAGGAAATGATAGAGGCATTAGTTCCTTCATAACCATCATATGAACCACGTTTGGTTAAGTTTAACATACAAATGTAAATAAACAAGTGCTCATACCCTTTACACTGAAGCTTCACATATTTTATTCCCTCTTTCTCTATGTCGTTCCGGTCATAAAACCGAGTAGTGTTTGTCAGGTCAACCAGCAAACCCATTTTCACCTAAGGAAGACAGAAAAGATTTAAAGACATGATGAGGCTTGATGAGGGTTTGTGGTTTTTAAATGTTTCTCAGTCTTTGGGTCTGAACAGTTACTTACTTTTAGGCTTTTCAGATAGTTGGAAAGCATACTTGGGTGAAACCTGTTCTCCTCTGCAACTTGCTCATCATATCTAGGACCCAACATTGTTTTCATCGGCAGGAATTTACCTATAATAGAAAAGACAAGAAATAAAGAAGTGACCCCTCATGCAAAATGTAGTCCAAGTTGGGGTTACAGCAAGACCATGGATGCAATTAACTGGCCTACCCCAACCGGATTTTTCTCTGTGCAAATATTTGCTAATTTTGTCTTGTATATATGCGAGTAGTATTTTCTGATAAAACATTCTCATTCTGCTGTCTTTTGACTGTCAAATGTATTACTTTCTGCTTGTGTGCAAGAAAAAATTAAATGTAGAAATAGTTCACTGTTTTGCTGATGGTCTTGTTGCTTTGGTAGGTCATACAGAACTCTACTTTAAATTACAGTCTTTTTAATCACCAGCTTCAATCTCTCCCTATCAACACTATAACACAGGTCTAAAAATGCAACTGATCTCTTAACAAATTTAGCTTTGAAGTAGCTCGAAACTTTAGAACAATACCAAGTAGTTAAGTAAATACACTTCATTTACAGACAACAGTTGCAAAGTGTCATATGCACCTAACAAACACAAAACAGAGTAAAACAAATAGCCAAAGAAGGTGGAAACTTGAGCTAGATATAATCTCTCTCTCTCTCTCTCTCTCTCTCTCTCTCTCTCTCTCTTTAAATAAAGCTGCAATAAAAATACAATAACTATCAGTCAAGGATGGACAGTAGCAGGTTTGAAGTTAGAAGGGACATGACACATCTTGTCAACTATGGAATTTAACAATAGATAAAACACCTGGGAGAGAAGTTGACAAAGAATATAATCATAAACGAGAGGATAGTGAAATATCCTGGGGGTTGGAGGACAGTTTAGTTTCCCACGTAATTTGTTGAAGTTTCTCCAACGCAAGTTGTCTCATTCGTCTATACAACAGTTAGGGGAGAAAGCAACCGTGAGGATAAAACTGGTTTGGCCAGTTAAGGGATCCCTGCAGAAATTTTAGACGTTATTGTCTTTCATAGAAACGGACCACTGAACAGCGTCCAGCGCCATCATGCTACTGACCAAGTTTGTTTGGACACGTGATGCTCTCAGAGCAGCGCTACCATATCATTGAGGCACTGCTCAAATGAGCCATTTCTAATGCCAAACAAATGAACATCAAGTTATTCACGAAATAAGTTTTTGTTCCTGATTGAACTGGAGTCGGAAAGAAATTAGCTTTTACTCCCGCTTATGTAGGTGCCAAGTTAACCAAACAATGTGCGCCCATATAACTTCAAACCAAACCCTATTTGAAATCTAGACAATTGAAGTTTCCCTAGCTGCAACTAAAAACTTTTCGGTTTGCTTAAAAGAGTAATGAGCTTTTACTGTTCATTAGTATAAACCAGTGATTTCGGCATCTCGTTAATAAGCAAACTTGGTTTGTTTTGTGTGGAAATTACTTAAATGTGGCGCACATGCTTGCAAAACTGTGAAGAAAGTCTTGTGTTATGCTTTGCCTGTACGAGAGGAAAATTAGCTTCTTGCTTGGTTTGTGATGTATTAATTTGCAAACACAGTTTTAAGAAAGAGTTACATTCATGCTGAGGTACGTTATATGAAGATATCTGTAAATCATACAATTTAGCTAGTAGCAACAGCGTTTCGTAGATTAACGCGTTTAATCCATGCGTGGTTAAATGTTTTCCGTACCTGCTACAGGTTGTCCTCTCCTTGGACAATTACGCCACCGAGGAGGGGGTCCGGTATGTGACATCTTCGGGAGAGCTTTTAATGAATGAGAATTACTGGCTGGTCCGGCCTGGGGTCGGTGCTCCCTCCTTCAGACCGCGCGGATTCCGGTCTGTGTTTTACGCAAGTACCGAGGATCTGTAGGCCCGTTAGCACCTAATTCAGGTGAGTTAACCGACAAGTTTAAGACCGTGAAACATTATGACGGGCCAGTAGACAAACACACGGCACGCAGGCTATCTCGAATCGTAGAAAAATCAGCATCCCAAAATTTTGTTGTCCTCTGTTCTTTTTTAATCCAGGTTATCTGAAACTGGCTAGCATAACACCAATTCAGTGACAAACGTGCTAGCCAGATAGCGCTAAGCTACGTAGCCGTCTACTTCTGGTTGTTTATAGATGTAGTTAAGACAACACTCGGCACAACACTGCCATCTGGAGGTATATGTGAGCCAAGGTAACCGCAAACACGAATGGGATGGAATTTACTGCTCTTGAGCATTATCTCCCGTGTGTTTGTGTGTGTCACAGTAGCCAAAACTGGCGATAGTTTTTGTATACCCACGTCTTAATTTGTGTATTTTTTTTTCTTGTAAGAAATGGGCTTGACTAAAAGCTAAAGCTTGGATAATTGCAGGATATAACCCTTGTTTTCCCATAACAGAACTATGTACTGTATATGCAGCACCACTAACCACCATACATTGGTGAACTATGGCAAACAAGCATTATACAATTTTGGTTCAGCTTTAAAGCATTGTGGATACTAAGTATTTCACAGATACATCTCACAGGAAGCAGTGTAGAACTTTTTTTCTTTTTCTGCAAGATTACAGGGGTGTCGAATTTTCTTTTGAAACAAAAAAGAGGAACTTCTGGATCCTGCTGAAAGTCACACATTTTTGAACTCATAAGAATACATCTAAAGCTGTTTCACCAACAGTTTAACACAATTGAAAAAAAAAACAATCAAATCGAACACTTTTGAAACAAATTTCATATTTCCTCAATGTTACAGTAGTCTTTAGTTATGAATACTTTTTTTTACAAATACAACGAACAAAAATAAAACATTATAATGTCATCAGTAATGCCTGTTAACAGCTTATTAAAGGAAGTTTTTGTAGCTTTTAATTCCTCTGTTAAGAAGGAAAAAATCTGAGAAGAAGTGATAAATTATTAGAGAGCAACAAATGACATGTACTTATCCTTTTCCCTATTTTGAAGCTAATTTTGAGGGGTAAACTGTACAGAGAGACATTTTTTCAAGCATGGTTAATACTGCAATTTGTGTAAATACAGGTTATGACAAACAGGGAACGTACTGTATAAGAATCTTATCAGGTTTTTCAACAATATTTACACTATATATGCAAGATTTACATTGTGTTATTTCTGTATCCACCTAAAATTTCCCAAAAACTTAGTGCATGTAGGAATACAAACGTCTGAACTGTTGGCCCTGGCTCTACTTGCGTTTCTTCTGTCAGCCTGTTGAAAGAATTTTAGTAATATTGAGGTGAGGCTAATGTGCAGACACAGCTGTTCATTTCCAAGCAAGTGGGCAGAGTTGATGAATTTTATACAATGCATGTGGTGTGTGACAGCTGATACATCCTTTTAATTTGCAGCATTATTATAGAGACTCTGCTTTGGCGTACCATGTCCCATCCCCATATGACAGGATAAACTTTCACTGGATAAAGCAGCTTTTTTGCTGTTATGTCTTATCTTTGTCCCTTTTGCCCTTTTTTGATACAACTATTACACGCTCAGAGTAATAAAAGATATTCTTTAAAATCACATCTTCATTAAAATTCATGTCCTGTTTGATTATGTTTTACGCAAGATGAATCCATCTTGCATAAAGAGGGTGTTTAAATTTAAGCTTGTTTTCTGCATACAAAACCAAATACTTTATCATGTCTGTGCATATCCTACGTTTTTGTTTCCAATTCTTTCAACTGTGCTTTGCCTTTCAACATGTCCAGAGTGACATAAACAGTAGGTGGTGCAGTGTTTTCCAGCTGTTTCACAGCTCCACCCTCATTTTGTTTGCTAGTCCTCCGTGCAGGAGCTTCCTCTGAGCTCTGACTTCGATATGCGCTAGAATGGTTGCTGTCTGACAGAAGCAGCTCTGTGGATTCTTCGGGAGATGACGGATGCAGCATCTCTACACTTTCACCTGAGTATGTACTTTGTTCGTCTGGTGCTGGAACTACATGAGGGACAGTGAATTCCTCCGCTCGGTCTTTAGCTGGTTTGTCTTTATAGTCTTTCAATAGTGTAAAAGTTCCTTCAAGCTCCTCTGGGTAAACTCTGTCACACCAGCTTTCACGTGGAGTACTGAATGGCTGGACCAGAAATGTTCCCTATAGACACACAATAATAAAGAATCACAGATGGCATACATAAAACAGGTGAGACTTCTTGAAAGTGCCTGTAAGATAATTTGGTAGATTATTTAAAGGTACAGTAAGAAACATTTAGCATTTAGTATCTTGCACTATCATGTCTCAGTGGTGCATTCTTGTATGTTTTTAGCAAGTAGGCACTCAAAATGCACAAGTTAGAAGACAAAGGAGAAGAAGAAAGTGGTTCTTTGATTACTACAACTTAATGCAGTAAATGGAGGATCACACTTCACACACATTTATTACAGGAGTGTTTTGTCCCCAAAGCCCACCAGAGAGCTACAGCAGCAGAAGGGGTGAGCAAAGGAGCTCTTAAGTCTAGACTCTGACTGCTAGATGTTGCTAAAAATTCCCTTTCCACACAGTATCTTTAAGAACAAATAAATATCATGGCACTGGTACAGTAGTTACTTAAAGAGCAGAAGAGTTTTATTGCAGTGTGGAAAATGTACCAGAATTCAAGAAATTATTTGTCTGTAGCAGCAGACGGTTTTCTTCCGTGAATACCACCCGATCAAAGCAGCACCTGCTTGATTTTCTTCCTTGGTCACAAATCATCAAAGTCTAAAATATCTCAATGCGTCAGCCACTCAAGTTTACCTCTTGATGACTTGCCGATGACCACAACGCCACAGAGCTGAGTCCAGGGTTAGGTATCGGCTTCTCACTGATTTTCCTCCACCTTAAAGAAAAGTATTTGACTGGTAAGGGGGAAAGTGAGCTAAACTTCATGCACATTCTGTACTAAATGGCTCCCACCTTCTTTATACATATATCTCCCTTGTATTTGTATGACATATCAGCAGAGTGAAACTTACTGAACAGCACAGCATACTCCAAGAATAAACAGAAGGACCACTGTGATGCTTCCACAGACGAGGAGAGCTGTTAAGAGCCTAGGGTCTGTTCAGAAAGATATGCAATCATTTATTTTATAGAAAAACAATGCATTGAGTGCATGAACCTTTCCCTCCCACTAATGTAAATGTCACGACAAGTTGCAATGTTGTTGGGTTTTGGGTGGCTGCAAAACAATGGGGAGGCTTAAAAAAATCATCTTGATTACTCAAGATAAAGTTCCTCAAGTTTCAATGTCGGTGAATGGAAGGAAATTAATCTTGATTGCATATAAATATAAAAAAGTTGATCTACTTCACCAACACTTCATCCACGTTTTCGTCTTAGAATACATCTAAAAAGTCTGGACTCAGATTTTGCTGCTGCTTCAGTCTTAAAATATCTGATTTGTTTGGACTGCAAAATGTGGATGAATGGATGAACAGATGAACGGCATAGGAATGAACTGATAAATGGATTGATAGATAGATAGTTTCTTCTTTTTGGAAAGCAGCTCCTTCAAGATCCTTATCTGACGTCACATTCCACCTGACATGCCAAAGCTTGCTCGTAGCACAGGTGATCCATGCATTTTTAACTAGGTCAGTTGACTGGCAGCCAAACATAATGGATATTTCAAGAATACTGTAGTTCCTAACTTTAACATGACTCATAATATTTCCAGCAAAGTCTCCAAGCTTTTCAGTCCTCCAGCATTATCTTTGGCTCAAAATAATGCCTGATTGTAGCTGAGCAGAGTACTCACCAAATTTCTTGGTTTTAAAAAGCCACTCGCTGCTGTTGGAAGATCCACTGAGAGTTGTAGCCTGGACATAAACATGGTACTGGGTGTCTGGAGTCAGGTCTTTCAAAGAGATGTACTGCCTTGTGCTACCTACAGTAACATCTTGAGGAAAAACAGTAAAGAAAATGCCATGAGAGGAAAAAAACATGAATATTTAAACGAATAAACAAGTTTGAGGAGTCCTTACTCTGCTGTGGTTCTTTCTGTTTGCTGTAGAAGACAGTATAAGTGACAACAGCTCCCCGGCACACCTCCTGTGACCTCACATCCCAGCTCACAGTGGCGCTTTTGTCATAAGCTTGAACATTGGTGATGGTGACATTTGCTAGATCGGCACAGATAAGGATTTCAAAATAAGACTGGTAAAACCAAACAAACAGCAACTTTTACAAACTCTGATAAAAATCTTGATTTCCTACCTTCAACCCTTGAGCAGATCTGCAGAGCTTGTGTGCCATGACCTGTCTTGCCATTAAAGAGGGGTGTTACTGTTATGTTGTAAGGCTTCTTATCCAGAAGGTCTGTGTGAAAACAAAGTATGAACATTTCTTACATTAAAGTGTGATAGCTTCAACACTTGACAGCCACAAAGATATGAAACTTCTACACTTCAAGCAGCGTAGAATTGGCAAGCAATGTCATCTCCTTTGGCTCAGAGTTGTATGTCTGATAAAAAACTATGGTGGGAACATTTTTTACTGGCACCGATGTGCCCCTGGGGACAGCATCTTGTCTTGACCTTTTTTAGTCCCTTAAAATTTCTCAAGAGCCAATTTGAGGTTGACTTTTTAGCCTTTACATCCTTGATGAGGGATTTTTGCCTTTTTTGGGGATAATATGACACAAAAAATGAGAGCAAGACACAACAATAACTGGGTTTGTTTGAAAATGACTGTCTAGCGTGACTTGGTATGGAAAGTTGTTCATCATAGTGGGATTGGAGCCAATTCCTTCAGTACTGTTGACAATGATGGCCCACCTTTTGAAACAGTCTCTCAAAGCACCCTCACAGTGTTGAAACGTGGTGCACATACTAGTATCAAGATTAACTTTGGACAAAGGAAAGTGGACGAATCAACAGCTCTTCTCTGCGCACAGAGGTTGAGGTGGATTTCTAAAGTTTTCTATTGGAGATGAGATTTATGGCTCTTTGAAGGGAGCCAGATCTTGAGGAGCTGTTCCATTCAAAGAGCCATTAAAAAGACTGGCTCATTGTTATATTTATTCATTTTTTAGAGGTCAACAAGGGTACACATGGATGGGAATCATTCAGAAATACTGATTATCCCCATGCTTCGACAGTGAGATCAATATTTTGAATTTTTTTTTCCTCACCTTAAAAATCTTTGTGGCACAATAAAAACTACTCAGGCTACAGGTAACTGATTAAAACTAAGACATGATAAAAATGTGAATGCAAACTTGTACTACCCTACCTGGTGTTTGGGGCACACAGGTGATACGTAGAGGCAGCGCAGCCAATTTGCATATGAGAACGGCTAGCAAACGAACGGCTTGTCATTGTGAACCAGTTCTCATGGTCCACTTAAAAGAGCCACTCAAACGACTGACTCATTTGGAAACCTCCCATCTCTATTTTCTACCCTCTGATGAGCAGTTCTGATTACATGCTGCATTAGTCATGCTGCTTTGAATTGATACTATTGAATTTCCTTTCAGGGATTAATAAAGTTCTAGTCTTATCTTGTTTGTTTATTTGTTTTACAGACTCCAGCCTTTCCAACCTCTGGGAAACATGAGAATAAGTTATCAAGAATAGTTGCATCATTTCCAGCCAATGCATTCAACAGAGGCTCATAAAAGGCTGTTCCCCCCATCAGCCCCAACACTGAGGGATAAAACACAAATTGATCTGATTGTCAGACAAGTTCAATCACAGCATGTGAATCAGGAAGGAGGTAATGATGACTCAGATTCCATGAAAACACATTAATTAATCATTCAACAATCCTTCTCCTCCCTTCTCATCTAACCTACCTATCAGTGTGATATTTGTGTATTTGCTCTCCCTCCAGTAATGCTGATTTCCATCATGGGTGTAGTCGATTATGTAACCACTGACAGGCTGAACTGGAGCCTTCCAGCTGACGAGAATAACACCATCAAGGGTTGATGCTTGGATGCCGGTAACTCGAGGGAGGCCTGCCAAGTGAGAAGACGTTTAGGAAATCAAATCACTGACATACATTAGTGGGAAGCATTATTCCATTAAATGAGTCACTGTGATGCATGAGTTAAGGCTACCCATCAAAATATATGCAATCGATGGCATTGGAACTCACTCTCTCCAACAGCTGGAACATAAACAGAGCGCTGCACAGACGGGGCATCACTTGGGGCCACTGTGAGGATTATCCTGTATGCATCCTGGTCCACATTGACATCACAAGTTACATTACCACACAATATAGTTTCAGAGTGATTTGCTCTGGTCGTCTGGGGTTTGGAGGGAATCAGCTGGATGGTGTAGTTTAATGTGTCTTGGCATGTTGAAGGAATCCCCTGTGTAGACAGTGAGCAATGCTCGAGGTTAAAATGTTATCCAAGGAGTTTAGCTCAAAGGGAATATCATGTTTAAAGTTTGATGAACAAAGCACAACAGGTCTTCTTTACCTTCCACATCACATGAACTTTTCTTTTTCCCTTTCCCAGTGGTTCAGCAATGTTTCTCCAGAGTTGCAGCTTGGCATCAGCCGCTGTATACAGGCAGAAAATTAACAATCACATTGAAATAAATGCAGGGTCTCACAGCAATTAAATACAATTGAACAATTTCTGCCTCAGCTGAAGCCAAAACAGTTTATTAAAACCCACTGAGACTAAATTCATGAGCTCATAGTGACAGCTGTTTTTATCTTGCCAGGATTACACACTGAATTAAGTTTAATCCATCATTCATGTATTGTTCATTCAGTGTTGGCATTTGTAGATGTTAACTTGTGCTTGTGAATGATTCATCCTCAGCTCTGTAATACCCTATTATGTTTGTGTGTAAGGCCTGGAATGAACTGATTGTCTTTCTCTGGAACATTTTTAGCAGTGACAACTTGCTGCATGAGTCATAGACAGACTTGAACAAGAACTTTATTTACTGCATCTGAAGATATTCACATTCAAGTCTAAACCTGAAACTTAGTGAGTCAGATTTCACTCTCTGTAGCTGATATTTTAGTCCTGCACAAACCACTTCCAGGCTTCAGGATTTGGTTCCTGTGTATTTGAAGAAAACTAATGATGTCTTAACATTGATCTTACTGTTCCATCTGGTCAGAGCTGTCTTCTCCAGGCTCCAGTTACTCCAGGGGGCCCCAACTAAAGCACAGCGGACTGTGACTTCGTAGACACTGCAAGATTCCAGGTTTTCAAAGGGCAAATCTTTTCCCGTCCCACAAAATGCGGTGTTACAAGTGACCTAAAAAATAGAAAGACTAAAGTCAGAAAAAAACTCACAACTGTACCCTTATCCCAAAAAGTCCAACATTGAACACATCATAGCTTTGCATTGTTGCGATAAAATGCATTTTCAAAGGAATTATGTGGATCTTACCTCTCGAATTCTTTCAGTGTAAGCCTGGAAGAGAAACACAAATACCATAGAAAAGATCATTCAAGAGAATAGTAGGTAATTACAGCAAGCACTGCTGGCACAGTTTCACAACAGCTGTACTCCACATGGTGCACTGTTTTCGATTAAAAGTACTAACACTTGATCAGAAATTCTGATGTTCCTGTGAACAGCATTTCCAAAGAAATGTTTCAATGCTTGTATCAATGAAATGACTGCCTTTAAGTACAGGCATGTGCTCTTACCAATAATGTCAGAGTTTGATAGACCTGGTAACTGCAATTTAACAGATCGAGCTGCTATTGTTCTGACGCACTAGGGTTCGGGTGGACAGTTCATATATTGTTGTCAAGTATATTTCTGGTTGTACCTGACATTACCATTCCTAAAGAATAACAGACTGGGTCATCTTATACTTATCTCTGCAGTTACATATTTTCAATTGCCCAGCTAGATTTTAATTTTTAATAGTTAATAATACTTATTACTCTGAGTATTGTTTCAAGTCAAACATGAGTGAAGTGATTCACTTTTCCAATACTTAAAGTCTATTTTTTATTGTTACTCCTGTTTTATTGTCATAGCAATGAAATTAAGACTTGTTTGACTAGTTTGTTTGACTTGTGTCACAGTTTTCCAAGTAGCTTCCAGTGAATCATTTAAATGCAGAATGACACATTCAAAGAGTGACATACCTGGCTGTACTTGACTTGACAATGAAATGGACCAGGTTTCGTGCCCCACATTATGGTCCAGTTTACTAAGAGGTGATCAGGTCCGGTCATTACAGCTACCTTTGGACGGATAATTTTCCCTAAAGAAATTTCAGAAATAAACAATGTTAAAATGCAAGGAGTCCTTTGTTACTGTGTAATTTTCTAACAAAATTTACTCAATGTTACTTACATATCCGATCAGTGTCCAATTCTTGAGTTTCAGAGTAAACCTCAAAAGCAGCAGATTTGGCTCTAACAGTGACATTGAAAGTCTGATAAGGAAGTATAACTGTGACTTTATCGTGATCAGCAGTGCATGTTTTTTCACGTGAGTGGCAGATTTCACTTTGGGGCGAGCGATCCGAAAAGGAGCTAAAAAAAGCATAGAAAATATGTTTAATAATCAATACATATGTTCCCAATACAATTAGTTTTTTTAAAATAAAAGAATGCAAATGTACCTTAGTACAGTGTAGTTTGTGTCTGTTGAAGGCTCAATCTGGTGCTCCCACTTGCATATAAGAAATTCTGGTACACCAATGACATCCTGGTTATTATAATCCAACATGCAAGATATTTCACTGGGTTTTGCTGGAACAAAAAGAGATCAACAATGTCAAAACACATTCAGTTCTTGAGCTGGTCATACCCAAGTTAATGAAAGGTATTTGCAAAGTTAGCTGCAATAGACATTACACTGCAGGGTGCCCCAGGGCTCTGTGCTGGGTCGTTTCCTATTTTCACTGACCTGCTCATGTCAAGACACCTCATATCAAGATTAAACAAAACTCTTATTATATGTGTTATTTCTATTATCCTTATCCAAACTGTTTATATTAATCTTCAAACTTCTATACCATAAATGGGATAATTAACATAATCAGTTTTCTCCATATTATCAGTATCATAGCTGTAAGACAAAACAGGCTTGTTTACTTTAGTTGTCAGAGTTATTGTTATCAGTCAATACTAACTAGCTGGTCTTCAGAATATTGCACATTTACATCTTTTAGCCATTAATATTGGCAATGAGCTGACTTGCACCGTTGTTGTTGCTCAGTTTATTTGTCTGCATCCATTTCTTTCTCCTTCTAAATCTCCCCCTACTCTCTTGGCCCACCCAAACTCAGAAGACAGCTGTTCACCAAGAGTCTGTTTTGGCCAGAAAAAATTAAGTTGCTGCTGCTGTCCAATGCTGCAAAGTGTTTGTTCCGTGTTGGGTTTATGCAAATAATATCACACAGATGAGAATAATTTTGACATGTTCTTTCTCCATCGTGTCTGGTGATAACTTTTGCATTAAATTATACATAAATATTGGAAAAAAATTATTAGACCACCCTTGTTTCCCTCAATTTCTTGTTCATTTTAATGCCTGATACCACTAGAAGTATATTACCTGAAGAATATGATGAACATAACTAAAAATGCAGCAGATTCCATTTCATGTTCTATTTGACACACTTAAGCTTAATTGTATTCCCAGTGTATAAAAGAGGCCATTTCATGTCATTAGCAGCACTGCACATTCAAAGGCCTAGAGTTGTTTACAGCTTACTTTCAAGCCATAGCACAACTCAGAAGTTGTCAGCTCTAACATTATGCCTAGAACAAAAGAAATGAGTGAAGCCACATCTTCACAGGCAGCAATCTTGGCAATGCTGGAAATTGGCATCATTGAGAGACAGGTAGCCAAAAAACTGAAGATCTCCAAGACAGCTGTTCTTTACAACAGGAAAAAGAAAGCCAAACATGGCACTACCAAATTGCTAGCTGGTCGAGGCAGGAAACGTCTTTTTACCTCATGAGAGGACCATGCACTCATTCATTCCTGTCAGGAACGCCACAAAAGGCAAAAGAAATCTTGGTTACTCTTTGCAAGAGATCACAGGGATTGGACTGGATGATTGGGCTAAGATTCTCTTCAGCGATGAATTTAAATTTGGGTTGATACCCACTCCAGCTAACTCACCAGTTAGGAGGAGGCCAGGAGAAGTGTATAAACCAGACTGTCTTGCCCCTACAGTAAAATATTCAGGTGGATTGTTGATGATCTGGGGTTGTTTCAGTATGGGTGGAACAGGGCAAATGCAGTTGTGTGATGGGCAACTGAACCAGGTCACGTACAGGGCTACTCTTGAAAACAGTCTTCTTCCATCAGCTGATAAACTCTTTCCTGGCTTGAATGACTGAATTTTCCACAACAAGCCCCTTGCCACACAGCAAGGTCAATTAAAGCCTGGATGGAGAACCAAAACATTCAAACCATGCCTTGGCCTGCTCAATCAACAGATCTAAATCCAATTGAAAACCTGTGGAATATCATCAAACTCAAAATGGAGAACCACAAGCCCAAAAACAAAGCAGATTTGGTAGAAATTCTGAAACAGGAATGGGCTGCTGTGACAGCAGAGCTACATCAGAAGCTGGTGGAGAGCATGTCAAGACGCATGGCTGCTGTCATCAAAAACAATGGTTCAAGTACTAACTCCTGTGTGTATCATGTGACCAACAGACAGAGGAAAAAACATGGAATGCCTAAAAGCTTTGTTTTTGGCAGAACAATGCCATAGCTATTGATGTAAGAACTCAAGTGATTTTGGTCATTGTGAAGAAAACCATGGAAATGGTTATCAGCTCTTATAGCTCTTATGAGCTATTTTGTTGTTATCATTATATTTGTCCACACAAATGCGAAACTTAAGTTGTATTAGGCATTGAAATGAACAAAAAATTTAAGAAAGGTGAGCAGCTTGTGGAGTAGTTATCATCCATTTATCGTTATCGAGGTGAACTGCTCAATATGTTGTGATGTTGATTTCAGGCCATATTGCCCAGCCCTGAATTAATTTTAATCTACCCAATATGTAAACTGATATGAATCTGTTGGTACAAAAGGCTCACAGACTATGAAATCAGAGGGGCTGTTTATTGAACTGCATACAAAAAAATTTTTTTAGATAAATAAAATCACCCTTACATCAACTTATGTATATTTCAGTTATTTGATGGATAATGAGCAGCATACTGTTGTGTCAAGGTCATACTCCCCATGTCAGGTTTCCAAGACTTATGACCACCTGCTCACAATACATTATTTCTTAATCATAAGGCCTCTTAAACACATTTAAAGTCAGCATATGGATTCTATTTAAAAAGCATTTCTTACCATATGTTGTGATGGTGGTGCCTCCAAGGATTTCCTGAATTAGTGCACTGTAACACTGCAGTGTGGCTCTGTGCTCAGTGAAGTTCCTTAGAAACAGGACTGTGTATGAGGAGTTAATGGTGGTTGACAGGTGCTCATCTATCTCTCTGCTGTTCAGCTTCCAGAAGACTTTGCCATGGCCATGGACACAAGAAGTGTGGCACACTATCTTGATATCAGATCCCACTTCAGCGTATATATCTTTTGGGACAACGTCACAGTTCTCATGATAACCTTTGTGGAAGAATAATACTTGTCATGTTAAGAAGATAAAATGATCATCTGATCAAAAAAAACTTTCTCTTTTCTGTGCAAGCAGGCAAGGCAAAACAATTGGGTTAACAGTCGTGAAACTTCACTCCTCTTCCATAATGGGAATGCTTCAGTGAATTGCTGTGTTCAGTGGGAGATGGAAAAAATAAAACTCATCCTATCTTGGTAGCTTTTGTAAAAATGTAACCATTAGCTTTGAGACTTAAATTTAGCAACAAAAGTGACAGAAGTAATGGTTTAAAGCTACATAAAGCTAAAGATAAAAAAGCATATTCCTTGGCCCCATGTTTATCAGGAAGCATTTAGAATTTACTAGGTTAAAACATCACAGAAAATAATTAAGTTGAAAGTATCTCTCCTGCTGATCCCATTTTCTGACTAATAGTGGGGTCACAAAGTGAGATTCTGTGACCATCCTTTGGCAAGGATGTTTTGACGATTGATTTGACTTCTATGGACCCTTTAGAAAAGATTTAGCCCCCAGGTCCCTCGCAAAAATCCCGGCATTTTTTGCTAGACAGCTAAATTCAAGATGGCGGCCGGCGCCATCGCCAAAAATCAACTTTTGATCTGGATGACCTAGAATCATGTATGAAGGCACTTTTCCACACAAGTCAAGCATGAGGATTCCAAATCTGACATTGTTTTAATCATACAACTTTGTTTTGACCACGATATTCAAGATGGCTGCCATCTAGTACTGTGATTCTCAACCTTTTCGGGACTTGACCCCCCAAAACAATCATATTTGAACTGGGTAACCCCCAATTTGTATGACTCTGTTCCACATATAGATATTGTGAAAATAGCAGATCTACAAGCCCATAGCACCTTATATTGTGAGGCGTGTGAGCTTGTAGATCAGCCATTTTCACAATTTTTGCCTTTTTTTATTGTATATTGATGTGTGTTTTATTGTTCTTGCATGTACAGCGTCTTTACATCCTGGAAAAGCGCTTTACAAATAAATATATTTGTTTATTATTATTATTTTATTTTATTTTTTCTTATATTATTTGACAATTTGGCCAATGGTTTAGCATTGTTTATTAATTTATTAATTTAGTAGTTAGTAATTCTTTAGTAATTCTTTTGAGCCCACAGTTAGAGGAGTTACACATTTGATCTTTAAAGACAGTGTGCATGCAGCATACATAGCTGCTTGAATATGGAAGAAAATAATGTACCAACAGGGACAGACAGACAGTCATGTATTCTCCAGTGTGGTAGTCTGTGTAATGAAGCCACAGATACCATTAAGTCAACCCAGAGATGGGAAAACATAAAACACAGGGCACTGTTATGGAGTGGCCTTGACAAGTTTGGACATGTCTATACAACTGTCGATTGGGATAAAGGTCCGGTTGGAAAATGTGTCCATGAAGCATGTAGGTTGACCCTATTCAATTGTAATAAACTGGAACAAGCCAAAAAAAGACAGAAAAAACAAGAGACTGAAGAAATCCCATCTCAGTCTTCTTTGTTGGATGACTGTTCCACAGCTGCAGATCCACCTGCCAAACGACTGCGATCAAGTCTTGGGCAGATACATGATAAAACAAAATGTGTGTGGTGTTGTAAGCCTGAGTCACCAAAGCACCCAGAAACAAAGCTGATGCTGATTTCATATGATCATGCATGGGCAGCTTTCAAGAGCCATACAGTTGCCCTGGACGATCAGACAATGCGGGACAGAATCAATTGCCTGATCGATTCTGCAGCTGATCAGCCCTATGCACTTGAGATCAGATATCACTACACATGTTGGATGAAATATGTAACAAAATACAAGAAAATGACCGACGATGACAAACTCCCACATATGCACAATGTCACTCTACGTGAGGCACAGACTATGTTCTTTAATCACATAAGAAAAGTTATTTTTGAGGAACATGAGCTAAGGTCACTGCAGAGCCTCCTCCTAGACTACAACTCTATGATCTCTCGGTACGGCTTCCCAACATCTGCGGTTAAATCATCTTACATCAAAGACATCCTGACCCGGGAATTTGGAAGTAAGATTGGTTTCCATTCAAGCTTACAGAGGAACCAGAGTGACCTAGTCTATGACACGTCTGGGGGTGGGTCATATGTTGAAGCAGCATTGAACTCCATCGGTGTCAGTAATGAGCAACTGGTGCACAATGTGGCTAAGCGGATCAGGGATGATCTTAAGTCCATCAGACTCATCCGATGGCCACCGAGGGTTGAAGAGCTGGAGGAGGAGGAAGAGCTCTCACCTCTCCTGGTGCAGCTGCTATCTGCTATACGGGGGAAGGAGGAGGTAGATCTGTCTCCATGCACACTTTCCCTCACCTCTCTTATCACACAGTATGCAATAAAACGACCCACCACTACTGCCATCAATGCCACCATCACCCTTCATGGTTTGACTCGCAGCAAGGAGCTTGTTGACTGTTACTACAAGTTGGGCATGGGGATCAGATACCGTGACGTGCTTCTCTTGCGTGATATCTGGACCATGCATGACCTTGAACAGTGTTCTGTGTGTCCTGATGAAATTGCTGAGGGAGAACCAAGCATCAGTATAATTGACAACGATGACTTTCAAAATGACACCTTGACAGGGGGGGGGTACTGGTCACCGCTGTAACTGGATGTTTCTTCAGCGCCTAGATCATCTTGCACAGAAGGAGAAAAACATCCAGGATGCACACAAGCGCATCAAAGATGCAAAGACTGTTTCACAGGCTCTGACTGAGAAGGTATCAGAGATGCAGGCAGTTACACCATATAGGACGAGCAAGCGTGGGGAACCTCCTATCCGCCCCAAGCCCACTACTTTCTCATCAAGTACAGAGCCTCAGCGCAAGCGGAGCATTATTCATGCCCTTGTTCGTGCAAACGAGAATGGTGATCGTCCTGATGCAGCTGAGCAGACTATTCCTTCCTACAATGGGTTTCATGCCAGCTTGAATAAGGAGCAGTCAAAGAGCAAGGCTTATTTTCATATGTCTTACAATCAACCGCCGAACAAGTCAGTTGTGAATGACATCATGGAAAAGCTATCTCACATCATCATCACAAAACGCATGCCCTTTGCCTTTTTAGTGGGAGATCATCCTGTGTATGTCCTTGTCACTCTGCTCAAGGCTGAGAACCCAGACAAGTACCGTGACATCGTGCCCTTTCTTGGTCCTTTCCATACACAGTGTGTAATGATGAGTGCCATCTACAAGCGCTACAAGGGGAGTGAGCTAGAAGATGTAATTGTAGCGGCAGGAGTTATTGCTGAGAGATCCGTTGATTCTGCTCTGAAAGGCAAGCATTATAAGAGGGGACTTCGTTGCTTGAGGCTGATGTATGAGGCACTTATGAGCCAGCTGGCCAAGGAGAGACTGATACCCAACCTAACAGAGGGGACAAGAGAGAATCTTGATATTCTGAGGAATACAAGTCTCTCCCAGGAAGCCCGTGCTGCTGCTCATTCAGCCCTGGAGGATGATGCCGATCTCCAGGATCTCATCACCAAGATTTTCTCCCATGTAGACATGAATGACATGGCAGACTACTGGAGGGACTTCCTGTCCATGACAGATTCACTAATGCAGAATGTGCATGCAGTTCATATCTGCAACTGGGAAGAGTATGTCAGCTCTCTGCGGGCTATGCAGCCGTGGATGGTAGCATATGACAACAACAAGTATGGGAGGTGGCTGCCTGACTTCTGGGCAATGCTGACAGCTCTCCCTGCTGAACAGGTTGCCTTCCTTCGTTCTAACTTCACTCAGTCCATCACAGGTAACCCTTATTCCAACATGGCCTGGGACATGTGGATTGAGTGTACTATGAACAAGGGCAGCAAAATGAAGTCAGGCTGGCTCTCAATACTCAAAAATGAAAAACAACTGCTGGTGCACTCCAGAAATGTCAACAATGTGACCCGCATAAGAGCGGCACACAACTCTCTTGCAACCCGAAAAAAAGCAAAGGGGAAACACACAGAAAGTGGCCCGAAGCGCATGCGAGAGGATGAGCAGTGTGTGCATAACCTAACTGCATGCATGGATGAGTTTGACTCTTTCCCATTTAATCCAGCCTCACCCACACTTCGCACCCTACAGTCAGCCACGCCTGCCTCTGATGAGCTCGTTGCGGACTTTAAATCAGCCCATTCTGCAGGAGAGCAGAAGTTAAACATCTTCTTGCGGGACCGAGTATTCAGTAAGAATAAATCCCTCCATGCACCTGTGAGTTTGAGCAAACGTTTGACCTTTTCCAAGCATACATGCATAGAGAAGCCCGGCGAGGAACTCAAGGCAAGAGCTGCTGAAATGGAAAGAAGCGCTCTCAAAGCGGTGATCAACCTGGTTGAGGACAGTAAACTTGTCAAGCTCCCCGAGCTGCTGGAACACCGTGTTGTTGAGGAATGTGGGGCCTTATTCAACCCTAACGGTACATACAGAAAGACACAGAAGAGCAAGCTCATCCAGAAGCTCTCCCTCCAAACGATTGCTATTAAAGAGCCCTATGTTGCTATCATTGACATGGGCATGATCTGGAGGATGGCAACTCCATCAGCAGAGGACAGGCAGACACAAGACGGCAGACCATACAAATGGTTGGACTACGTGCAAAAGGTGTCTTCCATCATCCTTGCCCGCCATCTTGGTGCTCACTGTATCATCTGTGTGAATGATCCATACGATGCAGCCTACTCCACTAAAGATGATGAACGAGACCTGCGCATACAAGGTAAGGTGCATGTACCAAACACGTACATGAAATTGGATGACCCCCTCCCCTCTGCCAAGGCATTCAAAACGCTACTGTGTAGTGTCAGCAACAAGGGACGGCTGCAAAAATTAATATGCAGCCACCTCACTGACCTGGCACAGAATGTGAATGTTGAGATTGTCTACTCTGTTGGCCCACATTGCATCAACTTGTCAACACAACAACCGATGGAAGACTACAGCATTGAACAGTCGGAAGCTGACACCATCCTCTTTACTGTTTATGCAGGTCTACGGCAGTCAGGCTATAGTGGCCCCGTTGTTATTGATGCAGCTGATACTGATGTCTACGTTGCAGCATCAGTTATCTCACAGCAGCTCCCTGGCATGCTATGCATCAAGAGGAACAAAGAGACAGTCCTCTGTCGTGGCATGCTGACAGAGGAGATGGCACACTGCATTGTGCAGCTACACTGTTTTACAGGCTGTGATGCCAACTCAGGATTTTATGGCAAAGGAAAATCATCAGTCTTTGAGAAGGTGGCAAAGAGCTCTTTGGCACGGCAGCAACTCTCCCGGTGTGGAGATAGCCTTGACCTTGAAGAGGAGGTAGAACAAGAGCTATTTGCATTCACTAGACAGGTGATCTACGGTGACAAGAAGAGTAGCACCATGGCTGATGCCCGTGCCTCTAAGTGGAAAGCCATGAAGAGAAAATCGTTTATCCTTCTCCCTCCAGATGCAGACAGCTTACGGCAACACTGTCTCCGTGCCAACTACTTGGCATATCTAGTGCGCCACCCCACACTAAAGAATCACCCCTCGCCACTCGGACATGGTTGGGAATTGGTGGGTGGTCGCTGTCGTCCTGTCCGCCACACACGGCCTGCTCTCCCGACACACCTACCTGCACCAGGGCCAGTTGAAGAGGAGGAAGAAGTTGAGAGTGAGGAGGAGGAGGAGGAGGAGGATGTTGCTCAGAGGAGGATGGAGTCATCTGAATCTGATGAGTCAGAAAGCAGTGACACAGAACTCTCTGATTCAGACTAAGACGTGTTTTGTGTGGTTTTGGATATGATGTTTCTGCTGTTGGTGTTGATATACGCAAGGTATTATAAAGGAAGTTACGAAAGACAAAAAAAACAACCAAAAAAGACAAAAAAAAAAAGACAAAAAAAAAAAGACAAAAAAAAAAAAGGACAAAAAAAAAAAACACAAAAAAACAAACAAAAAACCCTCTCCAGGAACCATCACCTTACCGTGGTGGAGGGGTTTGTGCGTCCCTATGACCCTGAGAGCTTTGTTGTCTGGAGCTGTGTGCTCCTGTAAGGGTCTCCCATGACAAACTGGTCTCTGGCGAGGGGCCTGACGAAGAATGGTTCAGGGCAGGCCAGCAGTCCCTAAGGGGGCAGCCCCCCCAGCTATCTGGCTATCTGGCAGTGGCACAACCTAGAGAACATCTTCTTGTTACTTAACCAATCCGAAATAGCCGGACTGACTGAAAATTTATAAACTAAAGCCAAGTTTTACTCTACTGGATGTCGGCCATCTTGGATTTCGGTGTCAAAACGAGGTCTTACAATTAAAACAATGTCAGATTTGGAATCCTCATGCTTGACTTGTATGGAAAAGTGTCTTCATACATGATTCTAGGTCATCCAGATCAAAAGTTAATTTTTAGCGATGGCGCCGGCCGCCATCTTGAATTTGGCTGTCTAGCAAAAAATGCCGGGATTTTTGCGAGGGACCTGGGGGCTAAATCTTTTCTAAAGGGTCCAAAGAGGTCAAATCAATCGTCAAAACATCCTTGCCAAAGGATGGTCACAGAATCTCACTTTGTGACCCCACTATAATGTTAAACCTTTTAAGCTTGCTTTTGCTGCATTGACACAGCAAACCAGAGAAGTCATTCAAAAACCAACATTAAGGTTTCAAAATTAGTTATCACCTCCACTGTAACTATAACTTGTATGTAGAGTAAGGTTCCTCATCTGGTTTTAATTTTAAGTTTCCTGTATGCTTCCTTGAGACGTTTCTTCTCACTCTCTTTATTACTCTCTGCTTTTAACAGATCAGGGCTATACTAAAGAGTGCAGGACTGTGATTCAAGTTTAATTGCTGGCATTGACCAATCCATAAGTATATTCAAGCCCTGACAAAGTTACTTGAAAGTAACTATACTTTCTCTTTATTGTATTCCTTCCCTTACTTTTTATGGAAAACCGTCAATAATTAAGTTCTTTAAATGAAAGTGAGGACCTTGCAACTGGTCAGTATCATATGCCAGTCAAGGATATCAGATTTTATCAACAAAAACTACACAAACAGTACATGAAGATTAATGCAATTCATTCCCAGCCCAAATAATCCTCCCGAACTAACCCCATATTTAACTAGTAAAAGGAATCATGTAAAGAAAAAATCACTATGCATTCACTCAGTCAGAATACTGTGTGTAATTTTCTTTCTTGGGAGGAAATGATATTTGCATTCTAGACCAATAATTCTCAACAGAAAAGACTTAGAGGTGTTTAAAATATAAGCTATGATATAAAAGAATGATTAACTTAAGATATTGAGGGGAAAATCCAGCTGATTTGAATGTGTTTGACCTAATACTTTATTTTGGTCTTCAACTTTAGGATCCATTTCTGTTTGCAACGAATAATTTTAAGATTTGTATTTAAATCCGAAATAGTGGCAAGTGCAACTGTTTCCGATAAATTCAAGAGGATTTGGGGGAAAGCGTTTATGCGTCAGCCTATGCATTCACCTGGTTAACTCGTGATCTTTCAGACCACCGGTTACCGTTATGTTACGAAACCAAAACAAAGAAGCATTTGCCAAAATCCCCACCGTAAAATATCTGACAGCGGCATTCAGTCAGGTGAAAGTTAGACATACAGTCTACATATATTTTTATCATCATGGTTTGTATAAGACAAAGATAGTTCAACTTACCTTTGCACATAGAGGCGAGTACAACGAGAATAAGATGGACCATATGGACATACATCTCTGTAATCCCACTGCGAGAGCTCAAAGACATCGCCTAACAAGTTCCATACAAAACTGGGAGATTAGTTCAACTACAGAGTTACTTTCGCTTCAGAGATGTCTGTGACAGCAGACTGTACGCCACACGACACCGCATTTTTCTATTTAACTCTGTATTTTAGCCATCATGTAACAGGAACTGAAGCAAACGCTGAAATAAACGGGAGGTATTGCTCAACTGGAGCAACAGCGAGCTAAAGGGAAGTGAAGTAACTCTTCCTCAGCCTGAAAATCTCAGATAGTGTGTTTCTGTTTGGCTACTCCTGGAGCGACTGAGGAGGGAAGCTCTGTTCTCAATGTGCTCCACGCGAACTGCTCCCTGAGGTCTACTTTCCAGTAAGTCAGACCCACCAAAGAAGTACAATGAGGACTGAAACGCAAGGATAATTATACTAAAGGCCAGCCGCAGATCACCTGTTAAATAGGATAGGTATAAGCTCCAGGGTCGCCTCTGCCACCAAACAGGTGCTGAAAATGAATCTTTTTTAATGTACTTATTAGGCCGACTGTAAATTTCATATTAAACGGTCTCAAGTGCTTCAAGCAAGGAAGACACTTTTAAAAGGTGTGCTTGATAAGCTAAGATAAGACTTTAATGATTCCTAGAAGGTAACTTTAATAATTGCCGGAATACATACAGAGTCAGGAGAAGAATAGGGGAGACCAGGGCTTGTTGTCACACTTTTTACACTCATACATTTCTCGGAATCAATACAGCATATATAAACAAATACTTACCAGATGAAAGATCAAAGTCTTAGGTACGAATTTCGTATTCGTGACATTTTTATATCTTGTGTCAGTGCAGAGTTATAAGCAATCAAATAGAGAGTGTAAACATGTGACATGTTGCCCCACCATGTGGTAAGTTGTCTCACTTTATGGGTTAAGATGTCACAGTGTATTTTGCAGCTAATAAAACAAGGACAAAATTATTGTTGTTCTCATTTTTTTAACTTAAAAGTGAATATCAAAGTCAGGCACGGAAAATGTTTATCACTGAGCAACAAAAAGTCGTTAAACATGGCCACTGAACAAACATTAACATAAAATATTATGCAACATGCTCTGGAGTTTGGAGAGCTGTCTGACTGTATTTTGGTGAATGTTTTGCAGTATCAAGCCAAGGTATGGTAGTTGATATTAAAGTCCTTTATTGTACTCCAGATTGATTTATTAGCAAGGGTCACCTGCCTGACTGCCCTCAGCATCACGTCAGGCACTGCCACATTCTGTTTTTCTTTTGTAATTCCTGACCATGTCTTCTCGCTTTCCCCTCTCCTTTAAACCAGTGGTGGCCGGTATACAAGGGCGCTGCAGGTGGAGCCCTGCCTGAGCTGCGTGAGCAAAAAGAGATGTCTGATGTCTCCCTGAAAATTATTCTCAAAGTAAAGAAATGGCGCTATTATATTAATCATTCCATTAAATGTGTATACCAGTCCATTAGCGATCTCTCCACCCAGTGCCGGGGCGGACTCGAAACATCTGTTGTCTCACGCATGCTCAAATCACAGTTGTGCATTAGCGTTAGGGGCGCTATAGGCCAGCGCCCAAGCTTTCTGCTCCCTCATGCATGCTCAGATCACAGTTCTGCATTTAAAAGTTAGCTTATCCTAGCCACATAAAAAAAATCCTTAAGGGGAGCCAGGGACGAGCGCCCCAGCGTCCCTAATTTGAATGACGTAAGCACGTTCATAACCAGATTGGCCCACCCCATTTGTCTTTGTAGGTCAACATCGTATGTTTCGTTAATTATTTTCTTAGAAAGCACCAGAATGCTTCATTTACCTTTTGAAAACGAAAAAAAAGTCTCCCAGGGGAGGATACCCCCGGGCCCCCCATACAGGGCTCTGTTTTCCAAACCTTCAGCCCCACCTATTATTTTTCTCACCAGCCGCCACTGTCTGAAACCACTCTTTTCTCTGTAAAAATACAGTCAAAATTTTATGACAACTGCTGGTAGGCAGACTCTCTATGTTAGTTTTAATCCCTTTTAAACAACTAACACCAAAGTGATTGAGACATGTTGCCCCAAACTACCATGTCTGCTAATTAAAGCTCTAGTTTAAAGTTAGTTTAAAACAGAACAATGACTGAGCTATGACAGGATGCCTTAATCTCTCCTCTAAAAAGGTCACCTGTATCACTGCTAGGATTTTTACCGGGAAGAAGCTTATTTTAAAATATCTGAAGTTAATTTTTTTTTTACTTTGGGTTGTGCGAAATGGTTAATTGGCGCTCATCTCAGCTCACAATGTGCCCTTCTCAGACAAGACACAACCCCTGACCATGTAAAGAAATAAAACTATTATCCCACTCTTTAGTTGCGCCCTCTGGTGGCAAAGATAATTGCAGTGACAACTTACCCATGTGACAACAAGCCCCGGTCTCCCCTACAGCAAGATACAATGAGTCTGAGAGTGGCAAAAAATTTTTAAAAAGACAATAAATAAAAAGAAAACGAAGAAAAGACAGAAAGCAAGAAAAACAAATGTAAAAAGTTAATCAAGAAAATAGAGAAAAAATTGATTAAAAAATTGATTAAAAAGCCTATATCGGATATTGCTATTGTACAACTATTACTGGTTTAAGCAAAAGCTATGGGATAAAATGACATGGTATGTTGACAAATACACTCAAGGGTAATGTAAAACTGTGATATAATGCATAAAATAGAAAAGTAGGACAGAGAGCAGTTCACAGTATGGTAGTGATAATATAATTCAATATTATACAAGTTAACATATAATGGAATATAAAAAGACAGTTTGAAAAAAGCAAAAAACAAACAGGGAATAAAAAAGGCTCTTTGTCCCTCTTTTAATAATGTGAAGCATTTTATTTGCAATCAATTACCCTATCTTCACGATACTGTGTAGATTTAAGGAACTAAACCAAATCAATCTGATCTAATCTCCAAAATAGTAGACTATCCAACTTCTATGATCTAACAGCGCCATCTCGTGGTGACAAATATGACTTGCAATGCAAGCCTCATGCCCCGGAACTAGATAGTGTATTAAGCTAATGTAAGCATAGTTGTTAGCAAGCGCAGTGGCTTAGTTATTCAAGTTATTAGGTGGTCTGTGCAGATTTGCTCCTTTTTTAGAAAATACAATACTAGCTGGAATATTGAACATTTAATAGGATAAAACATATAGAGGGTGATTGAACATAATGGGTAAAGTTTATAACTCTGTTAGTGGAGTATTTCCGGGGTAATTTCATAACTTTGGTACATAACAGCATCACAGAGACGGACCCCCACCTGCTGACCCACAGACGGTCTCCGCTTTTATGGCTACTGCGGTGCTCGTAGCCGTTGTTGTCGGCGGTGGAGTGCTGCTCCTTATGCGCCGTTTGTTCCCGCGGAAGAACGCCGTGAAGCTGCTCAGTTATCCAGCCAACAGCATGCAGGGGAAGACGGTCATCGTGACCGGGGCTAACTGCGGGATAGGGAAAGCCCTAGCCGGGGAGCTGCTGAAGCTCCATGCCCGGGTCATCATGGCCTGTCGGGACCGTCAGAGAGCCGAGGAGGCGGCCAACGACATCAAGAAACAAGCGGGACCAGAGCAGGGGGAGGTGGTCGTCAAACACCTGGACCTCGCTTCTCTCAGATCAGTCCGGAAATTCTGTGAGGAGATTAAACAGGTGAGTTGAGAAGACTCCAACATTTCCCTCCCCTGATTTGGCTTTTTTTTTTTTCATTTTAGTTTTTAGAACAACCAGTGACTAGCTCATTCCTGCCATTGTTGTGTCAAATATAAAAGCTATTACTGCAGAAACTTCTGGATGGAGCTGTCCATGGTGCTGAATCAGTGCCCCCCCCCCCCCAATTTAGTATAACCAAACCTGAGTGTGTAACCCTTATAGATCACAGCCAGGATGAAAAAGTCTGGCAGGTTATCACTCTGAGAGGTACTTACAAAATTAATCCAAAACAAATATATTTCATCCTCTGTCTTTAACATGAGGAAAAACTGTTTCTGCACGCACTCCCTTAAGTCATCAAATACATTGTGCCTCATTTGCCAAAATAGTTGCTAAAACCTCTGATGTTTTGCCTAAATAACTAATTTTACCGGTAAATTTGAATCAAATCTGTAAAAATATTGATTAACCAGTGAAGTTTTGTCAATAAGCAATACAGGCTGACAATGGGGTTGTTAACAGTCATCACAAGAATATATGGCTGATTATAACAATCGCGTATGTTTTATTATTAGGAAATCCACAGCATTTTATTGTAGACACTGGGATCCACTGGATGTCTCTGATAAAATAGTATATTTTTTTTAGTTTCCAGACCTTTTTTTATATTTCAAGTGTCAGTTTTCAAAACTTATGAAGGCAGTGTCTCTGTAAAGTATTGTATTCCACATAGTTATGAGAAATACATGAGTTGAAGTTACCCCTTTTAACCACTGGGTGTCACCAAATATTCACGGCATGACCAAAAGCGGGTACTTTGGGATACAGTGCCAGTCACAGTATGGACGATGGACCTACAGTTATGAACACGTGCTTGTATTAAAGCATGATTAGCATTGGGTTTATCAGGTAAGGCAGTTTATGTTCCGAATCAAAGCTAAACAGGTATAGTCAAGAAAAGAATCTGAACTAGTCAATCTTCATGCTCAGTGTCTTAAATGGGTTGTTTTGTCTGTCCTTGCAGGAGGAATCCAAGATTGACGTGTTGGTGAACAATGCAGGCCTGTACCAGTGTCCCTACATGAAGACAGAGGATGGTTTTGAGATGCAGCTTGGCGTAAATCACCTGGGCCACTTCCTCCTTACCCATCTCTTACTGGACCTCCTCAAGTCCTCAGCTCCCAGTCGCATCGTTGTCGTTTCCTCCAAGCTTTACAAATATGGCCACATCAACTTTGATGACCTGAACAGTGAGAGCAGCTACAACAAAGCTTTCTGCTACAGTCAAAGCAAGCTGGCCAACCTGCTATTTACTCTAGAACTGTCCCATCAGTTGGAGGGGTCAGGGGTCACAGTCAACGCTCTCACCCCAGGCATCGTCAGGACCAGACTGGGCCGGCATGTGAAAATCCCTTTCCTGGCAAAGCCACTCTTCTACCTTGCCTCACATCTCTTTTTCAAGAGCCCATTGGAGGGGGCCCAGACCCCACTTTATTTGGCCTGCTCTCCTGAAGTGGAGAGGGTGTCTGGGAAGTGTTTTGCTAACTGTGAGGAGGAACAGCTGATGGAGAAAGCTACAGATGAGCAGGCGGCTAATAGACTGTGGGAAGTTAGCAGGAACATGGTTGGCCTCGCTGACTGAGTGTTTGTCTTGTGTGGACAGAGTTAGAAAGGGGGAGTCAGGAGTTATCTAATTGTTTTGGATTGTTTCCAATTGCTCCCCTGGGGATACTCTGTATGTTATAAATATGTGACATACTATGTTAAGAAAGTGTTTAAAATACCTTTATGAGCAGGAGTGTGTGAATGTTAAAATGATTGAAACAAAGATCAATCATTTTTTCTGCTTTCATGTTTCTTCAGAGCAATAATTAATGCACATGTGTATATGTGAAGGGAAATAAAACTAAATGCTTACCTCCATGCACAGCAAGGGAATCTGTTTTCTTTTTTTGTAAATTACATTATGGAAATTGTGCAAACCTTTTTTTTACAGCTGGAATAAACTGAAGTATATTGATTCAAAGATTGTGCTAAAAAATAAATTTAAGGAACTTTAGCTGAGGGTTTCTTTTCCAGTTGGTGTGCAATCTACTTTTTCTGAGCACCTTTGATTAAGTCCTAAAACATCCATACATTTGTAAACATTCAGTGGTTAAAATGTGGTTAAAAGGTCTGTGTACACTAATGCCTTTTTCTGCAATGGCAGTTTTTGCGCAACTTTTCACCTAAAACTATAGAGTTCAGTGTTAAAATTACCCGTTAGGTTGAAAGTAGTTTCATGTGTTCGTGGACCACAGATTCAGGATCGCAATTCCAGTTAACAATGGCACCATGTGGTGCTTTCCAAGGCCCATGTGATTACTGTGTAACCACTTTGCAATATCTGATGTAACCATTTCTAGTGTCTCTTGTAACCCTTTAGGGTCTTACCTTAAGGGTTGTGGTTTGGGGGAAAAGTGTGAATGAGTACCCAGGGCCCCAATGGCCGAGGCTGGTCCTCATAATACCTAACATGAGAGTTTTTGTTTGATTTTTCTTATCTCGCTAAACTATAACTTGCAAAAGTAAAGAAAATTGTTTGTGCATCTCTGTGTGTGAGAGCAGGTGAGTGCTGTATGTTTTGAATGGGGCTTGGGAGGGTGGGTGGGGTTCTGTATTTGTATTTTTATTTGTTTTATATTACTTTTTCAATATCCTGCTTGAGTGGACAACACTTTGTGCTATATTCTGTGTATGAAAAGTGCCTTATGAATAAAGTTTGATTGATTGATTGATTGACAAATAACCTTAATAAATTATGGCAAAGATAAAAAGAAGAAAGGAGAAATGCTTTATGCTAGCTGAAGAAATCTTTCCATCTTAACTTCTACATGACTGAGCTTCTCTATAACATCTTTTCAATACCCATTCAATCAAAAGGGTGTTTCAGTGCTGAACTGCATAGTCTCAAGTTAAAACTCTCACAAAACTGCCAGTGCAGGAAAAAGACGTTCGTGGACACAGGCCCTAAACCAGTTCATCACCACATTTTGTGTTGATGTTGAGCAAGACAGGCATACAGAAATAGTAATAAGGGCACTTTAGATCTAGGAAAGAGCTTGAATGTTCTAGACCTGCTTTTGAATATGTTGTGTACTGGAAATTGAATAAACCTGAACGAGCAAGCCCTGCATGGCAGTACATTACTGTGGGCGTCAGTGCAGATGGGTCACAGTGAGTAGGTTCTGAATTCAAATCTCAGAGGGGCCTTCTTGTGGAGAGCTAGAAAGTCCTGGGTCGACCAGCGGGGGACAGAACAAGCATTCAAATCTCTATATCCTTCCAGAAAACAAATAAGCCTGGAGTGGCAGTACCTTAGTATAGTGGTTAGCAATGAGGCTAATCTGCAGATCTACTGCTCAGAACCATAAAACATTTGAATACTTCTGCTGTTTTGAAAAGACAAGCAGATGAGTGTAGTCCTCTGTGACAAAAACATTTAACAGCTCACTGTAAAGACAAATCATTAGCTACAAAAACAAACTTCTCTGGTGTCTTGAAAAGGTTTAGGCACTGTGTGATTTCAAAATGTAAAACCCACGCATCACATTTCTTTATGCTACTGACCTGGCAGAGACTCATCCCATCAGTATGAAAAAGAAACATCTCCTCCGCTTGATACATCCATCAAAGCCAGCCTAGGATGTCAGCGTTTCCTCCACTGTGAGGTCATATTACTGCTTGTGCCATGCAAATCCTCAGTGTTTTGAAAAGCAGATCTATTTCCAGCCCAGCTTTTGTACTTGAATGCTAAATTTGTGCATACTTTAGCATGTATTATGTAGTGTAGAAAAGAAGAGGAAGAGGTGGGGGTAGCTGTTAATCTGGTTTCCCTGCTGTTGATGTGTTTGAAGTGTAAATGCTTTGAGCTATGTGTCTGGTGGAGGCTGAACAATGAGGTTAATGTAGATGTGTGAGACACTGTGGCTCCCTCCTGTGGATGGACTTAATCTGACTTATAAAACTTTGGCAGGGGGCAGGATCATGTCTAGTTTCTTATCTCTTCTCTTCTTTTTATTGGGGTTGCTCTCTCGGGATACTAAAATATAAAGGAGTGGCATGAAGTTTGTGCTTACCTTGTCCATCTTATAGTCTGGGTCTCTAGGTGGCACCTGAAGTGGCTAATCAGATCTCTGAGTTAGCCACCCTTGGCCACCCCTCTGAAGCAAGCAGGAACCCTCAGTGCTGGACTGTGAGGAGGAAGCCAATGAGGAAGTGCTAAAACCTGCAGCTACATGGACCTGCTTCTGTCAATGATGCAATTCTTGTCTGGTGCTTGTAAACTGAGAGAAAGACAGTAGTCCAGTTAAATCTCCTAAACGAGCTATGACTGTAGTTTGACTTAACTGTGCATGTAAACATACAGGCTGTAGATGTAAGTGAGGAGGCTAAAGGCCCGCCTCAACTTCACCTCTGAGCCTCTTGATGGGTCCATGGACAACAAAGTTGGATTAGCATTTCCAAGATGGTGACCGCCGTAAAATTCACCTCAGAAGCCAATGGGTGACCAACAAGACTACATCCATGTTATACACAATCCATGCTCTGGACATTTCCCTGCAGGGAGGAGAGGAAGCAGACAAATCATTATGATTGAATTAAAATAAATAGAGAGGAGTAAATCAAACATGTAAATGACTCTACTTAAAATTCTGAATGTGGGAGGTGGACTAAATTTAGGCTAAACTCTGCACCAGTAAAATTTCTCAGAATCCTCATTACCAAAAAATATTCTATTTACTTCCACCAAAAAAAAAAAAAAAAAAGAAAACTGAAAGGAATCAAATTACTACATTTAAAAGGCAGCAATTAAAAAACCATTTCAGCTTCACAGCTTGAGAGACTAAATGCTACTTACTAACTGAGACACTACCCCAGTCAAAACACCATAAAAATCATATAAATGACAGAACTAACGATGACCTATAATGAGTCAATCAATTAATATTGTTTCAATTGACCAATTAAGTTCTTAATTTTGAAAGGTGAAAAAACTCAAATATCCTTCATGGTGTTCAAGAGACATCAAATGTCTCCTATTTTACAAGGAAGGGCAGTTTACTGCAGAGAAAAGCTGCAGTTCCTTCAACACCAGCGGCTTGTAAAAACATACAGTATTTTTTGCCAATTAAATGACTTCAATAACTTCTTTATTGTTGAAATGTTGTAATTCTACCATGTATTTTGGGACTGTTCGGAGATTAAAAATGACTGAAAGTCAATCAGAGACAGCGTGGAGAAGTTCTTAAAAAATTAAGATGGAATTTGTTTTAAATTGATATACCTGGGAAAGATGTCACCTCAAATCCAGGGTTTATCAAAAGCATAGTTGTATAGAGTCAAGTTGGTGGCTAGTAAAAAAACTGTGTCAGAGACCACCGTCAACAGCAGATTGGTTGAAGGTAATGCATAATATATTTGGAATAAAAATAACTTTCACATTGAGATTGAAGAGTGATGTGTTTGAGGACTATTGGAGAAGTTTATCACCACTTTAACCACTCAGATCAGACTTAAGGTAAAAACCAGCAGTAGCTAAACTGTAATTCCCCTGGTTCTCTGCTGCACACAAGTGTTATTTAATGTCTTTTTTTTTTCTTTTTTCTTTCATTTTCTTTCTTGTTTCTGTTCTTTAAAGCAGTTTGCTTTGATTTGAATTGACGTACACCAAATGATGATGTTCAAAACTTGAATTCTAAATAAAAGGAACATTTAAAAAAAAAAGAAAAAGAAATGTTGTGATTATATTTTCTGATTTGTCTTTAAAACCAGAAATTTCTTTGCAATTCATGGACCCAAAAAGAGTTGAATCCTTAGATCTCTGGCATAAAGCTACCTCCTGTCAGCCACCCTGAGTATATTTAGTTAGTGTGACACATGCAACACAGCTGAGCTAAGAGTTATAAAAACGTAATAATATTCTCTTAATGACTGCTCAGACCATGCAAATAAACTTCCTCTCTTTTTTAACTTTGCGAGTGTTGGCAAAAATCCTCCTCTACTGACCTACTTTTAAATCCACAACAGTGATACAGCGGGGCTTTGTAGTGACTCAGCAGGCTCGCACCACATGGCTAAAAGAATCATTTCAACATTAAACAGAGACTTGAAGCTTTCGTGTGTAATTTGTGCTTTATTATGCGAACAAAACAACCAAAATATAGAATCATGCATCATCATCAAATAAAACAGGGTTACAGTGGCCTTATGTGGGGTGTGGGCATCCAAATCTGAGGTAGACTGGGGTGGGAAAACCTCTCCGCGGATTATAGAAGAGCAAAAGTAGAAAATAATACTGACTGCTAAGACAGAGCTCAAAACGTTCCATCAATGACAACATAACACAGCCACCGATACTGTCAAACTCAACCAACAGAAGAGTTTTAAAAAAGCGAATTATTTCTTTTTGTCTTCCTTCAATGTTAAACATTCATATTTGAATCCCAATGAGACAAGCGCAGTTTCAGTCAATCAAAAATAAAGGTCTGTGTGTAGATGACACAGGCACCAGTTTACCATTAAAACACCTCTCTGATTTTCAAATATAAGAATGGCAGCTTTTACATTTATATACAAGTTCCATCCTTAGCAAGAAGATTCTGTTTTATATGTGATTGTTTCTGAGTTTTGCTCACAGCTACATACAAAATATATCACTCCATTTTCAGTAATAAGTATATATTTATACATTTGTCAATTAAATACATACACATTCTTACAGGTCATGACTGACTTGCTCTGGGCTTTTTATTTGACCGTAAACTGCATCCATCAGCTCCAATTAATCAAAGCCTATAATACTTAGCAAAAGTTATATGCTCATTATACTGAATAACTCGCCCCCTGGCTACTATTTGAACCATTTTCTATCAAAATGATTGCGCTAACATATCAGATCTGCAGCCCAGAAAACCTTGCGTCAAGCATGAGAGAAAAACCTGAACAGGACCTCCTTCAGTTCAGAAGAGTTCCATAAAGCTGCGCCTTGGTCAGACTGTCCTTTCTGGAAAGACCCAGGGAGCCAAATTTTGGATTATAGGGAGGAGGGGGAGGGGCTGGGACCGGCGGAGGGGACTGGCTCACCTGTGCAGGCAGACTGTGCATCTCCACCTGGTAGTGCTGCAGCTCTGCAGCCATCTCTAGGGTCCTCTGGTTCAGGGACTCTGTGGAGCTGTTAGGACTGGGGTCCACATAATCTGCACTCGGCCCCCCTGCTGCCACAGGCCCCTCCCTGTCTTTGGAGCTGGACCCTGAGTGGTACAGGCTGTGCTCGGACCCCTGACTGTCCTCTGCTGGGTACATGTGAGCCTGACTGTGAGCGTGCCGTAAACTTGGACTGCATTCAGGACTCGGGCTTGCAGCTACCCACCCAGAATCCATTGCTTCCCCTGCATGGTGGTAGTAGTCAGCCCCTTCCTGGAAGCTGCTGTATAGAGGGCCGAGCCGGATTTTTGCAGGCCGGACAGAGAAGTGCTGCTCTGAGAAGCTGTACGGTGAAGCTCGGCCAGGGCTGCGGTATGAGTGGGCGCTCAAATCCTCTACACTGAGCTGCCTCCATCTTCCAATCAGCTCCTCCTCCTCAGGCGCCAAAGTGCTGCCCCGACGGCTGTCCCCGTAGGCAACACTTGGGGATGAGGAGGGTGGGAGCGGCTCATAGGGCTCACTGAAACAGGAGGACATGGTGCGACTGTAGACGGGCGAGCTGCCATTCTGGTGGTGGCTCAGCTCCGTCTGCTGAAAGGGATGAGCATTGGCAAAGCCTCTTGGACTGTCCCTCTCCCAGGATGAGTCACTCTTTCTCTCATAATCCCCTGCATCCCTCCACTCCATGTAGAGGGAGTGGTGGTGCGGGGATGAGGCAGCACTGCTGGGTGGGCCGTTGCCTTTGTCTTCAGAGCCCCCTCCGCTGAAGCTGGAGTAGGAGCTTGATCCTGCACCTAGAGGTGGAGGAAATTTGGCAAAGTGCTCCTGCGAGAAACCGGCCTGCAACCCTACTGAGCCCTCTTCTGGGTTGCTATCAGTGGAGTTTTGGGGTCCATACAGCAGCGTCCTTTCGCCATGAAGGTCCATGCTGGGTCTGCGCTCACGGTGCCGGTCGTCAGGGCAGTACAGAGCCGTGTCACTGCTGTACAGATCAGATTTATAGGCAGCACGGAGACCCAGACGCTCTCCTGGCCCCACGCGCTCTAAAATGAAAGTATGTTCTTGGGTTTGAGGGCTGGGGGAGCGGGAGGCTTGGCTGCTGCTGCAGGCCTCGTCTGGTTTCTCAAGGACTTTGGCGATGAGTGAGGCTGAAACGGAGTCCGAGTAGGTGTGACAGAGAGGAGAGTCTTCCATGTGCAGGGTCAGGCGCTCCTGAAAATCAGCAGGCAACTAGAAATAGAGAGAAAAGGGCAGTGAAACATATTATGTGTAAAGTGTTATTATATGCACATACAAGCTTTAAATTTTGCATTATATGGCTGTGTCCTCTTTATTTAACATTACCTTTGGTGGAAACATTCAGTTCAATGTGAATTATAGTAATGAAGTTGGCAACTGTTTTAACTTAAGTGTAAGTTGAAATGCTCAGTTTAGTGTTAATCTGTCCTCCAGGGAGGGTGACAAGCTTCTGTTGCCATGGAAACACTACCAATTGTAGTGTTTGAATCAGATGGGACCTTTTTATTGGATTGTACACATAAGTACATTTCATTATATCAATATTTGTCAGCATGTGCATGTCTTTGGTTGGTGGCCAGGTAATGAGTGAGATAATGTATAATGAACAGATGATAATGCGGCATCTGCTCCTGCTCACCCTCTTAGGGTTACAATTTGCATGACCACCCATTCACTATAGATTAATCCTTACTTTTAATGTAAAAACACACTTGCTGTTGTTATTCCTGTTACATTTTTGGCCAGGATATTTCTATCCTCATTAAAAATCTGTCTACGTATGGTGCATGGTCACAGCTTCCATATCAGTTTCAATACTTATTTTTTTGTTTTTGGGGCTGGTTTGTGGCGCAAATCTTTGCAACAGCTGCATCATTAGAAACAAATCCAAAATGTCAGGGAACGTCAGCAAATATTTCAAATCAGCTGACAGTGGATGTGTCTCACATTAGAACCTGAAATGTTATCATTCCTCCATTCTACGTTGTTTAAAAGCAAAAGGAAGGATCTTTAATTTTGTCATCACAACATACACACATGGATCCACGTGTGTGATTGCAGTAGTGTACAGTTATAAGAAATTATCTTGAGTTCAACCTTATCCAAGAGAGAAAACTAGAAGCAAAAATGAAGTTGACCTGAGTTGCCTTCGTCTGAAAAGAAAGACATCTCTCTGTTCGGAGTATTTCTCAACACACAAACCTCCATCCACTATCTGTGCCTCTCCATAGCAACAAGCATTAAGCCAGCACATCATCAACAGGAATCTAGTCCGTTGTTCCTAATTGGCAATGAGAGGAAAGCTAATTATAACTTTGTGGATAGAGAAAAGACAAACACCTCAGAGCGCGTGAAAACACAGTTTTTCATCGCAGTTTTATTACAGATCGGACCAAACTAAATCCCACTTAATTACTGTCCAAACATTTTTCATTTGGGCTTGTTTTGAATGAGATCACAGTAAGCTTTTCATATAGCATTCAGAAATGCTAGTCTAATCATTTCATACCCATCACTGGGCTCGTTTTGCAGCAAAACAAAACAACTAAGGCACTTCAGTGCCTGAAGAGCCGCTGCACTTCTCAAAATGCTGCAGCACCATTCATCAATATACTGTCGATTGGCTCCCACCCACAGAAGCAGCATATCGCTAGACATACAGCCAGTGCATATATAGCCCCTGACCCCCATTATGTTCTGCAGATTGCCAGCAGAGACGTTTTTCACTGCGTGCCTGATCCCATACTGTGCAAGCGGAGGTTATGTGTGTGTGTGTGTGTGTGTGTGTGTGTGTGTGTGTGTGTGTGTGTGTGTGTGTGTTTGTATGTTTGTATGTGTGTACTGTATGTGCGTGGGGGGTGTTTTATGAGCATTATGCAACCGAATGCAGTGTGCATTGATATTTCCATTCAGCCATATAGGCATTCTTTAACCTTATGGACTTTTGCCAGCTTAAAAGTCCTGCCGTCACATGGAGCAGGCACACAGCCCAGGGCTGATGCAGCGGAAAATGGCGCCAAGCTGGCCTGGTGTTAAACTGCTCATCAATACACACATGGATCTCCGTTCACAAGCAGCTGGAGGACAGAGTGACGAGTCACTCCACATCTACACTCTGCCACACACTGTAGTTTTCACTTCTTTAAATGCTCATATCAGGTTTGTGCTTCTAGTCCATGTTGTTCTTTTCTTTCTCTCCTTCTTTCATTTTACTTTCTGTTCTTCCTATTCCTTTATTATTCATTTGATCTTTTCTTTTTTTGTCTTTTTCTTCTGTTTTGTATTCTTTTCTTCACTTCTCTCCTTTTTCCCTTCATCCTTTCCTTTCTTCCTTTTTTGTTCCTTTTTTCCTTCCTCTCCCCTACCTTTTTCCTTCCCTCTTCCCTTTCTTATGTCAATTTTTCTTCCCCATTTCATAATTTTTCTTTTCTTTCTATTAACCTTCCTCATTTCCTTTACACTACTTTTCTTTCTCTAACCTTTCCCCTTTTATTTCTTTCTTTTCCATCTTTCTTTTCTTTCTTCCTTTTTACCTCCTTCCCCTTTTCTTCCTCTCTTCTCTACTTTCTTTCTACCCTTTCTCCTCATACTTTTTCCTTTTCTCCTGTCTCCTACTTCTTTTTCTTTCTTCATTTCCCTCTGCAATCCTTCCATTTTTTTCTTTCCTCCTACCTCTCTCTCCCACCCTTTCCTCCAACTCTTTTGTCTTTCTTTCTCTTTTTCTTTCTTGCTTCACTTTTCTTCCTTCTTTCCTTCCCTTTACTTCCTTCCCTCACTTCTCTATTCTCCTTCTACTTCTTTCCTTTCTTTCTCTATTCCCTCCCTCCTACTTACCTTCCTCCCCTCCTACTTTCCGTCATTCTCTTCTTCTTTTCCTCCTTCACTGTATTTCCCTTTATTTCCTTCTTATACTGCTACTATTTTCTGTCTTCCTCCCTTCCTTTCTGACATGAACCTTACATAAAGCAGCTAAAACTTGCAACTAAATTCATCAGACTTTCAGTCCAGATCAGATGTGGTAAAAACTGATATGATTTGTATGGTGGCCCGGATCTATCTTCCATAAAGGTGTTGGCCGAGACCTGACTTCCCTCTATGCAAAAAAACACTCTTCAAAGACCCACTCTGATGAAAATCATGTTTTTCTTGTTGTCCATGTATTCAGGACATATCATGAGAAAACTAAGTGCAAAATTGCATTTCTAAATACGTAGTAGAATTTTCTATGTTACAAATCTAAACTCTGCCCTCTGTGCCTCGCTCTGCAGGCCAGAGTGCGATATGTGGATTAAAATGCTCGTCAGAAAGCTAATTACTATATTAACTTTCATTATGCCCCCAAAGACATTAGTGACCGCAAGCTGAATAGCTCCTATGTTACCTATGTTAATGCTGTAACAGCAGTGCTGCAGAGCAGTGCTGTCTCCACTCATGACTCAGAGGTGAATTGCTAATGAGCTACTTGTCAAAAAACTTTAAAAAAGGATATCTTAATCAGTCATAAAGCATGAATACCATTTAAAATGTAAAAAAAAAAATATGTCTACACCTTTTAGCAGGTATTCTGTTGCCCTGTGTCACACTGAATTCCAATTTTTAGAAACCTGGCCTCTGTCATGTCTCTCAGGTACAGGTCCTTGACCTAACAAAGAGACAGCTTCAGCTCTCCATCTTTGCCCTTTCTTCTGTGACCTACAGCAGTCACCACTGCACAATCTTGTCTCTGTTCTGCCTCATGCAGGGCGAGATGACCTTCAGTTACAGCCGTGACAGCAAAATGATTTCCCTCATCTTATGTAGCTGGCAGAAATTTTATCGAAGTGCTGCCTCAAACTACACCTCTTTCTCTACAAACAACAGCTTTTTCACCAAATCTTCCCTTTTTAGCTAGCTCCCACTGGAAAGTCTCAGTGTCTAGGTAAAGCTGTATGATCAATTGAATTTCCCTTTTGGGGTAAAATAAAAATAAAGTTATTCTTATTCATTCTGGCTCAGGTCAAATTAAGGGCGAAAAGTTTGTTTTGAGACTTTTTGGGTTATTAACTCTTGTGAAATAATGTTTCATGTTTGTTGTTAAAGTTACCACCTTCATTTTCAACAGAATTGCTTGATTCTTGTTCTAAGTCCCAGTTTGGTTGCAGAAGGTTACAACACAGTCCAATTAGTCTATTCATAATTAAAGCTCCCGTGAGGAGTTTTTGATAGGCAATAAATCTGAAGGAAGGCTGAATAAACAGCTCAGGTTTACAATGGCAAAAATTCATAAATGAACAACAGGTGGAGGTTTTTTTTTGTTAATCAGCACCACTTCAACTAGGATGAGATGAAATCAGCAACAATATAATGAATACTTTGTCCACGGGGGTCACCAAAGCCAACACAGACAGGAAGTTTCTCCCGGGAGCTTTAAGTACTGCCTCTGACAAAGCAAATAGCCAATCACTATTCAGGTCACTCCACTCCAAAGAAACCAATCTTGATTGTAAACTTTTACTTGTACGGTACAGCTTTTCTATGTTATGCTACAGTCTATTCATACATCGATAGTACAAGGAAGTTAAATGTAATTCACCTGATGAAGTAGGTTTGATGAGTTTGAAAGCCTAACAATATTGAAAACGACAGTAAACCATTAAGAAATTAAAGCTCCCGTGAGCTACTTTCAGTCTTGCTTAGACTCAGTTTGGCACCCTCTTTAAAAAATGTTGTGCTCACTGATTCCCTCCCTCATGTGTAAATCTATAACTCTTTATTATTCTTTGTTTCAACACTCCAATATATGACTCTAAAGCTTTGCCATGCAAAGTAAGGACACAGGCTATTTTGGCCGCATGCAGTTTATCCCTTCAACTGACACCTACACCTCCTCCAGTGATTTCATACGCCAAAAATAAACACATGGAAATACTGTTCTTTATATGGATGGTCTGCTTTGCTTTGTAGTTGGTAAAGAGACATCAGTATAAGTCAGTCCAGTTAATGTCAGTCTTAAAACTCCTTATAGGAGCTGTAAGTTGCATATCAGGGAGAAAACAGGGATTGTAGACGAGTCATTGAAGGACTCACCTCAGAGAGTTGGGCCCTGTAAACAGATTTGTTGCACTGGAGAAGCTGAGCAGCCAGGTTACAGTCCTTCCTGTACACATCCTGTAGAGGCAAGACAAGTAGAGGACAACACAAAAATATTTAGTGATAAATATGCAATATTTCTGATGACTAATGACATTAAACCCACTGATAAGATTTCCATTTCTCTACCATCAAACGTTCAAACCAGAAATTAAACTATTTGAAGCTGTAGACATCTTCTTTCTTTGCTGTTTTTGCAGAATAATGAAGCTGAATCAGAGAAAATGTCAAGTCCATTTGTATCACAAATAAACCTAAGGAGCTTTTTGAATCTATTCAACATGGTAACCACTGCACTCAGACCCTACACAAAGAAGAGCAAACAGCGTGACATTAGAATTAAACCCAATTAGTGCGTCAAGTCAGGAAAGAGAGGCTAAACGAGGACAAATATGTCATGTCTTTCTGGATTGACACACAAGTCTGGCTTCAACATTTTGGATTATTTGCATGTTGGACAAGGAGGACTGACTGATCCCAGCACAGTGGGAATTATGCAGCAATAAAGCCATGAGGAGATGAAGAACTAAGCCGATTGTTTGGGGTTTAGTGCAGAAATTCCCTGTCAAAGACAATAGCGTTAATATGGAGCTAATATGCATTATTTCATTCTCTTGAGCAGAAAATATAAAAAGCTGAATAAACTGAGCAGTGTGTTGTTTTCTGGGCTCTTACGTTGTCTTCTCGGAGCTTTTCGATGGTGAGCTTGGCCTCCATCAGGCGGTTGTTGAGGACGATGATCTCTCTGCTCAGGGCTCGCTTCTCATCGTCATGATGCTGTGACTAACAACAAGAGAGCCAATTTAGAGCTAAGATGTGAGGAGGACAGCAGTGATGGGAAATTTGTCAGCAAAACCATAACTGGTGATGACCATTCATTTAAAAAAGTCTTTTAAATTGCTCTCTTTTTATGCCCTTTTTAAGTTCCTGTAAGGAACTTCTGGTTTGTGCTTGTTTTGGCGCCCGACGTGGACACTGTTGTTCCTTTAACTGATTTTCTGACCTTGTCCTGTAAATGTGTAGGTTGTATTTAATTATAAACATCCTCACCCCACTGTATTTTCAGTGAAATTTATCATGAAGGAAAATGTGTAAAAAAAAACTAGCTGTGCTTCAACTACCCCCCACAACAGATTCAGACATTAAAAAAAAGCTCTATAGAAATGATCAATTCAATATTTTTTTATTTAGATTTCTCCTCATGTTATTTATTTGAGTGCTTTTTCTCTGTATTTTCCCTTGTGTTTCTGTTCCCTATTGTTCCTGTGCCACTTTAGTCTTGTCTTGTAAGTGTCTTTTGTTTGGATTTAGCTTATTGTGTTTATTGAAAGCTTTTTGTTGCCTTTTATTTCGTTCTTTTTAATAAATCATTTTTTGTTCTGAATTTGGGTCCCTTTTTTGTTATTCAACTCTGCCATGTGACCCTCCCCGGTATATCACATCTACTCTGCATGCTTCCCTGGTTTACCAGTGACATGGCTAGTTGTAAGTGAGTTAAAGAGAGCAGCACTTTGTACAAAAGCCAATTATTACTGTGTTTGTTCACATCTTGTGAACTTTGAATGCACTGTAATGATGTAATGTTGAGGAAACTCCCCAGTTTGTAACTATGATTTATAAGTGCTAGTATGTCTCCATGACAAGATTGTACATTCATTAGCAAGCCAGCTAGCCTTGGTGCAAAAATCACTGTTTTTTTTATTTACATGGTTGTGGGCTGTGTGAGCTGCTGTAATTGTAAAACTGAGCAGTCCTGTTCAAATGTTCAGCAGTGGATGAAACAAACGGCTGCAGAGAAATATGACAGAGTATACATTATACTAGCAACTTGCATTGTTCTTTTGCATGATATATCTCAGATTAAGTAGGAAGTGTTATTTTTTTGCAGTTCCTCACCAACCTTTGGAGATTAGCTTTGAATAAGTTACAAGTAACCAAAGGAGTTGGTGGTGATGCAATATCTTGAAGGCCAAACCACTTGCTTCTCACTCAATAGTCCTCCATTAATGAATTTGGCATTTTGGTGTGCTGTCCAATTCTTTGACGCACCACTGATGAATTTAAGGTTTGAGTCCCTTTTAGCATCCCCTGATTTTGTCAAGTTATAGTTAATGATGGGAATTTTGCTTCAGGAAATGTAAACACAGACTGCTTGAGCAGCTTGTACTTTATCTCTGTGTATGACCCTGACCCTGACCTCGCAGCAGCATTAAAAACACAAAACAGAAATAATGTACCTTGTCGATTATGGTTTTATATGCTTTTGCAGGTTTTAAAGAGATAACTGTCAAAATCAGCTATAAACTCCTGATAAAGAGGATTTTTTTCCCCTTCCACTATAGATCAAATGTATCGTACAAAGTATTGCTGAAAGTTTTGTATGATCAATGGCTACTAACCAAGCTCTACTGTCATTGTTTGTGTTTGACAGAAAATAAGAGAAAATGATTTCCCAGCATTGCAAAGAAAATTAAAAGGGGGTCCTAAAAATTAATTCCATGTTAAAGGTGGGGTTGGCAGGAATCAGTTAAAGAAAAAAGCTTTTAATATCAGTCAATAGCTGTTAGTCATTGATGACATTTGGTAATATAACAATATCGCTGTGTTTCGTTATGTCTGTGAAGTCAACATTTTTAAATTTCAGAGTGCTCCGCTCTTTTTGACTGTATACAAAGCCATTGCCCGCCTCCCCCAACCTGATCTGTTGTGATGCGGACACTAGTCCCTAGTGCTGATTGGTTGTGAGGCAGACGCTGCTCCACCATGTCATTCAGGAGCCCAAACAAAGTTAGCGTGCTACAATATTGTACAGTAGAAACCAACCAGAAAGGACTGAAAATTGTCTAATTCCTCCTTTAGCCACAACTACAACACAAGCAAGAAAACGAAGTAAATACCGGAGAGTCTGGCGGAATAATGGGCGCTTAAAACCCGGGCAAGAGCTAAGAAGACGGGTCAACAATGATGGGGGACGCTTCAGGATCTTACGGATCCTTTCTGCTGGACAGGTAAACCGCTTTAACAAAGTAAGCCAAGTATCTGTAACAGAAGTGTTTCTTGTCAAACGGGACCCGCTGCATGTTGTAGCCCGCGCTAAACTGTTTGCCTCGGGTGCTGAACTATGTCCCTTTATCCTAGTTTTATAAGTCCAGCAAACATTGTGTTTGCTGATAGTCTGTTGGCATCTACAGTAGCACCTATGCTTTTTACTTTCACATTGACTGGGCCCCATTTGTAATTATCTGAAGTATTCATCTACATTGTATTTGAATTTAATTGGAAAGATACGAGCGAGCAGGAGCGTCTGTTTGTAGGCAGGGCTTGCTGGAGCAGAGACAGAGGGGAGAGGAGGAGCTGAGGGGAAAACTGGTTGGGAGGGGTAGTGTTTACATTCAAGATTTCTCCCAAAAACTGGCATTTCCTCAGATCCTGCCTACCCCACCTTTAATTTACTAATGAGCTCACTGTGTAGTCTTCTAATTAAAATATGAGGTCTAATACGTCGGGAGAAATGAATGTGTGAACAATTTTGGACACCAACATCTTCCTCTGAGCAGCAGATCAATGTCTGATCCCAGAGCTGAATCAATACAAGGCTACAGATTTCAAGTTCATCTCCATGAGGAACAAAACCTTTTTTTGGTGAAGTTTTAGTCTACTCCTCTCTCAATTTTATAATTGTGCTCTTTCTTAAAAACTGTTTGGAGTTACAACATCGCAGCTTCTGCAGCACAAACTCTGTCCTTGTGTTGGTGAGAGTGTGCAGAAATTCGTCCCTGTCTCTCCAGACTTTTCATTGTACTGTAGCTGTGTGCGTAAAAGCGCGGTCAAAGTATATCACTATGTTTATCTGTCTTGTAATTACGTTCTCTATCGCTGTGTTGGGCCAAAGGGTCAGATGAGTTTGTGGCACCTCTAGAGTAAACAAGCTTTTACGATTTGCAGAGAGACTTACTCAGCACCTCTCTCAGCCTTGAGGAAGGACTACGTGAGAGGAATCAATAACAGCTGATATGGACACTTTAACAGACGACGCAAACTGCGGATTGCTTTTATTTGGAAAGTTACAAAATCAATTTTCCCCCTCACATAAAGAGCCACGTGACCTTGAACGCTTTTTCAGTCCAGCGTCGCTTCACTCTGGTATTATAATCAGGATAAGAATAACTATCTTGTCTTGTAGCAAAACTCTTAAGTGAGCATTTTTCAGCCTTCTTTTCAACAGCAAGAGCACCTGATTGTCATACTGTGCTCTCAGGAGGGCCGGTTAATTGTATCCTCCAAGCAGCTAACGCAACATCTGACAAATGAAGTGAGGTGCAGTACACTGAGGAACAATAGGTTTGCTATCACTCTGCTATTGGAAGGAGGACAGCAAATTGTAATAAGCAATAATTAACATCAGAGATTCATATTCAAATCGGCTCTCCAAGTGTTAGCAGCATGACTGAACCCTGTGAGTCCTACGTCTCTTTCTTTGTATGTGCAGGTATTTAAATGGAACCCTGGGAATTCAAGCGTACACACACACAACCACACACACTCACACTCACACACACACAAAACACACTGCTGCTTAATGCTTACATCTCTGTGGATCTTCTCCTCCAGGTCCTGGTTGATCCTCTGCAGCGCTGAGTAGCTGCTCTGTATTCTAATAAGAAAAAAAACAATAAAATTATAGCTCACAAAGAGATAGCAGTATTACTTGCATATGCACTAAACAGCAGCAACTAGTGCTGGATTCAGAGCCATAGCCAAACTAAAACCAAGAATGGCACAATAGCTCCCTAAAAGTAAAGCCAAAACTGTAAAGGTCCTTACACACCAGGTGCGAATTCGCCGCAAATTCGCTGGTATGTAAGGACCTTTAGAGCTAAAGATGTTGATAAACTTTTATTGCCCCAAGTTCTGTCAATGAATTTCAAAGTTTCTTCAAACAGGTTGTCTGGCACAGCAGTTTATTTTTCATTTTTCAAAGAAGTTTAGTTTTAGTCACTTATTTAATGTTAAAAGAGGGGGAAGTGACATCATGACAACTCTGTTGACGAATGAGGGCTCCTGAGTATTCTTTATTGGATTAGCAAAGAAAAAGAGAAATGGTGAGAGAAAACAAAATGCCAAAGGGGTAATATGTCAGCATCCATTGAGGCAGAGTTTTGGTTTCACTTTTGAACAATTCGCAGAGATGGAGGCTTGCTGTCCACATATATGTTATGTATATATTTATATATTCATGTCCCAATTACAGCTTACTGCACCTCTATCATAACTCTCACTTTCATGGTTATTTAGTTAAAGGTGTATTTAATCTTTTAATCCAGGGTGCAGAAACGTCATGCAAAAGGCAAATTTCATGCATTCTCTCTATCTATCAGGTGAGCCTCAAGGAGGAGGTCAGTAGAAAGTCAAATACGTCTCAAGATGATAAAAGAAAAAAAAAATCATGTTTAATCTTCTCAAATTTTCTGTGAGTTATGAGAAACTTCTGAGAAAAATACAGATGCTGTCCTTCTTATCAGGGATATAAGGGTCTTTTTCTGGAACCTCTGCAGTATATTACATCCCCACTCAATTTTGAAGCAGGTGTTCACCGGACCAGAACCAGAAGACAGGCAAACTAAAAAACTGGATTTTATAAAGTTCAATGCAGCTCCTCAAAGCACACAAAAGCAGTAAAAACAGAGCAGAGTGTCTCGCTCAGCTGGATCAATTTATAACTATCTGCCTTTTCAGAAATGACTGTTTTGGATGCTGTTTGTGCAATTTCATGTGTGACAGTCCATGTTTTTCCCTGCTGTTCTGTCGCGGGAAAAAAGCAATTTTAGTTTAAATTAGCTCCACAGATCAAATAAGAGGAACTTCAGAAAAAATATTCACATCAAAGTTGATTCAAACACTGGCGTAAGAGTCTGGTACCAGATTTGACAGCTTAACATCTTTCTCATTAACACGGCCCGAATGAATGACATGCTCAATACTTGGATTATAATGTCAACACTTTAATTTGTTTAAGTGCAATTTGTGTCACTTTCACTCAACAGTAAAAAGCCGCAGACCTTTTCCACTCTATGGTACAGTATGTGGACCCACCTGCGCAGCTTATCAGTAAACTTGTCCAGCTCCTCCTGTGCTCGGCGCAGCTCTGTCTCTAGGTACTGCCGCGTGGAGTCGAACTCGCTCTGCAGCAGCTCCAGCTTGTGTGTTGTGTAAGAAAGCCTTTTCCTTAAGTCCTCCTTCTGCTCCAGCAGTGAGCTGCACACACACACGCACACGCACACAGACACACACACACACACAGCAGATGATTGTGTTCAGGGCATATGGAGGAGCTTGTAACTTCAGGATATGCGCTCCTAAATGGACTTGTAAGGAGCTACATATCTTTTTTAATGCACCCCTGAACGGCCATGCAGCGGTGATGAGAACATCATGAGAGGACGATAAAAGCTGAAAATCTGAGTGAGGAAGTGCTTTGTGTGGGGAAAACATGGGACAAAAACAAGGATGTCTAATTAAAAAATCCAAGCAGGGGTGGGCAAGGAGCTTTTTAAGCCATCATAACTTTGAGCGCTGCGTCTCGTTTTCTGCATTTAAGCCCTGCAGCACATCACAGAAAGCCAATCAGCAGAGAGATTGGAAAAAAAGAGAGAGGGTGTTCTCTGTGATGAAATATGAACCAATGAACTTTAATACATCACATGAATAGACTGTGAAGGCTCAGATTTACTGAACAGCGATACCCCCAATGTGTAATTCAGTGAGACAGCACAATGATGACTATTTTCAGAGCATGTGCATTACCTGGGCTCCAATCTTATAAAAGGGCAAGTGCGAGTGGGAAAAGAGGAAATGTCTGTTGCTGTGATGGATCTGAATGTGCACGGCTGGGCTTAATGGACCCGGTATTGATGGACAGATGGAGAAAGGAGGGTAATGACTCTATCTACAGCCGGATAACAGATCGCCAGATAGCGAGAGGACGGAGATGTGGTCACATTGCTCTCCTCGCACCCCCTCCTTGTCTCTTTTTTTTAACAAGATCAAAGATACAGATGGAGAGGGCTGAGGAAAGAGGCATAAAAAATAATAATCAGGGACAGGTTCCTTTCAACGCTTCAGGTCAGAGAGTGGAGGGAGAATCCAGTATTGGGCTCATTTGTATGCTCTGAATGTCTCTGTAATCAGTGGGATGAAAAGCAGACCGGGTCAGTCGGCACAGTTTCCAGAAATATAAGAGACTACATTTGAACACTGGAGCCATTTTTCTGTCACTTTGTTGACTTTTCGTCAAACTGACTGTCTTCTTGAACATTAAAAAGGGTTATTATTCCACACAGATAACACTAATGTATATTACACATTTTAATTTACTGCTAAACTGACAGCAGCCGATGAGAAACCATGTTTTTCTTTCACACGTCTACGGTACATTGGAAAATCTGTTGTCTTGCTCTGTTTTATTTTGCTGCGAACATCTGCTGATGTATGCATATTGTGTAGCTGCAGCAAATATGTGCTGCAGTTAAATACACATTTGTTAGAGACAAAGCTGCTCTAAAGGCAGAAATCTTGATGGTTGATTTAAATTTCAACAAGCTGAGCAAAAGATAATCATTTTAGCCTCAAGTCTTCGTATTTTATATCAAATTGGACCTTTTTTTTCCAGCTATGAACATCCTGTGCCATGATGAATCTGCACAGCTGAGCTATAACATTGGTTTTAAGTGACTACTATGTTTTTGTTTTAGTTAAGTGGATTGCTTTCATGGTGGAACTAAACTTGAGTTAAGCACTAATTTAAAGGGCGCTAACCATTGAGTTTAAGCAGTCAGTCCAGTGTTTTCAGGGTCTTATGTTAGAAAACATTTGTTGGGAGCTCCTCCAGATTTAAAACTGAAGAAGAACCCCATAAGGAGCTCTGAGGCAGTTTAAACAGAGAAATCCGAGTACTAACCGTGGATAAAATAGGGTCTCCAATTTCAATACAGTGCGCTAACTATCTTGCAGGCGAGTATGTTTTTAGGCAAAAAAAAAAACCAAGTTGGATATTAAGACAGACTAGCTGAGATAAATATAAGAATATTTCTGAGTACACAAAATCTAAAGAAAAACCCAACAAAAAAGGAACATTTAACCATAGACTGTATATACTATGGACAACTTTTTTCCGCCTTCCACCATTAAACAAATTTGAAGCCAAAAAGCTCTTGGTTATTCAGGGATTTTCTCCACTTCCTAAAACCAACATTGTGCAGTAGTATTGTATGCATTCAGCGGGAGAGTCGCTGTGATGACGCTCTGCTCATACAGCGTATCCTTCAGGTGAGCTATGCAAACTTTGTACCCCCATAGGCTGTATCAAGTGTCAATCATAGAAAACATGAACCCCCTAATAACTTTTAAAAATGGAGCTGCACAGAAAAAAAGAGGACTTGAGCACAAACCAGTCTTAAAGTAACTACATGTCAAAATCACAAGCAGGGGGGGAGAAAAACTTATATTCTGTGTAATTAATTTCTAAAGTTTGTCCACAGCTCCATAGGGATTGCTGGAGGAGGCGGGATTTATGACCTATACTGCAGTCCGTCACCAGAGGGTGCTGTTCTCGCAGTGGCTTCACCCAGCAAGGAGGTAGACGGCGTCCATTCTATATACAGTCTATGATCTTAACGCATCATTTAAACTCATAAAGGCCTAAATTCTGAGCTAGGGGTTAGACTACCCAGCTTGGACCCTCTCAGTTAAGCTCAAAATACTGACTTTTTATATTGTCTTTTCAGTTTAAAATCCATAAAGAATCACTAAAAGTTCAGTTACCTGCAAATATACAACTGAAAGTTTACTACCAGTTGTTCCTTGCCAGCTGCCTCCAACACCACTATTTTCCAGAGATGTTTGTAAAATCCTAACCTTAAGCCTCCACTAAAACCTCTCTAAATGCAGCATCACTATAGGCTGCATGCTGAGCAAATGTAGCCCTTTCTTTTGTTTCGATTAAATCATTGCTAATAGTTTCAGACTGGATGTGGACTACTGTTTATTTTCAGCTGCTGCATCTCAAAACAAGCCAGCGAGTAAAAACAACACCTGCCTACAGAGTGATTCAATGAATGTCTCAACCGACTGTCATTTCAGTGCCATATAACCCGCCAGCCCCGCACCTCCTGTTCCTCTTTGATTGGCGTGTGATCGCAGGGGAGTACAGGTGTTTGTTGTTTGGTATGGGATGAGTTTACGTGAAGTAGCTCCAGGGATGAAAAAATCCCCCATTAGTGACCTCCTCTGCGAGCGGGAGCTGAGTCAGACGTAATGAGTGCTTTCACTGTGGTGAGATGAGATGACGAGGCAGCATGACTCCTGGCGCTCAAAGAGGTGAGATGAGGCAGTTTTAGCACCGCCGGGCGACGAGAGGACACACCTCGTGGGCGAATAAACGGACAAACAAATATAAAAACGGGGATGGATGGAAAGATGGCATCTGGAGAGATTCACTCTTACCTCTTCTTTGGATGTTTGCCGCCGTTTCGGGAAACTTTTAAGGCAGTTTTGCCAATGTATATCTTTTTCATGGTTTGTCTGTGTTCCTTCCCTCTCATGTGTTTAAAGGGGTCGACCGCAGGGTGCCGTCATGTGTTTTAGATCCCTTAAGGAGACCAGCTAAGTCTGGCCTGCGGAGTTACAGAGTGCTCTACATGTGTTGACCCTGCCAAACAAAGGAAAAACACAGGTTGGCAACCATTAGCAATAACGCTACATTAAGGGATCTTGTTTTACATGGATTTGATACACATTCTGCAGTGATAGCCTCTTTTTCTTTTCAAATATTCCCAACAGATCGATCCTTGGCAGTCAGAACATAGCTGAAACAGCATAAAACACTGCACTAAATTTGGAGTAACACAGTTTTCAAGGTTAGCAGCTCTTAAAATGTTAAAATCCCCCTCTTGGTGATTTAGCCTCAGGAAAATTCAAGCTTTCTTTTGTTGTACCCACTCCTCACAATGTCACACTATGTTGTTTCCTGCACAGATAAAGCAGAAGTAGAAATGGAAGTATCTCACACATCAGAGGTAAATGTCAAGTTCTGGTCTTGGCGCTTCAGACTTGAAGAGCAAAGGGCTTTTGTTCTGTTTGCAGCAAAGTTCAATGACGAAATGAGGATGAGTCTATAGAGAAGAGAAAAGATATACAGTACTCAACGCAGCTGTAACCTTTGTGGAAGTTACGCTAGCTGAATGGGAAATTACGGATTTACCTGCACCTTTATGGCACATTTTTAAATCTGTATTTTGCATACAAACTTTTACACTCAGGGGAGCCATGTAGTTCAAAGTCCAGGAAGTAGTTCTGGATAATAAGTTTCTATATACCAAATAGTTTTCATAACTGTAAAAATAACATTATCAACTGATCATTAGCATTAATCTATGAGCAACCAGCCAAATTTATCACACACTGACCTTTTTGAAAAAAAATTTAGGGAAAGGGGGAATTTTGTGATTTGAGTGCCCTTTCGAGTCATTTTTAGGCTTTATTTCATCCTTCTGTTAGCTATGTCATAGCTTAACATGATCAACAGCTCAGAAAAACATTAACCAGTCTCATGCTGGTGTCCTTCAAATTTCTTATTTGAGCTTTTTGCTGGAACAGCTTTATTTTAGCTACTCCAACACCATCTCCTCAAACCACATCTTTTGATTGGTCAGTTGTCTGAAAATGTCCTCCACTGTTGCTTCTGTTTTCTTAGACCCTGAATCTGACTTGAAAACATCAGACAGAAAACAGACAGAAAATCCCAGCAGCAAAGAATGGGTCATTTTTGTTTGGTAGGTATGACATTTGTTAGGCTATCCGCAGGAAATTCAACAATTGGTTATGTCACATATTGACCAAATGCTGCTCAGAGTAGCCTGCAGTCAAATCCTAACAACTCCAACAAACGATTGTTTGTTATTCCATAGTGTTGACATTAAACATGTAAAATTTATATATTTTTTAGCATATGAAAATGCATCCCATGTGGACGCAGCAGTCTTTACCATTTTATTTTATTTTTACAGTTAAATATACCACTAATTGATAATATCAATCACCAAAAGAATATACCAACAGCATACACTCAGGCATGCCAAATTATAACAGCCACAAACAAGTCCCACTCACTGTTCTTGCTTATTTAGGTCATTTAGACAACAAATTTATTTTCGTCTGTTTTAAAACTAATAAAAATTCCTCACAGGAGCTTTAACATAGTTCTTTTCAGTGCCTTGTCTTCATAAGACCTGAGCTGGAGATCTGTGGATAATCAACATTTCTGTGGACCAAGCAATTAATCACCCGGTTGAGGAAACAATGCATGAGAATGTCCCATATTTTCAGCCCTTCAAGAATAGAGCCATCAAATATAAAAGCTAAGAAAACATCTGTGGGATTTTTTTAACCGAGTACGTGAAGATGTCATCAAATATTGATCCAAATGCTTCTGATAAACACACAGAAAAGTGAGACATTATTCATCAAAAACTTCAAACTTCAAAAGCACAGAAGAAAAAGAACAAGAAGAGCACAGTAAAAAAAGGGGAGAGAATGAAAATCTTTCATGTGAGATGACTGAAACTGTTCTAAATTTAGCAGAAACTTTTTGCTTTAATGTTGCATCCCATCTCTCACAAGCTGAGTGAAAAAAAAATGTTTTCAGGGCTTAAAAAAGAAAATAAAATGCCTGGAGAAGGCTATATGCAGGTTGTACCTCAGCTTGTTCTTTTTGCTTGTTTTTTTTCCACAAGACTTGTCTGTGTTCTTCACATTTTTACTATGAAAAAGCCAATTAAAGTAGGCATTTCACGCCTCTTGTGATGTTTTTTCCAGGTTTTGCTCTTTGGTACTTTTTGGACATAGACTTGCTTCATATTACGGCTGGTTGATGACACTTTTCTGACAAGCAAATATCACACTTATCAGTAAAACAAACATCTCTGTGAAGCTTTCTGCAGAGCAAATGTCTTCATCTCCTGCAAGACTAAACACAAAAGACATGAAGTGTCACAAACGACTAGCTTGAATGGGAATATTCTGACAAGGCCAATACACTGACGCTTCTTCTCTAAACATTTCCACCATCCCCTCAATCGGGCATGTCTCACCCGAGTCTGTGGCACAGGTGCGGCCATCAACCCTCAGACAAATAGCCCAGGTTATTAGATGAGACAGCCTGTCAACGCTTGATCAAAGCAGCTCTGATCTGAGCGCTGGACCGTCCACCCGCAGAGGAAACAATGTCACACTGCAGGAGGTAGGTTACAGCCCAGGAAAGCATCAAGTTTGGGGAGTTGTAACCATGGATACTGTGCAGAGGAAAGCTGGTCTTGTACCATCTTTTCTTTCATTTCAAAATTTGAATCTCAGTCACAACCATGACTGAGCACAGTTTTGATTCGATTTAGAGACTTTAAAAAAGGGCTGCTATATAACATGTCCTCTGCATGTATGTGGTTTGTTTTAGTGTTTGTACAGCCTGACTTGGATAATTAGTGTGGGTGACAGTCTTTGATTTTCAAGCTGACAGTTATAAATGCAAATGAATTTAAAAGATTAAAGAGATTAATCTAGGATTACATAATCCTATTTGAAAATTTACAGGTCTATCACGTCGGTCTACTTAAGAGCATTAGAGTAAAACTGATTTTATTCTTTATTCAATTAACACAAGCAGCTTTAGTAGGTGCTAAAAGGGGTTTAAATTAAAGGATTGTTTTTTTGTTTGTTTTTTGATAGAAGAAAACCCTGTTGGAAATTTCAGCTCCTGTTAAAAACTTCCAGGTCTAATAAATGTTGAAGAAATGCAAGGCTGAGACAAACAGGGTGCTCACAAACAAAAGCAGAAATAAATCTGGTTGAATCGACAAATAAAACATTGACTGGGGAAATCTGTAACCAACAAAAGCATTAGGATGTTGATCTACAAGGAGGACTGGTGGTGCTAGCTCAAAATTAAATGTTGATTCAGTGTCCTCTTGTTTAGTTGTGTTTTATAAATTGTTTTGATTGGCCGCTTTCTTTGAGTTTTTGTACCTCTTAATGGGATAATGTAGCGTAAAATTTAGTTAGGGTCAAAAACACCATGACACCGAGTTAGACACCCCCTCGAGAGATGAATGTTGCCAAGTGCTTACTTCTCTAGTTTTACCAACTATAGCGATGACCATGTGACTGCAATACAAAGTGGTCTACGTCTCGCAAACCTCAACCAAAACGCCACTCTATAGCAACAAATAAGGCTCAGAACAGCACCTAACCTAATCAACAGGACATATAGGGTCCCAGCCATAGTACTAGCCATCAAATGTCTTTTTAGCTTTGCCTGGTTTCTTCAGCAAAGAGACCAGGCAAAACTCACCCACTTTCCTCCAGCAGCCACTTATTCGTAGGGGAGCCCTCACCTTTGTGTTGATCGCTGAGTGAAGCGGTGTTTCGCAGCTCAAGGAAGAACATTTATGACTATTACTTCATGGAAATGCAATCAGACTGAGACGGTAATGCAGAAGAACCACTGTGTCTGCAGTGCAAAATGATTATTGTGATGATGATTACTTCATGGAAATGATCTGCTGCACTCGGTGATCGACTCGTCAGGGCTCCCCCCACAAACAAGCAGCTGCTGGAGGAGAGTGGGTGAGTTGTGTTTGGTCTCTTTGCTAAAGAAATTAGGCAAAGCTAAAAAGATGTTTGATGGCTAGTACTATGGCTGGGACCCTATATGTACTGTTGATGAAGTTAGGTGCTGTTCTGAGCATTATTTGTGGCTATAGAGTGACTTTTTGGTTGAGGTTTGCATGTAGAGATGTAAACCACTGTGTATTGCTATCGTGCGGTCGTTGCTGAAGGTGGTATAACTAGAGTAGCAAGCAATGGGCAACATTCATCTCTCGAGGGTGTCTAACTTGGTGTTACAGTGTGTTTGACTTGATCTTACACTGGAATATCCCTTAAACTTTAACAAGCATTTACATTTCTGTTTAAATTACTTAGAAATTAGAAGCTTTAAACACCCACACGCTAGGCAGACCTGAGTTTGAAGATAACAGGCCCTGATGACCATCATTTATGGCTGTTGCCAAGCATTTGTATTTTTCAGCCACCAGATGTTTCACAGCGGCAAACAAGAATTAATTTCCAGTGAAGCAAATTGACTTTATTATGGGCAAAATTACTGCATCAGATTCTTGCACATATTGATGTATTCACTTAAACCCAAGCATACATTACGGGCGTTATCAGAGGCATTTACCAACGTTTGTGCCAATATCTGAACACCTGTGGTAGAAACACACAACCGAGAGGAAGAACAGGTGAGGTTGAGAAACATGTTGAATCTCTAAGTTGTTGGGAGGTGATTTGTGCTGCTAGATGAGGAGGCAGGCAGACATGTACTCCTCCAGATGGTGACAGCTCAACACCGCCACTGGAGCCTTCATTCCAGCTGCTTCCCTCTGAGTCATTGCACACCGGTTCTGAAAACATGTGTGTGTCTGTGTGTGTAAGAGTTGGTAGGTGTGTGCATGTCTTTTTGAGAGCTTGTTTGCATAGAGGTAGAGTTTTTAAAGTTATTTATGATAATGAAGACTTGTTTGCCTGTTTACATGAATTTGTGGGTTGTGTCTTTACCTTTATGTCGTGCATATGTGTGTGTGTGTGTGTGTGTGTGTGTTGACGCATCAGTCCTGCCTGTTCAGTCCCCCTCCAAATGGGATGAAGTCCCTCTCTCTGCCATAAAAGTCAAAAAAGGACAGCTGTTAAAGGACACATCTCAGGCCACGTCAGGTGTCCTCTGTCAAACTGCCAGCACACAGCCTTCTCCAACTCACTCACTCACTCTCCCTCACTCTCTCTCTCTCTCTTTTCTTTTTTATCTTCTTCCTCCTTTAGCCGATCCTTACACTGCAGCAAAAAAAAAAAGAAAAAACCCACAGCCAAGGCTCGTTCAGATGGCGCTGCCTGCCACCCACTCGTGCCACGCTGACATTTGAGAGGAACTCAGAGCATTGAAAAGAAGAGGAAGGGGAGGTGGTGGAGAAAAAGGAAAAGGAGGGGGATATCAAAGTTGGGGAACTGGAAAAGACTGAAAAGCGGGAAATGTTTTGGAGGAGGGAGGAATAGTTGAAGTAGCAATTTAGCCAAAAACAGGACGGAGGGAGAAGCAGTCACTAAATTAAGGAGAAAAAAATGAGAAAGTGGAAATCTGCACTGAGAATCATAATTTCTTCATGCTCCTGCCTTTTTTCTTTCCGTCCTCCTGATTTCATCTACGTCGCTGATAGATTAACGCTCAGGAAAAGCCCTTATCACACACCCAGACCTCAGCATAAAAGCAAAGGGAGCCTGAGTGTCTGACTCATCCAGCAGCAGAGAAAGGAGGCGCACAAGACGCTCTTTCGGCCCTGTATGCCTTCAGATTAACAAGGCAGCTAACCTGCAGCAGTCACTCAGTCTGACGACACGTACAGTATGACTCAGCCTCCTCAAGGAAAGAAAAAAAATGCACTCTCCAATAATGGTACTGTTCTGTGTATGGGTGTGTGTGGGTTTATGTCTCGGCCCAGGATTGATTAACACAGGAGCAGATACCTCAGTAGTTACACACCAACAACCAACATCATTAGCAGCAGCAGCAGGAGATAATGACCCGCTCAACGGATTTCATGTGCCACTGATGGCACTCGACACAGGGGAGTGTGTAATCACAACAAGCATCCCGAGAGGATTTTTTGGATGAGCTCAAGAGGTGATGGAGGCTAAGCTCTGGAAAAAAATAACCACTAAACTACACAAACCTCTGTTTTGCATGGAAGCCCTGAAGGACACGGAGAAAAAAAAAAGTTATTTAAGGTTGACCGGAACTAACTATTTTGAGATATTGAGAGATTTCTGTCAGATCTCAGATGGTTTTTCATTCAGGTATAATCCAACTTTAGGTCACAGGTGTGAAAGCATATTCACAGACTCTGCTTTTCAGGGTTGGTAACTCATTTGCAGGAAATTGCTCTTTCAAAAATGACACCACTTTTCACCCTTGGAAAGGTAGACAGCTTTATTTCCGTCAGTGCAAGCTGTCCTCTGAGCTGGACAAATGGCAGTAGGTGCTAAACACAGACAACTGTGACTTTTGTGTATGAGGGACTGTCTACAAAACAGGCAACTTAAAGGGACCATATCATGCAAAATTCAGTTAAAAATGGTTTTCCAACAATAATATCCACCCCCCCATAGGAAACTTCTATCCTCTTCCTCTCTTGCTTCTTCCACCTTTCAGAAAATGTCTGCTCAAACGGGCGGATTGAAACTATCACCTTCCATGACATCATGGACGGCGATAACTCCTCCCCTCCAGGTTGGTGACCCTGCCCATGGTGTTTGTTCTGCCCACCGAAGATTTCCACTAAAACACTATTTTTCTCCCTCGCAGATGCTGGTTCAAAATGGCAAAGGTAAGAGCAAGGCACGGCAGTTGCTCTGTTGTTAGCTGCACGCAGCAGCACAGAAGTCTGTTTTTATCACCCTGTTTGTCTGCAGTTTTGAAGGCCTTGTGGATTCATTACCTCCGCCAAGGAAGCGTTTTTGGAAGCGTTGGTTTGTTTGTTTGTTTGTTTGTTTGTTTGTTTGTTTGTTTGTCTGTGAACAACTTAACACAGAAAGTAACAGACGGATTGACCTGAAATTTTCACTAGAGGTGGTGATCCGGATCACCTTCTGGATCCAGGAATTTTTTGAAGGATTCTTTATCATTGTGAGATAGGGCAAATTTTGGAATTTTTGCATTGAACTCTATAATAAAAATGGCCAGAGTCTTTAGAGAAAAAATTACACAAAAGGATCTCAATGAGTTTTATGAGGTGTCAAAGGTTGATCCTGATCCAGACAAAATTCCGGATACTGTGATCCAGAACACAAAAATACGGGTGTCGTTGGAATTTTCAATGCTTAAAGATAACCAATGAAGATACAAGGAAGTGTACGCTTACAAATATTGCATAATAAATCATGCATTTATGTATCTAATATGAGCTTTGTTGTTTTAGGAACATTATGAACAGTGATTATACCAGTTTAAACACAAATACAAATTAATAAAAGACACGTAACAGTAAAAGTTTTGGTGTGAATCACAATATAAGGGGGGACATGAGCTGCTTGGCAGAGGTCTGCGCCCTCCGAGTGCTTTTCTAGTTTTATATTTGATGGAAATGTATCAATGACAACTCCAAAAATGTTGTATGTGTGTGCGTACCACTTCACTTCTGACTGCTTTCTCAACAAGGGCCATAACAAAGCAGGATTCGCTAAGAATCTGGAGCTAAAGCCTGGATCGGTACCCACTGTCTGTGACCCAAGTAATGTGCAAGTTTTACTATTTTATGCAGTTACGAGAGATAACTATATTTACAATCTTGCGCACTCACCAAAAGATCTCCAAGTAACGAGAAGACAGCAGAGAAGTTAGTGTTAGCAGGAGCTAATGTTACCTAGCTACATGTACGTCACTGTGTACCAACACACGAACAAAGTAAAAAGAAAATATGAAGTCACGTAATATTTGTAACTAACCATTCAGAAACGTCTTGCTGCAGCCACAGAGTTGGAGGAGCCTCTCAGGAGCTCTCCTTCTGGGTCAGACTCTGGATCAAACTGGTACCTAGCCATACCTAGTACTATATATAAACATTAGCGTATGGTACCATAGCACAAGCCGTGTCCCCCTCTTCCAGAGAGACAGGGAGGGGCTTGGCTTACGCTGAAGGAGGCATGGACAGGTGCAGCACACAGAAACAGCATGTTCATGTTCTTTTCAGGCTGGCTGAAGTCCAGGAAAAAACTGAGTTTTTAGACAACAAACTTCAAATCGACTGTTCTGGGACCTCTGAGACCTATGTGAACCTGCTGAGAAGGAGTACAATATGGGACCGTTAAGGAAAAATTATTCAAGCTTTACCATGAAATGAAGTAATCCAGGAGATAAACTACTTCTCCTCATGTTGTGTACAAACAGGAGGTATTTTTTGTGTGACGTTGCATAATGGCACAACGGTTTAATAACCTGGTTCAATTATCAGATATTTTTCCACCCCAAATCCCTGCAACCCTGCACACACTCCAAACAAACCCAAAGTTACACAGTAACAAGTTACAAGTTAAACAGTACCACAAAGAAGACCACAAAGAAAGTACTGGGAGAGTTTGGGGACATTAATTATACAATGTGTACGTTTTCGAATACAGTGTTTTGACCTCTTGACTGCACTAAAATGGGGATTTAGGTCACTAAAAATTAAGGTTTTGGAAAACAATTTCAAAGGTTAAACTTTTTAAAAAGCTTGTTTTCTAAGCTTTTATATGGTTGTTTTCGAGAGAGTGGCGATGACAAATGTTTTGGGAAACACTGATGTATCTTTGCATGGGCCAACAGGGCAGACCACCAGTCTGTTTGAGTGTATTTTGTACTTTGAGGTTCATCAGAATGTAAATGAAGAAAAATCCAATGCTCTTCATCATTACACTGGTGTAAGAGAGCTGTCTCCAACTGCTTTTCACTCAAGAAGATGCCCTATGCACATAAACAGCATCTCTACAGGACACATTGATTACATATCATCCCCTACTGGTCTGACTTGCTTATGTGGCATTCTCAGCTATTTTCAACTGTCTATGTCATTGTGTGCATATAAATGTTCAAAAACACATCTGGTGGGAACAGATTTTCTGTTTACACCAGGGCAAAATATATATATATAAACTGTATAAACTATGGACAACTTGGTTCTGCCTTCTGCCAGTATACAGATTTTAAGCCAAAAAGCTCTCAGTATTTTCAGAATTTTCTCCACTTCCTGGAACCACCACTTGCACAGTAGCATTGTACGCATTTTGCGGGAGAGTCACCGAGAGTCGCTGTGATGACGCTTGGCCTAAACAGCGTATCCTTTGGGTGTGCTATGCAATCTTTGTACCCCCATAGGCTGTATCAAGTGTCAATCATAGAAAACATGAATCCCCTAATAGCTTTTAAAAATGGAGCTGTACAGAAAAAAAGAGGACTTGAGCACAAACCAGTCTTATAGTAACTACATGTCAACATCGCAACCAGGGGGGAGAAAAATTTGTATTCTGTGTAATTAATTTCTAAAGTTTGTCCACAACTCCATAGGGATAGCTGGAGGAGGCAGGATTTATGACCTATACTGCAGCCCGTCACCAGAGAGTGCTGTTCTTGCAGTGGCTTCACCCAGCGAGGAGGCAGATGGCATCCATTCTATATAGAATCTTAAGCGGACTTAAGTTGTTACTCTTTATGAATCCAACAAAACACCATTTCATAACTTAGCCTGTGAAGGCGATTTGTGTGTCTGGTTGTGCTTTACTTTGACTCCAGCTAATACTGCATTACTGCATTCTTTTTTTTTTTCTTCTTTCTTTTTCCTTCCCTAATTTTTTTCTTAATTAGAACTTTTATTTAAGTTCTTAATATACAATCTTTATTTTTATAACTGCTTTTTTGCACTTTGTGACGCTGCTGTAAAAAAAAATTTCCCCCATGGAGGATCAATAAAGGAATATTCTATTCTATATTCTATTCTATTCTATTGGGCCTCAAAGGCTCTTTAAGTACATTCTGATTTACAGTACGTTTAGGTAAATTTCTTAATAAATGAGCAATACTTGTGTTTTTGTAACACAATGTTTCTTCATAGTGAAAAGCAATAGAGTGCATTAACGATACAGTGAGGAATAAAGTGTTGGTGTTCTGTCTGTTCACATAAACACACATTAAAAACGGTGTCAGAATAACTTGTCTTTTAAGTGTTTTTTTTTTTTGTTTCATATATACATGATGCATGTTCCAATAAATACAAGTCTGGAGAAGACTCAAGGCAAGAAAACCCCCTCAGGCCATAACAGTGCTGACCAACAAGCAAGGAGACACACATATACACAAACACACACACAGTCAAACACACACACAAACATGAGCACATTCTGTCCTACAAAAAAAAATCAGCATCAGCCTCAAGACAAGAAAATCGTGTTTTCAGTGCCAGGAAAGCCTTTTGAGAGCTGTCCTAGTGAAGTCACAGAGGTGATCTTCTGACCCAGAACCTGAAAACTAGCACTGAATATTTGGCTGAAATCTCACACTTGATTTGAAGCTCAAAGAGTCCCGTTTTCTGGTGATAACTGGGTTTCTGGGACTAAATCTGTTAAATTAAGAAGACACAAATGTCAAACCTACTTTAAGTTGTCTCATTTCACTTAGATTCTTGATCACTAGTAAGATAAATGTCACCAAATTGTGTACTATGAGGCTCATATATGCGCTTTATTTATAGGACTTCACCAAGTGTCAGGTTGTCTTTTCTGCCTTAACCAAAAAACAGATAGGACACAGCAGGAAAAGCAGCTCTGTACAGGTTTCATCTCATTAAAAATAGAACAGACAAAAACCACACGTACACACATATGCGCAAACACACACATGCACGCACAGAGGGCACAACGCCCACCATCACAGCATATTGCTTATGAGTGCAGCAGGAATGGACAGGTAGTGATTAGACACAACAAAAGGAACCACCTCTGCAAACCTGCAAGCCTGCAGAGTGCTGTGCTCTGTGTTCTGTGTACCCATGTATCTGTCTTTGTCAGGTTGTGTGTGTGTGTGTGTGTGTGTGTGTGTGTGTGTGTGTGTGTGTGTGTGTGTGTGTGTGTGTGTGTGTGTGTGTGTGTGTGTGTTTCCATTTGCCTCACGCTCTTATACACACAGCAGGCGGCTCTGATGTACTTACTGGTCCATCCATAGCTCTCAAGAGGCCGCCTAAAAAGCCTCAACTCAGTGATGCATGAATGGAGCTTTTATAAAAAATAGAGGCTATAGAGAGAAACTATAGAAGCAATATTGCACTAACAGCTCTCCAGTATAGTACCATTAATGTGGAGGTATTTATAAACATGATATCCAAGCTGTGACCTCTAGTTTTAGGTCGTCTCAGTCAAACAAGGTCCAAAAATGTAAATTTTAGTTCAAATGCGATACAGACATCAGCTTCTGTCTTAGGAGAAAATAACAGTTATTCAGCTCAGATGCGAGAGCAACTTGGCAAGCTGTTGGGTCCAAACCAATTGGTGCAAGATTCTGTCCTGCAACCCATGCAACAGCAGGAAAGCTGGTGAGTGCATTGCTCATTCATTGATTAAAGCGTGTGAATTCTGTGGACTCTGAAACTGCTCTGTGCCCACCTTAGCAAGTCCTTGTGTTTCTTAAGGCAGCTGAGAACTAGGAAGCTGAGACTGAGACTCTTTATACATGTAGTGTAAGACCAATTAGTCAGTCGTGCTGATTCATCGGGTTGATTAATAACGCATTAAAATGATCAGTATTGGCTGTAACCTGAGCTCACAAGACTGAAAAACTTCTGCACACACTGCGGGAAGCCTCAACAGTGAGACTACTGTTGAACAGTGTTAAAACCGTGACTTATATAAATAACTTAATGAGCTGAAGAATAGAATAATGCAGTATAATATAACCTAACTATCACTAATGCAGTCAAATCTGTAGCAAAACTATGAATTTTCTAACTCATGAATCAGTTAGGTTATCGACATGGTGCTGGCTACAACAATCGTGTATTAGACTGTAATGTCGATGGAGTAAAAAGTGTTATTACTATAAAACTGTTAATTATCAACATCAAACAAACGAAAACCTGATAACAGCATTATATGTTTGCTATCAGTCGACCTGCTACCAAACTAGTCGCACCAGTATTAGCATTGGGAGGGTAAGACTCCACCACGGTTACACAAAATGGTTTGCACATACTGTGTAATTTCTGTCATTTTTGCAACTTTTGTAATTTTTAAAATTTTCATAACAATTTATGTTTAATGTTTGTACATATAGGGTTAAGTTTACTGAAGTCATATTCTTTGTATGTGTACACATACTTGATTCTAATTCTAAGCTGATTCTAATTCTAAAATTCATCTGATAATATCCAGGCTTTGCTTTAGAAATGCACAGTAACCTGTTGTATACATTGCTGTTGTTTTTTTTCCCTCTCTCTCATTTCTTTTGTCAGGCATTTGGGGCCTTTATATAAGAGGACAGGAAAGAGGTTGGGAGAGACTTGCAGTAAAGGAGCCACAGGCTAGAATCAAACCTGGGTTGCTTGCGGGAGGTGTGGCCTCCTTGTATGGGGTGTGCTTGCAGACTGCTGGGCCAGAGGCACCCTGTGTGCATTGCTGTTATGGTGTGATCTCAACACTCCTACTTGATGCAGTGGACTTTTCACTCTCACTTTATATTCGATCTCTTTATCTTGTATTAAAAAATAACCTTCAGAGGTTTTGACTGTCTGGGTTTTTATCTTCAGGCACACCGGCTGGCTGTTTTACTCTGTTTCAAAACTTTGATGCTGAGCTAAGCATATGTTTGGAGAAGATCTATATTTAGTGTAAAGTTATCAAAGAGTGTTCATTTTGTCATCTTACTTTTAACAAAAAAGATTAATATTTTACAAAGTGTTGAACTACCCTTCAACTCATCTCTCCCAAAGAAGCATTGGCAAACTGGGACCTCGCTGACTTGTATCTCTGCTGCTTTTATCAGATACAAGCTAAACTTTTGAATCCTCATACTTTTTTTGACACTTAGAGAATACTTGTAAGTGTAACTTTAGACAGGATAAATAACAATGCCCCCTTAACTGAATGGTTGCATCCTCGTCAGTGGACACACTTCACTGTGGCTAAAATTAGCCAATGTTAGAGAGGTGTCTAAATATTTGGCTAAGAGTCACCTGTAGTAAGACTGATAATAAGAAGTGCGAGCTCACAACTCAAGAGAGAGCAGGTCAAATAAACAGTAGTCTACAGATTTTTTTAAACTTTGGTCAAATTGCCAAAATCTGAAGTTATGGCGGCTGTAATATGCAGTGAGGTCATTCTGGCCTGTATGATTTGACTGCTGGTGCTGAACAGGGCAAAGGCGAGGAGGAATAATGGGGGGCTGAGATGATAAGAAACACTTAATGACCTCCAAAGGAGCTGTCAGTGTCTCACAGGAGAGAGAGAGACATGCACAGAGAAACAGAGAGGGAGGGACAGGCGGACTGCTCAGACCACAGACTATAGAGAGGAGCATTAGTCTGTTAGACCAACTCTGTCCACTTAAACAGATCAAAACTAACCTCCAGCCTCTTGAGACCAGCCTCTCTCCCACACCACTTTCACTCACATAAAAATGTCTGCTAACGCTCTTCTGTTACACCACTTCATCTATTAAAAGGGATCCAATAGACACCTCTTTCATCTCGGATGATAACACGGCAAAAGCATGTCATGTTTTCTGATGTGAACTATTGAGTGTTGAAGTGTTTCCACATGGAATTGAGATCAGCTACATAACTAGCAGGAGATGTTACTTCCACTTTCCGCCCTCAAGATTTAATCAAGAGGAGAACAAAAGTTGAGTTTAAAAAGGGGGGGGTGGGGGGTATCAAGAATTTTTTTGAGACCCTATATTTACTTTCTGATACCTCTTTAATAGCTTTACCTGATTTTCAGGTTTAAAAAAGCCTCAAATTAGCGATGTATTAAAATATCTTTATTTCAGCCACTGTCTAAAACACTTCATTTGAGCTGCTGTCTCTTTAAAGTCCCCTCTCCGCGCATCTACTTTCTTCTGATTGGCCACCTCTCCGGAAGCTGGCTGTAGGCAGAACTCAATGTTCTGGCCCTGCTCCCTCTTTTGTGGTAACAGAGCAATGGAGCAGCATTATCCTTATAGACACCATATAAATATATATAAACTAAGTTCTCGTATTTTTGTGCATTTGTCCAATACTTAACAGTTAACATATTTTTGCAAGATTATGACAACATACGTTTACCTTGTGATTTGAAACTTTGTATGTATGTATGTATTATGGACACCGAACTTTGTTACTTTGCAGTTTTTGTTGTAAATGTGGAAAAGCGTGATACCCTTACTTTAAAGAAAACTAGACAATTTTAACTGGCTGTTATTTTGTTTATTTCTATGGACATTTTAAAATGGATGTCAGGGCTTTCTTGGCCTTGGGAGCCAGTCTCTAGTGGACATTTGAGGAACTGCAGGTTTTGCATCGTCTTCATTTTTCTGTGCTGATTTAACAGATGTAAAATGTTATTTGAAGATACTGGAGGGCAGATATTATTCCCTTTAAACAGAATAACCCGGTTTCCTCCTACAGCAGTAACCTTTATGCCATATTCACCATAGCTTGCCTGAAATGTTTGATTATTTATTGCTATGGACTGTGTTTCCTCCCACTCAGCAGCTAGTGAGAAAAGCACAGTTACAAAAATGGAAAGCTCTTTGAAACTTTTAGGGATATCCTGATCAGCTTTTTCAGTCCCTGATCAAATTTTTTATACACTGTGTATCTGCCAGTCCTGCAACCCAATACAATCTATATCCTGCATTTGCCTACACAACAGAGCTGTACACCATATTTCCTGTTTATACAAATAGAGCATTTGTTAAAGTAATGGCCAGTTCTGCATGCTCTGCTGTATGAGACCTGTGAAGCTGGTGTGCATGATATAACCTAATGCATACTTTAACAGGGAAGTGGAGGAATCAACTCAGTGTGCAGTAAAAAGTCAGGGCCACAAATGTCTGTTGTAAAACTATCAAGTCACGTCATACAGCTCAGGTAAGGTGGTGTGTAAAATGTAGTGTAGAAATGGCAGGACTTACCAGCTCCAAAAAAAATACCGCAAAACTGCATCCTCTACTATCAAGATGGGATTGTTGTTTAAAGCTATAAATTCAAACACCTTTTTTAGCAAACACTTGTGCTTTTTTTGCTCTCTTGAGGATTTTTATCCTCTTTTTTTAAAGTTCATAGTTTTTAGTTTCAGCACAGCAGCCTTTTCCTCTGTTGCTTTAGTAAACACGATGTACTCTGTTGCATGTATATTTTTTAGATGTCCCATCAAATTGGTAGTCTTGAGTGCAGCGCTACAGCTCCTGCCTTGCGAAATAACCAGGTTGCATATATCACAAGGCTGTTGGGTGGTTTTTTACTTTCTAGAACAAAATAGTTCCACACTGCTGATGTTTTAGCCAAGAGGAGGCTAGCTCTGAGTAATTTGTGCATTTACCTTCTGCTGGAAATTCTGCTCAGTTTATGGTATTTGGTACATTTCATAGCAATGATGATGATGGGACTTGACGGTATTGTAGGAAACATGTAGCTGTAAACATCCAAAGAGTACAGTACCATCAGATCTCGGGTTAAACATTGTGTGATGCTAAAATATCAAATTAACAGCATGTATTTGTCTTTTTATCTTTATAATGGTAGTAATTGGATGGGGAATACTGACAAAAGATTATTTCTGAATTTTCAAGCTCCAACTATGCCAGCCTTTCATTTTCTTTGCCTCCAAGGACTCAATCTTATAATCATTCTCTCAGAAATCAGCATTCAGTTTTAGGACTGCCAGTCATCCTTGAAAAGCAGCTTTCAGCTTTATTCAAGTGGCGTCATTTTCAAAGTAAACCATTTCAAACTATTGTCAAAAGAACATGTTAGACATTTTCTCTGACAACACTTGACAAACTTTAAATCTGTTAATCTGATAAGAAGTTCTTTGTTGCTTCAGAGCTTCTCAGCTGCAATAGTCTTCATGTAAAATTTAGATGTGCATCTCTGCCACACAGTTCCCCTGATGCAGGAGCCTGACCAAGTGAGGGACGGAGATTGGGAAAGAGAAGGAGAGCGCAAGAGTGGGGTAGATATTTCAGGACATTTCATCAGTCCGGACCGGGAGGCTTCTTGGAAAAGAGGTGTCTAGGGTTGGAGATCAAGATGGGGGTGGAGTCGGGCAGGGTCAGCCTCTCAGGTAGATCCTGCTTCCTCTTCAGCCTCATCACGGCTTCTTCAGAGGCCACAGGTGACCTGTTTCCTATTCAGTTAAGAGCAAGGAGGAGGCAAAGTCACAGAACTACCCCGCCTCTTATCTCAACAGAGCTGCTATAATTCAATTAAAGCCGTGACACAGAGGTGAGGAGAAGTGATATCTGGTATTGGAGAACCGCCCCTGTCAGATTAATTACCCCTCATCAGCTGCTTAAATGCCTTTTAAACTCTAATCTGCCTGAAATTGTAATAACACCATCGGTAATCGAACACAATAGGGAGGGCTTGCGATCTATTTCTGTCTGTGCCGGATTAATAATGGTTCATTAGTAAAAGTATCAATTAAAACAAGCCTACTGTATGACAGGGAGGTAAAAAAAAGACAGAGACAGAGAGGGAGCGAGTGGGGGCAGAAATGATCTCCTTTCTCTTTTTTCTCATGTTTGGTCTGCTGCTTGAATTCCTGTTTAATGCAACTTTAATTAGAAAAGTAGGTAAGCGCTGGTGATATTGTAATAAGCTTATTTAAATCTGTTTATGCAAGCACGAGAGGGCATTAATTCTTTTATTACAGTGAAAATCTTAGACCACAAGGCTTATTTCAAGACATAAAAATCAATCACTAGAGTGGCTAGCTGTCCATATGTGGAGCAGAAGGACCCATGGAGTGAAAAATCAATTTTAGCAAGCGCATTCCGACAAGTGAGAGTCTGAAACCATGCAGAAAGAGTCATTTTTACAACTTTAACACATTCATCACTATTTATAAACCCTTTGCACTGATCTCAGAGAAGAAGAAAGCTTTCCAATAGCTCCACATTTGCTGCAGTGAATTTTCAAGCTCTAAGATCCCCAACGTACAATGTAACATCATCTGCATAAAAAAGCGTCTTTTCATCTATAAGGAACTGTCAGAGGAGTAGATCACCCCTAACATCACCGCATCAATACAGAGACAGCCCAAACTGACACTGTGAGCGCAGCTACATCACATACAGATGAGCAGACAAACACACACACACACACACACACAAGAACACACACACACACACACGCATACCCACAGCTTTGCAATCCAAATCAAAAGAAGCAAACGGCGAAACAGCAGTACCTTCCGCTCAAGCAGAGCTTCATCCTGGAGACCGAGAGAATAAAAATCCTGCTGCCAGAGCCACGCTGCAGGGTGAAGACCGGGAGAAAACCCCCCTCTCTATGTGTGCTACTAGGATTGGCTCTCCCAGCTATTCCCTTAAAGCTCAGAGAAAACCCCTAACACACACGCACACACCACCACCACTATCGTCACTACCACCTCTGTCACTGCCACTGCTGCCACCGCCACCTCCAACAGCAGCACGCCACTCCAGCAGCAAGACAGAGACAGAGAGAGAGAGTGCAAGAGTGGAAAGACAGAGAGGAAGAGTGGGAGGGAAGGAGCTTAAAGGAAGAAGACAGGGAGAACGCGGGGGCGTGAGGATGGAGCGCTGAAAGATATGTGCGGAAAGAGAGAGAGAGAAGGAGAGTGGAAAAAAGAGGCAGAAGCTTACCTGATGGTGTCTGTGTTGTTCATCCTGTCATCAGGCACCTACAAGGAAATGACAGTGTGTTAGTGGAGGGGACCCGTCAAAAGTGGCAGCTAAGTGGAGCATCACTGCATCACAATCAAAAAGAGATATGAAACATACATATTCAGCAGGCACGATTTCCTCTCCTTCCCTCTGTTTCTGTTTCTGTTTTTGTTTATTCCCCCACTCGCTCTCCCCCGTCTCTCCCTCAACTCCATCTGACTGTCTGACTGTACGCATCTGTGCTTAGCTGAGGTGAGAAGAGAACAATCATATCATGCCAAAGAGTGTGAGTGGGGAGGGGGAGGACGATAGGGGAAAGGAAGGGGAGGAGGGGGAGAGAGAGCGGAAACCTCCATTGCAGCCAGACTGCAGATACATGGCAAGCCCCCCCAAGAGGGGAGCTGGCAGGAGCTCAATATCCTTGTAGAAGGTGCTGAATCGGAGAGAAGGAAGAGAGAGAGAGAGATAGAAAAAGGAGGGAGAGAATTAGGAAGGGAGGGGGGATAGGTGAGAGGGAAACAGGTGGTTCAATCTGTTGAATCTTACATCTTGAGTCCCACGCTGTTCAGGGAGAAATCACACGCATGCTGCCGCTGGCCATTTTTCTGTAGGTGAATTATGCAGCATTTTGTGAATATTTCCTCCTGTGTTCTTGTTTTCATTCATTTTTGGGGCACAGGTCTGATTGAGAGTGGAACACGTGCTGCTATGTTGCAATGTTTCATAAATTTCTCAGTGCTGAAAAGTGGGTTGGAGGATCAGCAGTCAGAGGGGAAAGCTTCATGCATGTTCAGGGGCATAGTTAACGAAGGATGCAACCGCTGCAAAGAGGCTGGTCTCCAGGGTCAGTGTGGAAACATAACTACAGCCAGATCACCTACAGATGAGAAAAACAAGTGTTTTCAAGCCGGGGGATACGCTTTAACAAAGTGAGTTTGTATCCTCGCAGCAGAAGGCCTCTGTGTGCCTGTGAAAAATGTTTCCCTACACAAGTGCAAGGACTCGTGTGTTAGGAAACTTTGCAGCGACACACACACACACACACACACACACACACACACACACACACACACACACACACACACACACACACACGCGTATACACTAAACTGAGATGAACACCAACAGGCTCACATGCCTGCCTCTCAGCCCCCACACCACCCACCTTTTTCCAAGCAGTTGCTAAGGTGACGGCAAAGGCTGAATTTTAATCAGACAATAAATTAAAGCAATGTGATCTTCTCCTTTATTATTAAATGACAGCAGTGCCGTTTTCGGAGATCGGTGAAGTGTGTTTTGGGTTCAGGGAGAAACACAGACGGACTGCCAATTAGGGCTCCTCGTGAATGCTGCCATATCTGCAGAAAATAGCAACATTTGAGCAGAAGCAGATATGAGTCTACGCCTTCTAGTTGCTGGGTTAAAATATTTTAAGAAAGAGAAGGACAATGCAGAAATTGCTAATTGAGCCTTTATGCCAGTGCTCTCTTGATATGCACTCTGCTGCTTAAAGTCTGAGGAAACCTCAAGAAGAAAAACAGTCGTTTAAACAAGTTTTCTGCATCTGCAACCGTTTTAGCAAGGGTTATGTCTCAAGCTGAGTAAATGATGGATGTAACACAATAAAGGACTATAAGTGGGCTGAGTCAGTAAATGACTGCATAGTTCAGTTAGGATTGTGTGGAGGAGCTGCTGATGGGTAGAATGCTAATGCGCACAACCCATAAAACGTTGCTCCCTGGTCAGCATGAAGCGCCGCTCCCTCGGAAACATCAGCATCGATCTTTACAGGAGGACTGTAGTGTTTCTGTGCGGCTCCACAGGATAACTCATACATTCACACCAAGCTTAAATCTGCCTCTGTCATGACTTCCAATGAGAAATAACTGAGTCTTTTCCTGGTATTTTGGACCTTAATGAGCATGGGAACCATTTGAAAACACAACATTGACATATCATCTCCTATTACGGTGATGTGGAGGGGCAAACTGCCTTTAGCACCAGGAGAGTATGGAAGAACATTTGCATCTATTTGAAATTGTTTTTCCAGCCACCTGTAAAAAGTACAACATTTGCAGTTTTTTTTCCTGTTTTTCTCTCCAGTTTCTCTCAGAGTCTTAAACTGCTTAATGCTCCTCTGTGTTCGCCAACTACTTCCTTGCTGTGTCTCACTGCTGTTGGAGCTGTTTGCACAAACAGCAATTCATAAAACACTGTGACAGCAGCAGTGATAGTCAACGAAAACAATCCGCCATTTTTTCTCTCGTAAAAGCAGAAATAATACTGCAAAGCTTTGTTAAAAGCTGTGTTCCTCAAGTTAATACACCTGTGTTTTCACACCTGAAAGTCTGGACCAATGTCCAAACCAAGGTCTGTGTTTTTGTGACATGATATACATTTGGTTTGGTCTGTTTAGTTTTCACACTGTCATCATTGCAAACAGACTAACAGACACGACAAACCTACGTGTAATCATCATCAACTACATGTTTTGCATGTCTCTGTAGCTTACATTGATTGGTCATTAGGCCGGTGGGTCACAGGAAAAGAAAGTATACAATCCTGTGAGTCATTGCAACACTGGCTCAGGAGAAAAGTCTGTGTAGTATAACTCTTAAAAAGATAAGTCAATAGTGAGATATAACTTTATCTACAATATTATAAAATTTCCCCTTATTGGGCAATAATAACGGATACTTCTACTCCTTGAGTCATTTCCTGTCTTTGGTATGAAGGTCACAACCTTTTTAAATAATGCTTTCACACTGGGCATGAACCAGACCATTGTTCATGGTTTGGTCAGACCAACGTCTGGGTGTTTGGTCCAGACCAGGGTCTTGGGGAGGTTTCACCTCTATCATTTTGGGTTGACTAAAAAGAAAAGTTCAAAGTCAGGACCAAACGACTTAGGTGTAAAAGCCCCCTTGTCACTATCGAAACTTAACCAAATCTAAAAGTTATGTTACCAGGTAAAGCAGCTTAAGCATTACTTAGGTTACTTCAAAACTTCTATTAAAACTGTACACTATATAGCTGAATGCTACTAAATAATAGACTTGCTATAAATGTTTGGTCCTATGAGGAGTTTTTTGACATTCATGACATACAATTAAATTGTTATTTTTGTCTTTTTATGATGCCGAAAAATAAACAAGACCATCAGTAACGAGATTGACGATTTCTACATCATGATTTTTAATGCCTCACACCAGTGCAAGGGGGAGATGTCAACCAAGCAGCTGGAGACCCAGCTCAGTTTTTTATAATTTTACATAACATTTTCACAAAAATTTTGTGTTTTACTGACAGATACCAGCAGAGTGAGAATTTGTCAAAAGTTACTATTCAAGTATGTTTTGGACAAGATACACAATGACTGCTTGTCCACTGGGGGCACCAAACTTGACACTGACACAAGTTTTCCTCAGTAGTTCAAAATGCCATACCATTGTTATTAACTTCCAAGAAATCTGGAACACTGTGTTGACAACAACTATGCAATATCATCTTACAAATTGTATTTGTAAAAAAGGTGATACCAAAATTATTAAGTTCCATAGCACAAGCAAAACCTTGTTTGCTCGTCATGTTAAGGAGGAACAGGTCAAGTCCACAAGTCTGGCACAAAATTCTTGCCTGAGTTTCCAATTGCCTTTCATACTTGGGCTGGTATCCATGTGCCCATGCGTCCGACACCTAATAAATGCAGAGTTGAAATCAAGACTTGGTTGTTTGGATGGAGTGGTTCCTCTTTGGCCTGTCAAGCTAACATGAGCAGCACCTGGGTCACTGAAGTTCGCTGCACCAGGCTGTCTTACAACTAGCCTTTGAGCAGCTTATCATTTAGTTGGGTGTCTTGAAAGATCAGAATTATTAGTGTTGGGCGCAGACAAAGCTTTCCTTCCAGCACAAAGACTTAAACTCAACATTATATGTTGGTACTTACATTTTGTTTCATATTTCAATGTCTATCAATGATGCACCTAAAGATCCATGAGGGACTTATCTGTGTGTGTCAATTTTGGCTACCTCTACGTTGAAATTGATATCCTATCACATTTTTTGGGATTATATCTTTATTCAGAGGCAAAAGCAGTGGACAGGGCAAGGAAAATTTAGAGAGGGGGTGGGGAATGACATGCGATGTGTGATTTTACCAGCACCCCAAACCGACCCCCGTGGTAGTATTTCCTGGTGAAAAATCTCATCTTTCTGTCCTTTGACAAACAAATGTGTTACTCACTGTGAATATTTGCTGTAGAAATGTAAAAAAAGACTTTTTCTTCAGCTCGCTGTCAATCATCTGGTCTGACACCTACCCCCGCACAGCAGTTACTGGCATATAAAATTATAATATGGGGAATGTCAATCTTGTTGTTGATGGCGTTGTTTGCTTTTGTGGGTCATACAGAGATATCACCATTGATATCAGTCTGTTTCATGAGTTGGTAAAGATAAAATTTCCCTAACAGGAATCTAACTGAAGTATAATGCTGGCTCACGTTGCTGTAAATCATTACTGCAAATGGGCTTCATTTATAGAGGATGCACAGGAATGTATTTTACTCCAATGTCAATAAGAATTGATAACATTGAATGTCAACGAGCAAAACCTGAGGGTGTATCTTTAAAATTTTCATCGCCAACACAGACTACAAACAAAGAATAGTGTCTTATCCACAAACAATATGAAGAGTGTGTATTTTGTGATGATTGGGACATCCTACTTTTGTAGACCAAACACTATGACCAGTGACAAAATTTATGTTGGAATAGCTGTTCAAAAATGAAGCGATAACATTCCCCCTCATAGGCACTAACTATCTGTAGTAGACATCAGTGAGTAGAGCTGCAATAGTGACATCCTATTTCTGCTGATAATTGGTTGCAAGCTAGAGCCACATTTAACGACAGAGCTGTCAGTCACAACATTATAAGCCATTTTTTCAGTTTTTGATGAAGCTTTTCAAATAAAAATTAGGACATTAATCAGCACAAATAAGTGCACAGTATTTTAATTTCATAGTTTGATCCATGCTCAACATGTAAAACGAGGGCTTTATGAACTGTACTGCAGCCAGTCTGAAAGGCGTACTCATAATGTTTTACTTGGTTTTTTGAGATCTGTTATATCGTCCATCCTGTTGTAGGTCTGGTCATTACAACAATCTAGTTTATAACACAGAGAGAGTGGAGGCTTCCATCAGTGAGTAGCCCCATTTATTGCTGCGTTAACCCATTTGTTTAAGACTTCACCATATTAAAGTTAATATGGTGAAAAACATTTTGCTATGAAAGAACCGACTTTGTATTTTCATTTCTATTAGCAAGATGTCTTCTTCTTTTCTATGCCGTCTCCCTCTGAGTGTCAAGGCTTGTTTTGTTTGTCTGACACACACTTTTTATTTTTCATTCACTCTCACCTGACTTCATAGGGTTGCTTACAGAGGACTAAGTCAGCAGTTTGCAAGCCTGCTGTTGACAACCAGCACAGCAGAGAGACACAGTATGTGACAAGCAGGTAAATATATTGAACCAAAAATAATAAAATAAAATAAATAACCAATCTTAAGGCAAATGCAAATTGTGACTGATCTATGTTTGCAAAAGAAACAGCACAAAAATAGCCAAAACAAAGTGTAGATTTTATTGTCTACTTTGTTTTCCTTTATCTAGTTTATATTTTGCAAGTTTGGGAGACTTTATTGCATAAATCTAATGCAACATTTGCATTAGATTTATGCAAATTTTGCAGTGATACATAGCGTGAGCAGATTATTCAATGAGACAATGAAAGTTTTCTCAAAAACTTTGTACTTAGTACATTGTTTTTCTTTTAATCTGATTTATATCAGTACAGCATGGATTATTTCCTGTACACTGTTGTTAAAATCTTCATTAAAACTAATCCCCATAGACTTCCTGACTTCCCATCCTTCTGTGTTCTTCTTAACTCTCCCACTCTGAATAATAGAGCAAGAAAAAGCCCTGGAAAAATCAAGACTAGCTCCTTCAAATCATTCAAAGGCTTCATCTATTCAGACATCACTTCTAACTCAGGAAACAATTTCCGCTCCAATCATAACATATGTTCCAAGGCCTGGCTTTGATTAAAGACTGGGACGACTTTCATCACTCACCATGTTGATGCCCCGGGGTAGAGAGGCGGATCTGTAAGGGTATCTTGGGAAGTCAAGATGAAACTCCGGAAAGGGGCTTCTCAATTCAAATCCTTGTCGGAACTGCAGAGGAGGTGGAATTAGGTCCTTGGCGTCTGACTCCAATTGTGGCGGTTCATTTACTTTTATCTCTAGGTCTTGTGGCTCATTACCACCTCTCACACAGTCGATGTTTGTTTCCAGGAAGGTTTTCGGCATCAGGGTACTTTGCTCTTCTTGGGTCGACTTCTGCTTCAGTAGAGGGCCTTGCTGTTGGGCCATTGAGCAGGGGAGCCTGTTGATCACCTGTGTTGCCTCTTCAATCTCGACTTTGGGCTGAACTCTGGTTGTACTGGAGATGCTAGAAGTAGAGCCAAGTTTAGGAAACACCTGCAGATTGTTGGGGTCAAGCACATTGGAAGTTACCTCGTCCAGGAACTGTGAAAACCTCACTTTGGCTTCAACCTTTTCTTCTAATAGTGACAGCGGTTTCACGCTTTTGAGCCTGCTGTGATTCCACTGGAGATCACTCCCCTGACAGAGCCCACCCCTCTCTGGCCATGGGTGGGCTTCGCTGTGATTGTTGCCTCCTCCCAGCTCTGCATGCGGTCGAGCGGTACTAAAAGGCCCTCTGGGAGAACACCATCCAAGCCTCTCTTCCTTACGACTCTGAAATGCTTCCTGGCTCTGCTTCTTAATAGAGCTGTGTAGCAGACAGGTAGTCCCAGAGCTCCAGCTGTGCAGACTGCCAGTCCCTTCGCTGCTACACCTGCTGCTCCCTGAGCTGTTGCTGGGTCCACTGGTGCTGGAAGTCTGGCTTAGGGAGGACTGGTAAGAAGAACGGACAATCAATTCCTCCATCCAGACCTGATCCCCATCAAGTGTGGAGCAGGAAACCTCTGAGGAGGCCAAAGATTTTGAGGATAGTTGACTCTGCTTTGTAATATCTCCTTGGGACAGGATGAAAGCTTTGCTGCTTCTCTCTTCCATTGGCTGAAGTCCTGCACTAATATGTTGTCTCTAATTGTTGCAATTGGCAAATGACCCATGGTCCAGTAAATAGCTCTGATTTTAAAAGAGTTCTATCCCAATCCCGTCTCTTTGTTGTGTAATCCTAACCCAGAAAAGATCCAATACATTTCACTCTAGGCTGAACAGATGGCCTCCCTCAATGCCAGAAAACCCCCTGCTAAGTCAGACAAGGACAACTTCTACTAAAAAATGAATGAAGAGAATTCTTGAGATGTCCTATTAGGCCAGTCCAACTGAACAATTACAGGTCCTTTCATATTTGACCACAAACACCATAATTGACACTCTGATCCAAAGAATAAGTCGGTGAAGATCACAGCTCCTCGGTTGCTAATCTGCAAAAGCTTCAGGTTTGTGTTTAATGAGAGGGAATTGTAGCACAACCCTGGCAAGTGTCTTTGCTAGTTGAGCAGAGCTTACTCTGCAGGAGCTGTTCTTAATGAGACCGTCTATTGACAGCAGAGCAGGCAAAGCTTTTTCAACTTTTTCCAGGTCATTGGTTGTGGAGCATTGATCCAGCAGAGCACATGGCAGCTGACATACAGACACACACGCTAATGGACAGGCTTGTTGAGTAATGGAATACCAGAATCTTATTATAACCACAACTGTTGTGTTTATAAAAGCATTTGAGGTGTTGAGAATGAAAAAGACTCTGTAATCTCATATTGATGAGCCTACAAGAAAATCTAGGAAGAACTGAATGTAACTCATACAACTGCAGTAAAAAGTTCTTGCATAATGTGACATCAAAAAGTTTACATCACTGTGTTAAATTTATTTTGAAAATCATTGATTAGCTTTTTGCAGAGGGTGAGGTGAAGAGATCAATACCACTCACATGCCCACATGTTAAAAGCTAAGTTTGAACCTCAAGCTGGGCATGAAAGATATCCCTTCAAAGCCTTCTACTTGAATGACAAGTTCAAAAAGTGAAAAAATAACATTAGTAGACTTGTCAGTGCTGGCAGATGTTAAAAACCCAGGCAGCTCCTACTGTGCTCTGTTGTCCTGCTTCCACTCTGGGATCCAGGCTAAGATAACTACCTAACTAACTACTAAATTAATTCACCCCCTGAACAGTGTGTAGAAGTACAGTAACTGTTCGTCAGACTTAAACCTTTCAATAAACTTTTTTTTTTTATTTGCTGTCAAAATGAGCAGTATAAATTGGGCCAATCTGGAGGAAGAACTCAAAAAATTAAGCTTCACTTTTGGGGACATGTCATGTTGCCCATCCTTTTTTAGGTCTGTCCACCACAAACATATGCAAACACAATGCGGAAAGAGTGAAGTCCGCCAATCACTTTGTTGACTATCACTGGTCCTTCCTTCCACTCTGTGTGCAGCTGCTGGGTTGCTTGCTTACACAGCAGTTTGCACTTATTTAAATATCAGATACTGTATAAAGTATACATCAAAATGGCTCAAGGATGCTGTAAAACGCACTATTTCACACCCTTTAATGCTCCCTATCCTCTTCCTATCCTCTGATCTGCAAATATTCATCTAGCTTACAACAGAAGACAGCTTCTACATACTGATCTGTGTATTCACATGTGCATACTGTAACTCTGATGTTCATCAATATTCAGGTGGTTACATAACTGCATCGATAACACTTCTTTTAGTCTGTGCATGGGAGGAGTGGTAGAGATCAGGATTGGCAAGTGAGTGGCAGCAGTTTGACAAAAAATAAAAGCCGTATGTGAAGCCGAGGCGAGTGGATACTTTAAAAATGAATGCTTGGTATCTAAAAAGAGGCTCAGTCGTCTGCCAGAATATGCAGCATTAATTGAAGCATCCGGCGATTGAACTCAAGATCCACTACAATAATGTATCCTTGTCTGACTTGTATTCTTGGCCTGAGTCTAAGTCCTTAATATTCCAGACCATGATTATCTAATTTGAAGTCTGAGGACAGGGCCACAGAGTAGACCTTTAACTTGTCCTACAGTCTCCCCCCAAAGTACCATACTTGGATCAGACGGGGATAACATACTGTACACTGCATCTTGTCATGCAGGAGCCAGACTGCTCCGGTCTCCTGGGGTATCATTAGCGCAGCATCCAATATGTAGGGTTTAAGCCCTGACTGTGTGGTCTCCTGTGCGCATGCGTTCCTCCAGGCTTAGGCCCCACACCCTGCCTGCTGCTATAGTCCATCCGGCTCCCAGGACACCCAAGGGACCCCTCTGTCTGGTACCAAGGAGGAGCACCAAGCCTCCAGCATACAGACTTCACTCTATTTTAATTTTCTTTTTGTTCCATCCCCGTTTCCTCTCTCCTTTAGGCGTGCTCCATTGTGCCGCCATTTCTTACCATTCTCAGACTTCCCAGACAGGCTCAGACTTCTCCTATGATGAATGTCCTTAATAATCTCTTTTCAATCTCAGGAGGAGTAAAGGGGTTGGAGCCAATTTGGAACTATCGGCCTGACGAGAGAGACTGTCAGCCCGTGGCTGCCTTGAGGTAATGGTGCTGAAATGGATTCCTGCTACAAGCGTAGAGGTGGAGGTAATAGGTGATGCTCACTTGCTCAGTGGTTGCACCCTACTTGCCACACGCTGGATGGTTGAGGCAACGCCTAGCTGAGCTAAGCCTCTGGAAACTATGCATCCCTTCCTAAGCTGCAGAGTGGACTAAGTGCCACAGCTAGTCACCTCTGGCTGCAAAGAAATTTGGCCTTGTACCACTCAGCTCTTACCGAGGAAGAGTGTTTTTTCCACTGATAGGAGTGGGTCTGCCTTCAAGTGGTTCCCCCAACTTAAAGTTTAAACTCACCCTCAAAGTTAAATGACGTACCCTTCATTTAGGTGTGAAAAATAAAAGCGGCTGTTTAAGTCCCCTTACTCACACAGAAACTTGTACTTTTTATTCACTAAGCCTGGAGATGTAATTGCGTATTTACTTTGTGCTCACATTCCTAACCAGCTGCTTCATCAATGCATTTGTCCATGCACTTAGCTATGCTCTGTGTGTCACTGGAGGATATCTCAGGAAGACACACCAGAGAGCTCTGATAGTATGCAACAAGTAAATATGCAGGATGTACAGGTGCGGCTAAAAAAATGAGAAAGTCTCAAAAAACTGTCATTTTCCACCATAATTAAATTCAAAAAGTGAAATTAGCTACCGCTAGCATGTTTAACTTAGCTGCTCAAGTGTAATAAGCACAGCGTGTATGCAGTGTTGTCAGACTTACTTTTCGCGGTAGGACTTAGCTTGGTTCTAAGAAAAGAAAAACGAAACAACTGGAGCTACTATAACTAAAAAAGGTTACAATTACTACTTGCAGCTCATGAAAATCAAAAATCCACTATTTAGAATATTTGCATGAAGTTACAGAAAAAAATGAACTTTTTTCAGGCACATTAACTTTTGGATCTGCACCTGTATATGTCAAATTTCAATGGGATGAGATTTTATTTTATTTTATTTTATTTTGTCAAATACAGCTTTTTTAGCATGCAAAGGATGAAAGGATGAGATTAGCGAAGATTGCATGTCCACAGGGGGCACCAAAATTGACATAAAATTCCTCACAGGGGCTTTAAAAAACTTGGAGAACAGAACCTTACTATAGACTTTGAAAGGATAAAGACTGTATTTAGATATTTTCGGTGCCCCCTGCCTTTGCCCTCCTCTGCCATAAGTTCAGCATGATTCTGTGTGAAACACTGGGGTCCAACAACCCACTCTCACAGCATGAAAAATAGATTAGAGTAGTTTTAGGAAAGGCTAGTGCTGTTCCCCCTTTAAGCACACAAACAGCATCAAAGCCACGAGAGGTCAGTTTGATGTTTCTGAAAACTACAAAATTTAGTTTAAGTTGTGACCGAACTGCAGAATGCTGCAGATATCTTGGATGTCAGAGACAAGATGAGGGCCAGTGCCCTCTACACTAGGCAGACAAATCTAAAACCCCTGGTGGAAAAAGGAATCTCTTCATTCTCCTTTTCACTGTTCAATGTTTTTCAGCCTTAAAACTGATTAAATGTGTCAATGAAGCAATAACTTTTAACAGAGTACACCAAAATGCCTGACCTAAAACTATAAATATTGTTCTATCCTCAAGATCACTGCCTCCCTCTTCTGCTTCTCTTTCAAAAGTACAGGCAAAGCAGTGATTGATTTCAGATCATATTTTTCAGAGAATAACTTAATCCGTGCTTATCTCCAGGTCTGAATGTTACACTGCCAGAGCTGGCCCAAGGCATAAGCGAACTAAGTGCCTGCGTAAGGCCCGTGGCCAATTGGGGGACCCCAAGAGCAATAACACATTTGTGTATATTTCTTATATTTATATTTTCATTTATATGTTTTTGTATGAGTGATGCTATCTGTGTGATCAAAATCTATTATTGTAAAAATAAAAAAATAATATTTTAGTGCTGCTGCTGATGTAGGCCTATGATTCTTAATGCCGATATGTCAAAGCTCTGCTAACGTTACGTGCTTCCTGCTGTGCAATGTGCACTGAACATCCAAAGTGCAGGTAGTTGTACGGCAAAACAATGGCGCAAAAAAAGGCATATCCTTCAGGAGCAGAGAAAAGAAAGAGGAAGCAGAGAAAAAAAACGCCAAGATAAAGGTATGTTTGCATGTCATGGAATGTTTACCAAAGAGATTTGTGAAGGTGTGTGAATGATCAACAATCAATGTTTTGGGCAGGAATAGAGGGCCCCAAAATCAAATTTTGCTTAGGGCCCCATTGGGGTTTGGGCCGGCTCTGCGTCTGAACAAAGTGGTGAAAAAGGCTGGCTCTGTGGTTGGATTACAATTGGGCTCACTGGAGGATGTGGTGGAGAGATTTACACTGAGGAAGGTGGAGGCTATTCTAAAGAACATGGATCACCCACTTCATAACACCTTAATGGACCAAAGGGCCAATGGTGGTGGACGGCTTCTCTCTCTTCACTGCAGGACAGAAAGATTCAGAAGATCCTTTGTTACCACAGCTATCAGACTTTACAACTCGTTTATAAAGAGTAGATGACTTTTAGAGACATGACAACTGAGACTACAGACAATTGAATTTTCCTTGGGGGATAAAATAAAGTTTTTCCTATTCTTATTCTTACTATGTCCTGCAGATGGTGCAATTCTCAAAGCACACTTTGGTATTTTGGTGAGCAGCGCAGCCCGGCATGAGTATCCCCCCTCCCTAACTTAGCTCCTCCAGCGGCATAAGTAGCAGAGAGGGAGGGGATAAGGCGTGGAGTGGGTTTAACACAGTTGAGTCCTGTTTTCACCGATCGCATCAGCTCTTCTCCTCACCTTTAAATTTGCCACCGAAGAGGCGATTACAAATTTCGTGAAGTAGTCAAAGAGATCAAGAGATGTCTGAAGACAGCAATGCCACATGATGGCAACAGAAGGCAGCCCCTCAACAAGTGTCTCTGTAAGCACTGCGGAGGGCATCCTCCACACTCTCTCATATAAGCACAGAGGGATTTGGTGTGTGTTTAAATCTAACTTTTACAGCCCAAAAATAAGTTAAACTAAATACAGGCATAAATATGTATAAAATGTTGGTTTTAAGATCAGATTACTTAAAATTTAACTTTTACAGCCCAAAAACAAGTTAAATATACTAAATATAAGCTTAAATATGTATAAAATGTTGGTTTTAAGATCAGATTACTTAAAATTTAACTTTTACAGCTCAAAAATAAGTTAAAAATACTAAATATAAGCATAAATATGAATAAAATGCTGTTGTTAAAATCAGATTACTTGAAATTCAACTTTTACAGACCTAAAATGAGTGAAATGTACTAAATATAAGTATGAAGTAAGGAGAAAATGCTGGTTTTGCGATCAATCCATCCATCCACTTTCTATACCACTTATGCCTTTGGGGATTACTGGTAGGCTGGAGCTTTTGCCAGCTGTTATTGGGCAAGAGGCGGGGAACACTCTGAACTGGTCACCAGTCAATTGCAGGGCCACATAGAGAGACAACCAGTCATGCTCACACTCATACCTGAGGACAATTTAGAGTCACCAGTTTAACCTAATGTGTATGTTTTTGGTCTGTGGGAGGAAGCCAGAGATTCCCGGAGAGATCCCCCTGCACGCACAGGAAGAACATGCAAACTTCACACAGAGAGGCCCTGCCTGACCCGGGGATCAAACTGGTGACCTTATTGCTACGAGGCACGTGCGCTAGAAATATACTAAATATGAAATATGTGCACTTACATTTTTTGTTTTCTTACTTTTAGCAAATTAAGATGAATATTAGTTCAACAAGAAAATGAAATCAAGAGAAAAAAAATACCCAGTGTAAGTGAAAAATGACTAAACTCCATCTGAATCCAAGCAGGCTTATCTTGAAACAAGGCTTACTTAATCTTTAAACTAAAACCTTAAAACCTTATGCCTGTCCTCACTTTTAGGATTTACATCTTAATTAGTGTGTGTTGTGTATTATGTATAAGGTGAGACTGAGTTTGCTTGCTATTTTGTATTCCCTGTGCTAGTTTTACAAATATTGGTCATCAAATGCTTGAAATCAGAGCAATAAACTCTTTCTCTAGATGCTTTTTATGTGACTCTTGAATCAAGCAACTTGAGTTTGTTACTGAATCTTAAAACAAGATTCCTTTTGATCAGTCTTTTGGAGAAAGATGGAATATGACTTATTTTAAAACGTTTTTTTCCTCATTTTAGGATTCCCTGCCTATTTAAGACAAAAAAGATAAGGTTTTGCTCCATATAAGATTGTAGTGTACAATTCAACACTTAAAATAAGAAATTATGTTTTTTTGTCGTGGTCTTGTTCAGTTACAGAGCTCACTGTATGTCTTGTACCTTAAGCTGAAGCCTGTTGTTAATGGCTAACAGAGACAGGCCCACTGAGCTGGCAAAGATGAGGTAACAGCATGTCTTCATATGCTGCATCTGTAATCCATCTCATGTGGAGACACTTGACAATGCCTGTGAAACCCTCGGGAGTGCTTTTGTAAGAGAATCACACGGTGCAATAAAATGAGAATTGGTTAAATTGAATAAAGACCAGCTTGTTCTGGAGGTGTGAAGCTAGGTTCCCTTGGATCCCTGCAGAACACAAAGTGAAGCATGCAATAACATCAGCTGGACAGAAATTATAGAAGCATAAAATGCACACCACAAGAGGGCTGAGTATTTGCATGTTAGCACAAAGCACTACAGTTGGTAGTTTAATTTTAATAAAAGCACCCCGTACAGCTCTTTTACAGCACCTCAATCTATAGCTCTAAATCTGAATATGGAGCAGAAGGATAATGTTTCTGTAAACATGTGGCAGCTGGGGGGGGGGGGGGGCAGCTGACCTCGATACATGTTATTACCGTGCCACAGTTTCTGTCAACTGAACCATCATATCACTGTGTATGTGCGCCTCAGTCACACAGCGAATGGCGAGTTCAGCATTGTGCCGCAGATCCACTGAAGCTGTGATGACAGAGAAAGAAAAAGAATGACACTTAAAGAAACTTCAACAAAAGACAAAGTCATTATTGAAGCATCCGTATGGTTTTTGCAATCTGATACATTCTTCACTTAACCAAAATTACACATTAACTGTTTTTATTTAGAGTTGGTTTTGTCATGAACCAGAGCACAGACTGAAGGACACAATCGCAGGACACCAATACAGTTAGTCAAACAGACAGAGTTTAGTGAAGTTCAGGTAAAGGTCGGTACCATAGACTGTATATAGAATGGACGCCATCTGCCTCCTCACTGGATGAAGCCACCGAGAGAACAGCACCCCCTGGTGACTGGTTGCAGTATAGGTCATAAATCCCACCTCCTCCAGCAATCCCTATGGAGCTGTGGACAAACTTTAGAAATTAATTACACAGAATATAAATTTTTCTCCCCCCTGGCTGTGATGTTGACATGTAGTTACTGTAAGACTGGTTTGTGCTCAAGTCCTCTTTTTTCTGTGCAGCTCCATTTTAAAAGTTATTAGGGGGTTTATGTTTTCTATGATTGACAAATGAAGGGCAAATGAAGATTGTGTAGCTCATGTGGGGGATACGCTGTTTGAGCCGAGTGTCATCACAGCGACTCTCAGTGACTCTCCTGCTGAATGTGTACAACGCTACTGCGCAATTTTGGTTTCAGGAAATGGAGAAAAACGCAGAATTACCGAGAGCTTTTCGGTTTCAAATCTGTATACTGGTGGAAGGTGGAACCAAGTTGTCCGTAGTATATACAGTCTATGGTCGGTACACACACAAGCAGTCAGGTCAGACAGAGGTATCAAAAATGTGAGGCAAAAGACAAGATCCAAAAGGCAGGCAAGGTACAACACAGCTTGGCAAAGCTATGAATAAATGCTGGAATAAGACAAGTGCAATGAACTGGCGATGAGACTGTGAGACACAGCCAAGGTAAAACACAAGAGGTAATTAAGGTGATGGGAAACAGGTGGGGAGACACAATCAGGCGGCAGGTGCGACAAGATGGGGGCGGGGCAGACCAGACAGGAACAAATATAGGCTGCGTCTGAATTGCCCAGTAGTAGTCGAAGTAGTATGTAGCATGTCCCAATTGGCCACCGGAGCAAGTAGCATGCTACTTCAGATACTACTTCAGATGCTAGACACGCCCAGATTGTAGTATGGTCGCAGTGCAACCTACAGGCATGCTACCGACCCAAAATGCACCGCTGGCTTCTTCTTTGTCCTCTTAAAAGTTGTAGAAGCGCATGTGATGCTAGCGCCACCAGCTGCTGCCTATTTAGATGCATCGCGAACGCCGGCTAACCACAGCAGCGCGCACCATGGCGGAGCAGCAGCAGCAGGCAGGACCGCAGCAGTACAGATGTAAGTTTTATGTAACTTCACACACTGTCCTAAAAAATGTGCGGTTGTATCTCTTTGTCATGTCATGGTGTCATATTTGCTCAAGTAATCAATATATGAGCAAATATGTGGCGACATCATGGAGGTAAAGCTCACTTATTCCATCATTAAACTGCACAGCTGCAGTAATCAGGCAGATCTCATTGAACAAATGATCACAACGTGAGTGAATGAAGGCTAAAAGTAATGGAAAAGCTACTTTGTGAATTTCTAAAGCAGTGCAGGAATATAATACAGCAGCATCCATCACTTGCACAATTACCATTCAAAGAGTTTAAAACTGTAACAGGACTTGAAGGGGACAGAGAGCAAACCCAAACATTCATCAGCTTTCTGTCTTCTACCACTTTTAGCCAAGGTTTGTTCATTCCAGTAGCATGTGTATTTCTCTGGGACGGACGAGCAGACTGAGCATTTGATCAGGTGGTGGCTCAGCCATGACCACCTGTTCACCGGGCGCAGAAACACAGCCAGAAAGGCATTTGAGTAAGTCAAGCCATTCATATGTTTCATGATTCTTCATACAATACGTGTGTCTAATTGTTTCCTCACAATACACTGTGTTTTGCCTTCAGGAGGTTCTTGCAGGACAGCCCCAGCCTCCCGATGCACATCACGGCTTAGAGTGCGAAAAAAAAATGAACCTGAAAGACAAATATCGAGTATGTTGGGCCAACATCTGCCATCAACAGTCAATCCTCCTGTTAATTATGAAGGTTAATCTTGATACTCTCATGTCCCACAAAGACTGAAGGCTCCCAAGACAGGCGTCAGCACCCAGGGTGGTGAGAATACAGCAGCATCCTGGCCATGGTTCGAGCTGATGGATGAGGCTTTAGGGGAGCGGCCCAACATCACGCCACCATGCTTCATCGCATCAGCTGGCCAGGATGCTGGTGTATCTACATCACCCTCAGCCACGGTAACGCCTGCAGAAACACCCTGCAGCTCCCTATCACCCTCCAGCTCCACCACATGGCCCTCCACGCCCACAGAGGCTTCCACCTCCACCGCTGCGCCACGCGCCACCTCACCACCCACCAACCCTCGGAGCCAGGGCAGCTCTCCACCGAGAAGGGGGGGGGGAGGAGGCCAGCGTTGGAGGACATGTGGGAGGAGGTGGAGGCCAGATTGGAGGAGCAGGAGAGGGAGGCTGAAGCCAGAAAGGAGAGGAGGTGGAGGGAGTGGATGGACAGAGAGGAGAGAAGAGACAGGGAAAGGGAGGAAAGGGAAGAAAGAAGAGAGAGGGAAAGACAGGAGAGGGAGACAGAAGGGACAGGGAGGCTCGGGAGAGGGAGGAGTGCTTTTTAAACATTTTGGACCTGCTGGCCAGGAGACAGTACGAGTTTTGTGTTTGAGGATTTCAGTTTGTGTATGTTTAATTTAGGCGATTGCTTTATGTTCGAGTAGGGGGCCCAACATTTTAAATGTTACGTTTTTTTGTTCTTAAATGCCTCTGTTTGTGTTATGGCACTATGACTGTGTGTGTGTCTGCGAAGCACTGTCGAACCTTGTTGGGAAATGGCTACAGGTTCTTGAGTGCATCTCCACTTGGAGTTTTCCTGAAGACGATTCGCCTCTCATCCAAGAAGCTTCTTCAGTTCTAAATGCTGGTGGGGACAGGAGAGTAGTTAACCTCTGTGGGTCATAATAACTAAAGAAAGGAGTTTGAAGCCTACTGGCTCCAAGCCCTGGAAGGGGCCAACATTTGTTGGTGTGTTGTTAGTGAGTCAACAATCAGTGAAACTAGTCAGGGTGATATATGCTGTTAGGAAACGTGCCACACACAGCATTATTCCATGGCAAAACTTATTTGGAATAAAATGGTTTGGTCCAAGCAATGTGATGTGTCAATTGTATCTCTGTGTTATAAAGGTTGGTGAAGGTGATTAGCAGATCTGACCTAAGCAGATGGACTTCTCTCAGTGTATTTCATGTTTTGGGTCATCAAGAACCACACCAGTGTCAGGAGCATTTTTCCCCAAAAAATATTTAGTCATACAGAACAGAAATGAATCATACAGTACCGAAATGCAACATAAGTAATTGCCCTATATCAGGCCGCACATTTAAAGGAAACAAACATACCAAAAGAAAGTGTCAACAACACCATGCCCAGCATTCTGCAGTTTTTGGATGACATAGTTAACCTGCACTCCAACCTTCGCCTCTAACATCACTCTTTTGCTGCTCTCACTGCTGCCATTGACAACAAAGTGGACCCGAGACTGGCCAAAGGACAGAGAGGTAGCAGCAACAACAAAACAAAACAACAATCAACAATAATCATGGTCCTAGAGGACAGCAACCGCAACCTCTGGGGCAGACACTGCTGCAGCCAGTCGGTCCCGCAGGTTTTCCCCTGACGCCGCATCAGAACAGGGAGGCGATCCATCTTCCTCAGGGGGAGGCTCGGCCTAAAGAGATCACCGTTGTCCATGCAGATGTTGTGGAGGATGGCACAACAGGTGACCACCTCCAATACAAATGCTGGCTTCACCTCAAGGGCCCTGAGGAAGATGGACCGCCAACGAGCCTTCACCATTCCGAAGGCCCGCTCGATAATGTTCTGTGCCTTGCCATGGATGGTGTTGAACTGGGCCTGCACAGGGTTGGCCACAGGTTCCCAGTAAGACATCAGGAGGCAGATGGGGGCACCTTAACAGGGGTGGCCTCCATCCCCAAGGATGCACCAGCCCCCCAGTGGGTACAGCTGTCTGTAATAGACCGGGCTGTTCCGCAGGATACGGGCATCGTGGACGTAACCAGGGAAGCCAACAAACAAGTCAATAAACCTCCCCTGGTGGTCACAGATGGCCTGGAGCTGGATGGAATGGAACAGCTTACGGTTTAAAAAGTCCAGCTGATGTGCTGCAGGTGGCTTGATGCCGACATGGCAGCCATCAATTTCCCCGACCACTGTCCCCCGAGGCAGTTGAAGCCAGCAGCGATGTCCTCCAGCTGGTCAGGGTCAGGGAGGCGGATGGTGCAGCCCAGGATGCCCACAGCAGCCTTGGTCACCCTGTGCGCAATATTGTGCACAGTGGACTTCGGAATGTCGCAGGCTGCAGCCACCAGCCTGTAGGACGCTGCATGGGCCAGCCAAAAAACAAACAGCAGCACCTCTATGCCCTTTGGCCAGCCTCGGGTCATGCTGAGGTCGATGGCAGCAGTAAGGGCAGCAAGTGAGCGACGAGAGAGGCGAAGGTTGGGACGCAGGTCAACAGTGTCATCCAAAAACTGACGAATGATGGGCATGGTGCTGTTGAGCTGAGTGTATGGCCCACGTGGGCCATGCTGAAAAATCAAAGAAACCACATAATGTCATGTGTAGAACAGAGTTGCTTTTGCGGTGTCTGGACAAACACCAGAAAAGACTAGTAACAAGAAATACATGACAGAGCTTCTAGTTCAAGCACTTCATGTCATGGCTTACCTGTGGCAATGACTCCAGGGCGGTGGTCTATGTGGAGCAGCATCAATCTGGTTGCAGGCATGCTGGCTTTTCTATGAAGATGTGCCACCTCCGTGATGGCACTACTATATTTCCACTCACTGTCAATGAGTAACAGGTGCCTTCTGGTGATGATGCCTAATAAGTCTCAGGTGCGCACAGATCATTGTACAGTACTCGCTGCAGTACTACAGCCAGGCCAGCAGATGGGGGGGCTTCTGTTACCACTGTCTGCACGGGCGCAGTACCTACTCTCTGCCTGCGGGGGTCGTTTTTCCCCACCGCTCGTCTAGTGTGTCCGAATTGGGCCAACGTGTTTAGTATGCAGAAGTACGATCTAGCAGTAGTATGTAGCAGTAGTATGTAGTATGCGAGTGGGCAATTCGGACGCAGCCATAGAGGACAGAAACAAGGGTTGGTGATCTACAAAATAAAACAGGAAATGCATGACATGAAACAAAACACGAATGTGCAAAAATAAAGGAAACTTAACCAACACAAATGTACTGAAAAATAAAAGAGAAACTTGACCGACATGACAGATTTGTTCCAGTTTGATTCCTTTTCTGTAAAAACCTGTCAACAGTAAACAGGATTTTGATTTTAGTAGTGTACACTTATGCATAGTTGCCATGGAAGTGTTCAGTTTCATGTTTCAACTGCTTTTAGAGAGGTGTTGATTGAAGTGTGAGGTCTATCCGGAGGCTCCAGATTGTGATGCTTGTGGTTTCTATCACACTTGAAACTGTTTCTATTACACTGCCCTCTATTTTACGTCCTCTAAGTTATCACAGGGATGTTTGTTTTACCATGCTCGCTCTAGGTGATCCAAATAAAGTGCCATCTGTGTGTACCATGGTTGCTCATTTTCTTTGATGGCTTTACTTTGCTGTTCATTTTTGAATAGACCCAGTGTTCATGTAAAATTCTAACCAGTAAAAAAGACTTTAAAATATGTTGCTCTTTCTCTGGCATTTATAAAAGTCAGGAACACTAGCTATGTTGTGCCTGTTTTGTCCTATTTAGCAAACCCTCCTATCCTTCACAGCAGAGCACAAAGGCTATAACACATCATTATCAGGAACTCAAAACAATTAAGTGTAGGAGTGCAAAGGAGCAAAATGTAATGAATGGGAACTGCTGCGTCACACTGCCAGAGAGAGGAGAACAGGAGCAGGTTAGTGTTTCAGCAGCTGATGCTGATATATAATGCCTTTAACACATTGTCTTTTTTCTTAAATGTAACAATACTAACAAATAAGAAACAAAATTACTGACCTCGAGTGAATGTTACATTGAATAAATGTATAAAGAAGAAAATTAGCTGAGTGAATTAGTCAGAAAGAAAATATATACAAGGTTAAAGTTAATATTATAATAAAACTGCATTATTCTTAACATTATAATATGATTTATATCAAACACAATTCAACAATCAACCAGCCAATTAATCAGTCTATCTCTAATGTCCTATCTACATAGGAGCAGATCCCACCATCTGTCAACTATAGCGCAGAAAAGACAAACAGGTAACATACAGGACTTTTTATTTAACAGATGAAAATGCACTAACTTGTTTTGATACTCCAATTTTATGTTTCAAATTGTTTTTCATGAGTTTTCAAAGAACTGTAGTGAGAAAAAACAAACAGTTGTAACTGACAAGGAGCTAATAGACACAATTGCATGAATGCCATACATGGATCCTGTCTCTAGTGTGCGTCGTATATTATATACATACATACATAAATACTTCATATAAAAAAAAGAGTCAACAAAAGAGAAGAAGACAAGGAGAGAAGAGAAGACATGGGGAGCTACTGATCTAAGGTGGTTGAATCAAATTCACTAGTAAATTCACTGTATTCTAAAAAGGTTTTTTTAACCTTGTTACAGAACCCTGAGTTATGTGTCTGATTTTTTCTTGCTTAAGAAACAGCATCACCTCATGTTGCTAGGGATACTTCAATTTTAAGAGTGAAAACCATAGCTTCACTTACAACAGGGTGAGTGGTAGAGTATTTCAACCTAAAATCAGACTGAGATATCACACACTGTATCTTTAAATTGTTAAACCTTTAAAACAATTCTGCAACCCTAAGAGACATTTAATTACCTTAAAAACAGTTTGATCCAAGTCTGTGCCTCATGATAAACTAGCCAGTGTAAAGAAAAAGTTTGTTAAATAGATACAAATTACTGTATCTTACAATGTTCAATAATGCATATTTGTGGGGGGGGGGGGGGGGGCAACCGCTCTGACAGGGGCTCAAAAAAACTTTCAAAAAAGAAAAAACATCTACCTACAATGCTGGCCGCCAACCATGGTAACATATTTAGGGCAAATTGCTTGTCAAGAAGATAAATGCATCAGTAAAGTATGGGAGCACTGTGCTTTTTCTGTAACTTTTTTCTCGTTGGCATCCTCAGAGACGAACACAAAAGCACACAGAGACAGAGAGAGGTTGCCAATTATAGTAACTGTGTGATGAGGTTTCTCACACTGATCCCCATGCTACCTTTGCCTCTAATCCTTTGTTATTAATTATATCTTCAACAAGCCTACACAGTCTTGTGGTGTCAGCACCAAGTATCCATGGCAACAGCCAGTTGGTCCCAGCTCCAAGAAAAGCACACACATACACAAACACACGCTCTGTTAACCAACACAACTATGCTTTGTTGCAAAGACGCTCTCATAGCAGAATGATTAAGTCTGCTGCAGAAATATTTATGGTAAAATTAAGATAAATCCTGACCTCCTGAGCTCCAAGCCGTAAGCCTTTCAAGCTTTTCCTCCTCAGAGTCTTCAGGCAGGAAACAATCCCGGTTGCCATTATCATAGTGACCAAACTCATGCAGATGCCTGTTGCTGAATTCATACATTACACTGAGTAAAATTAGATTAGAAAACATGGCAGTTACTGTAGATGTCAGAATAAAGGGATATTCTGGCTTAAAATTAATTAAGGGTCAAACACACTGTAACACCGAGTTAGACACCCCCTCGAGAGATGAATGTTGCAGACCGCTTGCTTCTTTAGTTATACCAACTTTAGAAACAACCGCACAATCGCAATACACAGCAGTCTGAGGAGCCACACACAAACCTCAACCAAAACGCCACTCTATAGCCACAAATAATGTTCTTCCTTGAGCTGTGTTACCCCACTGTAGTCCATAATGGACTGGCCCGAGGTCTCGCTACAAACAAGTGGCTGCTGGAGGAGAGTAGGTGAGTTGTGTTTAGTCTCTTTGCTAAAGAAATTAGGCAAAGCTAGAAAGATGTTTGGTAGGTAGCACTATGGCTGGGACCATATATGTACTGTTGATGAAGTAAGGTGCTGTGGCTTTTTGGTTGAGGTTTGTGTGTAGCTCCTCAGACCGCTGTTGTTTACTATCGGGAGGTCGTTACTAAAGTTGGTATAACTAAAGAAGCAAGCATTCGGCAACATTAATCACTCGAGGGGGTGTCTAACTCAGTGTGTTTTAACCCTAACTTAAATTTACACCGGAAAATCCGTTTTAGCCATATGAGCTGTAGGTGTTTTATGTCTCGGCTGTGTGTGTGATTTATGTTCCAGTACCCTGTTATACCCCAGCCAACAGTGCTGCAGTACTGGGGGGGGGGGGGGGGCGCTCAGTGTTAGGGTGTGTTTGACCCTAAATCAATTTTACGCTGGAATATCCCTGTACGAGGTGAGATTAAACCTGAGAAAATCACAGACGTCAGACGTGTTTGCAGTATTATTGATCAATCAAACTTCGTAAGTACTTTTCATACACAGAATGTAGCATTAAGTGCTGTAAATTCAAGCAGGATATTAAAAACAATAAAAAAATTAATAAAATACAAACACAGAACCCCATGCACCCTCCTAACCCCCATTCAACAAATACAGCACTGCACGTCTTTGGATAACGACTGCTGTGAACTGGCACTGTATAAATAAAATTTGATTGATTGATTGATTTGACATGCTCACACACAGATGCATTCACAAGTGACCAGGACCAGGTGAGGAAACGCTATCTTGAGGAAACACTGGACCTAGGACTAAAGCAACAAAATCATGATAATATATAATGAAGGTAATAAAGCGTTAAAAGTTAATTAAATAAAACAATATCAAACAATAAAAGAGAGTAAATAAAAAAGAGGTAATAAAACACAAAATGGTAACTCTAGGACTAAAATAGGGTGAAATCACATAATCACATATTAAGAGATTAAATCAACTAAAAGACAGATTAAAAAGGTAGGTCTCGGGTTTACTTTTAAAAATATGAACATCAGGTGTTGCTCTCAGGTCTGCAGGTAGGCTGTTCCACAGATGGGGGCCGTAACAATTGAACAATAATTCACCGTATGTTTTTGTTTTTACTATGGGAACAATTAAAAGACCACTACCTGAAGACCTAAGGGCTCTGCTGGGCTAATGTGGTAAAAACAAATCAGACAAATAAGAAGGACCAAGACCTTTTAGAGTTTTAAAAACTAATAAAAGAAACTTAAAATCACTCTAAAAGAATCAGGTTGCCAGTGCAGAGATTTTAAAATTGGTGTGATGTGGGCTGTCTTCCTGGTCTTCATCAGCATGCGTGCAGCAGAAATTTGTAGGAGCTGAAGCTGTAACATGTTCTTTTTAGGAAGACCAGAGAGGAGAGCATTGCAATAGTCACTTCTACAGGTGATAAAAGCATGAATAAGAGTCAATGCATTGGCTTGAGAGAGAAACTGGCACACTCTGGAGATGTCCTTTTAATGATAAAATGCCTTATTGGTAACATCTTCTATGTGTGGCTCGAAACTGAGGTATGAATCAAATGTAACACCCAGATTTCTAACTTCTTTGCATGGATTAAAAGCTCGAGCTTGGAGTTTTTGCTCCAGTTTCTCTCTCTGTGGACCTGTCCCAATAACTAAAACCTGAGTTTTGTCCTGATTTGGCTGGAAAATGTTGTCTGCCATTCAGGACTGGACATCTAAAATACAATTAAAAAGGGCATCAGTGGTCCTGGTGTCATCAGGAGACACAGTAATGTACAGCTGTACTTTAACTGTACTTTAGAGTTTACTACATTTAGGGGTAATTACACTTAAGCTATGGTGTCCATAGCTGTGGATATTATCTTGAAGATTTTGAAACAAAAAATTGTATGTTGGCCTTTTTAAGTGTGACAAATTTTCACTGTATAGGCTATAAAAGTCAAATATCATTCTGGGCTTTTGAAACATCACTGTCACCAACTAGAACGCATTAACACAGAATATACAGCATGCTTTCAGTACAATATGCTTGTATTTTGAGGAACTTTACTGAAGCGGGAACTTCACTCACATTTTTATTTGTAGGTCAGAAACAGAGCTCTGTGAGACCACCGAAACTGCCTTGAGTGACGTTGCTGAAAACAGAAACTTGAAGGCCACCTGAGCTCTTCCTGCTCAGTCATTTACCTACCTCTATTTCAGTCCAGGAGTATGGTAGTCCTGAAGTGCAAAACACATTGCTTCATTAAACACAAGGACAGGTCTCAAAACATAGTGAGAATAAGAAAACACAATGAAAAACCACAAATCACAATGACAAATCAGAAATTAGCATTACTGTCTAACAGATTGGCTGTTACTTTTTGTATTTAGTCATTGTTTTGTGATTTGTTTTCTTATTTATTTTTGTGTTTTGACCTGCAAGGCCACCCTATCTGAACCAACCCAAGATATTTCTAATATAGCCTAACTGGACCTGCAAGAGAATACAAAACTTGTTAGGCCAGATACAATGGAGTAATGTTGGAATATTTGGGTAGTTTTATATGTAAATTGTGTTGATCTTTTGTCTAAATTATGTTGTTTTGTGATATAACCCCCTCTTTTCATCCTAATGCAGGTTTTTCTTTGCACAAATGTGTTTGGATGTCTTGCATTTTCCCTCTCAAATCAAAATCCCAGTCAAATTAAACAGGAGCTCTCCAGTGAATTTTTCTCTCATGCACATGTAAAATGAGTGTGGGATTAGCATAATGTGATACTGAGCTGTACAGAGTGACAATGACTGATTCTAATTGAAGGGAAAGAGAGGCCGGCAGAAGTCTGCAGGGCATCAAACCTGACAATTACAGCTAAAAAGCACCATCTGCTGCTGAAGAGGGGTTAAGACCACGGAGGGTTAAGACCATGCTGATTTCATTCATGTAGTGATTTTATTCAGGGGTCAAGTCTCACGAAAAGGTTCGGAGATTTAAGAGTCATTCATAGCTGAAAGACAATTTTTTAAAAAATGATGCAACATTTTCTGCTACCTTTGAATATAAAAACCTAACAAATGAAATAACAGTACCAGAAAACGTTTTCAAAAGCTTTTATGAACATAAAATATCATGTTAAACAAAATTGATACAACATTTATCAAGACCAAAAATCATCCTGAAAACCTTTCATGATTTTTGCATCACTCTTTTAAAAAAAATAAAGAAAAATTACACAGCAACTGTTACCCCCATTCATTTTTTCAACCCACCTCCACACTCAATCCACTAAGTTCCACCTCCAGTAACTCTAAAGGCACACACTACTTTAAAGTTAAGGTAAAGAAAGTGACAAATCACCCTTATCCGGGGTATCGACATGAACACTGTCAATGTAAAACATGTTTTACAAGCAAGTGTAGCTTGTAAAAGGTGTGGAGTTATGCATAAAATTGCTGATCTTTTCAGTATAAAACACGAGGTCTTAAAAGAACACAAGAACATATTAGAAAAGTATTAATTGTGCTGCCAGATATAATGTAAAAGCATAAAAACTGAGAATAAATGTTGCAGTACAAGTCTAAAGTTTGTGTTGTGTAGAGTTTGTGCTCAACAACAGCAGAGAGAGTAACAGACACATAGCATCAGTGATTCCTGTGAGATAAAGGCAGATACTGAGCTAAATAACCATTTAAAACTGATATGAGTTAAGTTAACACGAGTTTGTGTTGCACGCACATGTTCAAAAAACATAAATAAAGGAAATGAAGTGTTGCAAAAATGTGCAAATTGACTGCTAAATGTTTGACAGGTCCAAAATCTGACAAAGGAATAAACAGTTTTGTAGTTCCCCTGCCTTTGTCACACTGAGCATAGACAAAGGGCTAAACTAAGCTAATGAAAATAAATGTTCCTATTGTATAAAACTGTCAAGAAAAAATATAAAAGTACACAGTATACAGTGAGGTTAAAAGGCACAAACATGCTATACGTTTGAATATCCCTTACAAAAGGAGTACAGAGTGAAGTAACACTTCTTTAGAAAACACACTTCCCAACCACTATCCCTGTAAAAAACCTCTTAAGAAGCAAAAATATACACAACTTTGTATGATGAATTATCAATTCATTACCTATGTCCTCTAAAACTAGTGCTTTTACTGTTTTTTTTTTTCTTCTTCTAATTACAGTATTGTATCTTGTTGCAGGTATCTCTGTATGCAGATGACACTATCATGCAGAGTTAGTATTATTTTAACCACTTTTACTTTATTCCTTTTTCTCTGGCTGCTCAATAAGTTTCCCTCTGTTGTACTTTTGTCCAATCCCATAGGGAACGTGTGCAGAAATGGTTCCCAGTTCCTTGGCGCCCTCAATATGAAACATCTGGTCGTCAAAGAAGATATGAGGTCTGATTTTTTGCAGCAGGGGCCCTTTAGGAGCACCAGCCAGGAACAGAGCTTCGTCAATCTCCAGGCCCCAGCTGCGGAGAGTCTTCAAGACTCGAGCCCCGGAGCTGGCAGCGCTGCGGGCCGTGACCAGGAAGGTTCGGATTGGACAGTTCATGCGCTCATTCTTGGCATAGAATTTTCTCTGAAGCTTACCAAGAGCCTCCAGGAAACACTTTAGGGGACCCTAGGAGAGAAGACGAGGCAGGATGACTAAAAAAATTTACTGATTAGGAACACTGGGGCAGATGAAGAGTCATTTTGAAGCTACCTGAGCAAGAGGCTTGTTCTCAAACTGTTTCTCATGCTGAAAGAAGGTATCCAGGCCGTGTTTCTTCACAATGATCTCGGACTCATCAGAGAAAAGGACAGCATCGCCATCAAACGCCACCCTCAGCTGAGTGTCACTCAACTGTGTCTCTGTGTCTGGCATAAACATGGTGGCTGCAGCGATCCCTGAAGGGAAGGGTTGTTTAACACCATCAACAAAAAGTCTCCAAGATTACAACACGTTAAAGAAAACCCTGACAAATTTCAGTTTTCCTTCCCTAAAAACAAAAAGGTTGTTCCAACTTTACCAGATATGATAAATGGTGTCAACCTGTTTGGGTCTAGAGTAGATTAATCACACTTTATCTCTGCATATATAGCTGATCATTAGGTGCTAAATTAATTCAAAAGATTAAAGAGTTTGAATTTAAAAGATCCAACAGAGGTATATCTGGTCATAGAAATTGTGTTGAAAAGGTACAGTTAGCATGTATCACAAATGGTGGCCTTCAGATGAAAGTAACACAACAAGATGATTATTTCCTCTATCAATTAAACTTCAAATATTATTTTTTGTATGTAATTTCAAGAAAATGTGCATTTGTTACAAAAAGTTAAACCTGTTAAAGCAGCTGTACAAAGACTTACAAAGTCTTTGGTCTGGCATGTATTTGTTTTGGAGGCGAATGAATCAAGATGGAACTTACCGGTACTTAGAATTATTTTTTGTATTTTTTATTTATCTATTTATTTTTTGGCTATCTGCAGGATGCGTAGTGATGAGGTTATGTATATATTTTTATCTCTATGAAATATAATATGCCGTTGGTGAAACAAAGTAATTTTGTATATTGTGACTTGTATTTTTAGCCTACAGTTACGTCCCATTTGTAACAGGAAACCTACAACAAACAGATTAGTCTAGATAACTTGGCCGTAGATTAGTGTATAAAGCTAAAGTTGTCACATTTCCTTGGTAATGTGTTATTGTCATATCAATAAGCCAACAGTGTAAAAAAGCACAGCTCACGTTATCTGTCTAGAAGGAACTGGGCAAATTCAAGATCTGACTTGAATCCCTTCAAGCCCCGCAACTCTCTCCACCTCGCCAAGGAATTATCTTGTTTTTGCCCTTGCTCAATCACATTCCCTTTTCGTTTTTTTTTTTTTTTTTGCTCTTCTGTTCTAATTCGCTTTCTTTTTGTGGACCCCATCCCATCATCGGCCATGTGTAGCTATTTGTTTTTGCTTTGTTCTCACTGGCTCGCTTGGCAACAACTCACTGCTCCTCGCCCTGTGTAAGTGCTGTAACTTCCGGCCTGCGTGCCGTTAATCGTTTTGTCAGTGGGCAGACCTGATCAACGAATTCTGAAAGTAGGAGTTAGACTATTTAGAAATATCTTATCTTCCCTCCAATCAATGGGCTTATTTTCTGTTGTAGGTGACACTGATATATCAGGAGAAACGAGATACTTTTTAAAATCTAGTTCAAAGTTCCCTACAGAAACCTTAAGGAAACTGTCTCTCATAGACAAATGTTCAAAATCCTCAAAATGATTTTGCTGTGATACAGTAGTAATAACAGTACATGATTCCCACATACAGAAACTGGACGTGTTTTGCATTTGCTGCCTTTGTCAGCTTATATCAGTTCATAAAACACTATTTTCAAGTCAAATGTTTAATAGGTTGTGCCACAGCTATATCTGAATGTTTCAGACAAGTTTGTTTTCTGTGCATTGAGACCACAGGGGGCCATGAATCACATGCCGTCTTCCTGCAGTTTCTTCTTGCTGCACAGTGTGGGGTCGGGTGTGAATCACAAACAAAACCAACATGACAGTGTAAATATCAGTGTAGTACAAACACGCCCTGAGGCGACTGACATGCAAGGATGCACTGATTTATTTATGAACCAGAAAAGGTTATGTCTAAGAGAAATGGAGATTATGATCTTCCTCACCTTCCTCGATGGCCTCTGTGACTTTCTCAGAGTCCTTGGAGAGGTAAAGATTCGTCATGTAGGCCTTCAGGTATCCTATGGGGCTTTTACCTCCAGTCATACAGAATCTCTCAATGGTTAAATCTGAAAGTAAATAAAAAAGGATTTGAGAGAGCTGCAGGAGGAAATCAGTGTCTACCTGCAGTGTTTGACAGTTAATGTCAGGTCAGGACATAGCGTACCGTAGTGATTGATGCTGTTTATGAGGCGCACTCCAACCTGGGCATGGTTGTTTGTCATCAAGACGATGTCAAACAGCTCCTCACTGTCCGGGTAGAGAGCCCTCAGTCGAGTGTTGACGGTCATCAGAGCCTGTGTGTGGAGGACAAACACCGAGAGCCAGGATGTTGAGTCAAGCGAACAACATGAAATTTCAACACAGATTTGACGTAATGTGAACCTCAGTTTCTCCTTTTTTTTCAGTTAAATCAGACAGCCCGGGGGGAGAACACCAAGTTCTAAAAACAACATTAAAAAACAACGAATGTGCCTTTAAGGGTTTTCTGTTCAGTTTTGTACAGACATTGTAACTCAGGTTAGGCAATGAACTGAGCAGAAAATCACACGATGTCTTCATCACACCACTCAGTTGTTTCGTAAAGTGTAGGCTTGTTTAAATAAATCTAATTCGGTTTAAGTTGTACCTTTCAATATGCAGAACATGTGCAGCGTGTGGCACTCTTCATATGTGCACATACTGTTGCATAAGAAGCTGTCAGGCTGGTCTCTGTGATATATGGTGGCTGTTACGAGGGTAATAAAGATCCAGTGTTTGCAACTTTAAGACTTCACCTTTGTGTTACACCACCCAGGCATATTAATAGTCATCTAAGTATATTTAGACAACCATATTTGCAGTCAACATTTTCATTTATTTTCAGTACATAATCAACAAGTTTTTCATCATTGTGTACACACAAAAATTGGAATTATGCACTAATTTCTGACAACCTGGAGCGCACATTTCAACTCCATGCTGCTCAACTCTAAGATCACTTCCCTTGGTCTCACTCCAAGTCACAGTTCTGCTAACCTCTGAATACAAACTGCATCCTCAAGCACACTTTGTTCACTTGTAGACACTGGCAATCAAAACGCAACACCCTGATGTCCGATTAGTCTCCCTCATGTCCTACCTGTGCTAACTCAATTAGATGAATGCTTAAATCATTTGTCAGAGAATAAAAGAGGCCTCAAGTGACCTATACATCCAGATGAATGATAGGGATGGATATGCCATGGTAGACATTTTCCCCCACTGCTGGGTCAGGGAGAAAATCAAAGCGGATGTGAACGAGGTTCTTTGGCCTGACGGATATCAGAGGCAGGACACTGATTTGTTAGCTTTATTGCATTTTAAAGCTCCTTTGATGTTTTACTTTTTTCTTTTTGACATTGCTGATAAAGACTGAAATTCATATTGATGCCCTCTCATGATATACAAAAGCAAACAAGACCATCAGTGACAGTTTTTGTATCATAGTTTTTAATGGCAGGAGCCAGTACAAAGGGGGGGTCAGCTGTGGAAGAAGCCCTGTTTTTGCAATTTAAACAATGAAAGATATATGTAACAGTGAAATCAGTGAAATGGTCAGCATAATGACATTTGTTGTTGTAAGTCACTCAATAAAGCTCCTGTGAGGACCTTGCAGTTTGTGTTTTCTGTGGACAATTGGTCTTTGCTTTTCTTGTCCACTATGTTTGAACACTGCCTTCTGAAAAAAAAAATCTCATCCTGCTGACATGACATAAAAGTTTATCATCTAGGCTATTTTTTTTTTAATTTTGAAAATGTCTAAACGGGGTTGTTGCTTCAGCTGCACAGCTGACACCTCCCCACTCGTTTTAGTTTCAGGCATTAAAAAAAACAACAACACAAGTCTTCAATCTCATCACTGATGGACTCGCTTGCTTTTGTACATCATCAAAATACATCAACATCAATTTCAGTCTATTTCATTAATGCACAAAAACTCCTCACAGGAGCTTTGAGCGTAACAAGATGCTTTGTCTGCAGGGGGCGCCAAAATTGTCAAAGGCACTAAAAGTTCCTCACAGGAGCTCCAAAATCATTTTGTCAGTTCAGCTGAAAACTTTGTATTTAAAGTATAAACATATAGGACAGTAGTTTAAAACATCATCTGACTTTCCTGCAGATTTGCACAGTAGCTTTCTGCTTTAATCCTCTTAAACAGCAGCTGCATTTCCTCGCTGAGGACTGGTGTGATTTTATAACCTGTCTGGCTGCATGTCAAGAATGACTGATACAGTTGAACAGGGGGGCGATAGACAAGCTTTAACATTTATTTTCTGCTCTAAAAAGCATTATTATGGCTTGCAGAAAAAAACGTGATGGGTTGAATCATGCCAGATGTCAAATTGCATAATAGCTGAGGTGTGGCTTTGAGTGTAACATCCAAATCAGAGCCAGCTTCACTGGCCAGGCGTTTGTGCAAGTATAAGGTATTAGTGTGCCTTCTCTATGCAACACGCCTTCATCTAAAAAGTTTATGTACACAAGGAGTTAAACGGTCTCTTTTTGTAAAGCCAGCTCTTCCTGGTCTGAACTGAATCAACAAAAATGCTTCATGTGGACCACACCCCTCAGCTTATGGTGATCTGCAACAACAGGTTGGCAGCCTCCATGTTCTGGCCCCTATTGTACACCCTACCTTGACAAAGGGAAAAGCTGCTCCTGGTTTCAGAGGCTCGCTCTCATGCTCCACCTGATGGGCCACATACTTCTCCAGTCCCTCTTCCTCGTAGATCTTCCTCTCTTCCACCATGTTGAAGAGGGTCCGAGAGGAGACGGCGATGGTGACAGCATAACGGGGTTTAGGCTGCGAGTGAGGGGAAAGTGGGATAAGCATTAACAGCAGCACGTGTTACATTAAAGAGAATATGGGTGAACAGCTTAAAATAAAACTTTGTCAAAACTCTGTGAACTTACAGGTCTCGGTTTTTCAGTTTTGAGGCTGTCGAAGAAAGCTTTGGCCGCAGCCCAGTCCGTTTCCTCTGCGCTGTCTTCAGTCGGAGCGGACTCGATCGGTTTAATTTCACTCATTTTCGTGAATGACTCCTAAATTTTATCCAAGCTCTGGATACACTCAGGTGGAGAGGTGAGAAAGAAGCAGCGAGTGAACTTTCCGGAAGTGTGTACTACAGGAAAGCCTGGGTGGTGGGCGTCCCCTCCATCTGTGACGTAAGCACTCCTCGGCATCACCGCGGGCATCACCTTAGCGTGGTTGCGAAAGGAACCTCTCCTGTTTTCACCATAGACCATACAGTCTATGGTTTTCACTGAGCTGGTGTTCTATCGAATATTGCTACCCACTATCAAGAAGTGCCATTTAGCGATTCTGCGCACGCGAAGAACTAACACTAACCAGAAGCAGAAGAGGGTTTATTACCATGCAAGTTTGCTTAATGAAGGAGTTTATCCTCGTGGTTTGGTTCGGTTAAACACAAATAGGTCATATAAATCAAAAGCTTTTTAACAGTAGCATTACATGTGCTAGGAAATCTTCAATCTTCTAATAAGAGCCTTCAGTGACTGGAGTCACAAAAACTGCCTCCTCCTCAACACCTCAAAGACAAAGGAGATGGTCATAGACTTCTGTAGATCCAAACCCCCTCTTCAGCCAGTGAACACCGTGGCTTCAGCCAGTGAACACCGATGTCCACAGTGGTGTGGACATCGAAGAGGTGACATCATATAAATACCTAGGTGTACATCTGGATCACAAGTTGGACTGGTCTAAGAGTATAGACTTCATCTACAGAAAGGGGCAGAGCCGCCTCTTTTGCCTGAGAAGACTCTGATCAATAGACATCTGTAGTAAGACGCTGCAGATGTTTTATCAGTTTTCCCCACAAGTTCAGGAACTTTAACATTTCTTGTATTAATTATAATAATGTATTAATTAATCACTGTATAATCACAACAATATAAGTCAGCCTATTTACAACAAGTTTTTAACTATCTGGCTGCATTTGCAGTTCAGTTACTTTACAACAGGACAGCTAACAGAATAGTGTGTGACGCCTGCCTGCATGTGCAAGCTGTTTGTGGTTTGACATGATGTCAGTTTTAAATTTTGGAGAAAATCACAACATCTCATTTAAAAGGTTTTATTTGAAATGATTTTAAATACAAATAATATATTTTTCCATTTACAATGACAGTTCCTTTGTAAACAAAAGTGGCAGATAGATAGTCATTGGGTAGTTTGTCCAAACTGAGGCGGCCTGCGGGCCTGTTGCCTTGACGAGGTCTGTCACGGGAGAGATGGTGTCGTATTTAACCTCACTGCAGTTTGTTATTTTTCCACACAGCGTAAATCACTGATGCTACATTCTATTGCAGAGCGATAAATACTCAGAGTATAATATAACCTGTTAGCATAAACCTGCCTTCGACACAATTACAGGAGGGTATAGTGTGTTTAAGTGTATTTGGTGAGCGCGTCCACAGAATTTCAAACTTTTGTCTCTCCTACACCGGAATTACACAGTAATAGAAGCTGTATAAAATAAAAGAAGAACTTGTGTGTGGATATTTACCTTGAAAGATGAGTCTTAAAAAAAAAAAAAAAAGCCAAGTTGTCGACATAGAGAAAGAGCCCACAAAGCTACACAAGGAAACTCAAAGTCTGCCTTCCCGCGCTCATGTGAAGAAGAAAAAAATAAGCATGATGGAACTAAACATGACAGACACGTACATTTTACATTTGTTAGAACTAGTGGAAACATAAAAGGTATACATGGTGTTTAAAAAAGGGCTTTTCTGTTGATTTTATAACTGTGGAGAAAAGGTGCACCTGCATTACTTCAGACCAATTTTTATTTGAGACCCTAAGATCAGGTGCACCGTTTGTGTCTGGTACCTTCAGGACAGAGCTAAATTTCATACAAGCTCACTAATCCACAGATCAGACAAATACTTATTTTAGTTGTTCAGTGATATGTATACCAAGACGCCAAGGTTATCATGGAGAAGAAAGCGCTAAATCATAACAAAATGGAAACATTAAGGATTTTTACAAAAAATAACTGATTTTTTTGCTCTCCCAAAAGCACTCGCAGACTTGTACATTGTGGTATTTCAGTTGTATCATAAGGCCTTTTTGGACAATGATTTTAAACTGGAATGTGCTACAATTGAAAGAAAAAAGACGAGAGAAGTCGCTTTACTAAAATTCTGCAGTGATGTTTTTATGTCATTATCCGAGCCCCTTAAAAAGACAGAAAATTCACTCATAAATTTGATGAGTTTAAATGGATGAGAAATCTACTTAACACTGCAAGTTTGTCGACTCAAATCTTGTACTTGAGGTTGACCTGCTATCGCCATTCAGGTCCAACACTCAGAGAAGCAGCACGATAACACAGGAGCAGATCAGGTGATCTCCTTTGACCTACAGTGAACACGATGACAGACAAGTGACTGTTTGGTGTGACCGGGAAATAAAAAAAAAATTAAATAAAAAAAAAAAGGGAGACTCCAGTGGGCTCCTTTGCGCTCAGAAGAGCGAACAACCCAATGATTGACTTGAATGTGAGCAGGGCTAAAGCTTACACATCTGCAGTTTTGAGTGTACAATAGAAAGTATCATTGGTGTGGAAAACATCGGTGCAGAGTGATTTCAAAATTAGGAGCGAGGTTGGTGTCATGTTTCCCACATGAAGATCACTTTTTTTTCAGTTTTTCATTAATATTTGCAGGATTAGCCGTTATGCACCCCCCTCTCCCCATCCCACAAAGAAAAAGAGCCCAAACAACAGGTCCTCCAGTCCACAGTGTGTCAATATTTCATACCTGTACAAACACATACAAGGCTACAAACACACACACACGCTCCACTCACCCGTACTGTAGCACACACACTCTCACAAACTGTCATCCAGTTGCACAATCGGGCCTGGGTAAGTATTCACAGAATTCTCTTCCACTGCAGCAGCAGCAGCAGAAGTTGTAATGAACAAGTCTCTGTAGAAAACCAGGAGTGGAAGGGCGGGGCCACAGTCCATGTCACTGTAAAGATAAAATGGAGGAGGGGGACTCTGGGTGTAGAAACTGTCCCTGCTGATTCTGTGTGTGTGTATCACGCTCCCCGTTCTCTGCTTGAGCGCTGTTCTAAGGTCAGAAGTGGGTGGGTGACCGGTCCGTGGGGATAAGGAGGGCGTGAAGCTGGGCATGTGTGTGTTTGTTTGTTTGTGTGTCTCCGCGCTCAGTCGTTGTCCTCATCGTCTTCTTCACTCTCCTCGATGCCGTCACTGTCCTCCTGCTCCTCATCCTCTTCCTCTGTGTCGGGGATGTCCCACTGTGGGTGGTTGTCCAGCATGGCCTTGGCCTCATGGACCTCCAGCTGGGGAAACACACACGAGAGTCAATATCAGCAAATGTACACATTGAGATTTCACTCCTGTTGTTTACCTTCTTTTTCCAGACTAGACTCTTTAAAGCAAACATATATACATGTGTAAATATTTATTATAAATCCTCCTCTTTCTGAAAAGTCTAGAACAAAAGTTTAGTTTAGGGAAGTGAGTGTAAAAATGATCTTCCCATTTTTTTGTGTGTGCATAGAAGTAACTGCTTGTTTTGTCTGCTTTGCTGTCGGTTTTTATGCAAATATATGATTGCTTGTCTGTACCTGCTATAATGTTAGTTTTTATTCAGTGGTTTATGTTTTATGTGCTATATTTTAGCTGTCTAACCAGGGACAAGGACTGCAAATTAGCCACGGCTAGAAGTCCTGCATACACAGCATCGGTTACTCTTTAGTTAGGTGCAACAATGCTTGATGTATTGCTGTCCCTGTCAAATAAATGAATAAAAAAAAAAACAGCAGAGTAACTGAGAAGCAGCAACATCGAAGCACTGCCAATTCTGGAACACTTAACCAAATCCAAATGACAAAAAAAAAATGAATCCCAGATATAAAATCCCTCACAGCAAAGGTCAAGTGCTGGCTGAAAGCAAATGAGCTGTACTCATTTTTAATGTTGTATTTGAATTTCTAAGTGAATCTGGGGCATCGAATTTCTGTGTTTCTATTATATCTGTAATTTTGTGCTCAGGGAGAGCTGTTATGAAATTTTAAGACATCTTGAAATTTCAGACAATGAAGTCAGTAAAACTGAGATAACATCATTGACATAATATGTTTTGGCCACCCCTAAACAATGCTTACAAGCAGAAACGGTTGCAGTGGGTCCAGAAATACATGAAGACTTATTTTCAAACAGTCTCGTTCACTGATGCCGTGTAACCCCTAATGGTCCAGATGGATGAAGTAGTGGATGGCCACCATGTCCCAACAAGACTACAATGTCAGCAAGGATTAGGCAAAAAACATTAGGAGTTATGTTTTGGGTCGGAATTATGGGAAGAGAGCTGGTCAGCCTTTTTAGGGTCCTTGAAGGTGTGAAAATGTCCTGGCTAAGTATATAGAGTTTCTGAATGAATACCTTCTTTCATGGTACAAATAGAAGAACCGTGCTTTCTGTAACAAAATCATCTTTAATCATCTTCATGCATGACAATGCACCATGTCATGCTACAAGGAATACCTTTGCATCATTGGCTGCTATGGGCATAAAAGGAGAGAAACTTCGTCCCCTGACCTCAACCCTATTGAGAACCTTTGCAGCATCCTCAAGCAAGAGATCTATGAGGGTGGGAGGCAGTTCACAGCCAAACAGCTGCTTTGTGAGGCCATTCTGACATCTTGCAAACAAATCCAAGCAGAAACTCTTCAAAAACTCACAAGTTCCATTGATGCAAGAATTCTGAAGCTGCTGTCAAACAAGGGGGCCAATGTTAAAATGTAACTTGACCTGTTAAGATGTTTTTGATTGAAGTAGCTTTTGATTTTGGTAAATATGACCTACTGCTGCAAATACAACAAATGACCATTTTCAGTTCCTTAGATCCTATAAAATGTCTTGAAACTCTGTTGTGCATAATAATTTGGAACAGTATATTTTAAGTTTTTTATTTTTGCAGAAAATACTGTTTGGGAGGTTTGTTCAATAACATTTAAATTATACTCTGATGGTTAATTACTTGAAAATTATGTTGACTGTCATTTGTGTTGACTATTTAGAAAACCTGAGAAAAGTATCATTTGCATAATAATTTGGAACGCAGTGTGAAACTGCTTTTATTTTGTAGTATTAACTTTTTCTGGTGGATTTTAAGTAACAGATCTGAATGAAAACAGTCAAAAGAACAGTTAGACAGTATAAATGCAGAACCAGTCACTGCTTTTAAATCACTTTTTGAAACACATTTTTAAATTGCTTTTATGTGATTTTTTCTTCTTTACTCTTCTTATTCAGGTTTTATAACCTCTTATTCGCTTTTTTTTTCTTTTGTTATTCTCCCCTTGGTCTCAGGTTTTTGTTGTTGGGCTCCTGTGTTGGCCAGGTATCATGGTTCTTATGATGTCTTTGTTTTAATGTCTATTAACGACCTCTCAGCTCATGTGACACTCATCAAAGCTTTTATGTCTTCCACTGATTTTTATCTTATTTTTTTCTTTATTGCCAATATTGACACATTAGGACATGTAGTCTGAGTTTTAGTCTTGTCTAGGCTCTTTCCCCCAAGTGTTCTCTTGTTGTCGTTCTGTTGTTTTTATCTTCTTCGTTTACCTGCATGTTAAAGCACTTTGTAAACTCTTGTTTTTAAAAGTTTGATATAAATAAAGTTATTACTATCATTATTATTATTATGAATGTTCACCCAGTAACCTGAAGAGGCACAGGCTCTTGTGCTGCATCTGACCAAAAACATGAGCAATCACAAATACAAACCCATTTGCTCACAGACACATAGACTTCCTGTTACCTTGAGCGGTTTGATCTGGTCCAGTCCCAGGTAGGAGTCTGAGCGGAGGATGACAGAGTATTGGTAGTTTCCTGTTTTGGAGGGGGCTGGAAACTTCAGCTCCACCTGGGAAACAACACCAGAAACACACAGTTATAAAACACCACTCAAAGCTAAGATGTCAACTGTCAACATTATGGGATCCCTTCATACACACTCAGACAAACCTACCTCCTCTGTGTCTTTTAGTGTGCACACATGGTAGGGCATGGAGACGAGGGTCTGATCTCTGCGGTCCGCGATGTAGAGCCACCACCACTCCTGCTTCTCCTCGGGGAAGTAGAGGCTGTAGACCGGGTGCGTCACCTTCGACTTGGTCTCCAGCAGGGCTCGCTCTCGCCGTTGGATGCTCTGCTGCAATGCCTCCCATTCCTGATGGGCATGTGTGGGAAGAAAGGAGTGAGGTTTGACTTATAGTAGAGGCAAAACAAACATTCAAGGATTTATTTTACAACGGTTTATTCGGACCTCTTCATCATCTCCGCCTATCTCGTCCACCTCTGTGTCGCTTTGTTTGTCGCTGTCTTCGTCTCTCTCACTGGGAGAGTCCTTGTTGGCTTCGCCCTCGTCTGAGTCGCTGCCTTTGTCTGAGGCGTCGTTGTCGTCCTCTTTTGCAGCTGGTGCAGCTACAACTTCCTGTGAAATCAACATCACAAACAAATATTTATTACACACTTGTTCATATGTTGTCCATGGCGATACATTCACTGAACTGAGTCTGGACTTACATTTCCGGCCACATTGCCGTTGGCCTGCTTGGCTTTAGCGGGTGCAGGAGTGGCCTTCTTCTTAGTCAATTTTTTCTTCTTGGACTTTGCTGTCTTCTTTGCCCCTTTGCTTTTGTTCTGCCACACTTTTGTTTTGGATTTACTCGAGTCTCCTTGCTGTAAACACACACAAATAAGGCTCACTGAAAAGTGCACAATTTGGTGTCTGGGATGCCATATATATATGTGAATGTGTGTGTTTTTTTACCGTTTCCTCTGTGGTGGAAGCCTCCTCTGTCGGGCACGTTGATGAATCCTGCTCCTTTTCAAACACCTCCTACACACACAATACACAGATGTACTCAAACAGAGTAAACCCATGAATGAACCTGGTTAATAGCACACTCTAGTGGTCATCTTTGGAAGTGCGAGTCTGCACAGTCGATTTAGGGTGTTTTCACACCTGAAGGTCCAGACCAAGGTCCATGTTTTTGTTACATTGGAAACATTTGGTTTGGTCTGTTTAGGTTTCACACTGTCATTATTGCAAACAGACTAACAGACTTTACATGACAAACCTACGTGATATCGTCATCAACTGTGTGCTTTGCCTGTCTCTGTAGTTTACACTGATTGGTCATTAGGCCAGTGGGCGTCTGACATCAACAGGTTAAAAAGCGCATGTTTACACCATCTTGAACAGTGTAAACATGGATGAAATTGTCATCCCCCCCCATCATATTATTGCTGATTCTTAACTACCAACAGCAATAACTTCAAGAGCTGTAAATGAGGCTGGTCCGAGTTTGTCTCATGAATCTGATCATCAGACGACAACTTTAACGATTTTGACAGGAAAGGAAAAGAAAGTATACAAGACAGCGAGTCACTGCAACACCGGCTCGGGAGAAAAGTATGTGTACTAAAACTCTTGAAAAGATAAACTGTCAAAATCTACAATATTGTAAAACTTCCCGTTTGTGGACAATCTCCATTACATAGAATAACAGACACTTATACTCCTCGTGTCATTTCCTGTCTTTGGTACAAGGTCAGAACCTTTCAAAATGATGCTTTCACACTGGGCATGAACCAGACTGTGGTTCAGTTTGGTCTGGACCCAGACCACCTCTTTTGGTCTGACCAAGGTCCTGGGGAGGTTTCATACCTATCACTTTGGTTCAGACTAGAAAAGTCTGGACCAAATGACGTAGGTGTGAAAGCCCCCTTTAACGCCATTCACAGAAGCTGCTCTCTAGTAACTCACTTTTTTGTTAGTAGTTAAACAAAATGCAACCGCTTCTTACCGACATCCGTTTTCTTGTTAAGGTGACTGTTACTGTAACGATGGATCCTGCTGTGATGTTATTGCTGTCTTCATCATCAAGGACTGCAAAGAGACAGAAATAAACTTCTAATCACAACTTTAAGAACTCTGAAGAACAAAACACATCCATGTATATTATATTTATAATATACTAGGTCATTTAATGTTAAACAGGCTTATTGGTGGCACAGATGTTTTCATAACTATATGCAGTGATGGTGTAAGTGAGTATTTTAGGGCTGACCCTGCAGTTTGATATCCATGGTGATGTGAGGGAAGCTGCCCAGCACAGCCATGACTTCATCGTACTTCTCCTCTCCGAGGAAGCGTAGCATGCTGCGTCTGTCGGAGTCCTTCAGGCTCACCAGGTCCTGGAGGCTCCGAACTTTGTACTGAAGAGAAACAAACAAACAAGTGGACCACACGTTTAACCACGTTCATTTAATAATTACTCTAACACCGAGCGCCCTTACAGAAAACCAAGTGTAATTGAAAAGCTCTGATATACACAAGTAGTCAAGAGGAATGCATGTCAGTAATAAAAGTGGAAAAAAACATACTGTCATCAATATTCACTGACGCAGGGACAAAGGCTACACAAACAGGCTACATCAATGTTATGCTAACGGCTTGATTTATCAACAGCTGTAACTCAGACCTGAAGATGGAATTGAAAGGCAGACTTTAAACCCTAAAATAAAAGGTTAACATAGCCTTTTGTGTTTTTAGAGAATATAGGGGTCTGCCAGTAAGTAAATAACAGGGTGACTACAGGTATGAAGAAGTTATATTTGAGACTTTTTAATACCACCGTAAAGAAAATTTAAAACCAGAAATTTACGACCAATCTTTTCACCAAAGTGAAAATATATTCTTTATTACTTAAAGGCATTGATGTCAGTTAAAAATGGACAATAAGGAAAAATGAAAATAATCTGTTTTTCAAGAAAATTCTTCCAATGTGTTTATGAACAAAAGAGCGTTTCTGCCGCTCCCACTGATGTAAAATTGCCGGGTCAACTTTGTAGAATCTACTTGGTCTCACTCACAGCGAGTCTGTTAGCCAAGCTGATAAACACAAGCTCATCTACAAAGCCCGTCACTTAGATTTAAAAAAATAGGCTGTCATACAAGAATATATATTCGATTGTGGTCTCAGCCTTGACAACTCAAAGTTAGCCCTTGCACACACAAATAGCCGTGACACAACTGCGCTGCACGATTAAGTCTTTTTTTTCTCACAGAAAAGCTGACGTTCTAACATGTCCAAGTATCCAGACTCATTGTCGCGTTATAAAGGTTTGTAATAAACAAAACCATTTGTAAATCTATTAAGATTTCAGCGAGTTAAGAGCATTTTTGATTACGCAGATAACTCACCTTACAACAGCTACCATAGAGCGTACCAGAATAGTATACAAAGATGGCTGCCATATAAGGACACTGGTGATGCTGCCTTAAGCCATCTGGCCTTTCTTATAGATATCTATGGTCTGAGTTTTCAAGCCACTTGTCCTTAAACAGGCATTTTCCTATTTCGTGCAAACAAGAAAGCCAGTATGAGTCACAGGGATGTAACACAGACTCATTGCCTTACGTGATCTAAATGCTGGTGCGAAATGAGATGGGACAAGAATAGCGTTTATTCCGTGCTAACCAGAAATTCTCATGGTGAAGTGACTAAAGACTTTTTAAGAACCCGCGGTACCCTAAAATAAACTGTGGACAGCTTGAGTGGAGCTTTTACAGATGTACTGTGGTTACCTTCTTAGAAATGCAGTAGCGGAGGTGCTCCTCTTCAAAGTGAGGCAGCTGTAGCAGAGGAGATTTTGACTCCTGCAGACCCTGAACTATCATCTGGGTCAGCTTCATGCAGTTCTCTATGGTGACCAGTCGAGGAGCATGGAAACCTGCAGGCACACAGACCATGGGGGGCACAAAGGTTCAAACGTTGTTTGGTGAACTGAGGCCTGTGAAATATTCAAAAGTGCTCGGGGTGTACCTCCTCTGCTGTTGGCCATCATAGTTAGCTGACAGCCCACATTGATCATCTCCTGGAGGAGAGCTGGACTCTTCCTCGTCACAAACCTCTGATCTGGTAAAAGAAAAACACACAAACAAATATTCAAAGATTTTCTTATATTCCACATCACTTTTTTGAAGACCTAGACAAGAAAATAAGAGGTTTAAGATGCAGCTTTCATCAGAATCTTCTCTGCTATGAATAGTGAAGTGTCTTCATTATTTATACACTCTCTCAGTCAGGGAGCCAGTGCTGCAGCTCAAAGGTCCTTCAAAGTAACACAGTTCACTGAGAGTCTTTACAGTTTCCCAAATCGAGTAAAAACTCTCAAAGTTTCCCTGAACAGCTTATCCTCCATGAGTAAACAGTCTCACCTCTGTGTAGGCATGCAAGCATAAAAACTAACAAGGTTGTATAATCATAAAAAAACAAAAACCTGTGAATATAAAACTTCACTCGGAACAGCTTGTGCAGCTGTTTTAGTTTGGCACTCCAAGAATCACTTTCCTGACACTGGTGTTACCTTTGAAATGGCTAACAGAGGCTAACTGAGAAGGTGTGGCCATGAAATATTCTAAATGAACCATCTGTTATACTGTTATACTAGCCTACTGTTGTGCTGACAGACCTGCTGTACGAGTTCAACTTACAAAGAGTTGTGCTAACCCCCTCTGCTACACAGCTGTGTTATTGAATCAAAGGGTCTTTCAATCAAACCGACACTCAACAAGGTGATTTACTTTACAACATACAGCTGTTTCCTTGATAAATACAGCTAAATGATAGAAAACATTTACACTGGTATACAACGGATGCAGCTCACTGTTTAGATATGAAAAGTGCATCTTCTTCACTGATTTCTGTAACAGACTGTGGAATAGCACAGCTGTGAACTTCTTTTGTTGTTTTCACTGAATGTTTGTTTTGATAAAGGGAGTCAAGGGAGGGTTTTTAGTTCAGTAGCTCAAACAGAGCATACCCATAACCATAGCAACCCTTATGCCTGTCTCTGTGCAAGAATGAGAGTGAAAATGAGACAGAGACAGGGAGCTGTTCTAATGCTGGTCTGAGCAACATGCACAACAAAATGATGCAGGTTTTCAACCAAGTTGTAGACCTTCAATGACAATGCAGCAGGGTTAATCATGTGTTTAAGCTTTAATGAAGTACTGCAGCACTATTGGCTGGGGTATAACAGGGTACTGGAACATAAATCACACACACAGCCCGGACATAAAACACCTACAGCTCATATGGCTATAAAGGGTTAAAACACACTGAGTTAGACACCCCCTCGAAAGATGAATGTTGCCGACTGAGGGGGGAGCCCTGACGAGTCGATCACAGAGTGCAGCGGAAGATTTATGATCATTACTTCATGGAAATGCAATCAGACGGATATGCTAAGGCAGAGGAACTACCGCGTTTGCAAAATGATTAATATGGTGATTATTACTTCATGGAAATGATCTGCTGCACTGGGTGATCGACTCGTCAGGGCTCCCCCACAAACAAGCGGCTGTTGGAGGAGAGTGGGTGAGTTGTGTTTAGTCTCTTTGCTAAAGAAACCAGGCAAAGCTAAAAAGATGTTTGGTGGCTAGCACTATGGCTGGGACCCTATATGTACTGTTGATGAAGTTAGGTGCTGTTCTGAGCATTATTTGTGGCTATAGAGTGGCTTTTTGGTTGAGGTTTGCACGTTGAGACGTAGACCGCTGTGTATTACTATCGTGTGGTCGTTACCAAAGTTGGTATAACTAGAGAAGCAAGCAGTCGGCAATATTCAGCTCGAGGGGGTGTCTAACTCAGTGTTACGATGTGATTGACCCTAACTTCATTTTACGATAGAACATCCCTTAAATGCTGCAGGTTGAAGTCTGCTCTTCATCTCTATTCAAAACCCTGATTTCAGTGGGTAACACAAATTTATCTCACAGAATCACATTCCCAGAATTCCCTGTCCTACCTTCCTCTAACTCTTCTGATACATCCATGCGCGTCAAGTGAGCGAGCACCAAGACTCTGGCCTTCAAACTGTATGGATAGCAGAAAGGAGGCTCCTTCTTCTTCACGTTGATGTTCCCCAACTCACGGATCAACTGGAATACACAAAACAGGAGAGACTGAGTTAGCATTTCCTCACACAGATCTGTATGCTTCTTTCATGCTTTAGCACACTTTATAGTTCTGCTATCACCTGTGGCACTTCGATGTTGTCTGTGGGCCGTATGGTGGCTTCTTTATTGCTGCGAGGGTCAAACTCAAACGCTGCCGTCAACACCATGGTTAACCCTGTGACCAGTAACACAAAGGATGACAATTCAGTCAAGACTCACTGACTTGTTTTGCGTTTGCTGGTTCTCCTGCTTGTTTGATTTGATTTTGACTAGATGTCGATGTGAAAACGTACGCTTCATGTTCATATTCGGTGTCTTGTACATGAAATGCATGAAGAGCTGGGTTGTATTGATGAGGATCTGGTCTCCACTGTACCGGATGGAGCGGTACCACCATGTGCCCTGTAATAGAGGACAGACAAGGAAAAAAGAGAGTTGAAAATCAGTCTTTTGTAGGGATGAACTATTAACTTAGAAAACAGTTAAGAGGATGGTGACTATGGCTCCGCATGAACCTGGAGGAGGAGACAGGCGTGTATGCATGTGTCTGAAACGTCAAGGGACAGAGTGAGCTCTATGAAAAAGATACTGAAGCAATCACGAAAGAGCACAAACATTAATGAATTCACTTCTGCCAGGCTAAACGAGTGACGTCTTTCAGTATCATGATGAAATATAATCCAAAGTCTTCATGTAATAAATGTGAAGGCTGGAAAAGACTGAATGGTATGTTTGGGGTTTACGTAGGTCTCAACAAGTCAAATTTAAGACTTTTTAAGACTTTTTTAAGGACCATAGTGAACACAGTTCAAGTTCCATTTTACATCCATACCGGCAAAAAAAGAACATTTTAAACTAACTTCAAATCAATCTTTATTTGTACCCACTGAGCCTTAGACGTCTATTAGATGTCTCATCTTAGTTTAGACAGAAATTAGCTCAGTCTAAATTTTAGCCCGAATCTAGACTATAGAATTTAATCCTTAAACATTAAATATTACATAAAAAACAACTGTGAGTTGTATAAATGGTTTTTTTTTTAACAGTCATTGATCAATGTACAGTGTAGTTTAGTCTGTTAGATGGCTAGTCTAAGCTTAGACGGCTAAGAAAACTTTCATTTTTAGACCAGTGGTCGACTGATTTTAGTCCAGACGTCTATTACGACCATTAGAAGTCTATTAAACATCTTTAGACCGAAAAATGCTCAGTGGGTAAGTAACATTTTTAACATTTTTAAGATCTATTAAACAACTCACTGACAATGCCCACATAGATAATGCAATGCAACTGTTATAACAGTTATAACACATAATAATACCTGACCTTGTAAGTCATGATAAAAGGCTTTATAATGGGTTATATAATTGCTGTAAAAGATTATGATCATTTATGAGTGGTTATAACTATAGTTACATAGTGCTATAATGTGATTATAACACATTTTAAATATATTTAGAATGCGTTATAGAGATAGGCGTCAAATAAAGTGTTACCCAAATTTGTATTTAAGGCATTTTATGAGTTTTAAGAGAATTTTAGACATTTTAAGGCCTTAAATGCGAATAATGGGTTTTAGATGTTTTAAGATCTCTTTAGACCCAGCAGAAACCATGTCTGTTAAATCTGCAGCCAGTCATGAAAGGTAATAGTAGCTATTCAACAGTTCAGCTATTGATGTTTTTTTGTTGTTGTTGTTGTTATTCAAAATAGTGTATAGGTTTAGAAGTTTAGAGCATGTCACATTAAGAGCAGGTGTATTAAAAAATTATGATATTTATGTCAATCAAAGTAACAGAGCAGCTACGCCACGCTGAGAAACTTACCACAACAACAGGAAGGATGACCATGAAGGCGAGTCCATAAACTAACAGCACCTACAACAGAAAACAACAGACATACTGTAAATTGAAAAGCATATAAAACCCTACGTTTTTGATGACACTGGCCTGCTTCTACACAAACACAACAAACTTTGAGTGAATCAAGGCAGGCAGGTGTAGGAAATAAGAATAAACGCAGACCAGCATTGAGTTCTTTTGGTCAACAATCCAGGCAGGCAGGGCGATACCAAAGCTGGTGGCTAGAGAGGAGACACAGAAGATGCAGGAGAGCAGTTTAGCAGTCACATAAATCTGTAACAACATTTTTATTTCAGTGAATATGCATTCATCACACCCAGAGGACAAGCGTCTGTGAATGAAGGAGACACTTGTTCATGGGAGGCTCTGGGTGTCAGCTCTTGCTGGAATGAATGAGCCGTCACGTTCCAATTAATCTCCCATTGTTTAACACGTTGAGGGTTTCATGAGGGCTGACTCATCAGCATCAAGCACAGACAACATGTCGGCAGATAAACAAATCATCGATACTGAGGGATTTTCAGGAAGCTTTACTCACCCCCTGGTCCATCTGGGTTGCCGTATGTTTCCCAGTTTTGTCGTGACTGTTCATTGGTCAGACTGCGGAGGAAAAAAGTGAAGGCTAAATCACTGATAGAATAAAACAGTTCAGCAGACTAATGCTTGGATTTCTGTCCGCAGTCTTAATTTTCTCGCTCTCTTTGGAGCATGACTGGCACTTACGCAGCATAAGCTTTGGCAATTCTCATGAATGTAGCCTCATCACCACCTTTGTCAGGGTGGAACTTCAATGACAGGACACGGTACTGCTTCTTAATTTCTGAAAGCGATGCACCCTGGAGACAGAAGTATATTTTCATCAACAGAAATCACCAAAAATAGAGATGACTGTGCGGTCTCAAAAGTCGTGACAGCACATATTTTTCCTGCAGAAGTTACAGCTTTAATAATCTTGAACACAGCGAATGAAAAGTGTCTGTTGAGACATCTGGGGCATCGAGGCAGACTGTGTGTGTGTGTGTGTGTGTGTGTGTGTGTGTGCGTGCTTACCGGGTCCAAATTGAGGACTTCATATGGATTATACTCTTGGTATTCTCTGTCCAGCTTAGACACTTTATAGGCTAGCAGCAGGAACACAGCCCAGCCGAATAGCAAGGCTGCTTTCCTGAAGAAGGAAACACAGACAGAAAAACTCATTAACGCCTTCTCTTGTTCTCTGCAGACGATGACAGTCATTCTCACTTCACGCAGGGTTTGTAAATATTGAATCTGTTTGAGATCATGATATACTGCAGAACCTGAATGCAAAAACAAACTCCCTCTCAGGAGCTGAAGCTCGACATGTTGATTCTCCCAACTAAGAGAATATTATTTTAATACACTGCACAGAAGCTGAGAGGCGGGAGAGGGTCTTATATTGTTTTTCTTTTTTTGTTTGGTATCTATGCTCAAAGTTGAACTTGTTTCCATGACAATGGCAAAGCCCTATGGCCTGCTCTGCAGCATCTGTTGCCATGACAACCCCTCAGAAGCCCTGATATGTCTGAGTGGCTCGACTGGAGAGAAAAAAAACATGTAGGGTTTGTAATAAAACTTGCTATTATGATACAGTTACGATGAGGAAATGGATGCTTATTTTTTTCACAGGATAACCTTTTGGTCCACTCTGTAAAGAAAGCATGTGAGCACTTCCACCAGCTTTAGTGGCAAGTGCAGCCAGGCAAATAAAGAATTTATGAATTTTCAGAAGAAAAACAGAGTAAGTCTAGTGACTGAAATGAACCGGGATGGGAAGTGGACGTATTGAGACAAGAATCTGAGGCAAAAGAGAAACACAAACAAAGTGAAAATGGAGGATGAGTGAGAAAACACCCTGAGAAGCACATCTCTCCACCAACCTGCATAAACAGAGTGAATAAACAGCACTACAAAAACAGGGTCATGTTCAAAGAGATCTTAAACAGTGCTGCTTAATGTTTACCTCCACCGCACAGAAAATGGAGGTTTGCCTGTGATGACAACATAAGCCAAACCTGTGCCAAAAATGACCAACTTCAACATTTAAGTCTTCAATCTGCCTGCACTACAGATGTAAACACCGCCTTTGCTTCATCTTCACGAAACAGTGACAACATCTCTGTCCAGCTGGAGACACACTCAGTGAACCTGTAAACTATCAGGGACAGATAGACTGAACTTTGTAAATACAAACAACTCCGGCCAGTCACGCCCAAACAGCTGAGTTTTATGACAAACCTCAAAGCAAAATACAGCCACACCTGTTTGGAGATTGATACGACACCTAATCTATCTGAAGCCATAAATGATAAGTTGGGGAACAGTTCCAACAACAACAAACACTGAATGATTCAGGAGTTTAATAAGACTGATTTTCACTGTGAACATGCATGTTAGCACACTTACTTTAATGTTGGGACAATGCTCTGCTGTGACTTCATCAGCCTGAGCCGGTACCACAAACACCTGCCATGTACCCTCCTCAGGCTCTTTAGACGCTGTTGTTCTGGGAAAAGAACAAACAGAGAAACATTTCTCTCAATTTACATCTAGTAACAGTCAATATTGATAATGGGATATTGATCAGGGTAGAATTACCACTGCTTGAACGCAGAGGTGTGATTTTGTTTCTGAGAAAACATTATCAGAAAAGCACTAGGAAAGCAGTAAAAGTCATGTGTTTATTTCAATCAGCTTGAAATGAGTAAAAAAATAAGGATTACATATTAGATTGCACTCTGGTTACAAGAAAGATTTTCTTTATGACTTAGAGGAAACATATTGCCTAAAATGACACAACACTCAAGCAAAATAAGAGTTACTTTAAAGCTCCAGTGAGGAACTTTTGGTCTGTGTACATTTTAGCAACACTTGTGGACAAAGCAGTCTTATATTGTTCTCTTCATGCTTAAATAGCATCATCTGGCTGACATGACTGTTACATTTACTGTTAATTGTGAATATTTTAAGTGGAAGGGCTGTTTCTTCAGTTGCTCAGCAGACACCTGCGGTACCCCTCCCATTGATTTCAGGCATTCAAAATTACAAAACACAAACCATCATTCATGTTGTTGATGGTTTTGATTGCTTTGCTAATTTTTAGGTGTAGAAAAACTCTTCACAGGAGCTTCAATGTACTGTCAGTAAGTCTGTTAATCTACTGAAGTTAAACTATTATGTAGGAGATGTACTCAAAGTCCGGAGTTATTACTTTTAACCCATGGTGGAGGGAGGAAGACATGCTCCCATATTTTCCTTAACTATTTTTTTAATATATACAACTAACAGCAATAATCTGTGAGATACTTTCACATTATGCACTTAGTAGATGGTCCCTGCATGGTGAAGTCATGCCTGCCTGTGCAGAAGAGCTCATTATTTAACCTGCAAGCTAAATTTCCAAGATAGGCTTCCCAAAACAAAATGTACTATTTGTTTCAAAGTCAGTTGTCCAGAAAATTTTGGCATGAAATGAGATTTGTATTTGATCCTGTTAGGTGAAGTAAGCTAAAATGGAGCGTAATAAGATATTTTGTGACAAGGAATAAGAAAAAACTGGATTGGATTTGAGTCTTTTGCAGCGTAGATATCTCAGTCAGCTGACTCTCTTACAGCTTGTATGTTTTAGAGATTTTTAACTCCTAATGCTATGTAGTGCAACGCTTTACATAGTAAATACCTTAGTTAAAATGCTCTTTTAAGAAAAAGAGACAACTACACAAAAAGTCATGAATTATAGTAAAGTGTGTGGTCACTTTCCTGCATGCATATGTTCCCTAGCTCATGTCAGAGAGGCTCATTTGTTGACAAACCAAGCAGAGATAAGGATGTGTTGAGATAAAGCACAATGACGAGCATTTAGCTTAGCGTTTATACAGCCTGACATGAATATTATCCATAAATGTGATAAAACAGGTGATCAGTCGAAAATCAGGCACTTCGCAACGCTGCTGACTGAACTCCTCTGTCGCTGAGGTTAGTGAGTTAGCCAAGTTAGCCGTGATCCAGACATCGGGCCTTACCAGCATTCTGATCCCGGGGCCAGAGGTAATATGTGGCCGGGATCACTATGAGCCCCACGAAGGATGTAAGGAAATAGAAAAACGTATTGCCGCTGTCATCGTACTGAAACTGTTGGCCGGCCATTTCGTAGCGGCGCTTAGGTCGCCCTTCTTCTCCACCGCTGCTCTTTCCCCCTTCAAGCCCAATGTAAGAGACTTGACAGGCCGTGAGCTAGCCAGCTAGCATTCGATAGTAGTGGCCAAAGCAGCGCTTGGGTGTACGTGTTCTTCTTCTTCTTCTGGTTCTCTGGCAGGTTGTGGCCATTCCTCAAAAGAGTTCATAGCGCCACCTGCGGTACCGGGGTGTGCAGCACAGATTCTTTGGCACTACTGTAACAAAACGAACAAAAAAATGTAACCCTGAATGTTTCCACGGAAGTGCATTGCAGACCCTGATCTCGTACTTACGAAAAAAGATCTCGAAATAACGATATAAATGCAATATAAATAAAAAGGAAATGTCTGTTAGTACCCACTGAGCAGTAATGGTGACGCTATCCCAATACAAAAAAGAATAAGGTGTTATTCAACCCTGTATGGCCAACCCTCCACCTGGTTGTTCCCTAACCATTTCCTTTTTATTGACACCTCTTGCTTTGATAGATGTTTCTTCCTTCAATATCACTGTCCCATCTGTCCTGTCATATCTTCATCATTTCTGTTTCAATCAACACATAGCTTCTTCTCCTTTGTCAAAAAGAAGCCTATTTTTACACCAACCCAAATATTGTTTGATTTTTTTCAACAATTTCATATGCACTTATGTGCCCTGAATGTGCAGGTACCCAGCAAAACTTCACATCTATTTAAAGACTGCACAGTGTGAATAACTCAAATGAATCTGTAGCATTAATTATGGTTGTATGTTGTGTATAACTGCATGATATGTCTCTTTTTCTTTAAGTTTCATGCCCCAAAAAAGAATACAGTTATGAAAAAGTACTTTATTGATGACAACAAATCTTGAAACATCTTGATTTCTATTGTTTGATGAAACCTTACTTATTGTTTATGCCATATCAATTTATGAAATGTGTTATGATAACAATACAGAAGGAATATATGATCATTTCCTGCATTTTATTGTATCCACTGATTTCATATGTACACCATGATGTCATCCAAAGGCTTGCGTTCCAAATCAGGTACCGTGGCATCAGTTGCAGGATAACCTACAGGGAGCAACATCAACAGCTTCTCATTGGCTGGCCGCTTGAGGAGGACCCTGAGCTGAGGGCCACAGTTTAGAGGCGTTGATGTGACGGTTACAAGACCCACATTCTGACAGGAAAACAGACAGAATAAACAGACATAAATTGTTTTTCATGTATTTAGAGAGGCTGGGTAAATCCACACATGTGGGTTGATGTTACTCTTTACCTGTAATGCCGCCAACAGGATCCCACAGGAGATGGAGACACTGATTTCATTGTAGTAATGAGTCCTTTTCTTGCCGTTTGGTAAAACACCATAGGTTTGTTTGAAGATTAGGACCAGGTATGGAGCGACATCCAAGTATTCCTTGATCCAGTTTGTTCTGCAAAAGGTGGCAAATATTAAGAGGAAACTTAAGCATAAAGGTACTGCAAATAGATTGATATTGGTTGATAAAGAGCGTGTGGATGTTTACCTTAATTTGGCCAAATCATTGACCCACTTGTCACCCATCCTCTGGCGGTAGTTGACCTCTTCTTCTTCTTCAACTATCAGTCTGATCTTGTGTTTCATCTCTGTGTCTGACACCACAACAAATGTCCAGGGCTCTGTGTGAGCTCCACTAGGTGCTGTACCTGCTCAGGTGAGATGGAGGCAAAGCAAACAGAAGTATCAGTAACAGGACAATGATGCTTTTTATATGATTTATACGTATTCCTGGTAGACTAAATTTGAACATACCTGCAGTTCGAATGACATTATTGATTACTTCACGAGGCACAGGCTCTGGGCTGATGAATCTGACAGACCTCCGCTGGTTCAACAGATCGTGAAAGTCTTTGGACCTCTGCAGCATCACCTCCTCGGGGAAACGTGGTGGGGAGTAGGGAACGTGTTGCAAGTCCTCCTCCTCATGGTTGTCCACCCAGTCGCCATCATCTGGGAGAACAACAAAGCAAAGTGAGAAATCTCTGATTTGAAAGTAAATATCCGAGGCTTGAAGTCACCTTCAATAAGGAGGAAGCCTGACAAAGTTTAAAGACATTTTACATATAAAGCAGGTCTAGACCTTACTATTTGACCTCATATATCCTTGACCCAAGTTTAAGACATTTTTCCCCAAAATACATTTGACAAACAATCTAATTAGGATTTCAGGTTTAGAAATTGACATTTTTTAAAACTGATAGTATTGCTTATCTGACAGAAAGTGTGCTCCTTATAAAAGAGGCTATCTTTCATTAACCAGTCCAGCACCAATGGGGTGTAAAGATGGAAGGGCACAGAGAACAAAGTTGCTCAAAAGTAGAACAAGATGGTTGATTTTTTTTTTGTTAAGAGAATAGTTTTTGATGCAGCAGAGACATAAAACAACTTTCAAACTGACAAGAAATATGTTACAGAGTGTAATGTCTAGAGATGGCAGGCTCAAAAAGATCATCCTAAGATGTGTGCGTGTGTTATAGCCATCACCACACTTCATCCATTTAATAGAATGCAGGTTATTTTCAGCACTATGAGACTAGAATACTGATACCATAAGTGTCTCTATGTTAAGAAAGCCCATGAAGAATATAAGCGACTGCAAACTTAGCTTTTTTATGTGATTTATTCATCCAAAATTATGCTATACCATGTCATTTCCTCAATGAGATGGAAGACTCAGATTCTTTAAATTATATAAATAAATTAGGACTAGAAATACTATTTAGTCAGCCAAGTCCTTGATTGAAGATGTTATAAAGGATAATATAAGGATAGAGTTAGCAGGAATGCAAGCAGGCCTCTTAAGTGAAGTTGAGCAGGTTACAAGTACCTCAAAAATGTACTTGGTGCCACTTCTGATTTAGTGGAAGCCAACATGGGGTCTTTTTGGCCGTCTAAACTTTTAAGAACACTAATAGCCAATCTTTGAAATATGTAAAATAAATGGAGAAATTAGCTCTCTAACATACTGAAAAGTGGCATTGTTCTTTGTTACAGGTAACCTTTTTCTAAAGGAAAGACAACAGGTCCTCGATTACAGTAGGCCAACATACATACATACATTTCAAAACCATAGAAGAAGGCTGTGCATACACGTTCCTTTGGCAGAGTAAACAATAAGTTACTGTAAAATTGAAAACATGGCAACCAAGTCAAAAAAACAGCTTATAGGATCCCACCTTCCTCTTTTGTTGAGATTTCGGTATCGTCCTGTAAGTCCTGGTCCACCCACGGTCTAACGTCCTTTACTTTCGACGCCTCTTTACTTTCACTCGGGGAAGTCGAGTTGGTCTCAGTCTCCCGTGATTTTACAAACATAAAGCCCAACACCAGACACAGGACCACGGCCAGGACCGGTGTGAGGACGGACAGGAGAGCCATGATAGTCCGAGAGGAGGGAGGAGAGCAGGACCGCTGAGCTGGCCAGAGGCCCGCATTTATGCAAGAGGGGTGGTCTTATCTTTGTGGGTCTGTGCCTGAATTTACAGCAGGCTGCCCCTCGTAAATGTATGGAATTTGTCTGCATGGTTGCTTTTGCAGAGTTACTGAGGGCTGAACTATTTGAGGCAAAATAAGTATCAAACGTACTATCTCCTATTTAAATAGGCTTCACCAAAAATCAATCTACCTGCGCAGATGAGTAACCTCAATATGTCTAAAGTTCACTGTCAGTTTGTTGTTCGAGGAGAGTGGAGAGGTGATTGGTAAGCAGATCCACCCCTTGGATTTATGCAACTTTGCACATTTGTTATCATATAGCTATAAATCCACGAAGAACCTTGCTTCCTTTGAGGTTGTTACATACACTCACAAGAAAAATACCCTTTAACTTGTCAACATAAAATTTCGGTGCCAGATATTATCGTTTCAAAGGCAATATTCACAAGTTTAGAAATCTTTATCATGCATGTTTGTTGATTTGCAAGCTTGTAAAAGTGAATGAAGCAGGACTAAAACAGGACAGGCTTGGTAGAAATTGAACATAATATTTTTAAATACGTTTGAATAGTGTAGCCTATAAATAACTAAATACAAAAATAGTTCAACTTAAAGGGATATTCAGTCATAAATTTAAGTCATGGTCAAACACATTGTAACACCAAGTTAGACACCCCAAAGAAAGATTAATGTTGCCGACTGCTTGCTTCTCTAGTTATACCAACTTAAGTAATGACCACACGATAGCAATACACAGTGGTCTCAGGAGCTACACACAAACCTCAACCAAAAAGCCACTCTATAACCACAAATAATGCTCAGAACAGCACCTAATTTCATCAGCAGTACACATAGGGTCCCGGCCATATTACTAGCCATCAAACATCTTTTTAGCTTTACCTAATTACTTTAGCAAAGAGACTTAACACAACTCAACCACTTTCTTCCAGCAGCCGCTTGTTTGTAGCGAGACCTCGACCGGTCCATTACAGACTGCAGCGGGGTGACACAGCTCAAGGAAGAACATTTATGATCATTACTTCATGGAAATGTAATCAGACTCTGTGTTACGGTGTGTTTGACCCCAAATTAATTTTACGCCGGAATATCCCTTTAAAACGAGACATTTATAAAGCAGCAGGTGCATTTCTGTTAAGGTTGCATCTTGCCTCACCATGGAAGAAGCCTACTGTGGCATGAAAGGATCAAACCTGTCATCTGTACTTATGTGTGCACAATGAATGCAAGTTGAAAGAAGAGGAGGGTTTTCTAAGTTGGAGGGACATTATTAGCAGCAAAGCTTGACAACTGGTGAATTTGTGCATCACAGGAGCTGCTTGTCCCCAAAGGTCACCATCACTTCATTGTTTCAGGGAGTGAGCAAGGGGGTGTTTTACAGGATAGAATCTGACTGCGAGATATTGCCAGACAACTCCATTTCTGCTTAAAATTTCTGAAATTTGACTCAGGTTTAAACGTAGACAAATTGGATGATCAATTTCAGTGCGTTTACATGTTGTCCAAAAACAAACAGCACAGAGCTGTAAAAGTGACAGCGTTTTCATCATTTGAAGAAGGCCTACATCCCATTAGCATCTCTGATACGTTTTGCCAACTGTTTTGACACATAATAGGTCAACTGAGAAATGTTCTTGCCTTGTGTTTGTAAGCCAGGACAAGGACAGTAGTGTTATTAAATCACCCAATCAAGCTGTAACTGTAGCAATACCTGTGCATGTAAAGATACTGACTGACTCGGATCAACTAACCTTTAACTTGGAGCAAGTTCAGCCACAGTCATTTTTTTTTTTTTTTTTTTTTTTTTGAGTTCATAATTTAAGGACATTTTCTCCTACAAGTGTTGTTAGATAGATAGATAGATAGATAGATAGATAGATAGATAGATAGATAGATAGATAGATAGATAGATAGATATACTTTATTGATCCCAAACTGGGAAATTCCTATGTTACAGCAGCAATAAAAACACAAAATAAAATTAAATATAAGAAGAAGTATGTACAATACAGACTAAATATATACAATAAATACAGTCTAAATATATCATTTTAATTGACCATGTACTGCATGATGTACTTCTGTCCAGTTATTTCTTGGCTAGGGGGCAACATAAGGAAAGTTTGGATCATCTTACCCCACTCTCCCCTATTGTGTATTCTCACATGCTTCTCTGAACACAATATCCAATAACTATTTTTCCCTTTTCAGCATTTTTGAGGAATATAGAGCGACTTGTTGCTGCAGTTAGTTTTGAGTGTGCAATTTTAAAATGTCTGTAACCATATGATGAAGCTCACTCAGCCTTACTTTATACAATATGACCAACAGATGGCGCAGACAGCTCACCTATGATGAACAGGTCTGTGGGTTCAACATCATTTAAAACATACATCAGTATAGGGCGTGTAGATTAGTCTTTTCCAGACATTTTTACCGGACAGAACTTTTAAAATACCACTCAGTGAATAATAAACACACAGAGGAAAGAAGTGGCTTTTATTTTGGGAGAAAGAGCCTTGGCTGACTATCTCTCTCTACCTCTAGTGCGCTCTTTCGCGCAGGCAAGCATCATTGAGGGAATTTTGGGTGGCACACTGCAAAAAATACCCTACTTACACATTTTTTAATCCTGACAACAATTTTACTCAAAAGTAGTCTACTTGTGAACTAGCTAAGATACTAGAATTTTCAAGAGTGTATTTAACGGAGAGTTGAGGAACCCTTTTAAATATTTTATTACTTATGATTGGAATGGTGATGCCCTGCAACGATTTCCGAAAATTAGACAATTAAGGGGGTCCATGTTTGGTCAAAACAAAGGGTAAATAAGAAGGTGATTTAATGCTCCTTTGTGGAAAAAAAATGTTCTCCTCTGTCAGAGGTAAACGGATTTCATTTTCAACAGGAGACATGCTCCTCAGAAGCTGATTTTTTGCAGTGCTCGCTCCGCCTCTCGCCTGTCTCCGGCGCTGCGCTTTAAATAGCAGCTGTTTAAAAGCTCCCCACCATCCTCCTGTCCGCCGTGCAGCACTCAGCCCCTCTCAGCACCGCAGCAGACCCCCCAGTCATTCACACATTTCTTTAACAAAGCAGCAGTCTTCACAAACCGCAATGTCGGCCGCCAGCACCGAGACCAGCGCCCCGCTGCCTACCGCCGGGAGCCGGGTCTTCTTTCAAGCTGCAAACGGCGTGGGCTGCGTGGGGTCGAGCCCCATCACCGGAGACGACCCGGTGCAGAAGAAACAAGGCAAAGTGACGGTGAAGTACGACAGGAAAGAGCTGCGGAAAAGACTCGTGTTGGAGGAGTGGATCATCGAGCAGCTCAGCGAGTTGTACGACTGTGAGGTGAGTGGAGACACGCGCAAATGTCACGTATGTTCATGTGGAGGGACGGAGGGTCGGGCAGGCCACAAGCAGAGCTTAAACGATGTGGAAAAAAAGTTGAATTTGCCCTCCTAACCTTTTATTACAAATTTAAAATGGCAAAAACATTAGGTTTCTACAAATGTAGTCTAATTTTAAACAACTTTGGTCTAGTTGCTACGTGCCTCGAGGTGCATCATCTGGATCTAAAACTGTGGCTTGTCCGTGATTTACAACGTTTAAATCATCCTTCTTTTTACTGCTAAGGTAGCACACATCGGTCCCCTGAATTTCCAGTTAAACAGTCTATAAATTCAGGTTTACTGTAGCCTCTTTGTCCTCTGCAGCTGTGATACCTGCTGGTTTCGGTGTGAGGCAAGAATAGCAGCAGAGGTGTTAAGGCGACACAAAAGCTGTCTGGTGTAATAACGTGGCTGTTTGCTGGACTGTTGTTCACTCTGACTTTGACGCGCTGTGATGTCTCCTCTTTCATCCTATTTGTCGTTCAGGCACAGAGAAAGAGAGGAGATGGTTGGTTTTGCAAAGTAGGTGCGAGAGAAACCGCGCGGTTGCGCCTATTACGCACAGATCACGTCGTTGTTTTATGACCTTTTTGAAGAAGCTGCGTCCATTCTTCTGTGAAATTATCATTTTATTCCTTGTATCTGAGGTGCATTTTAGTGGTACTATATAAGGCGCTTTGTTAGTGTGTCTGTGGTTGTTGCCTACAGCGAAAATTCACCAAAGTGAATTAATTCTTCGCGCGTTTCTGTGGCAAATTTCTGAACTTTTCAACCCTCTCCACCTTTCAAAGGAGGATCTGTCGCCAGACAATATCGACTACCTGATTACTGTGCGCTCTCACGTTCACAAGCCGCATTCTCTAACACATTAAAGGCTTCATCGCTGGTTGGTTGCGTGCGTTAAGGAAGAAGTGTGCGCAAAGAAGGGGAGCATAGAGGATGCAGAGAAACCCTCCATGGATGATGTGCAAGTCCCCCTGTTTGTGTAGCTTGTGTGTGTATGTGCCCACTGCCGCACACAGTATGCTGCCATGTCGAGCCAATAAGGGGGAGGGGATGCACCAAGGGGAGCAGAGGAAAGAAGGGCAGTGGGTTAAGGATGTGCTGATGCTGTGACTCTCCTCGCCAGCCAATCACCTTCTCTGGCTCTGACCCCCTTCTTTGCAACAGAGGGTCTACATAAACTCACACATGCTGCATGCACATACACACACTAGAAGCATACAGTATGTCTGCCACTTAGCTCAGCCAATCAGGAAAGAAGCAGCCTGTGTGCGCGTGCAGTCACACGTGCACACAGGGACCTGTCAGACGGCACTGAGGGGTTTCATTTGAGTATGAGGGTGTGTGGGAATCGGTTGGTGTGTATGTGTGATTATTTATTCATGCGTTCGGCTTTGCAGCGTCTCTAAGGTTGACGGCATCTCATGCGCATGTGCAGAGGGGAAACACCTGCACAAATCACAGCAGGGCTTTAAATGTCAACAACAAAGCAGTGTTTTCTGGCTGTTGGTCCCTCTGCTAATAGATCATTGCAATGCAAATGTTTTGTCCTATACAGGGAAATGACTTGATTTGAAGCCATTAGGAGCTCTCATCGCTTCAAAACTTTATTAACGATGCATCTTTTTTGCAGCCATAAGATGCTGTTTTTTTTTTTGTTTGTTTTTTACTGTTGCCATCCCAGGTGAAAGAGTAGGAAACCCTGAGTAAACTTGGGGGACTTTTTTTTAGACTTTCTTAGACAGACAAACATGGTTTAGTAAACAAAGACGGTAGGCTTAACCGTTTTTTTTCACTTATTGTATTGTTCTGAGAATAGAGAGTTTTAAAATGTTAAGATTTTTAGTTGTATAAATGTGTGCGTTGTAGATGCAAAATCATGGGTCATTGCTTTTCACAATTGTGATGCCAATGCAAGGATTAATCGGGGAAAATAATTTATGCCATTATCGAGCAGCCCTGGTACTGGGTTTACATTTCAAAGCCAGCTCAGCTCTTGGCTGAATGTCAACCCACTGTCAGCAGGTGCTCTTCATCTACAAGTTGTGTGATGTTTCTCCCCCATGCAAATCGACTGAGAGTCTTTTTCAATGTTTTGATGAAACATGAAAGGTTGGAGGGCGGTGAACCAGAGCTGATCCCAAGGAGTCACAACATGGTCATGCGGCGATTCCTGTTTGATTTGTGTAATGCAAATGTATATTTAATTTATGAGTTAAAAAAACAAATACCATGACCCAGAAAAGTACTGATGTCTGTTTAAACCTTGTCTGAGGTATCCCTTTGTCCTTGACTTCAGTCTTGTGATAAGCAGTATTATACCTCCCCATATTATATCTATGGGATATGATATCACATGATAATCGCTTGGTAAGTCTGATATCATACCGGCGGCAGGAATAAGCAGTTTTGTCTGCTGGTTAAAAGAAGCTATAGCAGGCTTTTAGAGAACAGTGCATCATTATTATTTTGATGGCCTGTCACTTTGGTACATTATTAAGGCTTAACCTTCATCTGTGCATCAGTACTCTCACCCATGAATAGATAGATGATGGCAATGTTTGAGCAGGTGCGCTCAAACTGCTGTGCTGATGATGTCTCCTGTCACATGACTGTAATAAGGAAGTTACAAACTCCTGATGGCTGTTAACACCTACATGTTTAGACAGAAGACAGACACAGGTGTGTATATTGTGTGGCGGCTGTGTGTCTGTGTGTGTAGGAGGGAAAGTGACCGCTGATTTGGCTGTGATGGTTTGACTTAAAGGTCAGCCGCTGTATCAGTTTCATAGGAAAACCTGATACTAGAGGACATAACTGTGTGTGTGTGTGTGTGTGTGTGTGTTTGTGTTGAGGCAGGGGGGCTGTTGAAGAGTAAGGAAGCGTAGGTTGGGTTAATTCAGTGAAATTGGATTTTGTTTTCAATGACAGGTAGAGTATGGGAAATTTTTCAGTTATTCCTGTCCTTGGTGTCCTGTGAGGTCGGTTGAAAAACCTTAAAGCTTGCTGGATGCCAAACAAGGAGTCTAAAAAAGGCCAAGTGTCAGCTGCATGAACAGGAAATGATGCAAAAGATGAACAACTTGTGATACAGAACCATCTGTGTTGGTAGAGCAAGCGCTTCGTGTACAGTGGATAAAGCCCTACTGCACTGGTTTTAAGTAGATCCTTGGTCTTGGGCCGTACTTGGTGCATGTCATTTTCCTCTCACCTGCCCCACATTTCTTATCTCTGTAAAGCTATCCTATCAAAATTAACTCCACCATAAATAGATAAATATCGAAGACTTTGTAGGTTCTCAATCATCCAGGTCTTGGTAATCCAAAGCTAGATCCAAAGGGGCAACTAGACTCCAACTAAGCCAAGATGTGATAACTAATTCCACTCTGAGAGTGGGGTCCAAATTCATGGTTTGCATCCTTCAAGAGGCACACTTGACAATCCTATTGTGTCAAAGGTGGTCTTGTTACAAAAACTCTGTCAAATGTGTCGCACACATGCTTCTTACTTTTTTCAGGAATTACAGGATTTGTCGGGCCTAGAAAATTGAAACATGGCCTACTTTGTAGTCCAACATCAGCATAATCATGGATCAAGAAGTGGCACTTTGTGATGCAAATGTAAGGTTGGGGACTTTTTAAATGTACAATGGGACGACCTCATCTTCTGCCCCTTCATCTTCTTTCATAGTTTTATTTACGACCCAGCTTCAAAGCAGTTTCAGTCAGACTTACATATATGTTTAGATGTACTTTAGGAGTCCAGTTTCATTGGGCCAACTCACTAAATTGATTATTGAATAGCATGCAAATGTATTGATCATCAAACCTTGAAACATGAAGCATTAACCAACAAACAAATCACTAGTATTCAATACAGTGTATTCTTCTTAACTCTTCATCTCCATCTTTATTTCATAAAAATTTCCTTAAATGTGTTAAATGTACATTTTCTTTAGCCCTGGTCTCTCTCCTCCATTCCCTTCTCTGCTCTCTGGTTGATAGGATAACAGAAGGTGAGATCTGTCAGAGATGGATTTCCCCCCGTTCTCCTGGGATATGTTTCCACTGTTCAATTCAGTGCTCAAAGGACAAAGCGGAGAAAGAGGAGAGAGGAGGGGTGACTTGAAGAGAGGAAAAGAGAGGGACCTAAGTGCTCCCAGCACGGTTCTTCGTACAGCAAAAGCCTTGGCTGCAGCCTCGTACTTTCTCCTCATCATTTCTGTCATATTTTTGTTTGTGAAAGCCATTGCTCAGAGTTATTTTCTTTCTCCAACTCAAGAGTATCATCTAGAGATTATCTAGTAATTAAATGTTTGGATAAAAGCAGCCATGTTATTTTGCGTCCTTGAGTCCCGTGGGTTTTATGTGAACTGCAGGATAAGTTAAGACTTACCTTTTTTTTGTTCACCCTCTGGCCAACCCTTTGAAATTAGTAAAAAAGAACAACTCAAACATTTAGGATCCCATGAAGAGGGACTGAACCAGACTGTACTGGATTAATGCTGAGGTCAAGTCTGGGTGTTTAGAAGTCAGAATGTGTCAGCACAGTGATTAGTCCATCCGTCTGAGAGCACCTCAACACAATCAATGGAGGCTGCTGGGAAAAGTCCTGTACTCTGCGTTCGTGTGAGAGGATCGTCCTGACAGAGACTGATGGGGTAGTAAATCCGCTGTAGGTCTGCACACTCTGCAGTTGTGTGTATGTGTGTTGTTGGGGTGCATGCTGCAGAAAGAACTGGCCTACTTTTTCATGGCTGGCCGTCAATAGAGCCCCATTCAGTGAGGCTTATTCATGTGTACAAGCTCAGACACTGCCGACATGCAGCGCTCTGCCCCTGGGCCATGTGTGTGTGTCTGTGTGTGTGTGTGTTCATGTCTGTGTGTATGGGTGTTTAAGGATGTGTGTTTCTGGTCCTACATGTTTTTCTTTTTGGGTCGATGATACTCCGCTGCTCTGTGGCAGATTTGGGGTAGTGAGTGTTCTTGGGTAGTTTTCCATGAATGAATGAGCATGAATCTTACACACACACACACACACACACACACACACACACACACACACACACACACACACACACACACACACACACACGCACACACAGGTCAGCGTACATATTGGACCAAATGGAGCACAGAGATTGAGGAGATGGAGCATCTTCTCATGGATAATACCATCTCTTCCATCCTCTGCTCTCCTTCCTCCAGGATAAACATCACAAAGAGATAGGGGGTTTGTGTAGGAGGGCTTCCCCTTGGCGGTTTTTGTGAATTGTGTGTGTATATCCTGCAAGGACAAAGACAAACTAGTGTGGTTGCTCTTTTACCCCAAGAATCTACACCATCCTCTGCTTCACAATGAGGAGAATCTTAATCTCTTTCTGCTGGCATTATTAGTCCCTCCTTCAACCCCACCCCCCGGCTTGTTTTCCTGTGACCTTGTCAATAACATTCACCCTTTGCTCTCCTTTCATAGTGTTCTTGCTGGGAATGTATCATGTGAACCTCACAGAGCAGCAGAGGATGAGTAAACAGTGCAATTCAAGCCAAGTCATTAGTGGTGTTCAATAGCTTTATAGATAGCACGCTGGATAAACACACACAGATATTGACACACAAAAAAACAGAGATAGTGGATACTCTGTTGACACAATGCTGCAGGTACATGTGAGAGTGTGATTGTCATCATTCAATAGTGCATCACAGTTTGGTTTGGATTCAGCTTAATGATCATTTGAGCACATTTCAGCCTGACTGATGACAGAGAGTGACGCTTGATTATTGATTTGGTTGTTTATATAAAGAGGAGAACAGAGAGATGGACTAACGCTTACTAAATTGTAGATCCATTTCAGAAATGTACCAGTTCAACTGTTTAAGTCCATATGCAGGTACCAATCCTGATAATAATACCAATATTGGTACCAATACCCATACTTATACTGATGCTGATTCTCATGGCTGGAGTTTGAGTATCACCAATACCAGGCACAGATATGACTGCGGTGTCAGATTAACAATCTGTTTTTCTCTGGATAAGAAGAGCAAATTAGGCTAGGGTACCAACCCTGATGTTTTCATGTTGCTAGATTGTCTCAAGATGACATTCACTTCGGGCCATGAGATGTGCCACTGATGAAGCAAATCAAATTACTGCTTAAGTTTGGGGAAAGCAGTCTCAAACACATACACAAAAATATATAAGTAAGTGAGTAATGTGTGTGTGTGTGTATATAAACTTTACTGTTGACAACGTTGGCTAAAAAAGTGTGAAGTATAGGCAGCAAACTCTGGACTTGAAACATGATGCCATTGCACCACCTGCCTCAACCTCACCTCTTTGTCTCTGGTTAGATTGATAAATAATTGGGCTGAGTCAGCATTACTAATAGAATGACTACCATCACTGTGTTTCAAAACTTTTCCATAGAAACTAATTTGCAACATCACAAAGACTACGTCATGTTTTATGCAGTCCATAGTAACACATTAAAATAGATTAGCCTTAGCTTCCCTCTTGCTTTATTGGCTCTGTGAAGGAAGATGCCCCAACGTACTGGCCCAAACCGATGACACATGACATAATATGTGCACGTCATTACAGTTAACCCAGTACAACACAGTAATTAATTTAATGGATCTGCCTAATGGCCCACTGTCATGTCTACTTGATCCAGATATTTGAGTAGTATTGCACTAATATACACGATCAGGATCCAATTGGTGTGACCCATGGTTTAAATTGTTAGAGACGGATACAAAGAACATAGACAAAGAGCCATCCAATACTTGTGTCATGCAGCAGAGGTTCAGGGTTGGAGACATATTGGGGTTACCACTTTGAGGACCATAGTCTCTGTACATGTGGCGCTCGATTTAACCACTAAGCTAAATTGACTTCATCTCTAAATCTATTTTTACATGAATCCAGCATGTGTAGAAATGAACCCACTTAAAAAAAAAAGGACGAATGAGAGCTAGAGGGGAGTGATGCTGTAGGGCAGTGTGGGAATTATACAAAGTCCACAATGATCTTTATTAATTTATTGATTACAGCCTGGCAGACAGATTCACCCACAGTGAGGCTTAGACAGTCAATCTGGTGTTTGTTTTGATGGCTGACCCTGATGTGTTTATGGATCCATCAGGAAGGTCATTGTCGTGTTTGTTTTCTGTGTTCGGAGAGGCCGACATTTATCTCTCCTCCGTTTAAATTGCACACACCAAAAATAAACACTTGTTAAGCATCTGTGTTCGGGGTCCGCGTTGACACATTTCATGTTGCACCTGCAGTCACATTCATCCGCTGCTAAACAAATCAGATGTGTTGAAAGGATTGGGCCTTTTAGCGAGCAGATAGCTACCAGCTGTTGAAATGGTTATAAACACACACGCTGAAAAAAAGGTGTCAAGTATCTTAAAAGCAAAAGAGGGATCAGAGGTCGAAATGTGTTTGTTCCCTTTCCTGTCATCTCTCTCAGTACTGAACTCCCTGCACTCTCCTCTACTCCCTCATCTCTTCGTATGACCCACAGGGACACCCACTCACCTACCACTTTTTATCCTCCTCTGTTTCCTCCTCCCAAAGATTCACCTTTGAGCGTTTTGTTCCTCTGCCATCTCAGTGGCTTTCACGTACTGTACATGCAGATTAGCCATTTTATGCCTGTGGTTCACTCCTCTAATCACATGCACCTTCCAAGCATGTAAAAAGGCTTAATTGCTACACCGGTAATATTAACCTTGCCAAGGAGGATGAATGCTGCTGAAGTACTCAGTGCAAAAACACATCATTGCACCAACATGAAATAAATCCTATTAGCATGTGATTTGCAATAATCCAGAAAAAGGAAAGAAGGAAACAAGAGTTAACGAAACCTGTGATTAGGAATGGCCGATAAATTATTGTTCATGATATATTATCAGAAAAATCCTACGCGATATATATATTTGCTATCTCATGATAAATAGGATAACACAAGTTGACAACGTTAGCCATAGCCCACACAGATCAGAATAACAAACAAATATGGCAGAAGGTAATGAAGAAGACGTTTCTGAGCAGCTTGTTACTGAACGAGGCTCCACATGAGGGATTTCCTTAAAGATCAGGGCTTAGGTGGGCGCAATCAGGTATGCTTGACATTGGACAGTGGATCTGCTGCTGTTCACTGTGAAATAAGAGTTTTCAACAAACGTAAAAAATGTTTTCACATTTAATACTTGTTTGGTTTCATTAGTTTTCTCCATAAACTACCACTTAAACTTGTGGTTAAGTATCTTATTTGACTGTTCCATTTGGTGTTCTCAAGACAAAATGAGTCAAAAATAGAGATTGGAATTATAATATTTTTATTGGGACTTTTATTGTTATCGCCAGAGTTGCAAATCTTATCGTGATAAATTTTTTACCCATATCACCCGTCCATACCTGCGATTAAGTTGAAGAAAAATGGGAAATGAAAGTTTTACTTTTAACAATTTTATTCTATAAGTCAGTCACTTCCTATTTTTCTCTGTGTTTCCACTATTACCCTTGAATGCAGTGCTTATGGGCTCAGCTGTTATCCTATAACACAGTCATGGTGGTTTTTCCTTTTATTCTAACTCCACAGAGGAATATTAGTACATCCACTGCAGAGAAGAAAAAAATGAAGATTGGCAACAAAAAAAAAGATTCAAAAAAGAAAACCGTGCAGGGGAGGCTGAAGTAGCAGCTGTGAAAATACAAAACTTAATGGTACAAGAATATAAGACCTTAATATAGTGAGGGTAATTATAGCAGTCTCTCCCCACATATAAGGGATAGCCTGGCGGGCCACCCAAGTATATTATCTGACCTTTTTTACATGTTTCCTTATCTATTCTTAAAAAATTGCCTTACACAGTCAGACAGTGGCTTCTGTCTGCTCCTGGAGTTTGATAACCTGCAGAGCCTGACACATGCCCTGCAAATGATCAGCGAAAAGAGAAGGTCTGACAGTAAATCCCCTCTGTTAATACACTGATTAAACTGGGATGTCAAATATAAATCTCCCTGCACCACTATATTCAAAGTTATGTGCTGTTGGTCTCTGCCAAACTCGTTCTGCAAAAGCTGACGTTTGGATTGATGCAAAATGCCAGGTATTGTCAGAAAATCAGATTTACACAGAAAAGCTAAGAGAAACAAAAGAAAGTAGGGCAGGACACTGTCACTGTATTTGTGTGCAAGAAGGAAGGTAACTCAACTGAAAGACAAAATGAGTTGAGCAAATTTAAGTTGTCTGTAAACACACACTAAAATAATTTGGACGATAAAGCATGATTAGAATTAAAACTAGGGCTGTCACGATACTCACCTCATGGTTATGCTGGCCATAAAATATGGTGATAATGATATTGCAATATTGGGGTAAAATTTTAAAATAAGACAACACAGTTACCCAAATTGAGAAAAGGAAGACAAAAAAGACATTACTTTGTAACGTAATTAATAAACTCAGTGACCTTGCAGTTCATAATTCATTTACAATACCTACCAAATTTATCCTCATCACTATAGCTAGACCTGCAATCAAAACTTTCTCAGAGAAGATATTGCATCATTGATTGAATGGTCATCATGCTCTTATTTTCACATTTTTCTGTTTTGTGTTTAAGTTACTCTAATCCAGTTAAAGTTAAGGTTGGAAGTAGAGATGTTCGATTGATTACTAACTTGAAGAGGCACAAACTCTAGTGTTGTTGTTTTTAGATTCACAATAATTCTTGAACATCAGTTTTAAAAGTGCCTAATCATCTCTTAGAGGGATGCTTAAGCTAGCTGACTCACAGTTTGCTACTTCTTCTATGTCTATCCTCAAAATTATGGCATGTGGTGATCGACATCTCTGTCCACAATGATTCAACGGTCGTACTCTCCATCTTCAATGTTTTTTTTTTCTTGTCCTGCTGTATGATGGTTGCAACATTTATCAGCTTCAACTTAAACATAATCTGCTCAAATTTCATTACACACTGCCAACTAGCGTTTAGGCAGAGTACTGCAGAGTTACAAAAACATGCCAACACACAAGTTTATGGTGTTCATGGCAATGTAGGGCAACCCTGGTGTGGCCACAGCAGAGAGTAGAAGGGAAACCCCTCAGCCAAATGAAAATGTCTATAATCAAATCCAGTAATTGTGTCAGTGTTGACCTTTTGGATTTATTCGTTCAGGCACAAAATCATCTGTTACAGTATTTGAAGAGGGTGTCATCTGGGTCAAAATAGTGAGGCCAGAGCTTCGAAAGTGGGAAGCCACTGAGCACCCTCATGGAAGGAAGACATGTTGACTTTTCACATTTGCACACTGACTTTGTTGTCTTCTTCTGACGTCTCCTCCCATCCCGAGTTGATCCACTTAATCACTGGGTTTCATTGTCAGCAGGCCGGCGCATTTTATAAACTGGCTTGTGTACTAACACTGACTCACTCTCTGTGGTGGGTTGGCACCACGAACAGATGCCAAACACTGCCGTCGTTCACACGTGCCTGTGAGAGGGCGGAAGAAGGAGAAAAGAGCAAAGAGGTAGAGAAGGGAGACAGTTGTTTTGACTTTCAAAGCCAGTGGGGTGTGTTCATGAGGGTGTGTGTTTTATGAGTTTGTCTTTACATGTGCTGAATCACTTCACAGATTCAGTAGCCAAGACTCATTATTAAGCTTTTTTTCTTAGCAGTTTTCATCTGTAAAACGTGGAAAACATATTTCTGGCTCTACTTTTGCTACCTTACAGTTTGTTTTCTTCCTCTCCACAACAAAGGGTTTTTCCAATCACCATTCAATTTGAATAAATCCATTGATTTGACTGCTGACATCTCATGACTGCAGTTGCTATTGATGTTCTAAGTCCAGTTTGGCTTGAAGCTGTGCTTGGCACAAAGAGCAAAGGTCCAAATGTGCCCCAGCTGTCAATATATTAGCCTCAGGGAGGGACTGCATGCCTGGTAAATACACTTCAATGAGTCATGCACTCCCAGATCACAAAACTGTGAAATAGAGTCACTAGCAGACAGACGCTGGCATTTTCATGGTTGAATCCAAAGCAATACAAAGTCTGGGTTTTAAATGAGGATTTTAACCAATGGACTGTGACCTTTGACAGCGACAGCTTAACACAGCTCATTTAGATTTATTCTAGCTACAGAAATGGAGTTGTTGAAGGACGATAAAAATTGGCAGCAAGAAAGTAGCCCTAACATGAGGTGGGAGGTGCTGCCTCACCCTGAAGGGTCATATTACCCAGCTGCCAATAATAGAAACCAAAAAGTTGACACCTGTTTTGATTATTGGTGCTTTTATTGATTTAGCTAACAGAAGCTATCATTTTTGCCACAGTGTTAACAGGCAGAGGTGAATTGTTTTAGACTCCTTCCTGCAGATAAATTTGACATATACAGTAAGGTCAAGCTGTCCTTGCAAGCCTTTGTCCTCCAGATATAAATCAACATTGTAATGGGGGTTTGACCAATCAGAGTCAAGTGTTTAACACAGCTGAGTAATAATAAGCTATAATGTGCATGTTGTTCATTGTGTTTTAAGAATAACAGTAATGTGATCAGTGGGCAGGGTTGCCAGGTGTACCATAATTATCATATATGTATGATAATTTTGCCCTTTGTGTGCGCCCTACGATCAATAACACAGAAAAAAGGCTAAATGTACGATAATTCAACAGAGTGACCACAAAACTGCAGCCACAAAATCGTGAGTGCCTGTAGGACGCTTAACAGAGTGATTGTATGTGACTATAATGGAACAGTTAGATTATTTTGATTATGAAGGGTGTACGATAACTTTACCAAAAATATGATAATTTTGAGTCTCTGGTACCATAATTCTACATTTCCTATCCGGCAAAAATATCAGTGGGAGAATCAACATCCTTATGGGAAAGTAAGAAATATAGCTTCACATCTAGACTGCCAGAGCTCCAGGTTTTTACTTCTTGTGCTCTTTTACAGCATGACCAGACATTGTCGACTGGCAACACAACAACAGTTTCAATGTCAACTTTTGACTCTCGAGTCTTGTTTTGCAAGGAAGGGGTCAGGTTACCAGTCTTTAAAACCTTGTCTGGCGTATATTTTCAACAAGTCTCCTCCGAAAGAAAGTCATAGCTTTGCCTCTGGCTGTTCACATGGGAAGAGACAGAAATAGTTGTGTAGCAACTGACAGAAACTGAGCGAAAGAGAGAAATTTTTCTTTACTGTGAGCAGCCAACTGATCAAGACAAGAGAAGACCTCTTAAAGAGCGTGACAGCAGCTTTGATTGGCAGTGTACATCAAAATTTACTGCAAAGTATAGTAAATGCAAGTACTCTAGGGAATAAAGAAGATATACTTCCCTATGCTTGAGGAGAAATCCAATTTTTCCCTCTATTATTTAACACAGTACATGCACAAATAGGCCAATACATACATATGAACAGACAAGATCCTATGGAGGTAAATGGGTTAGGCCGGGCAGCTTGAGCTTACATTTGCAGAGGGTAAAGTCCTTGTCACAGCAGTTGCAGGTTTGACTCCTCTCTCTACTCCCCATATTTTCCTTTTCTATTTAGCTGTCCAATCACAGACAAAAAGGATCCTAGATAGTATTTGGTGAAACTAGACAGATTAGAGTGCTCAATGGAACTATCAGTGTACCAAGAAAGTACGCTGGCACCCCACCAGCAACTAGTCCTGATTTTCATATTTTGGTTTTTACTGGGACTTTAACTGATGTGCATCTGGTACCCAAGCCAAATCCCTACCCCTGGAGCAGTGCCATCCTCTTGAGCATGACATGGTTTAATTTTAATAATATATGTAAACAATTGCAACATTGCTGAGTTTGTGGCTTTCTTTCACAGTCAAGGTGACATTTAATATTGAGAATGATTAGCTGCTACTGTGTGTGGAAATTATTTGTCTAGGACCACAAAAGCAAAGCTAAGTTGCAGGGACACTGATGTGAAATGTAAAATTTTACATAACTATGGGTGTAAATAAAGTCTGGGTCTATCATTACTGGAGGTACACTTGGCTGTTACAACCAACACCTAAAGTAGGCCTAGAGCTAACCTCTGAGGGGATTGATGGAAAATAAATTGGTGACAACTGCATCAAAACAGCTATAAACCCAGTGTATGGCACCTCCAAACACAATGAGGAGTGAATGAATAATGAAGATATTATCATCACAATTAGATTCAAGATTTCTGCATGTAGAAACGTTATCTTTGGCTGAAGTTGTCCTTTGAGGCGTTTTTTTTTCTCCTCCCAGCCTCCTCTCTGATATACGGTGTCCTCTAGAGTACAGCTGAATCAGCGTGGGAAAGAGCTTTTGCTGCATGCAGCAGCTAACTTTATCCAGTGAAGTCACATCATTTCTGTATGCTGTATGGTTTCAGCAAATTGCATCGCCACAGGGGGACGAAGGAGGTGAAAAGAGGTGTAGATACACTTCCGTCTTACATCGCACCTTCTTTTTATTTTTTTACTACTTCTTTTCAAGCTGCATGGATAGCCAAGCAAACTCTCTCCTGCTATCTTATCATTGCTCTGACATCCTATAGGCCTCTCAGCTATCGCACATGTCCCATCTTTATCCTTCATCCTTTATTGCGCAGTACTCACTTTCCCTCCCTCATCTTGCCCGGACTCGAAAGATAAATTCATCCCACCTTGAGCTCCTCCCGGCTTTGATGTGACACAGCATGGCAGTGCAGCGAGAGAGGAAGAAAGCTGAGCTGTGAGGTTTGACTGTGTTGCACAATCCTCCTCTTCCTTCTCCTGTGCTTCATCATCACAGTGACCCACTTATCCGTGCGCTCCCCATCTCCCTGCATCTCATTTTCTCCTCTTATGCATTCTAATTACGGCTCTTATACATACATCTCTGTTTCTTTTCATACTCCTTCACAATCTTTTCTCACCTTTAATCTCCTCATTCTTTCGTCGTTTTTTCCTTCTTTGTCTTATCAAATCGTCTCCTCCATTTTTGCTCTTTTCTTCACGACTATTTTATGACTTCTCCTTGTTTACAATATCACTTCAATGTTTAAACATCTTATCAAATTCCAGCCTCATTGCCAGTTCTTTGTCAGTGTGCAGCAATATCATCTTGTTTACTGGATAACTTCTTGTTGTGTGTGTGTGTGTGTGTGTGTGTGTGTGTGTATGTGCGCGCGTGTGTGTGCTCAGTATTATCAGAGTTCTGTGAGGGATCTGTCAATGTCAGCCACACTCTGTGAGTATTACTGAGACACTCAGCTTCAATATGCCATTACAGGCAGAGACTGGATGTTCTTGTGCTCTGTGCAGCATAAGCACACTCTCTCTATCTGTGTCCCTGCACAGAAAATGACCAGAGAGAAAATGACAACTGATAGACCGCAGGGACTGCTGCTAATCTTCCTTGTGCAGCACCTCTACCTGACAGCTGCTGTGATTGTTACAATAAAATCTTGAGTGAAAAGCAACTCAGTCAACTGCTGTCCAGGCTGCAAGAACTAAAGTAAAGCAATGACACAATATTTTACTCATCATGAAGCTGTTGTTGTCTATTGTTGTGTTTTTAATTTAGTTCTACAGCCTGTTTCAGTTGTACAGTGCTTTGACAAAGATGAAATGGTTTTAAGGGCCTGTGTCCACTTACTGCATTTTTAGCACATGCCTTGATAATAAGGAGCTCCTCACTTGCACTGACTGTTGCTATAAATAAGTTTGGCAGCACCCTTGCCTCCATTACAAGTAAGTATGATTTAAATGCTCTGTATGCTTCAGTATTGTCTGTATTTAACATAATTTTCCATGGAAAATAATTACATATATATATATATATATATATATATATGTATATATATATATAATATATTTATTTATATATATATATATATACATATATATATATTTATTTATTTATTATATATATATATATATATATACAGGTGCTGGCCAGTAAATTAGAATACCATCAAAAACTTGATTTATCTCAGTAATTCCATTCAAAAAGTGAAACTTGTACATTATATTCATGCAATGCACACAGACCGATGTATTTCCAATGTTTATTTCTTTTAATTTTGATATTTATAAGTGACAACTAATGAAAACTCCAAATTTGGTATCTCAAAAAATTAGAATATTGAAAAGGCCAATGAAAAAAAATGTTTTTTTTGAAATGTTGGCCAACTGAAAAGAATGAACATGAAAAGAATGCCCATGTATAGCACTCAATACTTAGTCGGGGCTCCTTTTGCCTCAATCACTGCATTAATGCGGCGTGGCATGGACTCGATTAGTCTGTGGCACTGCTCAGGTGTTATGAGAGCCCAGGTCGCTCTGATAGTCGTCTTCAGCTCCTCTGCATTGTTGGGTCTAGCGTATTGCATCTTCCGCTTCACAATACCCCATAGATTTTCTATGGGGTTAAGGTCAGGCGAGTTTGCTGGCCAATCAAGGACAGGGATACCATGGTCCTTGAACCAGGTACTGGTGGTTTTGGCACTGTGTGCAGGTGCCAAGTCCTGTTGAAAAGTGAAATCTGCATCTCCATAAAGTTGGTCAGCAGCAGGAAGCATGAAGTGCTCTAAAACTTCCTGGTAGACGGCTGCATTGACCTTGGACCTCAGGAAACAGAGTGGGCCAACACCGGCAGATGACATGGCACCCCACACCATCACTGACGGTGGAAACTTTACACTGGACCTCATGCAACGTGGATTCTGTGCTTCTCCGCTCTTCCTCCAGACTCTGGGTCCTTGATTTCCAAAGGAAATGCAAAATTTGCTTTCATCAGAAAACATAACTTTGGACCACTCAGCAGCAGTCCAGTCCTTCTTGTCCTTGGCCCAGGCGAGACGCTTCTTACGCTGTTTCTTGTTCAAGAGTGGCTTGACACACGGAATGCGACAGCTGAATCCCATGTCTTTCATGCGTCTCTTCGTGGTGGTTCTTGAAGCGCTGACTCCAGCTGCAGTCCACTCTTTGTGGATCTCCCCCACATTTTTGAATGGGTTTGTCGTCACAATTCTCTGCAGGGTGCGGTTATCCCTAGAGCTTGTACACTTTTTTCTACCACATTTTTTCCGTCCCTTCGCCTGTCTGTTAATGTGCTTGGACACAGAGCTCTGCAAACAGCCAGCTTCTGTAGCAATCACCTTTTGTGTCTTGCCCTCCTTGTACAAGGTGTCAATGGTCGTCTTTTGGACAACTGTTAAGTCAGAAGTCTTCCCCATGATTGTGGAGCCTTCAGAACAAGACTGAGGGACCTTTTAAAGGCCTTTGCAGGTGTTTTGAGTTAATCAGCTGATTAGTGTGGCACCAGGTGTCTTCTATATTGAGCCTTTTCAGAATATTCTAATTTTCTGAGATACTGAATTTGGTGTTTTCATTAGCTGTCAGTTGTAATAATAAAAATGAAAATTAATAAACACTTGAAATATATCACTATGTGTGGAAGGAAAGTATACAGTATACAAGTTTAACGTTTTGAATGGAATTACTGAAATAATTCAACTTTTTGATGATATTCTAATTTACTGGCCAGCACCTGTATATATAATGTGGTCCTGTGTCTTTGTTTTATATCATATCCATCTTTTAACCAAGATCAAGTCTTTTTAACTTTTAGTGATTTTGAAAAGGTTATGCATTTCAAATGTGTAGTTCTGTAGTTCTGTAGTTATAATATTCTCTAATTGAGGGCTGTTTATTGTGTCTAAAGGGAGTAGAATTGATTTGTTCAAATTTATTTTATAACCTGAAATAAAGCTGAATTGTTCAATAGTGCTAAGAGCTGCAGGTAGAGACTGTTGGACATTGTCAAAAAATAATAAAACGTCATCAGCATACAAAGATATTTTATGAAACGTATTATTTAAAATTATGGGTTTTATGTCTTGACAGTTTCTGATTTTATGGGCTTGTGGCTCGAGAGATATAGCAAATAATAGTGCAGAGGCTGGGCAGCCTTGCCTAACACTACGTCCTATGGAGAAGAGTGATGAACAATGATTAGAAGTAATGACCATGGCCGATGGATTATGGTACAGAGTTTTAAGCATATTTATGAATTTATCACCAAAATCCATGTTTTTCATCGTATACCACAGATACCATTCCAACCTGTCGAAAGCTTTTTCAGCATCGAGAGACAGCACTGCACATGATGATGTTATGGGGGTTTTGTCAATAATATGTAATAATCGTCTTATGTTATCTGAGGCAAATCTTTGCTTGACAAAACCGACTTGATCAGGATGTACCAAAAATGACAGTACTGTCTCTAGACGTCGAGCAAGCACCTTAGCATATAATTTTATATCAGCATTGAGCAGCGATAATGGGCGGTAATTGGCACAAATGGTCCTGTCCTTTCCCTTTTTCTGCAGGAGTGTAATTGTGGCAATGCTTGTATCTTTATTAAAACTTCCTTTACTAGTAGCTTGTTGGAACATCTCCAATAACAGAGGACCCAAGGCTTTCGACTCTTGAGAACTTGGCCTTTGAATCATGTTTTTATTGAACCATCTTTGTCTTTTTTTTTTAATGTGGTCCTGTGTCTCTGTTTTATATCATATCTATCTTTTAACCAGTCTTTTTAACTTTTAGTGATTTCGAAAAGGTTATGCATGCTTTTATGAAAACCCTTCTTGATTATTGTAATGCACTTTACTTTGGTGCCAGCCAAACCTGTCTTCATTGCTTACATCTGGCTCCACCTGCCGCAGCTTGTGTTTTTGTCTAGTCGCCATAAATATGACCACATTTCCTCCATTGTAGCCTCTCTTCACTTGCTTTCTGTGCGTTGTAGGATTTTAAAACCCCATATTTTATCTTGGACTCCAAATCCTCTGATCAGTGCCTTCTGATTGTCCTTGGGTCAAGATTGAAGTTCAGGGGTGACCAATCTTTTTCTGTTGCTGCGCCTAAGCTTTGAATGCTCTTCCTCTGATCAGTGCCTTCTGATTGTCCTTGGGTCAAGATTGAAGTTCAGGGGTGACCAAGCTTTTTCCGTTGCTGCGCCTAAGCTCTGAATGCTCTTCCTTTTCATGTCTGACTGTCCCCCACACTGACTTGAAAACACACTTTTCCTCCTTGGCTTTTGACTCTTGAGAACTTGGCCTTTGAATCATGTTTTTATTGAACCATCTTTGTCTTTTTTTTTATGTGGTCCTGTGTCTTTGTTTTATTGTTTGTGTTGGTTGTCTGTTTTTATTGTTTTTTAATTTTTACTGAACAGCACTCAAGTCAGCTTGTTTTTTTTTTTAAATGTGCTTTATAATAAACTTGGATTGGATTGGATATTTTGGTGGGAATGGAAAACCCACATAAAAAAGAAAAAAAAAACAGTTCTTGGTTGAATGGGCAACTAGATTTGATTGAGGATCTTGAAGACATTTCCAGTCTGTTCCAAAAAGCTCTTGTAGTTCTAATGTGACAGGGACCGAAGTTGGAAATTCATGTAAGATTAGATGAGATATAGTAGGAAGGTGATACTGTGGGAATGGCTCAGTCAATATTTAGGTTTTCTTCCTTTATCTTTCTTCCGTCTTAACTTCCTTTCCCCTTTTCTCCTTTGTTGAGGTCCTTCCTCTGGTTTATTGACCTCTTCTAAAACTACGGGAGCCTGCTGCCGGATTTTATCAGCAGGCTCATCTTGGGAAGCCTGGCTGACCATCCTTTCCGGCAGGTTTTCCATCGCTTGAAAGTGGGACTTTCCCTTCTCTGGAGCCTCTCGAAGCGGAGGTTCCAACTTCTGTACCTTTGCTTCTTGTTGGAGAGACTGTTCAGCCTTTCGCTTCAGGGTTTTCTTCGCACAAGTCTCCTTAGCATTGTGCTTCTTCTCTTCATCCTTATCAATTTTTTGTTGGAGGGCATCTTTTTTAGCCCTAAGCTTGGGGATGTTCTCCTTGTGCTCTAAGAACTGCTCAGCATGTGACCTTGCTGTCTCAAGCTGCTGCTGGAGGTCATCATTTTTGTGTTCAAGGAGTCTTCTTTCAGCCACCTGATTCCTGATTATTACCTCCAACTTGACCCTCCTCTCTTCCCCTGTCCTCTGTTCATCTTTCAACTGCTGCTGGTAGAGGTCACCCCTTTGTATCTCACCCCTGAGCAAATCCTTATACTCCTTAGATTCCTGCTTTGCTGTCAGTCGAAGGAACGCACGGTATTCTGCTGCAAGTTCTAAAGATATACGCTGTTGAGCCAGTTGATCCTTCAAATCGTCAATTTGATCCTGGAGTTGTATCCTATGTGCCTGCTCCTCTACATACTTTGCCCTCTCTCGTTTTAACAAATCGAGGTGATATGTTGTGTCGGAGTAGGCATTGTTGAGTTCTCCAGTCAAGTACTCCACCTGATCTCGAAGTTTATGGTTTTCATTCACCTCGGACTCAAGTTGGCCAGAGAGCTGGTTGATCGTTTGCTCCTGCCAAGAGATGTGCCGCTCGGCCAGCTGAAGCTGAGTTCTCAATGCTTCATTTTGGTGGAGCAAGGCTGCTTTTTCTTCCCAGCTGAAATTGTAACGGACACCTCTCACTGCCTGCATGGTCATGCCAGTGCTGTCCCAGGCTGGCTGAATTGGCCTTGAAACCATGTTAAGTTGAAATGCTTGCATGTTCTGTTGCATGTTACCAGACATTAGCTCTGAATGTGCACAGTTGTACGCTACCAGAAATGAAATCTGAGATGATCTGGGCTGCATTTAACCCTTACACACATCAACAGACACACCGTGATGTCATTCCATGATGTCACCGTGATTTACTCTGATCTTTCAAATCAAAACATTCCGTGTTGATGGATCAAGTGGGCATGTGACCTGTTGCTAAGCAACAAGAGTGGCTTGCTGAAGGAGGACTATTTGGAACAGCATTTCACGTTACAAGACTGATGCCCTGCTTAAACAGGTGTATGGTCAAAACTAAAGGTCCTTTAGTGGGGCTGATGCGAATATAGAACACGAAATTACAAAATATTCAGAGGGAAAGTATGACGCGCCTGACTGTACACATCAAGCCTGATGAGATTTTGCGACTTTCCGGGGGGAAAAAAGACGCATCCTGGGGAAGACTTTTCTTGGGGAAAGTCCCGCCCCCTTCGCCTCTGATTGGCTAGAAAAACTGGAAACGTCAGCACATGCTCAAGCCAAATGGTCAGCACTTATAGCCAATCAGAGGCGAAGGAGGGCGGGACCTTACTTACCATTCTACAGCATCCTGTGTGGAAGTGAGAAAAAAAAAATGGAGTCTACTTCAACTTTAAGTGATGGCGAATTGGTACTCCTTTTGCTTTCTCAAAAGAAAAAGAATTGTAGCACATGGGTGCATCCAATACTACAAAAAAGAAAAGAGCTTAGTGAGTTTCACTGTTTGGTTCAGGAGCTGAAACTGTACCACGGTCGCTTCAGAGCCTATTTTTGGATGTCCATTGGACAATTTGCTGAAACAATTAGCTCCAAGTTTGAAGAGGCAGAGGACTAGACACTAGTGTTGAGATGGCTTCTGTCATGATAGCATGTACTGAGTTGGGGCCAGTACCAGATAAGCACATGAAACTATGGTAGCAACCGCTAGCTTACATTGGCACAGATCAAGTTAAAACAAAGACAAATTCCAGGGCAATTTAAGATAAGATGTCCCTTTATCCGTCCCACAAGACGTGATTCCAAATGTGTAGCTCCCATATCGGGAGTTGAACCCGGGCCACCTGGGTGAAAACCAGGAATCCTAACCGCTAGACCATATGGGATATAAATCAACACTGAATACTCAGTGGGATCTTGAAATGGATCTACAGATGAATACAGTCGTAAAAGCCAGTTTTTATCATATCCATGTTTTAACCAAGATCAGGTCTTTTTAACTTTTAGTGATTTTGAAGAGGTTATGCATGCTTTTATCAAAACCAACTGTCCCCCACACTGACTTGAAAACGCACTTTTACTCCTTGGCTTTCGACTCTTGAGAACTTGGCCTTTGAATCATGTTTTTATTGAACCATCTTTGTCTTTTTTTTAATATGGTCCTGTGTCTTTGTTTTATATCATATCCATCTTTTAACCAAGATCAGAGCAGTGGATTAAAACAGAGTGGCGACACTCCCATAGACATACGCTGCACAGCCCGGCGGACCCCACTTCCGGGTTATGGAACTCTTAATAGTTCCAACATGACCGCCTGTCACGTCGGACGCCGTTCGCTTCTATGGGCACAAGGCAAGCACTCACCGAGGTTAAATGATAAAATATCAACAAGTTTAATGCCAATACGTGTGTTATTGATATCGAGGGGACCCCTTTATATGTAAAAATGTATATCCCAAATGTGATTACGTTTTTATAGTCAGGAATTGGGATCGATTTTTTAGCCACGGTTTGCTCCCACACTCCCCGATGTAAAATATATTATCAACGAATGTAATGCTAATATGTGTGTAAATGGTATCGAGGAACTCCTTTATATGTAAAATGATTTCAATTTTTGTATGCTCAAATTGTAATTACAAATGTAATTACGTTTTTTTAGTTAGGAATTGGGATCGCTTTTTTAGCCACGGCCTGCTAGCTGGACGTCGTCAGCTGTAGAGGCCTGCCAAAATGTATTGTGTGACTGAGTTATGAATCACAGATAAATCATCATCATCAATCATATGTTGAGATGGTTACTTATGGGCTTTATTATTTTGTTCATTGTCATTATTAGCATCAGCTCAGGGTCTGAAATTTTTTAACTAGACAAAACGTGTGTTGCATCTCTTCTGTACAGGCTCCCATGATTGCCACTGACAATGTTGATATCAGGAGTCCCACCCCTTCTTCGTTTCGATTGGTTTGTGTAGAGGAAGTGACATTGATGAGTATAGGGTAGTTCATTAACAACGTTAGCACAGTAACATATATCATCTGATGCTGGAGGCATTTCTGCATATTTAGAATACATAAATACTGAACTTAGTTGGTTTTTAACAGAAAATAGGCTTTGTCAGGGCAAAAAAAAAAATGCTGTTGGTGGACACAGACCCTAAATGTGCTTTGTGCATATATTTGACTTTATATTATAAACCTCAATAGTTAAAGAAACAGCCATAAAATGCAAAACCCCTAGTTACTGCAAGGTTCAAAATCAGTAGAAAATAGCCATGTTGTAGCATGTTACTGCCAGCTGTGTAAACTAGTATGACAGTATTAACTTACGGACTGTAAAAAGAGACAGGTGACAGAACGGCTCCTTAAAAGTGAAGTCAAAACATGCAGAGCCCTTCTTGGTGACTGTTTGTCAAAAGCCTATCTCTCCATGTAAACAGATGGGACATAGATCAGACTTGAAAATAAAAAAAAAATCACAAATATTGTTTTAGTTTCTACATTGAGTCATTTTCATGCTGATTAATATCCAAACATAGATAATTCTATGAATTTCATTTATGATAGTTATTCGATACTATAAAGATGTGTATGATACTATGAGTCACAGCACTATTGACAAGTGTGATTCATTTTTCATATATGATTCATTTAACTTTCCATAACCTCCAGAGTCTGCTTTAATCTGACATAAGTTGTGTTACACTGTGATCTGTTGCAACTTGAATCACCCCAGGCATCTGTGTTAATCAAAGAAGGAAGCGGTGTCTCTACAGGCACTTTTGAGACATATAGCATATATGTTCTGAGAGGCTAGCATTACAGGTTACAAGTCTCTCATTTTTATTTTACTTTTTAATTCACAACATTTCAATCCTAGTTTCCTTAAAAACAAAAAAAAAAAAAGAAAAAGAAGTATGATTACATTTACATGTACCTCCATTTAACTAAAATAAGCCCAACAATGCTATTAGCTGGAGCCATGTGTCTCTATGTCGCAACAGCCCTTTAAGCACATGTTAGCTATGAGCAAACCAGTCATTATCTAATCACTCCTTAAATATTATTTGCATTGAACACTTACAAAAGATCTTTTTAAATATAAAACTTACATAACATAATTATGTTTCCATGATCAACCTCAGTGAAAGCCCTTGAATAATTATCTCTTCGTGATGTCTTAGTTGTTGTTCAATAAACCTGTACTTCTAGTTGGTACATTAGGCTAAAAATAGTATTAGTTGTGAATCACTTGGCTGAGTAAAGTGATTTCCTGTCAGATGGAAAAGTTGACTTATTGTTCATGACGAGTGTTTGAATAGTGTCTGAACGGAGGTGAATAGACCGTGGTGAATCACAGGGTTAGGCTGCTTGCGTTAGTTGAGATTCACCTCAGACTAAAAACGCTGCCGGCTGCTCAGCTTTCAGTGAAAACAAGTCTGACACTCATGCACACACTTTCTCCTCATTCAGCAGACATCCCTCTCTCTCTCCCTCTCTATCAATCCCTCTTTTAGTCACTGGCTCTACTAAAAGTTGCGTTCATTACGACAAACACTCTGCTCCTTGTGAGTTCTCTAAAAAATACTCTCTGCAGCACATAAAATCCTTACTATCTGTTTCCTTGCTTGTATCACTACATCTTACATACAACTCTGCCCCCAAAATCCTGCCTTTCTTCAGTTCTTTCATTCACACACTAAAACAGCCCAAAACTACACACTTGTGCTGTCAGTTTTTGCACTAACACCATAAAACGAAAAATATGCCAGAGCTGATGACAGTTTCAAATGGTGCACATGATTTCCCTGCATGCTTCTTATATTTTTGTTTATTTTAGGATCTGGTTGTCTCTTTTCCAACCTGTAAACTTCATCTTATTTTTGTCTTGAGGGATAATGACTTAAAACTGCACTGAAACCTGACATGTGCATTTTCCAAAAATTCTAAGACATGAGAAGAATTCGTTCACAGCTGACAGCCTCTGTCATCTGGTTCTTTTACGTTCTTCTTTGCTGTCAGGTTTGTTACCATCTAGTTTATGATTGTGCTTTTTCTGCTGCTCGGGATTGAATCCTAAAAAAATGATGACAATAAAATCCCTCGTTGGGAATACTTGTGACACCTACCCTAAAATATGTACTTCAAGATGAGGTTTGTAAGAGTTGTTCAAATTTTCACTGTCACCGTTACTGCCCACTGGGATAAAATATCAGGGTTAAATCTGACCATGCTTTGGCATTATTTTAAATATGTTCTTGTGTGCATGTCCATTTTAGTCTCTTGGCGCTGCTCCCTGTCATTTTGTCACCCTTCCACTGCTGGCAAGATAGAAGGTTATTTTCCCCAACTGGGTGTGACCTTGACTATTTTAGCCTCTCAATCACCAGCTGGACAACAACACATTTAGTGTTTACGTGCATGTTAAGTGCATGAGTGGATGTGGTTCCATTCCTGTCATAGTATATGGGACATTTAAGAATCTCAGGTACTTTCTAACAAGCTCAACAGAGAGTCAGAGACATGCAGTGAGTGTTTCTTTGCAGGAGATATGATTGATGGTGGTAAAAAATGGTTTCTCTGTGCGTGTGCATGTGTGAGAGAGGACTTGCACATCCCCAGCAGTCATACTTCACACACAGGCCATGTTTGCCCCAGTCATCACCAATCACAGTGACAGAGGGTGAAGGACTGCTTGCTGACAAGGGGAGAGTCAAACACACACATACTTGAACACACACACAACATTCAGACTGAGTGACCGCCTTTCGAAAAAGGGAATACGATCACCCTCGAGTTTCTGCTGTGGACCTTTCATGAGTGTCATCTGTCCGGTCGGTGTCTGTCAGCATTATGGGACTTGTGTTGTAGCTTGACCTTTCTTAGTTTAACTCAAAAGCTAGCTTAATGATTGGTGCTTTTTAACATGTACTGCAGGATTAGGGTCTGAATCAATAAATTCTGCTTATCAATTCCTGTGGATTTCTTGTGTGAAAAAAAAGGCCTGTGCATGTTTTCTGTGTCAAAAACATAGATTTTATTACAAGTTTTATTACCCTCACTGACTGGCCTGGCCTCTGATTGGGCCTTACATTATAAAGATTGCAGCTGTCCTTAAATCCTCTATTTCAAAAGCTGACGTTAAAAGCACAACAATATTAGTCATGATTTGAGTCGCTCCAGGTTTCTTGTTGCTGTAATTTCTTCCTTTCCACGTCAGTATTTTGCAAGGCATGTAAAACTAAGTGGAAGGTATCTAAAAGGAAAGCGTTGAGCACAAAGGCAAATGAAATATTGGGAGCCAGTCCCGATCTGGAACTGGTTTTTGATTCCCATCCCCCTACTCAAGCAACAACATCCAACTTGAGCCTTAAAGTCTCTCATGCCTAAACATAAAACCTTAAAGTCTTTTCATACGCATGAATGATAATTTTGTAATTCTGTAAAGTAAACTTGAAGAACAAAGCACCTGACAGTAACCTCCAATTTCTGCTGATTTTATCTTGCACATGTATAATCAATGTTTGTTTGCCATCAACTATCTATTAGTTAACTGATTGATTTGATTGACTAGGCACTGTAGGCAACGATAATTATTATTTCTATTAAGCTAACATGGTTTTCTTATAAAATTGCAGTTGTCTGGCATAATAGCTCATCTGGTCTCAAAGATGTCAAAGTCAGAGTTTCATGACTTTATAAAGAATCACACTGAAATGAAAGCACGAAAACACAACACCAGAATTTAAAATTGCAGCAGCATATTTATTATTTCCTCTCATCCCTCCTAGCCTTTCTCTCCTCCTCAGATTGAAATAACTCGTCTCCGCTCTGATGTTTTTCATTTGCATACAACCTCAGTCCTTTGGTGCCACAGTGCACACACTTCTAAACTAATAGATGACAGGCTTTGATATGTTCCACCACATTCCCTCGTTTCTCTCCTCTTTTTCTGTTTCCTCTAATGAGGGGGGATTTCAGAGCGAGACCCCTTCACTAAGAAGCAGAGAGAGATTTCAGAGAGAGAGGTGAGAGGGGATGCTCGTCTGTGGAGAGACTGAGGTGCTTAAAATGCTGGTTGTGTAAATGCCTCTTAGCGGCTCAGGAATAAGGATGACTGTGGGTTAGACTTGTGTGTGTGAACAAGTGCAAATGAGTTATGTGCTAGCCAGGTGAGAGTGTCACAGATGTCAAGTTAAATCCTTAACCGTGCAAACAATGGTTTTGAAGGTCGGTCACACTGAAAAACGTAGATTTCTATTTCATATTCATCCTGAAATGAAAAACTTCCCCTGCAGTAACACTGTCAAGCATAAAAAACTCTGATGTACAAAACTAACCTCCTGTTCCCCATTTAGTATTCAAATTTCAAGCTGTAACTTTGAGCTAATTTGATTTGGTGCACATCAACCCACCAACGCATAAATGAAATCAGTGACTGAGCATTCCCGCTGAGAGCTAAAATCGAATCAACCTCCCATCCTCCATGTTTCTTTGTCTGAAAACAAGTGTAAGCTTCTGGCAAAATGATACCAAAGGGTTCTGAGAGAAATGAAAACACACATCAGTGTTGAAGCTGTGTCACCAAACCGAGTCCCTGTTGTCCAAGTTTGTACTGAGTTTGAGCGGCCAGAGACGAATCTAAGACAAGGAAACTACTGCTTATCTCCTAACACTTGTCAGAGGTGTTTTAGATGTTACGAAAACATTACATACTAATTGATCCTGTTGGCATGTGTGGAGATTTAGATTATTAGTGAAGTAACTGTGGCACGTTTTGTACAGATAGGGGAAGCATTCATCATTTCTGCTGAGGCGGGATCTCTACAGGTGTCTAATAATCTCAAAAATGCAGGCAACCCATACTAACCACAGTTATACACCAATAACATTATCGACAGTCTGAGTAACTTACAATGCTGTTTCCTGACATAGCATAAATGTGTTGCTGGAAGCAGTAAAAGAAGCCTTTATAGATAAGGTATGTAAAAAAAAAGATTAAATTGTTGTGTCATTCAAACAAAAGGTCCTGAGTTTTAAGGGTAATGGTGTTTGTATCATTTAAAGCATTAATTAACCACATGTTGATGGGTTTTGCTCATCGTTTTATATGAAACAGGTCAACCAGAAGATGACGTGGTAGTAAAGAACCAAAAGGGGGCATGTTGCCACCTACTGTGTCTGAAGCGGACATGCTTCTGTCAATAATTTCACTTTTGCTGTTAACTCATGTAACTCTACTGTAGCTTCACGTAACTGTGCATGTGAATTTACTGAGTCCAAATCTGGGTGGCTAGTTCTCCGTCACTGATTTAAAGCCCTTGACTCAAGCACTTCAACACCAATCACACGCAAAGCATAACAAACAAAGCATCAGATATTCAACAGTTACAGAAAAAAGTGCTTAAAACATTAAAAAAACAGCAAATAATGTTGATGTTTTAGCGTTTTGAGTCAAAGTGACAAGCAGTCATTGTTTGTATAACCTGGAATTGCAGCTCTAGATTTGAGTTTTTGGTCATAACTTTATGAGCTTGTGTGCTTTAACCTCTTAGCCTGACTGTAGCCTTTGTGTCTCCTCACAGCATACTGCTTTGTTGCTTTGTTTGCTCACCAAAGCAACAAAGCAGTGCGAGAATCCATCCACTGAAAGCACACAGCAACTTAACTCTGACAACATTTACTTTGGCTCTCTGGTTTTGTAAGTTCGTGTACAGCCAGCTTGTGTGAATTAATTTGCTGGAAAACAGCTTAGCATGGCTTTAAATGGGGTCAAGTCTTAGTGAGAGTCATTATGATTTAACCAAATTATCAAAACAATGAGCTAAAGTGAGTGGATGCTGAAAATAGCTGGGTGTTAAGTGTTGATTTTCAGAGGGATTAAACAAATCTGCAAACATTATTAAAATAGAGCTTGGATATTTTTGTCCATTGCAGCACAATAACAAAGATGGGAGATAAAAGTTAGTCTAGAGACCATTACACTGCGATTCAGCTGAAGATGCTGCATCTTGCCTTGACGTCAGCTCCTCCTTTTTATGACATGCCTAAATTTACCAGAGTTATGTAGTTTTCTCACTGATGCCTGCTGTTTTGTGCCAGGAAGGTCTTTGCTGCTGCTCTGCCTGCCTTGACTTAACATGTTTGCTTATGAAAAGTCAGGGAAAGTGTGCGGTCCTCTCTGCAGGTTTGGCATTTACATTCACATGTGCAAGAGCAGGAAGCTCTTATAACTAAGCCAAACCACTTAATAACTGACCACTGATTTGAGCTCTTCTGCAACCCCAGCCTCCATGGCCTTACTGACTGATTTTCTACATACAAGATAATATACTGCTCTCTATTCAACAATTAAAATTGGCATTGGTTAAAGATTGTAATGGGGCTGTCACGACACGCTGGTGTTGACGTGACCACCTTTATTAAAATGCTCAATATTGATATTGTGCTGAAATTTGTGCCAAAGATAAGTGAAATACCATGACTTCATAGCTGGGGTCCTTTATGCTGGTTGCAACACAATGAAAAGTAAAGGCAAAGAAGAAGCAGTGATTGATTTACCAGAAAATTGATAATTTACTTGAGGGAATACTGGTAAGGTTTTGGTAAGGAACATGATTTGTAGGTCAACAAGCACACTTGCTGATATTTATTTCCATATTTAAGGCAGCACTGCAGGCCTTTTAATGGTGTTTGTATCGTAACTTTTGAGTCCATTTACTGTAAAAGAGGCAGTATGATCTTTGTGGACAGTCCAGCTGCTGGTGAGGGTTACCACTTGGATGAAGAAGCTGCACTTGTAGAGCTCCTTTGGCTTGAATACCCTGAAACACGAGTGTGGAATTGACATCATGTGGTAGCTGGGATGGAAAGGTTGAACCTCCCTTCTTCATGCCTCGTGGTGAAATAAAGTGAAGCAGGGGAAAACAGGACCTTTGAAGTGGTAGCGAGCAGAATACAGCCTTTAACCATCGAACCACTAAACAGCCCGGCCCTGGCAGCGCTGCAAAGCACAATGACATTTCCATATGATGTCTGTTTCTAATATGCAAATAAACAGCATGTTCAGGCTGTTTAGTGCGGGGATGTGAAAGCGTGTTTTGAATACAGGCTTGGATTTGTGCTGAGGGTAAAATGAAGGACATAAAAGCAAAAGAAAGTAGTTTGGGGTGGTTTTGTTGAGAGGATGCTATCAGAGGAAAAGGAACAGGATGTAGAAACATTATTTTTCCATCATCGGTACAACACTACTCTCCTGTATTCCAATTTAATTTCCTGTCTACCTCCTTTTCTTTCCCTGGTTTGTATGCTGTTATATATATTTGCTGCCTCTTTTCTGGCAGATCACTGACCAAATCTTTTCCTTTTTCTTTGCTTTTCAGGAGGAAGAGATGCCAGAAGTAGAGATAGACATAGACGACCTGCTGGAGGTCAACAGTGATGACGAGAGAGCCAGTAAACTGCAGGTAAACACATCTCTGCATGGTTTGTGTTTGTTTCTTGATGTTGGTGAATATGAAGACACTATTGTTTAAAGCACAAGGGCAGGTAATCAGCTATGTTAAATAATGAGAAGCAGGATTGACATGGGGTTATTAACCATTGTGGATGGGGTCAGTTTTTATCACATTTATGCATAGTCAACTTATTGAACTTCCTTCATTCTTTTTAAGGATGTTTCAGGGCCCGACTTTGTCCCCAGAAAACAACTAATTTCCAGCACAATTCATGGATGCAACACACATGTGTTTCTCTGCCTGCAGCTCACTCACTATTTGGGATGAGATTTTTTTGTTTATTCACGTTACTTAACCATGTAGAGGCGAAGATAGGCTATGACTGCTTTGTCCACATGGGTGCTAAAATTGACAAACTGAAAAGTTCGCTACAGGAGCTTTGACCTCTGAGAGTGAAAGAAAATGGGTTAAACACAGGGTTTAGGACAGCGGGAACTCTGGTCAGTGAGGGATGCAGACTGCAGCTGTTTGTGAGCCACAGGTATCCTCCTGTCTTGGTTTGTGGGAACGGGCCTACAGTTAACACACCTGCACCACCAGGTGACTTAAAGAGATATTCTGGCGTCAAACATCTTTTTAGCTTTGCCACGTTTCTTTGACAAAAAGACCAAACACAACTCACCCACTCTCCTCCAGCAGCCGCTTGTTTGTGGGGGAGCCCTGATGAGTCGATCACCTAGTGCAGAGCAGTCTCGCATCTTAAGGAAGAACATTTATGATTATTTCTTCATGGAAATGCAATCAGGTCTCTTTGCTAAAGAAACCGGGCAAAGCTAACAAGATGTTTGGTGACTAGTACTATGGCTGGGACCCTATATGTACTGTTGATGAAGTTAGGTGCTGTTCTGAGCATTATTTGTGGCCATAGAGTGGCTTTTTGGTTGAGGTATGGAGACATAGACTGCTGTGTATTGCTATTGTGTGGTCATCAATGAAGTTAATATTACTAGAGACGGAAGCAGTCGGCATTATTTATCTCTTGAGGGGGTGTCTAACTTGGTGTTATGGTGTGTTTGACCATGACTTAAATTCACGCCAAAATATCCCTTTAAGATCTTTGTTGCCCCGGAGTAAGCAAAGCAGTATTTCCTCTTTTTCCTTTGGTTCATTGAGTCTTTTCTTTCCCTGTAAACTCCAGCTCATAAATGTGTGTCCTCTTATGTTGTGTTATCAGGGCCCTTAAGTTGGCATCGACATTTAGGTGCATACATTTAGGTGTTTTTATTTATTTTAATTATGTTTCTAGCTGTGTTTTTATGCCCTGTACAGCGTCCTTGGGTGCTCAGAAAGGTGCTTTTAAAAAAAAAAGTATTATTATTATTATTATTATACCCAATGTACAGAGGCCATAGTCCACATCCTGCTGGTTGCTTGTTTGACCCCTTTGCTGCATGACTTTCCCCACTTTCAGCTCACCACCCTGTCCCTCCAAATCTGCCAAGAGCTAGAAAAAAGCAGATTATTGTCCCCGCTGTCAGTTTCTCACTTTTTACTTTGGTTTATTTTTGTCTTTTCGAAGACTTCAGACCAAAGCAGCAGATCAGTATGCAGCAGCAGGAGAAACATGTGTTGTATTGTTGTTTACATCCAAAAACCACAGATCCAGCTGGAAGATGCCTAACTGAATATTTCATGCTTTATTTTTATAAACTAGTCCTGTTTAGAGTATATACTGTATGTTTTTGAGCCATGTAAGCCTTCAAACCAGTTGAGCCATTGTTTCTTTTTTTCCCCACAGGAATCACTAACAGACTGCTACAAACCAACAGAGGTGAGCATGTGTGTCTGTCTGTCATCTACATACAATCAAACACTCAATATCAATTAGCAAGTGAGTGACATGTGTAGACAGACATAGTTATTGACTTCCACATATGTGCTGTTCGATCTGTCAGTGCAGACTGCTGTACATTCCAGTGTCCTAGATGTGTGTGTGTGTGTGTGTGTGTGTGTGTGTGTGTGTGTGTGTGTGTGTGTGTGTGTGTGTGTGTGGTGTGTGTGTGTTTAATGAAAGTCTGGTAACACACACACACACTCACAGACGCCTTCATTTTCTTTTTCAAATGTAACTTTGACCTCAATACATTCAGGTGTTAGCACAACGCTTGCAAAAGAACCATATTTACAGCCGTGCTCAAGTTGTTTACCTGTTAAAGGATTTGTCAATGGTTAGCATGTGGATGTGAGTGGGTGTTTGTGCGTGTGTGATTGTGCATGTGTGTGTGTGTGAAGGCTGTTGGGTATGCGGGTTCGGGTAAGGTAGAGTTAAGCTATTTTGGTGATTAAAAGTACAACAGACCAATCACATTAGCTCTACATACGGTGATCTCGCCCAGCCTGGACTCCCCATCTGTCATCTCTGTGTCCGTATGTGTGTGTGTGTGTGTGTGTGTGTGTGTGTGTGTGTGTGTGTGTGTGTGTGTGTGTGTGTGTGTGTGTGTGCGTGCGTGTGTGTGTGTGTGGCATTAGGTTAGTCTGTGAAACCACTACAAGGTCACACTGGTATCCAAAGCCACCATAGAGTCCAGCCAGGTTGACAGCCGCTGATACGTGTGACACCTACCCTCATACACACACACACTCATCCACACACACGAGCGCTTTGTAATCCCCTGAGAATGGAGCAGCACAGATGCCATTTTGAACACAATCCCACAAAGACCGCATCAGCTGGGGATACAGTGAAAGACAGAAGGGATGGAGAGAAAAGGTGATTGTGAGAAAGGCAGGAACGATGAAAGAAAGAATGAGATCACTCTCAGAAATAAAGGTACACTTGGGAAATAACGGGCAGTGAAGGGAGGGGAGGATGAGACATGAGGAGAGGGATGCAGAGGGATATGTGAAAAGAGAACTAGAGGGAGGAAGACATTAAAGAGTGGAGAGAAAAGAAAGGAGGAGAGTTAGAGAGAGATGGAGGAGGGGGTGTCATTGGTAATTAGGTCACGAGCAGTGTCACCCCTGTTACAATGAGGGGGATTATAATTCAGAATATCCTCCACTGCAATCAAGGACCTCTGTGTGATCTCTTTTTAAAGCTCATGTGGGTGATTTCACCGCACCCTTCTTCCTTACTGAGTTAGCTATTCAATAATACTCCATCCACTCACTGCTGTTGAAAGACTACTCCCACATTAACTGGGTTTATTAGAGTTCCACATTTGTTTTCTCAAAGTGTTTATGTAAATCTTTGTTTCTTTTATTGATTCAGCACATATTGAGAGTTTATGTCCCCAGTGACAAGAAAATGCCATCTCCTTTACACTCACAAATTATTTCCTTCATTAAAAGCTTCATAAAAAAGCTGGAGGCAAGCTGCACAAACCAAGGAATCTCTATTTAGTCCCACTATAAACATCATGGTTTGGCTTCAAAGCGCCACATTACACACATATAGGGAGCTTTTAAGATACTATGTCAGTGTCTTAGCAGTCAATCTTTAAAACATGAAAATATTATTTTCGAGTTTCTTTTTCAAAGTGCAGTTCAACCTGAGGTGGGTTCAGCTTATCAAAACTTCCATCAAGTGTTAACAATGCTTTGTTGACAGCTAATTTGTACGTTCTGTTAAGACTCAATTAGGGTTAACATAAAGATTAACATTAAAATCTGTTTAAAGTCTGACAATTTCCCATCCTGCTGTAAAAGAATAGGTCCCCATGATTCAGGTTTAATTCACACATTTTATCCAGAAAGATCCAATGATCAGATCATGCTCAAGTCGTCTGTGATCCATCTTCCCAAGTAAGAACCAAGTTTGGATCCTTCTTCAATGGAAGTGTACATCTTTGTGATGGGAATTCAGGCTCTTTGTTCTGGCAAATCATCTGGTTCAGCAAAAGCCAGCTCTTTTGGCTTCCAAAGGTCTCTTTTGCACAATGAAACAGTATTTAGAGCTAGTCTGGAGACAAGATTGAAATATTAGTCCCTTATCATCACCAGTAGTGTTGAATAACAACATTTGATTTCTTTGAAATGCCCAAAACAAAACACATTTTCCCCTGGAGGTGTTGTGCTTTTGAAGGTGTGTTTGAAACTGTTTATCTAACCCATTTTTTCCTCTTTGTTACAGGACTTTGTCCGTGAGTTGCTGGGCAGGATAAGGGGAATGAGGAAACTCAGTGCACCTTCAAAGAAGGGCCTATAATGGCTGTAATGTCAACCATCAATCAATCACTATGTCATCTCAGCTCCACCTACATAACCTACTCAACATGGACTCTCATCATGAAGAATAACTTATCTAAACATTACAGCATTAGTTACTATTCCACAACCTGCAGACATGCACCATGAACTCCATGCATTTAGCACTATTCATCCATTTCACAATCACATAGAATAACAAGGTGTATTATAAAAATATTTGACTGTTGAAAGGTACTTAAGCAAAATGGAGCCGACATGGTTCAAAGCCGAACAGCCACAATAAAAAAGTCAAGCCCTGGGACGTGCAAGACAGAACTGCAACTGTGCTTTAACACCACCTAATGCCACATTTCAGAGCCATGTTACAAGTCAACGCTGTGACCGCAGCCGCCATACAGACTTCAACTCAAACAAATCTCAAAAAGGGAGGTGGTCAAAACATGTTTGTACTGCAGTAGGTGTGAAATTAGCTGTAGCACTCCGTAAACACAGCGCTTCATGGTTTCTCTCTCTTTTTTTTACTGAAGTATTTTGCTGTTCTTTTTACAAACTGTACTGTTTGTTGCCATTTACTGTTCATGTGATTGAAGTGTGGTCTTCAGCTGTTTTTGTGCTACTTCAAAGTCAACCCTCCTCATCCTCTCACTGCTTTCAAACGTAAGGGAGCTCTGTAGTTTTATTTTAAGCACAAGGCGTTAAAACATCAATCGTGTCCTTTTTTGACGTGTTAACTCTGGGAATAGTGGGGACGTTTGAGCAAACAGGACTATGAGAGTAGAAGGGTTTAGCTTAGACCCACTGTTCTGGTACACTTTTCATCATATTAAGGCATGATGGGTGTTGCAGTTCTCTACATGAGACTACAAAACCTGAATGATTGGCAGCCTTTCATTTACCACGTTGTCTGTAGTGTTTTCCATAGCTCCTCCTCCCCTGAAAACATATCTGTAAACCGGTAATTTAGGTTGAAGCACAAAGTCCAAACTTTGTATTTTTCCCACACTCTGGTTCACATAACTCTGCTAACTTGCCTCTCTTTTAGTGGTTGATGTTGCCTTCAAGGACATTCAGGATCAGATCACCTTACTCTCAGCACCGAACCTTAACCACTGACAACCTAATGGCAAATATAATCAAGTCAAGACCTGGTGACAACTTGAAACTCTCACACGAGTATCTGTCAAGTCCTGTGTAGAGGGGGTGTGCCAAAACTGGGAGTATTACATCCGTTAACGTCATGGGTCATGGAGGCATGAGTGAGACACAGCATTTCCACAGAAAATGTTTGTGAAACAGAATTTAAAAAATGTTAAAGACTTTTCCAGGTTGCAGATTATAAATTGTGTAACCCCAGGAGGTTTAAGTGGCGGATTAAGTTATTTATTGTTGTTAATGACCTTCTGTGCACCAACACACTCAAAAAGAACCCGTAAGCTCTGGTACAATCATGACTCTTGTTTCAGGGTTGGGCCCAGTTTCAATTCAGCAGTCCTAAACCTGCCATGTGATAGAAACCCTCAGCTGCCAAAGACAAAAGCAGGGCAATGTTTGATTTAACATAACACTTGCAAAGCACCCGACTTGCATGCTTACGACAGAGAAAAAACACAGATAAAGAGTAGAGATATTATAAATTATAATCAAGCAAAAAATTACCTTTTTGACCTAGCTACCATGTCTGACTTTGTAGAACTTTTTGTGTTGAAACAACGTGACAGTCACGTTGGAGCAAATCCAGGAAAATTTTAAAAATGGTGCTGTTTTTGATGTTCTTCCCAGGTTTTGGTTGTATGAAACATGTTAACTGTCGAGTGATGCCAGAGAAATGCGTCTGAAGGATGTATATGTCTTTATAGATGGGGTGCACACAGTCTACAATGTCGTCCTTTTTTTATTTCCTTCCCTCAGTTTGAATGGGTGTCACTGCATTCAGCTAGGAGAGAAGGATTTTTTAAAAAAGGAAGTCATTATAGATGCATCCATAATTCGTGTAACGGTACGCCATAATATTTTCTCTGTTAAGAAACAGTTCAGGGCAATAGGCTGATATTTTTTAATTTATGGGATTTCATGTGGAGAGTATTTTGGAAGTGTCCATACTAGAAAGCTTTATGTTTGCATGTATTTTTAAAAGTTGCATGTAGAGGGGAACATTTTGTTGGCCCAACAGTTTTTATTTCACAAAATAAAACACTTTCCTTTTTATACCTTTTATTATTATTATTATTACAAATATTATTAAGACTTAAATATTCTGTTTTTCAGCTGCAGTTTTGTTTTTCTGTACATCCACAAATAAGCGTTCTTGTTTTTAAAATGTAATGTGGTGTGTGGTTTGTTTTTGCTGATAATAAAAATGCAGAAGGACTCTGTACTGTTTAAACAGAAGTCATTCATGAGTATTTCTAAAGTCTGATAAGGGGTATGTGTCTTCAGCTTATTTTTCAATCTATATATTTGGGCTATATGGTTCAATGCTCCAACACATGCATGCTGAAGTGTTTGCTTTTATACACCTATTTCATTTCGTAAAATTCTGAGTATGAAGTCACAGTTTTGATTAATTCTGACTTTAAACTGAGAATTTTACTTAACTCTTAAGTTTTAACTTTAAACCCAGAGTTCTTACTTAAAACCGGTAATACTGATTTTATTTATTAAATTTTACTTTATCCAAGAAATTCTGACTTGATTTGTGGCCCATATTTTCTTCTGTATAAAGATAAACAAAAAAAGAAGAAACATGCTAATTTGCTTATCTCTTTTTGGGTCAAACAAAAGTAAATGAGCAGATGTGAGATAGGAATTATGGTGCATTCCATTTACCTTGGAAGTCGAAGCTGGGAATGATATCACACCGGAGGTATCCCGAGTTAAAAAAGTAGCCAACGACCAAAAAACCGCTGAAGCTACCAGGCTACGGTTAGCTGTTGTTAGCGTGCCTACTTTGTATTTCACATATACACATGAAAAATGTAAATTACACTATTAGAGCATTTCCATATATATACATCTAGCAATACTATTGCATATTTACATCACTTATTGTGACAATAAATTGTAATAGGGTTAATAAAAGGATTATTACAGGAACTTCTACTTACTGTTTACAACCGACGCCGCCATCTTTAAATGTCAACTTGGGGGTTTGGTGGATCGTCCGACTTTCCGAGTCGGAAATCCCGACTTCAGTGAACTGGAATGCACCGTTAATCCCCAATTGTAAATTTGACAAATGGTCACTATTAAAGTTGATAGCATTGAAAATTTTGTGGAAGTTGTTAATCATTTTTAAGTTTTATAAACTAAGCTAGGCACAAAATATTTAAAGGAAGAGATCTGGGAGTGGTATCAATCCCCCAGTTTATTTCTGTTCTAAAACAAGTCTAAGAATAAAAGATTATAGCATTATTTTAACCAAAATACAAAACAAAACAACTTTTTTGTCTTTCTGCCAAGCTAGGCTAACAATATTAAAAGGTGCAGGCTTGAGGGTGGTGTTGGTCTAGCCAAGTCCTCACTTGTATTTACTGATCACTGGTAGTATCATAGAAGAAAAACAAAAAACAAGCTTCTGCTCTGTGTTGAACCTCAACTATGATGGGTCACTTTTTACAATTTATTCTATTTTTGCTTACAACAAGAAGTTGTAGTCCCTGTCTTCTCTGTCTGAGTCCTCATTTTAAACTACAGTGGTGTTAAATCATAGATTTATTTCTCGACAAAAGGAGTAGACAAGCATCTTTCTCAAATGCCACAGTATTCCTGATGACCTTTGTCTCTGTTGGTGCTTTGAGCCATTTATTCAAATGTGCTGAGATCTCATGTGTGACCCTTTGCATGTGTACTATCATGTGGTTTTGTGATTTCGAGTGTGTTACCTCTCAATGTCGCACAGAGTCGCAGTGGTTTTGTAGGACAGTCCTGTGCACTGTCGGGTTCTTTAAAGCGCTCATCAGGGTATGACATTATTGCTCAACGTACGCATGAGTAGCCTTTCTCTGCAGCATGTCCAGCCCCATATGGACTACCCTACTGGCCTACTGTACACTGTTGCTAGGTAGAAAGTGTGAAGTGATCTTTGAGACAGATTTAAGACTGTTATTTAAGAGGCTACAGTGAATGCTCTGAGAAAGATTACAAACAGTAAGGCTTAGAATTGTATGATCTGTAAACGGAAACATGTCAACTCCACTGCAAATCAAAGCTCATGCACTGCTATTTCTAAAGGGAAGTCATGTGGAAGAATATAGGCCAGTTTACAGTAGGGACAGACAGAGAGTGAGAGGGAGACCGTGAACGTGCCACAGCTTTTATTCCCGCAGAGAATGTGATAATGAAGGTCTCCTGATTCACTGACACACATTCCCGTACAGCCTTGTGGATTTCACTGCAGGGAGACTGGATTGCACATGCACACACTCACACACTTCGCCTCTGCTTCTGCTGCTGTGCTGCGAGGAACAGCGAGCCAAAGCGGTGCCAGCAAGAGGCGGCGTGTGCCTTTAAATTCCATGACCCACTTTTCACAGCTGGGGCTTGATGGCTGGCTGGCTGGCAGGGAGCGCTCGTGCACGCTGCCTTGAATAATTGGGACTGCAAGGTGAATGTGAGGAGAATAGTTAAGGACGGGAGCTTCCCCTCCCCGATAGCCAGCGTGCCTGGGTTCAGTCAGCTGGCTGCACACCAGAAAGTCTCACACCAGCAGTGTCCTAGAGCTGCTGTTGGTCATGGTGTCTTTGACTATCAACACTGATGTGAATGGAGACAGTTGTTGGGCAGAAAAAGAAGAATGTAGATGTGAAATTAAATAAGATCAGGCTAATATTTAATTAAAACCTTCGGCTGATTTTCCAGCATCATATCTCTTCACGTGAACCAACCCAGCAGACCTTACTGTAAATTTGATGCGCTCCCATCCCCCTCTTCATTTTGCCTCCCTTTCTCTTGATCCTATATGCTTCTCATCACCCCCCAGACTCTTCTCTCCTCCTGCTCCCCCCTTGTGGATAATCCATTTCACCAATATTTCAGACACATAAAGAGAGAGAAATAAGGGGAACATATTGAGACTGGAAACAGACACACACATCTCATATAACCAGGGATAAGAGAGAGAGAGCGAGAGAGATGAGTGATAGCGTGACACCATCAACATGCCTCTTCTTCCCCTTTTGGGTGGGAGATAGATCCCATCTCGTCTCCATCGCTGCAGAGACAAATGCCAGGGTGGCGTGTCACGCTGTCGTGGCCCTGCTCGTTTATTCACATGACAGGCAATTTAGCCATTACGCAGGGAAGAAGAGAGGAAAGGAAGAAGAAGAAGGACAAGGGGTGATGCTTTCTTCTGTCACCTCCATGACACTGAGATTTGGTCATCCTTTATAGAAGACCCACTGCATTGTGGGTAAAGAGGAATCTCTCCAAGGACTCTTATTTTGGAATGCAAAAATCTGATATGACATAAGCAGTAGTAAAAGCAAAATAAGAGCATTTTACTGAAATCCAGGAGACATAACACAGCTCTCAGTAGTTACCAGCTTCATTATGTTTTTGGACTCTTACTGAATATTTAATTCTGCTACTTCAACCTTAATCCCAGGGAACAACCTCCTGCCTCGACTTTATAAATACTATATAATACACGCACACTTGCTCCATTTACACAGTCTGCATGTGTGTGTTTGTGTGCGTGTGTGTGTCAGAGTGAAAACCTGCAGTGCATCTCGTGGGAAATCTATTTAATTTCACTACGCTGAGCCCATTCAATTTTCCAGCTCTCCAGACAGAAATGTTACAACTCTTGCTCTCCAAGCATAAAAAGATGTAGGCGTGTTCAACAACATGCAGACTCTGCTGCAAACATTGACCGATTTTACTTTTGCTGCCATGGCTGTTACTGCTGCAGGCAGAGGATTGACTGAATACACAGGAGCAGCTCTTGTGATGCAGTCTGTAGCACATAGGTAAGATTTAGTTCAGCCTTCTTACTTATATTTACCCATAGACTGTATATACGATGGACAACTTGGCTCTGCCCTCCATCATTAAACAAATTTGAAGCCAAATTGCTCTTGGTATTTCCGGGATCTTCTCCACTTCCCAGAACCACCACTTGTGTAGTAGAATTGTACGCATTTGGTGGGAGAGTTGCCGTGAAGATGCTTGGCTCAAACAGCATATCCCTCAGGTGAGCCACACAATCTTTGTACGCCCATAGGCTGTATCAAGTGTCAATCATAGAAAACATGAACCCCCCTAACAACTTTTAAAAATGGAGCTGCACAGAAAAAAAGAGGACTTGAGCACAAACCAGTCTCACAGTAACTACATGCCAACATCACAAGCAGGGGGGAGAGAAATTTATATTCTGTGTAATTAATTTTCAAAATTTGTCCACAGCTCCTTAGGGATTGCTGGAGGAGGCGGGATTTATGACCTATGCTGCAGCCTGTCACCAGAGGGTGCTGTTCTTGTGGTGGCTTCACCCAGCGAAGAGGCAGACATGGTCCATTCCATATACAACCTATGTATTTACCTCAATAAGTTTCATCATTGACTGTAGACAACTGATTGGATATAACAAAAGGATAATGATTGTGTCCTATGAAAGTGCAGGAGATATCTGATCCCATTTCCAAAAACACAGACACACTGAGATTTTCACATTTTGCAAAACATCACAGAAGGTGATAAAATGTTAAGCTTATTTTGAATTTGATTCCAGCAACACATTCAAGAAAAGTTAGATAAGAGTCTTGATTATCACTCTCTTGCATCACCTGTCTTGTCACAATATTGTCAGTGTCTGAGAGCTGAGGAGGCCCGCTGCTGATAATTTAGAAGTGAAATCTTGTCCTTTTCGTGTCTGCTCCTTTGTCATGTTTTTCGTCTCATAATATGACTGATATTTTCAGTGCATAAAAAGTGTGGACTTATAATCATTATAAGTAAATATGTATCATTTCCAGAAAAGGACAAGGGCCTAAGCCATTTTGTTTTTGGGTTATTATACATCAAATAGTTGCAAAAAAAGTAATATTACACCTATATATGCATGTACATTATCATAGACATGAGTATATTGTACATGCTGCCATCCTATATTATTTTTGGTACACACAAGTATATGGTAATATTCAGCAGAAGTGCGTTTAAAGCCTGCAGCTCTCTGGACCTTACTTACAGAGTGGTGCTTTAAGTTTAGGCATTAAACACCACTGTTACAAACACTATAGACAATTCAAACCAGTGTGATCACCAGAAGGATTAATAGAAAGGATTTAGAATTAATAGCTCTATTTACTTGGGTCCAGCAGCCATATGTCTTCTGGCCTGTTTGTGTGCGAGCTTCTTGTTTTTGAGGTTTGTTTTCTTAGCTGTGATTGGCTCTTTCTGTCTGTACCCAGAGGGATGAGATTGGTCAACTGTAAATGATCTCATACCTAAATACAGCATACAGCATACAGCTGAGCAGTGTGTGTGTGTGTGTGTGTGTGTGTGTGTGTGTGTGTGTGTGTGTGTGTGTGTGTGTGTGTGTGTGTGTGTGTGTGTGTGTATGTGTGTGTGTGTGTGTGTGTGTAGGCTGAAGGCAGGGCAAGTCTATTAGACAGCACAGAGGGGAACTGTCTGTCTGCAGGGGGTGAGTTCAGATCATTCTCCTTCCTGCCATCTGCTTCTGGTGAATAATGTAGAGACAGAGATAATTAAAGAGGCTATTAGCATCATGCTACTGAAAAAAACAAAACAGAGAATGGGCTTAGTGCCTTTACATGTGTAAAAACAACAAAACTAATGCTAAAATGCAAGCAATTTGTAGGATTAGTTTTAAGATGATCCATATAGACAAATACCATTCAGGGCTTATATCAGCAAAAGAGAAATAATTTTGACCTATATTTACCTCAGATTAACTATAATGACCAAAAACAAACCACAGATTGTGTTCTTTGGAAAGACGCAGCGCCATATGCTCTTTATTTTCTCTTTTTTAGTCAGTAACATAAAAGGTGAAATAAGGCCAGACTAAGTTATCTAAGTTCAGACCAATGAAATGCGTGATTTTGTTGCTATGGAGAAACAGTCCCGTCTGTCTGCGCCCTAAAAGGTAACATGAGGATAGAGACACGGGGCGACCGAGACATAAGCAGAGAAGAAGACAAAGAGCCAGACAGAGCCTGTCTTAAAGGAAAAGTGAGAAGATGAGGAAGCTGAAGTGAAAAAACAATTTCAGGTTAGACTTTACAATAAACTGCATGGTTCATTCGTGATGTTCACAGTTCATTATCTGCTTTTATCTGAGAAAATACAGCACTGTCACAACATGTGGGTTACTAAATAACAGCAGTCAAACAGACTGTAGCTCATTTTTTTATTACCACAGTTAGACTGAAAAACTGAATGAATAAAAAAATCTCTCACCTTCTTTTTTTGGGCACATTTAGCAGGAAGAGGGTGATGTTAGTTTGTGAGTTGTGAAAATTTGAAGCTAAGCTGTGAGGTTTTTTTTTTTCAGTGCTGCAGTGACATCTGTTTATGTGTGTTTCATCCTGATGAGTTTTTTGCAGCTGCTTCTATAACCAACACAGCGACAGGTCTCTGTAAGCATGCGTGAGATGTAGCACTTAACAACTATTTGCAGTGCTGCCTTAAATTGCTGTCAGACATTTTTCTATGGCGAAATGATGGAACACTAGAAAAACGGATAGAGATGGGATATTTATCATTAGGCGACATTTTTTTTTTATTCTTTGTAGTTTATTTCTTCTATTATCTGAGCTATTTTGTAAATAACTTAATTCAAAACTGTTATCTTAAGATGCTTTGCAAAAAGAGAACCTCTAGACCACACTTATGTTTTTTTATTTTATTTACAATGACTCAACATCAAACTAAGATAAAACTTAGTTTCATCCAGTAGGATCCAACCCAGTCCTACTCTGTCTTGATCCAGCATAGAGGAAACACTATCACACTGACATTAAAGCTGCTGTGAGGAACATCTTGGTTTGTTTTTGGTTTTGATGCCTTCTTTGGACAAAGTAATACTTGTCATGACTTGCTCTGTACATGTGAAAGTAGTCTTTTCAGTTTAAAACCTATTCCTTTGTCTTCAAACAGTGAAATGTTTCACTCACTGTGTGTAATTGTCCTGTAAAAAAACTGAAATAGGCTGTTTTTAAGGCTGCCGTCAATCATCTGGTATGACATCTACCATCTACCATCTAATTGTTGCTGATGCTTTCATTTGCCTTAAGTCCCACTCTTATCATTGTTTTTACTATTAAGAGTGTGATCAGTGGTCTTTAAATTGGGATTATGAAGCCAAAATCAGTTAAACTGTGTCATTTTCAGGGGCCTTTCTTCTGCAGCGCTCCAGTAGCTCATTAGCAATTCACCTCTGAGTCGTGGGTGGAGACAGCGCTTCCCTCCTAGCTTGTAGCCTAACATTGCACAGGAACACAGGAAACACAGGAGCTATTCAGCTCAGGAATGCAATTTTGCACTCATTTTTCTCATGATATGTCCTCTAACGTCAGCCATATGAACATGTAGACAACAAGAAAAACATAATTTTCATCTGAGTGGGTCTTTGAGGCCATAAATAAGCATCAGTATCAGTGTCGGTTTGTTTTTCAGCTTGTTAAAAACTCCTCATAGGGACTTTAAGTAAGTTACAGTGGCAAAGAAAAACCTCTCTTTAGCAGGCAGAAACCTTGGGCAGAACTAGACTCATGTTCGACAGCCTTCCATCAGTACCATGTTGGGATTAAAAAGAGGATAGAGGGAGATGCAGACAGAGATGGAGAGACACAAACAACAATAACAGAAGCAGCAGCAGCAGCAGAAGAAGAAGAAGAAGAAGAAGAAGAAGAAGAAGAAGAAGAAGAAGAAGAAAAAGATGAAGAAGAAGAAGAAGAAGAAGAAGAAGAAGAAGAAGAAGAAGAAGAAGCACAGACGCCTGGATAAAGTGCCAAATATGATGAGAACAAGTATGTTTACTATTTAAATGAATATCATGTTAATGATAATAGATTTACTTTAAGGCAGTTTAAGTCCATGGTTGTATTGGAGCATAGAAACTTGGGGAAATATTATTGTTTACCTTTTTTTTTAATATAATATGAAAGGTGGACAGGGCTCCATTAAACAACAAACCATCATCTTTATCACTCTTCTTAGTGCTGGATTTAACAGTATATTCAGACCTTTTAAGATCTATTTTAGATCACACAAATGCATCATAGACAAAATATAAATAAAACCAGGGGAATATCAAAAGCCACTATCAATAACAGTATGAGGAGCTATTCCTTTTATTAAATGAGGGGTCTAAAATTATATGTCCAAAATCCGTCTGTTTACCCTTGGTTATTCTAACAGAAATCTGGAAAGTCTTGGCAGTCACAGCATACTCTGGTATATTTCTGTCATTTGAAGTGAAAATTATTCAAGTTATTTACACATACTGCAAGCAACTGTCAATAAAATTCAATTTAAGAACATCAGTGCCCTGTTTTTTATGTGAAACTGTTGAGGAATGTCTCTCAAAATAAAGCTGAGATTGCTGCCTCCAATCTCTACTAGAGAGACTAACAGAAAGACCAAAAACAAGTTGTGAGGGGCTTTAATCCTACATTCCCCTGGATATAAATAGATGCAGTTCGCCTCTGGATTGTTGATCATGTTTGCTAAACCAGCGCCCTTAATCTAAAAACTTCTCTGACCTCCACCCTGATTTTCCCCAGCTCATGCTCCAGATCCTGTACCAGCACATGCAAACATAAAAGCAGACAGTGTAATCCCAATGATTCACAAAGGGGCAAAGAGACCACTTCTCCTCAGAGTCAATCGATTTCTGGATCTGCATATTCTGCAGCTACCCACCCCCAGCGTTGGCTGATCTACCATGAAGAGTCCTGAGAATTAATTAAGGGATGATAGACATCCATCCTTGTCTGATGTTATACCAGCCATTTAAAGGGAAAACTGACACTCTGTCTGTTTTTCAGCTGGTTAATACTAAAGTGGCATAAAGATTCAGTGTGTGTACTCTAGATTTAACCCTCAGAAAGGGAGAATCTCAACATCTCTCTCCCTTGGGAGCCAATTACACACAGTTCAGGCAGGCTTTCATCATGAACATGTGAAGACGGTCAAACACACATGACCCTGAACATTACCTGAGGCTTAAACCCCCTCTAACTCATGACTTACCCTCACTGTTTTGGACACAAACAACATAACAGAAATGGAAAATCAGGCATCAGTTAGTAAAACAGACACTGAGATTACAGTAGAGGAACAGAGGATGTTCTCATGTATGCATCAGGAAAGTAAGAGGAAGGATGAGGGGCTTCAGTTAATTCTGCTGAATAAGAAACATTCTGCTTACAATCAGCATTTTCTAGCCCCAGACAGCAGAGACGAGCCCAGATGTGTTTATTTGTCTGTCTGTGTGTGAGCACTGGAGTGCATACCTGCAGGCCAGCACTTCTCCCCTCCACCTCCTCCATCAGAGGAATTGCCAAACAGCTGGTTGTCATGGTTGCAGGTTTCTGTGGGCCAATCAGTTGCCATTTTACTGGGGGTCCAGGAAGGGGGGGTTGAGCTTGCACAGTCTGGCAAATAGCAGTGATATGAGGGGGAGATTAGCATAAATTCAGCCAGGAACAGTAAATCCATGCTCAAATACTGTACTCTTTATTTTTGTCTCACGTCTCATTTCGTCAATCTGAAATGGCTCATATCTGGCGAAATACTGTGGGATGAACTGCCCTTTCATTCACATACACTTTATCTTATTTTTTTTTACTGATATTTTATTTTAGTTCTTAGTAAATTGACAGTCAGACAGATACATCCGTGCAGAAACCTGCCAGGCACTTCACCATGCCTTATGAATTCTTTACAGATCTGCAATTAGTTGAATCCTGTGAATTAAGCATATCTCATTGATGTTTCAATGAATACTAATGGGAAAGGCATTGATCCTCATAGAAGGAATAATTGAGTTTTGATGAGTCAAAAACATATAATGTAATAAGGGAGCTCCCCCTGCTGGCCATATGTGACAATGACAAGTCATTCAACACAGCTGTCCTGACTGGTTGGTTTTCCATTGTTAACGTCTTATATCTTCCTTTAAACTACATTGAGTCTCTGGTGATTTGTACTTTTTTCTGCATAAGACGTGAGATCTCCTCTCAGATTTTAACATTTTTCTACATGTAAAACAAAATAATGCTGAGTTTCTACCAGTAGTCTACCACATTATGTACAGAGTTTTATAAGATATTAACTTCCTAAAAACATAGATGTTTATACTCATACTACAAAATAAAAAATATATATTTTTGGGGGGGAACTGCCAAAGCAGGAGTAGCAGATGTGTGTTAGTCAAGCAGAGGTACAGAGTGAGCATAACCAAAGAGCTCATTGATCTACTTTGAAAGTGAATGAACTGGTGACAGATAGGTAGGCTTTAGCAGACAAAATCTTTGACAATATGGAAGTATTAAAAGTATTTCTAAGCCCAACAAATGTATGCACTGTACAAAAAAAACTGTAATGGCGTTAATAATTCTGATATCAGTGTCAATAATTGAAGTAAGGATGTTCGCCCAAATTGAGACACACTACAACACAAAACGTGACAGCTCCACAGATGCCGCATCTAACTCAACAGACAGAAATGATTTAACAATACCCATTTCCTCTTACTACCAATAGATGTCAGCAGAATACTTGGAGGGATTTTAGAACTTGGAGGTCTACTTGCACACTTTTTCCCATGTCAACTTCAGAGAGCAGCAGCCCCCTTTTAATTACTAAAACTGTCAATAGTCTGAGTCAAACTGACGAAGCAACTAAAAAAAGTTTTCGAAACCAGCAAGCAAACAAACTAACGAACTAACTAACTAAAAACAAACAAACAAACAAAGCCTACCTACATAAAAAGTACTGGATTTCATGGTGCGTTTAAGTTCCAAAATGAACTTAATGACTAAAGTGTAAAAAGTTTATCCCGTCATAACTGTGAGGTTTAACAACAGGGTTTTCATTTTATTTTATTAATGGGATTAGCTTTTAGCCCGTGTCGTCCCCCACCTGTCCGTGGGAGGGTGCCCGGTCTAGCGCAGGATCAGCTCCTGCCGTTGATCCCTCTCAGCTGACGTCAGGAGAAATGGCGGACCAGGATGGCAGCGACGCATCTCCTCCAGAGTCCCAAGGTGAGTTTTCAACCGAAGAAAAAGTTAACTTGAACAAACTTGAAACATAAACGAGCTGCTATCTGAAAGGTTAGACGCCGCTTTGCTGCGGGACTTCAGTTGTTGTTGTCGTGGATTTAAACGCTGACGCCGGATTCACAAGAACTACAGGGAGCCGGGCCGGTCACGGGAGTGGGATTAACTATCAACCGACTCACCCAACCGGTTGCCAAATATTCATTAAACACAAACTATGCTTTGAGCTACAAAAATGTTTTCGGTTTCACCTTTGTCTCGATATTTTAAAGACCTTTTGAGGTCCTCGTGCGCGGATAGACACCTGTTGCTGACATGTCGTCAGCGCGTCGAAACGCTCCTCTGTAGACGTGACAGGTGAATTCATGGACCTGAACAGAGGCTTCACGGGGAGCCTGCTTCATGTGTCTTCGGGCGAAAAGTTTAAAGAACTTCTCTGGCTTGTAATGGTAGAGTGAGGACGGCATTTTTTCTTTACCGTTTCTACAGTTTGAAGTGACAAGTTAATAACCTGCCCCTTTCTTAAAGTCAGACCTCTGTGACCTAAATTGTAGTTAATCGTTTTTTTTTTCATGCCTAGACCTACTAGTTATTTCAGGACTGAAAGCTGCCTCAACTACTCTCCCTTCTCATAACTGTTGGGTATTTTGCCTTATATAGTTTATGCCATTTAGATTAAAATGTGACTTACAAGCCTTAACGTTCAGAACAATGTTCTTTATAAGTCTAATTATTTTCTGTTCAGACATCTAAAGGAGGCAGATTGTCGCCAGAGGTGTCGCCAAACTAACTGCTGAACCATATTGGGATAATCTCTTTAGTTTAATTCATGACCTGATATAAGGGTAAAAAAATAATCCACTGAGTTCTCTGTTATGTAAAGGTGTTGATTAAGTACTGATGTCGGAAGACCTGCAAGACCTCACTGACTGTGAGATGCCGTAATAACTTAACAGTAGACTAGGAAGCCAGGGCTGTAGTTTTTTAGTTAACTGTCCCCAAAGCCATCTAACTTCATTGCTAAAGTAACAATCTCAGAATCCATCACTTAATCTTCCACTGTTACCGTAAAGCCTTCCCTATATTGGCTTGGTTTGGGGGATTTTTCCTTATCCATTATATCCTTATCCTTTACACATTTTGGTTAGTAGATTATGACTTTACCTTTATGAATTCATTGCTTTTCTTGCGCGCTTGTAAGCTATCCCATGTATTTTTTTCTAAATGTACCAGTTGTAAATATTCCAGTGTATGAAATGTTTTCTTAGTCTAATAAGGATAAGTTGGCTTCAGGAGTTAAGCTATACAAACATAGACTATAGTTTACAGTCTGGGATTAAAGGTTAAGAGTCAGGAAAATACATTTTAAGAGCAATCTACTACGCAGCATAGACGCAGCAGCAAAGTTATTCCAGCTCAGATTAGAAAAAAGCTTTTTTTAAATTTAGGTCTAGTTTGTGCACTCACCATCATTTTGCAGCTTTCTGCACCAGTGTGCGGTTCTCTATTGCAACTTTTCTATATATTTTTTAAATGTTCTGATTTTTCACTTAGCATTTACTCATGATTGTATTGTATGTTTGTACTCTCGGTAAAGTATTTTTTTGCACCAAAACAACAGGAAAACTTTTCTCATGTATGACAAAAAACCTGCATTGCATTAACCTGGTTCTGATCAGGTGCATAAAAACAGATGGTTGGTGACTCAACTCATACAAAACAGTTATAGGTTGAGTTTTCAAGCCATCAGATTTTACTTTTACTTTAAAATAAGTTATCAGTCAAATGCTACAATGAATAAAAATGTTGAATCCGAAGTCCAGATTGGAGTCGCGCGTGATAAAAACTATCCAACACTCTCACATCAACCTCAGCCAATCAGTCTTTATTTGTGTTGTGCCAGCTTACAACAAATGTTATCTCAAGATGCTTCACAGAAAGCGCAGGTCTAGATCATATTCTTTATTGTTTACAGGGAGCCAACAGCAAGATTGGATAAGAATGAGTCTCATCTAGAAAGATAATACCCACTCTTATCCTATCTTAATCCACCGTGAGCTAAATACTAAGCAGCATTCACCAAGTTACAGCGATAAAGAAAAACTTCCTTTCAACAGGCAGAAACCTCAAGCAGATCCAGACTCATGTTAGACAGTCATCTGCTTTTATAACAGCTTTCAGAAATAAACCTTACTGTATTACTAATCTTACACTTAATATGTAGACACTTATTGAACCAACTTTGCCCATTACTCGTTTTTTCCCTTTCTATTTGCCCACAGCACTAATCTATAATACGAATTCCTTCCATGTCAAGTATCTGTTTTCATTTTCTATAATGGCTGACAGTTGCGTTTGTTACAGGAGACAACTCATAGCTTGGTCATACTACCAGGTGTGGATGTGGTGAAGTTTAGCTCTGGCCTCAAGTGCGGGATTTTTCCCTGCCTCATAAAATGGCACTTGAGTAGCCTGAGGACATAGAGCTGCTTTATACTGAGCTCCGTAGTCACATTACTGTCAACAAGTGACCCAATTCACCTTTAGTAGCAGCATGTTAATATTGTTTTGTAATCCGGATTGGGCCTTCTGTTTGGTAACCTGTCCGCATTCATGGGGTTACAGGATTTTCTTTTGAGGAGATGTTTAGGAAATCAGCAAAATAGAGGAATGCTTGGTTGTTATTATATTATGCATATAATTTTGCTGTATGTGTGATGTAGTTTCGGTACTTTTGTTGTGTTGATACTTTGCATATGTGATGCTTAAAAAGTCACTTAGAGCTTAAGGTTCATTGAGATAAACTGATTTTCCACTTCACTAATAATCTTACAGTAGGTGTAAATAAGCACCAGATGACAGAAGGCATCTTGTTGTGTGGCACAGTTGGCCACTATTTTGATCCAGAAGATGGAGATTAAGTTGCATGTAGGCTGTGTCTGGCTAAATTTGATTATAACCATTTGACTGGAGCAATATATAACGCAATAAGCAACGGCATGTGGATATTAATCTGCGAGGAAGGCCGAACCTACGTGAACCTACGTTAGGTAAAATGTGCTCAGTTAGGTTGGTTTCCGAGTGATTTCTTACCTTTAAACTAGTTAGTTTCTCAAAATATGAGTTTCTGTTTGAACAACTTGTAAATTTGTCACTAAGGAAAGTCTCTTAAAAATCTAGATGTTTTTATTTAGATTTTTGAAAAAAGTTGGAACAAGGAAATTCTTGCATTTAGTTTAACATACAGCATTTTGGCACTTAGATGATATAGTAGCATTAAATTCACCCTAAGGGAGCATAATAACTAAAAAAGCTGTTCATCATTTCAGTTTTCAAACACACAGCTTGTTTCTTCTATCAGCAGGTGAACCTGTCATATTGTTCCATTTGTTCCCATGCCTTTGCTTCTCCTGTACTCTAAATAGGTGTGAGAAGGGTGTGTAGCCCAGCCTATCCGGTTTAAGTCTGAGTGTTGGATTACAGCATTACTCTATCCTGCAGGGACAAAGATCAGATTGCTGTTTCATGACTGGCATGTATTCCCTCAGGAGATGAGACAGCAAGTTTCCCCCCAACTTTCCCATCAAACATTCATTCACTTTAATGTAAAGGAGACCAAGGAGAGAAGTGCATCTTTGACAGGTTTTAGCCAGAGTGTCTTTGATCATTTTGCCACCTTACAGTTTATTGGCTTCATTATGATCCCAAGTTGGTTAATCTTGTGCGTATTTGCAGATGTGAGATAAGCGTGCCTGTCACATGCAGCATGGTTGTTCAGGCCCATGTTTGCACTGTTATTGAACAGACCTTTCATGATGTGCCCTGTGATAACTGCAATAACTTTAGGGCCCTGTTTGTTTCTCCCTGCCTATTATGCACCTGTTCTATTTCGTTTCTCTGCCAGGCACAAACATGCAGCACATCTCCTAGACACTCTATCCTTGCATGCCCAATGTTTTTGCGGGACATGCAAGGATAGATGTGGGAAAAGTGTATCATTAGAAAGAAGCTGCACCTCAAGATGTGTTTCTGCACAATAAAACTACTCAGATAATCAATATACAGTACAGGCCAAAAGTTTGGACACACCTTCTCATTCAATGCATTTTCTTTATTCTCATTACTATTTAAATTGTAGATTCTCAGTGAAGGCGTCAGAACTTTGAATCAACACATGTGGAATCATGTGCTAAAGAAAAAAGTGTGAAATAACTGAAAACATATTTTATATTTCAGATTCCTCAAAGTAGCCACCCTTTGGTTTTTTGATAGCACTGCAAACTTTTGCTGTTCTCTAAATGAGCTTCATGAGGTAGTCACCTGAAATGGTTTTTACTTCACAGGTGTGCCTTGTCAGTGTGACTGACAGTCAGTCACGAAGTACTTTTGTCATCAAGAGCAAAGGGTGACTATTTTAAAGAAACTAGAATATAAAACATGTTTTCAGTTATTTCACACTTTTTTATAAGTACTAAATTCTTCATTTGTTCATTCATAGTTTTGATGCCTTCAGCGATATTCTACAATGTAAATAGTCATGTAAAAAAATAAAGAAAAGACATTGAAGGAGAAGGTGTGTCCAAACTTTTGGCCTGTGTACTGTGTATTCATCCATATTTCTGACTGTATCACCCTTCTGGTGCTGTAAAGAGGCAGAAAGAGATGAAAGAAAAGATTTCAATATCAACCATGCTACTGTGGGATGACAAGCAGCTGCTGGCTCTTTAAGTGGAGAAATGGGCGGGGACATATACCATGTGCTTTATGAACACACCCCTTCCACACAGGCAGCTCCAGTGCTGCATTGTATAGTTTGGTGTGTACTTCCAAAGTTAGGTGTGTGTGCTTGTGTGTGCTTTACTTCAAAGTATGCTGGCCCCCTGTCCCACTGCGTCATTGGTCCATGTGATGCTGTTGTCAGGGAAACCCTTAACTGGTACCGGCTCACATTCCACTGCTGGATCCACACTGAATATTTCAACAGCCCCTGATGCCCTGTGTTACCCTTGTGTTTGTAGGACAGATAGTGTGTGTGTGTGTGTGTGTGTGTGTGTGTGTGTGTGTGTGTGTGTGTGTGTGTGTGTGTGTGTGTGTGTGTGTGTGTGTGTGTGTGTGTTGTACAGCCAGTGCTTTTGTGATGTGATTCTTCTGACAAGTTTGCATTTACAGAGTCGACATAGAGAGGGAGGTGAGGAGGGAGTAGGGCCCTCCCTGCACACTCAGCGTAGTGAGAGCAGCATCTCTTGAAGAGAGTGAGGAAGTGAAGTGCAATTTCCTCAGCTCTCACTCCAGCCAGTCTCCTGGATTAAGTCTTCTTCTTTAAGCCAGACTACAAGAGCTCAGACTGTGCTGCTCTCTCTGTCTCTCTGCCTGGCAGTGTGCAGCTCTGTTTGTGTCTTTCACTTTCACTCTTCCATTGTCATCTATCCGCACTCTTCTGCAACCATCTCCTTTTCTTGAACCTATTCCACATTTCATGATCTAATTTTTCCATCTCCTGCTCTCTCTTTTGCATTATCCTTCTCCTCTTTCTCTCTTCCTCTCTCTCCTCTTTTCTGTGCCTCACACAGAGTAGCAATGTGCAGCCAGAGGAGTTAGCTGTTAGCCTTAGCTGTAGGCTTTCTACATCTTCCTCGAGAGGACAGCTTTTAGGGGTGACCCTGTCCATCCCCATCCACTGGCGACTGCCACTGCCCTCCACCTCCCCTCCTCCTCCCCCCTCCCCACCTTCCTCCGCAGGGTGGGATGGGCAGGGGCTGGGTGAGTTAGCCGGGGGCTCGAGGGTTAGCAACAGGGCAGGAGATGCCAGAAAGTAAAGGACGAGGACAAGGAGGAAGAGATGGGTGCTCACAGGGCAGACGGAAGCTGAAGAAGGGAGGCAGCCGTTCAGCCATCCCGGCACTGTTCACCATCAATGAGGAAGAGGAGGGACAGAAACGGAAAGATGTGTGCAGGAGGAAGAAAAGAGGTATGGGGGAAAAGGATGCCAGGGGTGCAAAGTGGAGAGGGCTATAAATTTCCATGTCCTGATACTTTGAGCTATGTTCAAACAATTAGGTTAACTGAGCGAGAGTTAGGGAGGGGGTGCATGAGCAAAGAAGACTGTGTGGAGTAATCATGGAGAATTTAAGACGTGTATGTTAGTAGGATGAGGCTGAGGCGGGGGAGGAGGGGGTGTTGTTTGCTCTTGTTGAGGAAAAGTCCTCTCAACCCATCAAGCGCAGTAATCTTGAGACATGTAGCTGACAAGGCTGATGAAAGGGCTGTGTGTGTGTGTGTGTGTGTGTGTGTGTGTGTGTGTGTGTGTGTGTGTGTGTGTGTGTGTGTGTGTGTGTGTGAGAGAGAGAGAGAGAGAGAGAGAATTTTGAAACCTGCTGACAAGGTAAGATTGGGTCAACACAAGGGCAGCAGAGGAGAGTGAAGGTGTAGTTCAACTGGACACTTGGACATTGTTATAATGCATCAGTAAGCAGAGCGGTCAGTCAAGATGACAGCAAGATGTCTACAGTCATTACAGCAGGGATAGAAGTTCAAGCATGTCCACTTGTCCTGTTTTCTGAGAGGAAATACCTGCTTTGTTTTTTATTCCTCCAGTACCTTTTCATTCAGTGCTTTCCACGACTACCTTTGTGTGGTACTTGAAAGATTTGTTTGAAGTTTCATGTTTCAAGTTGTGAAGGTGCTATTGAGTAAAACCACAGAGTTCTACTTCATGACTGACTGACTGACTGTTTATTCTTAGACTTTGAGGAGACAGACAGGCGATCAAGACACCAAGTTGTCTGATTTTATCGGCTTTGACCTTAGTTTTTTCTTGTAGTTTCTGTCTCTGATAAATAATATAGAGAAGAGATGAACAAGGAGCTCATCTGACTTTTAAATACTTCAAAATAAGATATATAAGAGCACTGGTTATTGGAGTCTGTGTTAAGACTGTGTCCCTGTGTTAAGATTCCCACTGCATTCAGCAATGTGCAGTATTATGCAGCTGTGTAGCTCTCAAGTACTATCTGTCATCATCATTCTGCACAGCTGTGGTGTTTAGTAGAGATGCAGTGATCCATTTTTTTCAGATCCAATCCGATTTAGATATTGATATCTGGGCTGAGCGTATGGGATGATATCCGATACCAATCCAATACTACTGTTGAATGAATGAATTGTATATCTTGCCCTGTGATTGTAGACTTGACATTAGCCTTGTTAAAAAAGGAAACAAATACAGATATTAATTTACTTAATATTTTTTGTCAACAAATAACAAATTGCACATTAGCACACAGCAAAAAGAAGTAAGACTTCCATGTAAACATTTATTGCAAAAGGATAGACTGACAGAATATAGGGCGAACACAATAGCTGTGTTGCTGTGTAGCTGTGTATGATATTAATTAAAAGAAAAAAAAGACTAGATCAGAACACTGAATCTGTGTCATTCATCAGTAATCCGATCCAGCTAATTTGTCAATATTGGGGCCGATATCTGATCCAAATATCGGATTGGTGCATCCCTAGTGTTACTGGAAGTCGTGTTGATGATGTCACCTATCTGCTTATGAAGCAGAGTTTTGGAGCCAATTGATGGTGATTGCCATATTAGAAATGGTGAGTCAACCAGAGGTTGGCCTTTAGTGTTGCTGCCTGTCAGTCAAGTCAGCTGTGCTTTTGAAACAAAGGTGGGATGAAATATTCACTCCTTGTACTGTTTGTTTGCTGTTTTTTGAACCAGGCTGTAAACGTGTTTATTTATGCTTTAAATTGACTTTTTTGACGTAATGTGCATGTGGTTTCCAGTGCTTCTGCAGTCAGCTTAAAGAGGGTGTTCAGGGAGTTTTCTGCACTTCCTCATTGGCTTCATTACCAAAGACTGGAGGTTGCAGCTATATGGGACATATACCACTGGATTTACTGTTTGCCACAAGTTAGATAAAATTTGCACCACACCCTTTCACTTGTCACCTAAAGAGTCTCATCAATCAAAGCAGCTCTTCACAGGGTTGAGCCTCTCAATGGGATGTTACTTCTTCAAATGTACGAGTGTGAGCTAATGATGGAGAAAAGGGTCCAACTGTGGAGCTGCTAGATTTTGCTTGCCTTGCAATGTGTGCAGAATGTTTCTTTGAGCACCATCTTTTGGGTAAAACACCAAGACACAATAAAAAAAACCTTGTGATTCATTTTGTACCTTTGCTGTATGTCATCCCCCAACCTCTGCCCCCATGTTTCATGCCTCTGCTATTCAACTATCATTTGCCCAAATATTCAAAATATAACTTAGAAAACGTCTATGTTCCAGTTATTTCCCTTTTAGTGTACAACACAGCTCTCAAACTACGAGAGCTTTGCAGTTTCCTCACAGGGAAAGCAGGCATGTTCTGCTCACTTAAAACATTAATAATAGAGAAGAGTAGACTGAGGGAAGAGGGCAATGAAGAGATGATTGCAAGCTTGTGCAGTGAGCGTGCTCTTAGGATCAAGTGGCTGCAAAGTTGTTTGACTCGTGCTTTTATTTTGAATAGCATGTTAAAATGTGTTTTTTTAATCTGTTTGCATTTAAATAACCAACAAATATCAGAGAACATGAGCAATTGAGCTCAACCTCTACACCTGCTATTAAATTTATGAGCTGTGAGCCGTGTTCATCACTTTTTATTTATGCTTTAAAAGGAGTGAGGTCTTAGTTTGGTATTCAGTGAGGTTGCACTAACTGTAAAAAGTCATCTGTTTTTTAAATGAGGTTGAGATACGCTGATCTTTCTTTACTTTACACCATGAACACAAATCCGAGTTTATCCTCTAAGTGATGTCTTCTGTCCAATTAAGAAACCTCAGATCAGTCTGATTTTCCAGCTTTTCATCATTAGATAACAAAGGAGAAGATAAGACAGTAATATGCCATATCAATTAATTTGCAAAGTATCTGGAAGTTGTAGGTTGATTTTGGATGCCTTCTCTTATCTGTGGTGTAATCTGCCCCTGCCATGTGCAACAAACTGAGTCTCACCCTCCTCCCAGGCACCCATCATCCAGGCCTCACTGCCTATCATCAGGCTAAAAAGGAGTACTCCCCATCCCTGCCCCCTTTGCCTCTCAGTTGGCCGGAGCTTAGCGTTTAGCTTAGCATTAGCAGCAGCTAATCCTCTCAGGATGCATGGGAGGTAGGAGCCACACAGCGTGCTCACCCACTACACACACTGGCCCGGTCAGCACGGCATTAATCGCCAACTCTGACCATTTAATCTGAGCGCCAGTGAATGCAGATAGATGGGGGTGGGTAAGGTGCGTGCACATACACACACACACACGCACACTGGCATCGGGAAGGGAGGGGCAGATTAAACAGTCACACTCTCCCTATGTCTCACTCTCTGTCTCTGTTACGCACATATACACACACAATTATGGACAAAAGGATGGGGGTTGGAGAGTCGCCACAACCTTTCTCACATTAAGCGGGCTCGCAACGACAGTGACACTGTCTGCAGCTGACCCTCTTGGTTTTTTTCTCTTCTTGAGTGCCCCTATACTCCCTTAAGTTTAGTTTTCGCCGGCCCACTTTTGGGTCATCTGGAATTTCTTCATTTTGCTTCTTCTTTTGCCCCCTACCTACACCATGGACTCTGGATCCAGACTTATCCTCTGCTGCGTAGGATGTTGTCAGGAACTAGGAGCGCTGATTCTGGCCCTCCAATCTGACTAGTTGGAGTGGAACACTAGTCAGGGGTTATACATGTCCCATCCTGGGATTGACACACCTGGAGATATGAACCAAAACCCAGGTAATGACTTGTGTTGTGATCCAAAGAGTTCTGCCCACCGTAGATTCAGCAAGATGCAGGTTAGAGAGAGAACATATCAGGTTGGATGGTCTGTAAGTAACAGGAAAGCGTTGTTTGGCTTTGTACGTCATGTCAGTGAAATTGAAATCAAACCTGATTTGGTGGCTCATGGACATAAAGCCTAGGCTTTATACTTCAGTCCCACTAGTAACCAGAAAATGAAGATACTGCCGTATGGAAATGTGGCAGAAGGTATTTGAAGTGTTTGGAGGTTCAATGATGCACATTTATCACTGAGAGTTAACACTTTGCTGCAAATACAAATGTCCTCAGCATGTTTGCAGAGATGATTTAATGGCTGTCTAATGCGCAGGAGCAAATACGAATGCTGCTTTTTGAAGTTTGTTTGTTAAATGGTCCCAGCAACAGATGGCTGAGGCTATTAGAAACGTCAGGAAGAAACAAATGCACCAGAAGAAGAGCTCACTGCAGTTTTTGTTAAAGCTTTGTATATAATGATGTTTCAATTTAGATGGTGAAAGTCAGACATTTTGTCTACTCAGAGCATTTTAAAGGCAGATGGTGGAAATGTGGGTTTGTGATTATTACTCAAGTTGTGCAAATGAACACTGACATGATAAGTAAAATAGTCAATAACTGAGATGATCCAAAATGTTGCACAGTGCAGGATTTTTACTGATATTTTTAATATGTTGATATTTTCCTGTTCATTTTGACTGGTACTGATATTGAGACCAAGATTGTTATGGCTGACAAAAAGGAATAAAATCACAAAAAACTAAAATGTCAGAAACTAAAACAAATATAAAAATAAGGCTTTACTAAAACATGATAACTAACGACAGTGATATTGTATGTTTGTAAAACAAACTACAATGAAATAGAAATTATGGGGAGACTGTCCTTCGTTTTCATCTTCGATACACAGAAACACCCAGGGAGCAGCGCCAGGTCTTAAATTCTGGTTAGATCAGCAGAAGTTTCACATTATTATTCTAGATTACATTGGATACTCTTAAACAGTCTTAAATAGTTGACAACTCTTAGTTCATCTGCTGGTTGATGCTATTGCTCTTCAAATATGATCATGTTTATATTTTGCTGTAGGCAGGGAATTTGTATATAGGATGCTGTTATTCTGATTCTGATTTAAGGAGTTCTCCTGTCATTGGTGATCTGGATGGATTTAATTGTTATTTGTTTATATTAAAGGCAGAACAAGAGAGGCTTTGAATCCACACTGACTTCACAGCAGAGAGAGAGTGGCACTCTACATGGACATTATCCTTGAAAAGTTGTCTAGCTTATACTAGCGAGTTGAGACCCTGTCTTTCACTGTAGTCCACAGAATTCTCTGTTTAGTTGGAATCCATCTTGCTGAGCTAAAAGTTAGATACTGGGGTGGGATATGCGCAGACAAGCAGGGGTGTGCCCAAACCTTTTTGACTGTGGTGGCCCAACCTAGGCATTGACACTGCTCAGGTGGATTGCATTGGCCATTCAGTTAATTTTGGCAGAAGGCTTGCCTCCGAACAAAGTAAATAACCGAATTAGACACCATGCTCAATGTTTGGGGATCATGCCCCTGACAAGTATCCAATGTTACAAAAAACTAAAACTCCAAAGCTACAAAAATGAAGCATTCTTCAAATAAAAAACAACTTAAATTAAAAATCCGGCCTGTAATCAAATCCTAACTGAAATAAGATTGAAAAAATAAAAGTGATAAAAGCCAAAGAAAATTTCAAAATTATTATAACCTTAATCAAGACCAATACAAACACACTTCTTGTGAAGTAAAGAAACCAATTTGTCTTGTACAAGAAAAATACATTACTTCTACTCTTCTATTACTAACCAAGACACACAACTCTATTTTCTACGATTTGTGAGTTTTCTTTGTCAAATACAGACACACCAACAGTAAAGCCTCTGGTTCTGATACTTGAGAGTACTTCCACACAGTTGAAGCTTGTCTTGATGCAACCTGTCATCAAAGGCCTATAATTAATGTGTCACCTTATCAGTTTAACATGTCGGCAGACATTTCCATATCTGCTGATACTGATGTTGTACAGATATCATCATGCATCCCTAACTGTTCCCTATCTTTGCTGTAATGCTATTCAATCTGCATTATTGGACGATTTTGGAAAGTACCAAAGCTTATGAGAAAGTCACATTTTCAACCCAAAACTGCTTTGATAGAACGAGACAGACAGCAGCGGAAGTGAAGAAGAGCACCACTCATGGAGACAAAGCAGAGAAACAATTTATCAAATATTGTCAGTAACTTTTTGAACCTGCAAGCCTGTAATGTTTGCAGTGTGGTAATAAAAAATCCAAAAGGTACTCATTGTAGGTTCTCAGGAGGCATCAGTATCATTAGATTGTTACTAATAGCATATTTGACTAAAGAATGTGGCTATTGTTACAACCCTTGTGATAACTGAGCCGTTCAAACCCTGTTCTGCCTCATCTAAAACTTGGAGCCACAGGGTGACCTTTGACCTTGTCTGACCCTTTTTTATACTGGATCAATTCCATAGCTTTCTGTTTATTTGGCCCAATGTGTGGGAAACCAGGGCCAGGAAAGGGCACATCCAGTCCTCGTTTTAAGATCAGTCAGAGTTAGACTGCCAGTGAGTACAGGTAGAGCAAAACTGGAATGGCTGTAGGGCTGTAAATGAGATGTTTTACACACACACACACACACACACACACACACACACACACACACACACACACACACACACACACACACACACACACACACACACACACACACACACCTCTGTCATCATGTCATCATTTGACATCCATTAACTGCCTCTGTGGTTTCCACTTTATCAGAGTATGGTGTGTGTGTATGTCTTGTGTGCGCACACTGATAAGAGGACATCCGGCTGTTATTCAAAATGCTACAGTAAAGCATGAGTGTGATGTGAATGTGAACTGCATTGTAAGTTGTTCATAATGTACTTTAGCATGTCTTCATACATGTCTAGTACCATTTCATTTCCACTCTGTTATCCAATTCTCCCTCTCCTCATGTCTCATGTTTAAATGTCTCTGTGCCTTTCTTCTTTTTCTGTATCTCTTTGTGTTTCTTTCAGATTCTCAAAGATAAAAACTGCTTTTGTCTTTGTAATCTAAAATGATCTGTTACTTTCTGCGAGTGTTGTGCTCTTAGTTCAATGTACAAATTGTGTTTGTGTGTTCTTTGTCATTTTTTCCCCACTAAGAGCCGATTTATGTTTCATCTTCTTGATCCTTGAAGCCATTCACAATTTTCTCATGCAGCTTTTGATTGCGTTGTATTCCTCTCTGAATGAGCCAACGTTTTGTTCACAGAGGGAATGAGTAGAGTAGACATTTTTTTTATACCGGCCCAGTCCTTCCTGTTGTAACAATAGCCATTATAACCAGTCAAAAGGTTGGTGCACCTGAAGCAGACTGAGTAATACTTGTGCACGCACCTCTGTAGACTTCCCATTCAGAGACTGTGACATGCTATACCTCCGCAACTATGACCTCATGTCTTTGTTGAGCACAAAAAACATAAAATGTCACAATGTTTGAGGGTGAGGACAGCATTTGCAGTTAATATTTTCTATTTTTTTTTCTTAAAATGAGGTTGCAGGTGAAGCTCTGATTTCAACATTTAAACACAAGGCACACTTGAGTTTGTCCCTTGCAACATAAGAAAGTTCACTCTGGATATGAAACTTGCCCTTTGCTCCTTCCTTCACCTGCACCATTAATTATCCCACAGAGCTAACATGCCAGTGAAGCGGGAAGATAAGGACACCATGTATAAGGATTTAAGAATAGGGTGTGTAGTAGGGCTGGGTGATTTAGCCTCAGATCAATATCACGATATATCGAGCAGTTCACCTCGATAATGATAAATGAACAATAACTACTCCCCAAGCTGCTAACCCCCTCTTGCATTAACTTTGTCTACTTCAGCCACTACAACTTTTGAACCGTCTTCCATCTCCTCACCTGTCTTTCCCTCTTTGTTATGGACTGGATCAGGTGGAGTCGCGTCTCCGACGTAGGACAGCGTCTTAAAGGGACATGGGATCATAGCCTACCTACACACATCCAAAACCAACTTTTATTTATGACACAGAATATATTGACGTGGGCAAAATGATGTTGGTTATTGTCGTAAATTGTGGTTTATTGTCCAGCCCTGGTGTGTAGCCAGTGCTATTTCAGTCGGGGGTCTTGTTATGTAGTTCTTCACTTAAATCTCCGTCAGGAGAGATTAATTGATGGTCTCAATGGAGTTTTAATTTGTCCTTTTTGCACAACTGTGCAGATAAGACATGTTGTATTCTGAGTATATATTAGCACAGAATGGCTTGAAAAATTTGAACTTTTTTTTCTTTTCAAGTTTAAAGAAAAAAGATTATGGTGCCAATATAAAAAAAAATAGGACATGACCAACAAAAGTTGTGTTGTGCAAAAAATATGGAATGTAGCTCAACTGTTTAGGTTAATTTGTAACAGGTTAGTGACTAGATTGTGTTTAAAAAGGGTAATTCAGGGAGGCTTAAGTCATAGGCACTCTGTGAGAGACTGTGTGAGCAGCACACAGTTCAGTGACCGCAGAATAATGTTCCTGTGTGTAAAATTGCAAAGAATTTGGGGATTTTATAATTAACTCTGTAGAAAGAGACAAGGCTGTAAAGCAATAGATTGTTGGTAACTGTGGGCCCTCAAGTTGCACCGTATTGTAAACAGATATGTCTCTGAAGTGGAAATCACTGCAGAGACATATCTGTCCATAAACACTTTTTTTCGCTGCATTCACAAATGTAGTTTAAAACTGTACAATGTGAAAAGAAAACTGCTGATAAATATGATCTAGAACTACAGGGGACTTTTTCGGACCTGAGCCCATTTAAGATAAGCTGTGGTGAAGTGGAAAACTTCCCTGTCGTCTGATGAGCCAAAATTTGACATGCTTTTTGGAAATCATGGATGCCGTGTCCTTCATTTTGAAAAGGGGGGACCACCGGACTTGTTATTGTGGACACAGTTCAAAAGCCAGCATCTGTGGTGTGATGCAGATGTAGAGGCGCCCTTTACATGAAGGTTTACACTCCTAGGAAGGTACCATTAATGCTGAGCACCACAGACAGGTTTGGAGCTACATGTGCTGCCATCTGGACATGAACATTTTCAGGGTGGACCTTACATATTTTTGCAGAATGATACCAAACCAGACTCTGTATTGTATTTCAACAGCATGGCTCTGTAGTAGAATCAGGGTTTTACAACTTTTTTTCTCTCCATGGCAATGTTATATCAGACCAGGCTCATCTTTTGCTGCATAACTCAATGTTAAGCCTTGTGTTTTTGTCCAGGAGGCTGAACTGAAAGTGCTGAGTCACCCTGAGCTTGATAATGTCATTAATCAATAGCCAAGCTCTGAGCTGAGGGGAAGCACTGCAACAACCTGGGAGAGTTTGAAGAGGGAACACAGTATATGTTAGCACAGTTTTGTGTCCTGTCAGATTACACTGCAGAGACCCTCAATGTTGCGAACAATTCCATTTTTTCTGCCCTCATTTCTTGATCTGTTTTTGTCACTGATGCTTGTTTTCATCACACACTGTGTCAGTAATAGATGTAGCTGCTATGATGCAGGTTTTGCAAACAGCCATGCGCTCTGCACCAGCTGCTTTCATTATCTGCCAAATGGGGTAGTGAGTACGAAATCAGCTCAGAACTGCTAATTATCAGACAGTGTTTTTGTGGAAAATAGTGGACATGCTGCTCATTTTCTAGCATCTCTATTTGGAGAGTGGCAGGTGAATAAGCACTAATGAATAACTAAGAATAATTGGTCTGCTCATCAGTGCAGCTGGCTTTACTCTTTAGGGGGTAAACACTGAAAACAATCCTCACTACACATAATGCACTGGCCAATAAATAATGACTAACAAACACTCCATTAGCTGTGCAGTGAGCACAAAAAACAAGAGGTAGAATCTGTGCTAAAGAACAAACTCTGGCTTTGTCATGGAGTCTATCACGTGGTTATTGTTTATTAAAAGAAATCAATGTTTTGAAAAGTTTCTTTTTTTTACTTAAGTTTTCTGGTTTGTCTCTCCTTCCAGCGTCTTCCTCCCATTACAAATCAGATGATGGAAGAACATCATCAACTACCCGGCCCAGCTCTGCAGGCTCCGGGCAGGCCTACACTCCCACCCTGACCCCTAACACCACCCCTACACTGACTCAAACCACAACCAGCAACAGCCCCAGCAACAATGCTGCTATCAAAGCAGGTACGCTTTGTCTGTGTAAGGGGGAAATAACGCTCTGACTGAAACTTTATTTCACTGAGATTGAATACAGTAACAGTTGAGTCTTAATGAGAAGTTGCCTGTGCTGGTTTTCTTGCAGACTCATTGCTCTTCAACAAGATTGACGAGAGACAGAGGTTAGCCCGCGAGCGCCGCGGGGAGCGTGAGAAACAAAATGGTGTGTCCACTTTTCAGTATGTGTGTGCGTGTGTGTTAACTGTTTAAGCGTCAAAGGCTTTAAATGTATGTCTCACTTTCTTTGTTGTCCTCACCCTGGCGTATTATGGCTGTACTTGGTTGGTAGCTGTGGTGAAGGGCCCGTTTCTGTGGTCGTTACATAAAAATCTAGGCTGAAGCCAGACACCCCTGTTGCCATGGCACTGATGTTATATAATAGGTCAGGCCATGGGACAGGGTTAAGGGGGGCTGCTGTTTCAAACCTGTTTTTGTGGTTGTTTGTGATGAATGTACCACAATAGATGGGTTTTCCAGAATGATGGTCTGTGTGAGTTTTCACTGCTGAAGTGTGTTTGTATCTGTATCATCACTCGGTCGTCAAACCTCTGGCCCCAGCTGAAGGGCTGAGGGATTGAAAGCTAAAGCCAAGTCACATGATCTACAGCTGACCTACCACTGCTGTTATAAGCCTGTGTGTTTATGTGTGTGTGTTTGTGTGTGTGTGTGTGTGTGTGTGTGTGTGTGTGTGTGTGTGTGTGTGTGTGTGTGTGTGTGTGTGTGTGTGTGTGTGTTTACGAATATAGACACTTTTATTTCTCTTTTTAGCCTGCTAGCACGCGCAAACATACTAATGCATTTGCATCAAATCGCTGTTGTGTGTGTGTGTGTGTGTGTGTGTGTTTGCGCTTGCTTGTTTGTGTTTGTGCACAATGCCTCAGCTGCAAAGGAGGCCGAGTGGCAGGCACGTGAGGAACGAGCCAGGCAGCACTATGAGAAACACCTGGAGGAGAGGAGGAGAAAGCTGGAGGAGCAGAGGATGAAGGAGGAGAAGAGACGGGCAGCTGTGGAGGAGAAACGACGGCAGAAACTGGAGGAAGACAAGGTCCCACAACTAAACACACATGCATGCACACTTTTACTACAACAACATAGTGCACGTCCTTTATGAACAGGCTAATAGATATCGGTTTGGAGTTAACCATTTACACGCTGTACGCCCCCTCCCACTTTTGTCAGGTGGAGTTTGAACTTTATTGCCAACTTCTATCTGCCCTCTTGTACGAACATGATAGACTTCAGGATGTGGTGTTTGTGTTGCACTTAATATGGTGTATTTTTTTGCTTTTTTGTTTGTTTGTTTGAAAGCTATTAAATAAATTAGAATTTTGGTTTGGTAATGAGGCCATATGGTGTCCCCAACAGATGAAATTGAAAGGCCCTGATTTCTGTCAATCAAGCAAACCTGCTTCAAAAGCCACAGGACTTTCATCCAGTCTTGCTGCAGCTTTCTTTGTGTGGTAGTGCTCTTTCTTTGGAGCTGGGTTGTTGAGTCCAGTGTATTTTGGAGCGTGTCCCCTTAAAGGAGCAGCAGGTTTCCTGTTTAGAAGTCAGTGATTGCCTCTAAGATGAACAGGATGTCCAGCTATTGTTGAGTTGTGAATTTAATGGGCACTGGAACAGCAATTAGTCAGACGTTCACAGTAACTGCATTAGGGATAGGAATTGTTAAGAATTTAGCGATTCCAATTTCATTATCGATACTGCTTATCGATACGATTCCTTTCCAATTCTCATTGAGTGAGAAATAAGATAATACAAATGGGTTTGTTTGCATTAATTCTTTAATATTGTCACCTTTGGACAGAAGATATGCCATATTCATGCACTTATAATTTGTTATGTGACCACAAATCTGGTCACAGCTCAGGTGACATTCGTTCATCTTTGCCTCTGTCATTTTACTCTTCCCTGCCTCGATGGAAGAGGTTGCCAAAGGTGTGCCAGAGCTACCTGCTGCAGCCTCTAAGCCAGCGTGAGAGCCAGCCTCTGAGCTAGTATGACTCTGGCGGTCATCGTCATCTAAATGTAATTAAAGGAAATGGAGAGTATTTATAAAGTGAAAGAGGGTAAACGTGGCGCTAACATCTACACAACAGACAGGAAATTGAGGAGTGAAACATTACCCTTAGCATTTAAAGCAGATGATGCCGCGACGTTAGCTCTGCTCCTGCTTTTGCCTGTACCAGTCTTGCCTTCACTAAGTAGCGTATCAAACATGTTACACTTCAGCAAACTAATTGCATGCTGAGTGGACAAATGTTCGGCATATCGGAAGTCTTTCCCCCCTTCAACAAAATTAAAGCTTTGCAAGTGCAGCAAGTAGCCCAAGTATCATCTTTTGGTGTGAAATCCTGCCAAACGCATGACGCCAGTCTGTAAAGTTCTGAAGCAAAACACACTTCTTGCATACTACATCATCACGCATAAAGACGTGAGAGGAACCGATAAACAGAATCATTAAGGAGGCAGACAAACAATTCTTAGGGATCTAATCACTGGGACAGGTTCTAAAAAATAAGAACTGGTAATTGACTCTCTCATCCCTAAACTGCATGTTGATGACTTTGTAGCAACAAAGCCTTCTTGAGGGTATAAAAAAAGGACTTTTAAATATCTGGACTTTTGATCTACAGCGTTATCACGTTTCTTTATGTCAATAAATCTGCCTTCAAAGAAAAGAAAAATGCGAGAATAAATCCTCAGACGGTATTTTTGGCAAACTGACCCATATGCAGCACAAACCTATTACATTTGCAAGAAGTTAAAATCTGGATTTTTTTAATTAGTAGAGATGCAAACAGGTCTTCGAGGGAAAACCCTCACACAGTGGTCAATTGGCCTGGCTAGGCTAGGGTAAAAATAATACTAATCTTTTGCAGGAAAATGTATTGTTACAGTAACCAAAATCACAGTCAGACAAAATGACTAGACAGACATTTAAGCACATAAAAGTTTTCAAGATGAGGTTTCTGAGTTCAAATTTTCAAACTGATAAATTTTTGGTACAGTATAAACTGGCCTGCTCCCTTATTATGACATTCAGCATCGGCTGTTGAAAACTGTAATAATTTCACCACTAAAATGTCCACAGGAATGCCATTCTCCAAATGTTTACGACACTGAACATCAGCTACCCTACTTTTATATGATCCCATACTTTCATTCTGAGAAAGCTGCATAATCCTCAAAGGCGCTTCCTGACAGTAGACAGTTGTCCAAACATTAACACACCGATAAAACTCCAGCCAGAGTAACACCTTTCCAGAGAGCTGCAGCATTATCTCTCTCTGTGTTTTTTTAAGTGCTGATGGCCGACTTCATGTGTCATTAATGTTATTTTTGTGTCTGAAGGCTCGTCACGAGGCGGTGATTCGTCGAACACTGGAGAGGAGCCAGAGAACCAGACAAAAGTCTAACCGATGGTCTTGGGGAGGAACCCTGCACCCAAACACTACCAGCACACCAGCCGGTACTTTCACACACAGCACACCTTGGTGCATCCCCCTCCCACAGTCATTGCAGTGCAGTGTGTGTTCAGACAGGCTGTCTTTTTGTTGTATTGTTGAAACACTTTGCCTCCTGAATGTATCAGTGCTTTCAGGTTTATTGAATACTATTGATATCTCATCTCCCTGATGTCTAACCGAGTGTCTCTTGTGTAAATATGTCTGCTTGCTGCTGCGTGTCAATATTGTTCTGCCATGTTTGCATTTGAACTTTTCAGATCCCCGTTCCCTCTGTTGTTACTGCTGACTCACACCCTGCTCTGCCTCTCCCTCTCTCCCTCTCTCTCTCTTATTCTCAAACTCGACCTCTCTCGCTCACTTTCTCTCTCTCTTTCTTCACCCTCGTATCTTCCTCTTCCTCCTCTCTGCTCTTTGTTTCTCTGCCTTTGCCCCTTCCCTGGTCCAGGTTTTGTCGAGTCGATTTTCCACTGTCCATTCGACCTTGCTGGACTGGAGCACATGCAGGGTGCTCTCAGTCTCTACCGCAGATATGGAATGACCTCTAAATGTGAATATGATAAAAATGTGTCATTTAGCCAGCCAGTGTTAGACCGCTGGCTCTAGTATTGTACATGTACGGCGCTGTTCTAGCTCACCTGCATTAGTGTGTATGTAGGCCAATGTGAGAGGCATGATTAGTGATCCATGTAGCGGTCCAGTTTGTATCTTTAACTTATCTCCTAAGACACAGACTCTGTCCTTAAACCACTTTAGCTTTTAAACCATTTTAGTTTCACTTTTAGATGACATAAAGCTCTAATTCATTTTCTAAGTTTTTCCCCTTTAGCAACACGTTGGTCGTTTCTCTAACATCATTTAACAAAAATAGTTTAGAGGCGAGCACTTGCTACCTCAGGCTATTAAAACTATGACTTTTCTTTTGTTGTTTCTTCTCTCTTCTTCTAGATGCTGACAGACGGTCAGTTTCCACAATGAATCTATCAAAACATACGGACCCTGTCATCTCCAAACGTCTCTCCTCCTCCTCTGCCACACTCCTGCACTCTCCAGACAGAGGTAATAAGTCTGATCATTGTACTCAAACTCATGTTAGTATCAATGTGTGACATCGGACTTTGCCAGCATGCCATTTGTGTTTGTAAGCTGATCTTTTGTGACAGTGAAGTGGCTCGCTGATGTCTCTTTAATTTTTAGACTTTATAAAATGCAGACAGCACAGCACCTCCCACAAAGTGAAGCTAAAACATCTAGAGCTTCCCCTAGAGTCAGTTTGCAGTATAGATCTTTAAACTCCTCTGTTATAACAGGTGGCGCATGAGTCGATGTTTTTCTTACAGACAAGTTTTAAATAGTTAAATGATGTGAAAAACAAGGGGTGGGACATCATGATCGACAGCTCTATCAGCAAATGTGGTTCTTTATCAAATTATCAGAGCAGAAAGGGAACAGTGAAAGAAAATTATAACTTTATTGGAATGACACTTATAAAAACTGAGGTGTACAAAGTACTTTGAAAGTTCACATAAAGAAAACAAAGTGTTAAAGAAAAAAACAACAGCAAGATAGAAACCCATGAAAATTCACCAAAACATAATAAGAACCCAGAAAACGAAAAAAGAAATCAAGAGCATGTTAAATCAAGCTAAGAAACACTTCATAAAAACCCAGAGTAGTCTTGTCTAATAGTCTTGCGTTGACTTTTGTAATGCTCTTTTCATGTGTTTTTACAAAAAGGCTGTACATCACCTTCAAACTGTACAGAATGCCGCTGCAAGGCTTGTAACTGGATCCACAAAAAGGGACCATATCGCCCCAATTTTCTATTCCCTTTTAGGATTCATTTTAAGATTCTAGTACTTGCATTTAGAGCCCTCCATGATCAAACTCCCTTGTACATCACTGAGCTACTGAGACCCTATTCCCCCTCACGTTCATTAAGGTCATCAGACCAGAAACTCTTGATGGTCCCTCACACCCGTTTTAAAACACGAGGTGACTGCTCTTTCCAGGCCAGTGCCCCTCGCCTTTGGAATGCACTACCTTTGACCTTGCGCAGCATAGAGTCTACTGAACGTTTTAAGAGGAAACTTAAAAAAAATCTTTTTCGACAGGCTTTTAACTGATGTTGATGTTGTGAGGCCTCTGTGAAGTAGCCTGTATCTGTACCGTTATATGTATTGTGTTGTGATCTTTGTATTTTATCGCATTCTATCCTTGTTGTAAAGCACTTTGTGAATTTATCTATGAAAAGTGCTATATGAATTACATTTACTTATTTGCTAAAATAAACCCCAAACAAACTGAGCAACGCAGGAACTAGAGTACTTATCTAGAGGACCAGAAGTGAATAAGCATAAAGAAACAAATAAACAGGGTAGAAATCTAGAGGGAAAACAAAGAGCAAGTCTCATAAGTGCTTTAAAAGTGATGAGTATAATCTTTAAATCAAGTATAAAAACCTACAAGAACACTAAAAAAACTGTGTGTACCAACCTGAGGGATCTCTGTTGGTTACAATATGTGTCGACAGCGCAATTTGTCAGTGCCAATTAAGACTGTATTTTGGCTTCACTTTATTACAGTGGGGGGAGATAGAGGTGTGCTGTCTGAATGAATATACGGGTTATTTACTTTATTCATTGACAATAATACTGACAGAAATAGTATTAGCCTTCACTGGCATCACTTTTAAGGCTTCATGGTTAATCTAAAACAATAACACAGTTCGACACTCAACACACGTTCATGACAAGTTTTGGTCATGGAGTCGGTCAGGGCAGGAGTTTTACAGGTGCTGGAGACTTTAGCTCAGAAACGGTCCAGCGTATAACCTTATAAAAACACAGCATGTGTCACTTGTGCTTAAACACGACTAAACCATTATCATTCTATATATCCTTATGTTAAGACAGATATAGCAGTGGCATTGATCCTCTTATACAACAACTCTGGTTTAATAAGACTGTTTAAAGTAATCATGTGAGGTTTTTCTTGTAGTGTCTGAGTGCTAATTTCCCGCAAATAAGATTATATGCTCTTTAATGTCTGTATGTTACTAACAGGCTTACACATGAGAACAGCATCCTCTCCTGTTATAAGCAAAGCTCAGTCCAAATCCCGCCTTCACCAAGGAAAGACGCCCCAGCACAAAAACACAGGTGTCTTATGAGAATGTTTTGCAGTTTGGTTCCTCATATTATTTAAAAGACACACATTCCTGCAAAGCAGAAAAGGTCATGGGCTGAAAACTGTCAAGGAAATACCGAACAATCACAGCGTGTGCCGATTCATATAAACTGAGAAAACACTGAATTTGAGAAAGATTCATGAAGCTGCTTTCAATCTGGAGGATTAACTCTGCTCTATTTTTTGAAAGGAAATGTAAAAGTCTGTGTTTACGATTCAGTCATACATGGATTTTCCACATGGCAATGACATGTGTCATACATGTTCATGTGTCCGCACTTCTGTGTGTTTTCACCAGAGGGATCAAGAATTTTTTCCCCCACTGGCGTGACCCCTTTCACTAATCCTCTGTTGGATAATCTTTTTGTTTTTGTGGGAACACTTGTGCTGTTTTTATCCAAGCAGAACAAAATTCAACACCCACATTTCAACAAACAGATGAACTCATCATTGTTGACATAAAATTATATCGTGGCAAAGTTAAAGCCGCCAAGACAAACTCTGCACACCCCTGAACAGATCAACCCAGAAACCGGTCATTGCTGGAGAGAAACTTGGATTCCTTTGCACAGTTTTCAGCCCAGTTGCATCTTTGCCCCTCACTCTGTAACCTGCAACCTTGAACTCTACTTCTTTAGCGGAGCGCAGCGCTGCATGTGTTGCCTGATAAACTGGTTTTTGCTGGTTGTGGTTATCATGCATATAATTATGGCATGATGCGTTTTCCACGACTGGTCAATAAGCTAAAAATCACCTCCAGTATGCAAACATCCTTACTCAGGTACCAAAACTCTGCATGGCAAAACAATACAAAAAATTTACTGAATGATTAACTGGATTAATTTCTTCAAACGAGCTGAAAAGAAGAGTCTTCTCTCTAAATGCAAATGCACTGTGTCCCTTTTTCTGTTTGAATGCTCTCCTGCCTGTGTTTGCTCTTGGTTTTGCACTCTCCGGGCTGTTTGCTCCTTCTCGTAATTAACAAACTGGTGCATGCAGGTGTAGGTGTATCAGAGCAGCTTGTGCATGTTAACCACGTTACCTTAGTGCTCGCCTACACTGCTGTGGAGTGCAAAGGAAGGAATGAAACAAATGCAGGAATTATGCATCATTTATAATCTGCTTGACTGGCTGCTTCGGCTAATCGGTGGCCTGTAATAGTTTTAGCAGTTATGAAACTTGACCTGTGTGTGTGTGTGTGTGTGTGTGTGTGTGTGTGTGTGTGTGTATCCAGGCTTGCGCCGTCTTCCTTTGACGCCATGGGAGAGCAATGTGGTCAACCGTTTGCAGCAGCCGACTCACTCCTATTTAGCTCGTAGCCGCAGTGCTATGAGTCTGTCTGGAGAGCAAACAGGTAATGTATACACACTGTACATAGTCGACGCCCCCCTGGGTCACATGGTCAGAAGCTAAGGTGTACACAAAACTACAAATCCCACACTTTAGACGGAGTAGTCCTTATGTTGTTTATATTTTGCCCTCTTTGGGTAGCTGGAACAGTTTTGGATGTTAATCAGATTTCGACAGACTTAAAGCATTACACCGTCTGAAACTTCCTATCACCAGTCTGTATCAGGCACCCAAAGCTTGCTCACACACACATACAGACACACACACACTCAGGTCTAAACAAGTAAGCTGTTTAGGGAAGCACTCACCTATTGATGGGGTCAAAGCGCAAAAGTCTGGACCTTTTTGCATTCTCAAAAGACTTATTAACACAGCGCCTCTTGCCCTCTGATTTCATGCCCAGAGTGTGCATTAAAATCCTGTTGTAGTATGAAAACCTCTGTCATTCATATTGTAAGTTACACCAGATATAAAGTGTTTGAAATATGGCCTCATATAGATCATGAAAACTATTAGCAGTTTGTAAGTTTTTCTCTTCTTGTACTACGAGCAAACCTAAAACATGATGACAGCATTTGTGTTCCCCCTTGAGTGACGCAGGGAGTTCAAATCAGAGGCTACAGTGTGAGGATAGTGAATACACAGCTCAGGAAACATCACAATAGACCACTCCAGATTTTCAGTGTTTCTGTATTCATGGTAGCAGTTTCATTCCAGTGTCTGTGTTTACCTAAAAGCCATCAGACAAAGCCAAGCTGCCCAAATATTTGCATCAAAAGAGGCCCAACTTCATCCTTTGGCTATGTGAAAAACTGTGAAAAATTAAGCAAGTTTTTTTGCCTTGTTTTTTTATTTATCTTCTTTGATTTTCTTAAATATTCAAAGGTAAATCTAGAAATTAATCTCATTTGAAGAGAATGTAAGCAAAAATAAGGCCTGAATTAAAAAAGAAAAAAAAAATCTGCTGGTGGGGTAAGAAGTATTTACTCTGCTGTAAGAGGAACTTTGGTTGATATTGGTTTTGGCGCCCCCTGTTGGCAAAGTGATACCTCTTATTTCATGTCCTGTTCTTTCAAAAAGTATTGTTTTCAGACAAAGTTTGAATATGAAATATATCACTCACTGTTAGTATTTACTGTGAAAATAATCTAAGAAGGCTGTTTCTTCAGGCTGCTGTCAATCATCTGGTCTTAAACCCACCCCCTCACAAGCATTAAGCACCTACCTCCTCAAGCGTTAAAAATGACAACAGAGATTATAAATCCTATTAATGATGGTCTCATTTGTTTGTGAAGGTCATTGAGAGGCCTTAGTCAGGGTTTCAGCTTATTACTCTACCACTTTCAGTAAATTTCACTGACTGTCTTGACTCATTACGAGAAATAACAGGCCTGTTTTTGCTCGTAATGGTACCTAAATAAAATGTGTAACTGTTGTTGTCTGATTGATCTGGCTTATGCAAAGTCTGATGTGATATTAGACAGATACATTTGTTTAGTTCTGAATTTTCACAGTTTGTGACAAGATGCAAAAATCAGCTCTCTGAGTTTCAAAAATGTTGTTTAGAAAGGAACAGTAACCTGTTCTCTTCTTCATAATTTCAATCGTTAAAAAAATCTTCACCCTTCATTTCCTGCAGAAAACATTTATGTGAAAGTTGGGAAGTTCAAGTAAATGTTGTTTACAGCAAAACAGAACTGTTGATTTTACTCAAGCACAAACAGATGATTAGTAGAACTGCAGAAAGTCATGCCTGTGGAGGTCTCCTGATTTTTGTGTTATTTCTTGGGCTGGTGTTCCCCTGTCTTTGTGGGCTATCCTGCACAGAAGGGCTTGATTTCTCTGTTGCTGAGCTTCACGGCCATGTTGGTAAACACATTCAGACAAATATCAGTTCACTTCTTTTTGGACTGATCGGTAACTGTGAGGACAATGAAGAATACTGGGACAATAAAGAGAGACTACAGATGCACTGTATGTAGTCTGCCGGTTTCAAAAGCTGTAATCTTGTCAGTTGCCGACCATTTGAGAGGCTATAACATGAAAACATTTACATCATAATATCAATCAAATTCCCTATGTTGACATACATTCAGCAGAAGATTAATTGTAAAGATTTTTTTCTGCATTACAGCTTCAATATGTAGCAAAAAAATACAAAAAGAAAAGTGTAAGAGTCCACACTGACACACACAACATCCTGTATCTTCTTTCTTTTCTCTTCTCACCTTTTATATAACATTTTCTCTAGCGTGTGTGGTGGTGCAAGTCTTGCTTGTGTTTTGGTGCATATCCACTCCTCATGTGGTGTCGGGTCTGATCCATTCATAGTTTGTAGTTTTTTTTCTCACCACTCTCTGAAGAAGTAATGCTTTGGTTTTCTTAGTTTGTTTTTCTCTAACCTACGGCTCCACTAAACCCTTCTCTGAAAAGCAAAACAGTAATTTCTCTGAACTCTATAGAGATGCTGCTGCAAAGTGTTAACAGTAGAGCTTTCCGTAGTACTAACGGCTCCTTTCTTTTCTCTTTTCTTTCCACCAAACATCCTCTTTTCATTCCTTTAAACCGCTGCTTGTCACCCCAAACTCTCTGCTTCCTTGTATCAATCCTGCCACTCCCTCCTCTACTTTCCAATCATCCGCTTTGTGCTCGAACCATTCCAACCATTCCATAAATTCTCACACTGCTCTGATCCATACCTTCCTGAAAACACTCCCACCCTGTACATCACTGTAGCCATGCCTGTGTGTCCTCGCTCAGTGTCCTGCCACCCCACGGGCTCCATGTCCTTCAAGACCCTGCAGGCTCAGCCCCTTCCTCACTGCCGCAGCCACGACAGGAGCCTGAGCAGGGAGACGGCCTCGTCTTCCTCTAAGACGCTCCGCAGGAAGACCACGGGCAGCGCACATGTGAGTGATGTCTTAACCCAGCAGCTTTTTTTGACTAGAAACTCAACTACACCATGATCAGCACTTATCATTTATAATGCACTTGCAGTTATGTTCTTTAGCATGGCTCACACGTTCAGTAAGTCACCCCATTTTACCCCTTCTTCTTCTCCCCCTGTTTAACTTTTTATGTTGACGTTGTCCCAGATCAGTCAGACACAATGCATCAGTGTCTCTGTCTAGATCAGTTCCTAACACACAGAGATGGGCTGGCACACACACACACACACACACACACACACACACACACACACACACACACACACACACACACACACACACACACACTGTTCCTACTGTCCATCTGTCTGCCACCACAGAGTCACAGATTAAACCATTAAGGTCTTAGAAGGACTGCGTCTTTATACTCTAAACAAGGAGCAAAGGACACATGCGTGGTCCTCACATATCGACAAACCCATTCATCATCAACTCATGAAGTCTCTTTACATCAAACTACACAAACACGACAGAGCAAGTGCTTTGAGTGCTTTGAGAGTTTGCAACAATAGGGTTTGATGTCAGTCTGGTGGTTTGATGCCAGAGGTTATATTCTGCAACAGGAAGGCTGACTGAGTCTAATCCTGTTTCTGATCATCTTCTGCTGCCGTCAGTCAGGCACATGGCTCCTGGCACTGTCCCCAACACCTGCTCATTGTGTGTGTGTGTGTGTGTGTGTGTGTGTGTGTGTGTGTGTGTGTGTGTGTGTGTGTGTGTGTGTGTGTGTGTGTGTGTGTTACTGCGGACACTAATACATTACACACCATACATGTTTATTTTCAATACTCATCTGTTCTTTTATCTTTTTTTCCCTCCATCATCTTGTGCAACAAAAGCAGAGAGACAATGTCAGGAAATCATGGAGTAACCTGTCACTCCCGCTGGTTCCCATTCTGACTCTTCCTCCCACCAAGCGCTCCTCTTCCGTAGGCAAGAAGTCCAGCAGGGGAACAGCGCCCTCTCCTGGCAGGTAGGAGAACACACTCTTGACAGGCAATGAAATGAGGTGCATGAGGAGATTGAAATGATGTAAAACAGGGAAGTAAAACAACTTAAATCCTAACCAGGGTTCCAGTCGAGTCACATTTGAATATGCTTTGTCACTAGCGGTGTCCCGACACAACTTTTTTTACTTTCGATATAATCCAATATTGTAGCCTTCAATATTGACCAATACAAATATTGATCCAAAATTGGCACAAATTTGTGCATGACAAGTTTTGCACTCAGCTGCAACGTCTTTTTCTGACTTCAACAAAAATGACTGCCACACAGCTGACTCACTCCTGCTCCTTGCTACTTTGTTAGTACCTTAGCACACACTGTTGTTGTGATTATGTGGGCTCTGCATGCTGGATCAGGGCGCTGCTAGATAGAGTTGTCGGAGCAGTCTGGAATGGACTGCTTGTATCAGAGTGCTGATATCGGAGATTCTAGATGCAGGCTGATATAATTCAATATTCTTTTTTTTTCTTATATTGGTCCGATATAAGCAAAAAAATAATACTTTGACCGATGGGACACTCCTATTTGTCACTGTTTTATTCGCCAAATGCTGCTTTCCTTTTGTGCACAGACAACCTCAAAAATCAGAGCGACCCCCAACCCCCAAACTGCTGAAGTCTCCTGGACCAGAAGACCCTGGAAACCTGCGTCCCTTCAGAGCCACACCTGAGAGTCCCCAGTCCACCAGAGAGCAAGATGAGGAGGAAGAAGAGGAGCAGATGCTTGGTCCTCTTCAGCCTCGACCTCAGCCGCTGGGCCAGAATAAGAGTAGCAGTGAGCTGTCACCACCGCCAGTGGCCAGCGGTTAGTTTCCCCTACTTATGTCTTCACACACGGATAAACATTTGAGATTTGTTATTTTTGGCTGTGTAAGATTTACTGGCTCTTTTTATGCCCTTCAGAGAGTGTGAGCAGTCCTCCAGCTCACAGGCCCTCTGCAGGAACCACAGACCCAGAGGAGGCGAGTCGGATCCTGGCTGAGAATCGCCGTTTGGCCAGGGAGCAGAGGGAGAGAGAGGAAGAGGAGCGCAAGCAGCAAGAGGAGCAGGCGAGGTAAGCTGAAAGAGCCGGTGATCTGGAGAGGACAAGTGGAGGTGGATATGTGTGTCTATCCTCATCCTTAACTTTGATTTTTAATTGTGCCCGCACAGATTAGCGAGGGAGGAGATGGCTCGCCGTAAGGCCGAGGAGCGAGCAAAGAGAGAGGAGGAGGCTCAGCGTAAGGCCGAGGAGATGAGGAAGAAGGAGGAGGAAGCGAGAAAGGTGGAGGAAGAGAGACTTGAGAGAGAAAGAGAGGAGGCAGAGAGACTCCAGAAACAGGTCGGGCAAATCAAACTTGAATCTTCTCAGAACCAGCGCTGTAGTCTATCCTTCTAAAAGGACGTGTGTGTTTGTGTGTGCGTGATAGAAAGAGGAGGAAGAGTCTCGACAGAGAGAGGAAGCAGAGCGACTGAGGCAGGAGAGAGAGAAGCACTTCCAGAAAGAGGAGGCTGAGCGTCTAGAAAGGAAAAAGGTGGCACATGCTCTCTCACACACATGTGCAATAGTGCTCCTCATGACCGTGTATTTATATGCTCTTTTTTTCATCAGCGTCTGGAAGAGATCATGAAGAGAACTCGACGCTCAGACGCTCCAGAGAAGGTAATGGATTAATGAGGGACAGATTTAGGCTGCATCTCAATGTACCCTGAGGAACCATTACTGATCCTGAATGTTCGTTCTGTTTCTATCCTTCCTGTCTTCAGAAAGTTGTTCCCAATAGAAATGGTGACAATGCAGGTGACTTGAATTACTTTGTTCTTTTTCCTAGTATTATTTTACATCGTTGTTGTTGTTGTTGTTTTTGTTTCTTTTGTATTAAAAGCATAGGCTTTTTGTGTTGGTTTCTCTTGTCATCAGTGACCCCTACAAGTCAGAGCCCATCTACTGAGACCCCTTCACCAACAGACAGTAGCAACGGTCAAGAGGCCGACCCTAACCCAAACACCACTCTGCCAAGCCAATCTGACCTGGGGTAAATACCCTGACAGGTGTTTGAGCATTGCCCAAAAGTAGTACGAGTGACATATAAGGACTTTCTCCTTTCTGTTTTTCTTCCAGGGAGAACGGGGAGTTTGAGGAGGTGATCGTTCTGCCTTCACATTCCAGGTTGTCTCCTCCTGAAGGAGAGGAGCAGCAGCAACAACAGGTGGAGGGGGAGAGAGTGTCTGTCATAGCCTTCAGAGAGAACGGTCTCCTAAAGCCTCTCAGCGGGATGGAGGACATATCAGTCCAGCAGGGACCAGGTTAGTGAGTGTCATTTTTCTGCAACACTCCTGCTTCTTTAATTTGTTTTACAATCGTGTATCATGTATGTGCCTATTCTAGTCTATTCTATTCTATTACATTACATTACATTACTACCATAACATCACATTGTGTTACTTCCCCTGGGTTACTTGTATGGGGCAGCTTGTACATGAAACAACACGGATTAAACACTGATTTACAGACAATTGTTCATTATACACAAGCTAAAATACAAAGTGAAGTCTAATCACCAATGTTGAGCAAGTGTAGTACTTCATGACTGGAATGGCTATTCGGGTGATTCTAGATCTTAAATGGACATTCTGGCGAAAAATTAGTTCAGGGTCAAACACACCATTACACATAGTTAGACACCCCCTCGAGAGATGAATGTTGCCAACTATTTGCTTCTTTAGTTATACCAACTTTAGTAACAATCGCAGATAGCAATACACAGCAGTCTACATCTACATGCACAAACCTCGACCAAAAAGCCACTCTATAGCCACAAATAATATTCAGAACAGCACCTAACTTCATCAACAGTACATATAGGGTCCCAACCATAGTACTAGCCATCAAATGTCTTTTCAGCTTTGCCTGATTTCTTTAGCAAAGAGACCAAACACAACTTACCTACTCTCTTAGCCGCTTGTTTGTGGGGGGAGCCCTGACGAGTCGATCACTGAGTGCAGCGGATCATTTCCATAAAGTAATAATCATGATAATAATCATTTGGCACTGCAGACGCGGTATTTCTTCTGCCTTTGTGTCTGCAAAACTTGCTGCACTCTGTGATTGACTCGTCAGGGCTCCCCCCACAAACAAACGGCTGCTGAAATAGAGTAGGTGAGTTGTGTTTGGTCTCTTTGCTAAAGAAATCATGCAAAGCTGAAAAGACATTTGATGGCTAGTACAATGGTTGGGACCCTATATGTACTGTTGATGAAGTTAGGTGCTGTTCTGAATATTATTTGTGGCTATAGAGTGGCTTTTTGGTCGAGGTTTGTGCATGGAGATGTAGACTGCTGTGTATTGCTATCGTGCGGTTGCTACTAAAGTTGGTATAACTAGAGAAGCAAGCAGTCTGCAACATTCATCTCTCGAGGGGATGTCTAACTCAGTGTTACGGTGTGTTTGACCTTAATTTTATGCTGGACTATCCCTTTAAGTCATAGCCTCAGACATGAGAACAAGGTGCCAAGCTTAACTTAGACAATGATACTACAAAAAACAGACACTAAAATTTTGGGAGATCTTGTTATTCTTGTTCACCATTTCAGCTTAAGTGTTATATTTATTCTCCTAACTTTTTGTTTTCAGATGTTGCTTGAGGTCCTTTATGACCGAGCCGATCCCACACCCAGAGAGACAGGAAGTGAGACGGTCAGAGAGGTAACACAGAACTGTTGGACTGAACCAAAGGAAGGACTTGTAGCGTCACAGCTGGACCCTTCCAGAGGCTCACCCTCTCAACCTCCTGTGACAGAAGAGCACCGAAGCCATTTCCCAAAGATGGTGTCTCCAAAGATCTCCCTCAAAGCATATCCAGAGAGAAGTTTCTCATCCCTCAACGAACTCCCGGGGGGGTTAAAGGTCTCTGTCATGGTCACAGACTATGACTCTACACTCTGTTCTGATGTTCTTTCACAGTCCAAACTCCCCGTATTTCTGAAGTGAATGTCCTAAAATCACAGGAGGGCACTGAACGCCCATCCCATCTTGTGACTCTGGTGATGTTTATATGTGTGTGTGTATGTTGAGGTGTGTGCGTGTGAATGAGAGACTAGTACTGATGTAAACTGAGATCAGCTGTAAAGTCTTCAGCCATGATACTTGAAGAGATTATTTTGTCGCTGTGTAGAGCATACTGTAACACAGAATCTGTGCTGTGACGTCATAACAAGCATTCACACTACAGATTCAGAGTTACAGGTTGATGCTCTCTTAAACTGGAACCTTCTCCTTCTTTTGTGTACACATATCTATTGAAATGCGTCAGATGAGATAATATCAGTGCATGAATTTGTATTAAGATTGCAGGAGAGTGTTGTGTAATATATTCGCCAGGTGAGGCAGGGTGTCAGAGCATGAAGTTTAAGTTGAATAATGTCAAAATGAAAATACTGTTCTCAGAAAAATAGGGTGTAAACTACTGATTTTTTTAGTTAATTTAATTACTGTACAGTTAAGATGATTTGTTTTGTCGTTATCCTGTTGTTTAATTTGAAAGAAGCTTTGACTCTCAGTAATTCCCCCTCATTTCTTAACCCTTTACAAACACATCAATGCTGCATCTTCTCATGCTGTAATCTGAGCATTTTTGGAAGTTCACTTTTGTTTCAACCAGACATGTAAAAACTGGATTTAATTCATGGGTGATGTTAATTCTGTAATAATCTGACTTATTTGATCATTTCCATGAAGGATATAAGAAATGCTGCTGATGGAAATGATCTTTTGCCTTACAGCGTTGTGGAAAGAATGAGCTGACTTACTCTTTCGAAATTGAAGATTTGCATTCTCGATATGAGCTTTGGCGCATTTGCTACATTCCCTGAGTCTCCAGTGGCTTTCTTTCCTTGATTTATGTTCAAGTTTATGATGAATGGTTGTCAGTTTGACTAAATGACAGAATATAAGAGCAATAATGTTAAAAATGTCCTTCATGCAGCTTTTCATCACAGGACATGACTGGGATAATCCTGCAACTTTCACTTCAGTCATTTCAGGAAACTCCTAAAAATGCTGCTCTCTGTGCTTTGGGTTCAGAAAACTTTACTTTTAGATTCTTTGTTCAAGTCTTACAGTTGTACCAAATGGATGGAAACTTCAGAAATATTATTTAGGGCCTGTTTCTGCCAGTAGTTCACAGCATGCTGTTTTCAACATGCTAACTTGACTAAGTTTGCAAAGTACTTTCTAAAAGAAAAATCAGCTGTAAAGTATATTATTGTGAGATATCCTACAAATTCTATGTAAAAGTTGATATATTTTACTAAGACTGACCACAAGGCTTTGAAGACTTATGAACCCTTTATTTTAGAGGGTCTGTGGGATGAAATCTTTGAGCAACTATAAAATCACTGTAAAACTGTTGCAGCCGTACTGTTTGGCAAGTCAATAAAACTTTCTGAATTAACTACCCACTCACTGAATTGTCATGATTTTCTCCCTTTTTTTAATTCACAAAACACACCTGAGGTTAAGAGGAAAAAAATGACATGCCAAAGACTTCATTTTGTATATTTATGTTGCATAAACAACTCCCCAAAATACAGAAGAGACCCTGAAAATACTACTCTAATTATCTAGAAAAGTAGAGCACACAAAACTTTATTTTTTTCAACTATCTTGTGAGAAAAGTGTTCGTTTTGAACATTAGACAGAAAATATTTACATTCAGTGGAAATGAAAGACTGAATAGCATCATGGAAGACCACAGATGAGAGTTCAGTGATAAAGAGTATAACAGAGGTAAAATGAGAAATACATGCTCACATGTTGAGGATGTTTTTGTCACAACTCCTGACAAGTTGATAACATTCAAATCTTGCACATGCAGCCAGCGTGTTGGCCCAAATGTCCACTCTAATACCCAAAAGCCCTTAAAGTTGTTTTATTCAACTTTTTTCTGAAGGAATGGGATTGTTCAGTTTCACCAGTAGAAAGTTTTGGTGAGAAAGCTAGCTGCAGCATTGAGCCAGCTTCCGTTAGAGTCCTCCTTGGCTGTAGTGCGGGAAATCGCCCGGTCGACCTCCCTCTCTGGACTCTCCTCTTCCTCTGGGAGGTAGTCTGGTAGAGATGAGTTCTGCTGCACTTTCACTCCAGATGGATTCAGAGGAATAAAAACCTGAAAAAAAGTATTCATATATTTAGTTTTGGCAGTAAAATAGTCAAAGTTCAATGCAAGCTCTCTGCCACTTTCCTACTTCTCACACTGCCAAATCATAGAAAAACCGCTCTCTTTTGTTTCCTCTCACCTCTTCTCCTGCCTCATTCCTCACCACCTGTTGGGCTGACAACACTTTGGTGGCAGCAATGGCTGATGCCAAACTCTGCAAATCAGAGAGGGAGGTTAGTGAGATAATAAAAACTATGTTTCCATCACAACCTGTTCATGAGTGGCAAATGAATTACAGATTACAACTACAGTGCAAGTTATTTTTTTTCTTTTAAGAAGTTCGTTTCATACGAAGTAGTGGACACTACATGTGTGTTTGTGTGTGTCACCTCAGTGGGCAGGTCTGATCGGATGCGAACAGTGCATCTTTTGGAGGCCATCTGGAAGGTGAAGCTGATTACACCTTTGACTGTCAGGAGAGCGTCCTCACACAAGCTTCGCTGGTCCTTTATAAGACAAAGACACTTTTATAGTTGATCAACTGCTAATAATAATGATAATAATAATAATAATAAGTACTGTCATATACAGGAGTCTGTGTGTGTTTTTAGTAAGCCTACTCACAGTGCTGTCCAGCCCCTGGATGTGAAGAGTGACAGACTTGGCCTTCTTGTTGGAGGAGTTGATAAAAAACTGAGATTTCTTTCTCCTCTCTCTCTCAGGTGTGCGTGCCACCGGAATAGGAGGTGAGGTCAGAATACTTAACACCTCCTGGGCCAAAGCTGTGATGTCAACAGAGAGGCCCTCCCTGTAAAGAGAAATATTCAATGATAGCCTAGTGAAGAATTAATGGCCACTCAAATTTTACATTGCTGGGGTTTAAAAGAATTAAGTGGAGCTAAAAGGCAATTAAGTGTGAGAAACAGATTGAAGTCAACAGTATATTTGAGACTGACCTACACCGCCATGGAAAGTTTCAATAGAAATTTGATATAAAACTACATTAACTAAAAGGAAAACCCTTTACAGACTGTTTGGGGAAACACGACTGTACATTAACACCTCATTACCTTTCAATTAGATTCTCCAAGCTCACAATCATACCCAGTTCATTCTTCATGGTTGGAATATTTGGGGGCAGCTCAGCCAGATACCGCAGGGTCTGTGGGAAAAAGGGAAAAGAAAATTAACCATATTTTACACCGTTTCAGTGCAACTAACAAGTGTACCCGCAAATAAGATGCAGTCAGTTTTCATCTGGCTTAGTGAGGCACTAAATCCAATACAATTCATATAAAGTTGATGTTTGGAGAGTAGTACATCATGAATACATGTTTATAACTTTATGTATTTAAGTAGAGTACTTTGTCCACCTTTAAATATTACATATCTGTGACCCTGTTGTGATTTTACTTACAGTTCAGTCAATAAAGACAGCATTGTTTTCTAGTGTGTTCATTATGAATCATCCACACATCAGTACAGCCCCTGTTGCTCACCTGAAGAGTCGCAAACAGAACCTCAGGGTTCTTGTGGTCCAGGAAGAGAACCAGCCCAGGAAGACAGCCCTGATCCTGGACTATCACCTCCCGGTTCTGAGGCTCAGAGGCCAGGTCTCGGAGCTGGCTCACCACAGACAGAGCATCCATCATCTCTGATAATTTAAACAGACCTGGAAACAGTCAGTGGACGTGGAGTCTTAAGTTTGGATCTGGCCTTAATAACATCAACAACGGGGTGGGAACAGTCTTTAAATATTCTCAGGTAAAATTACAGTTACAAATAAAGCTCAGTTGTAAATGTGTGGTGTATATAAACCCCATAAATGAAGTGAATATCTAACCTATCAGTTGAAGAAGCGCTGACGTTAACGTCAATGCTACTAGCTAAACCAGCTAACGTTCGCTATTTTGAAACGCGAAGGTGACAAACTTCATCGAAACAAATCCAAACGTCTACCTATACTTAAGCGCTTTTACAATATAACACTCTAAAACATACTTAAGCTACACAAAAAAAAGCAAAAATATGTATATTTTGCCTTATTCCTTACCACGTCGAAGACTCAGCTCGTGCACCAAAATACAAATTTGGTACTCGGACTTCGTCAAACACTATTGGTTGAGCAGCCATTGCGTATGCGACACAGCCACTCACCCCTATTGGCTGCTCATGCCAGGTTTGTAGCTACAGCCAATCAGAGGAGGTTTTGCTGCTCCGGCTTTATTTGATTCACAGTGTGCTGCCTGGATGCTCGAGTAAAGAGGGAACTGCTAGTTTTTAGTGTTTATCTTCAGTTTTAGATTTTAGTATTCGTCTCTGTGAAAATATCCGACTAATGTAGCTGCTACTGCACGACTTTACAAGCAAACGAGAGCACGGTGAGTAACTTAGAGTAATGTTTCTGCTGAGCTCGCATGTTTCCCTTGATGAGCCTTGCAGTTTCTCAGAGGGACACTGCTGCGGCGGTAGTGCGGAATAGCTGCACTGCTCACAACAGCAAGGTTACTCAGAACTCACTCAGGTTAGAATTAAAACCGTTTTATAACTCACCGTTTTTTTGTGATTGTGTTTAATTCAACAGTTCTGCCAACATCTGGGTTTATGAATGGATCCCGTCTAAAGGTGAGTTGGTGATGCGTTCAGGTGATACTGACACGGATATATCAAAATGGACTGCAGGAACCAGGAGAATGAGCATTTTTGTAAGATTAAACCAAAGAGGGATGTATTGCTATTACTCCCACAATAAAGATAAATCTTTTTTTTTATTATTCTTAAAAGCTGGATTTCTCATCTTGGACAAACTACTTTGATTTCAGCAACTGTATTTGCTTCAGTGTAAAGACATGCAAAGTCAGCGAAGGGGCAAGTGTTTATTATCGGATACAAAACTTTCACTCAATCTTAACATCAATCAAAATCATCTGAAACATTTTACTAGCATATATTACTGTATATGTATTATCTCTTATTTATGTTCGGTTTCAGTCTGAGGACAGGCCTGTCACAGATAACCTTCAAGCCCAGAGAGTTCCTGCCTTAACAGGTTTAAGATGTACTCTTTTTTTGTAGCCGTTAAATCATTAACTTCTATGAAAACCAACAATTTTATTAGCTAAATTCCAGTCTTTGTTGCATGGGGAGCTATTTTAAAGCTCTGACAACTGTTTTTTTTTCCGGTTCCCAAACTCCTCTGCCGCCATTTCACTCATTTTTAGATGATCACATAGAAAGTCACCAAGATCCTCAGTGGATTAAACACATACTTTCAGTTTTTCCCCAATACAGAGCAGAAAGTTGCACATTTACTCTGTCATTTCCTTTGTTCCAGGTTTGAAGTATGTGACTTGAAAGTTTCTGTTATATGTCAGCATCTCAGCGAGTCAGTCAGCAGGAAGAGCACCTTTGCAGTCGTCACCCAGTGAATGAGAAAGTCCTTTCAATGTCTCTGTTAGAGGATATTGTGGATGTGCTGCACATCATTCTTGAGTATTTTGGAGTGCCTCCAGAGATGGTGATTACTTGCAAACACATGCTTATGTTATTATATACTTGTATGACATCCACTGAGAGCTACAGGGATTCCTCTTTGAATAGCTCTAGTGTATATCTTAATAGTCTTTTAGGAATGGACATCTTTAATCCCAGTGGTTTTTGTGTGTGTTGTCTGACTTGTAGCTGGTACCTGTATGGGACAGTCGCCTGTGCGGCCAGTATCGCAGCATTGTGCGGATGATTGGAACCAACCTTCCACTGGAGCCCACACCACGAGTCCACTTCCAGGTACATTTGATGTTTTCAAAGAGACCAGATACTATCCCTCAAAATCTGCCTAGTTAACTGTGTAGTTTGTTGATCTTTAGAGGGATATATCATGCAACCTTCTCATGAAGAAAGAAGTTTTAAGTCATAATAATTCACAGCTGTCTTTTGATATCTGCAATTTTGTGTTGAACTAGCCATTGTCCCAATGTATAATCCCAACCTGTACACTTTGTTTCTCTGTTAGGTCCCTCTGCTCACCTATAAGCCCCACAGTAATGATGAAAATACTACACCTACTATCCCCTCATTTGCTGACGTCCTATGGGTGTTTGAAGACGAGGGGGATAAGTTTGCCAAGACGAGGTATGAACACAAATGAACCAGTAGTCAAATAGTTAGAGAAGCTCAGGGTTTAGCTTGAGCAACCTCAATGGTTCACAATTTATTTAAACCCTGTATTTAATTGAAATAAGTGCTAAGACGACATTGTCAATGTCTTACGTGCCCCTTGACCTATGAGGTTTAATCTGCAAAAGGTAAATAACATAACTCGGTGTAAAAGGGTCATCTCAGAGAGAATGTGTGATGACAAGAGGTTCCCCACTCTGTGAGAAAATAATTCAACAACCACAGAATAATAAAGCATGAGAGCAGTGACTTGCCTATCAGGTGTGTTGGGAACACAATAAAGGATTTTTAACTGTATCAGAGTGTCTCAGACCTCTAGCTTTGATTGCCATCCGCACCATGAACTTTTAATAACACCTGATAGGCAAGTCACTGCTCTCGTGCTTGTTTAGACATTGTTTGACCTCCTGAAGAGCACCTGATTCTCCACGGATACTCCGACCCCACGCAGCAATCACCCACTTAGTTTTTTAGCTACAGAATAATGTTCCTCTGTTTTGCAAAGATTTCATCATCTCTAGTAGATGAAGTCATCTGAAGATTCAGGGAATCTAGACAAATCTTTGTGTAAAATGGACCAGGCTAAAAACCTATACTAGATGCTGCATCTGTATTAAAAACAGACATGATTATGTAGTGGAAATAACTGCATGAGCTCTGTATTCCTTCCAAAAACCATCATCTGTGAACAAACTTTGAAGCTGAATCCACAAACGCAGGTTAAAACTATACACATCCAGAAACGGTTGTGAATTGTCTCAAGTGGAAACTGTGAAATCAAAGTTTGACTTCCATTTACGAAATCATGAATGCCGCAACTTCTACTCAAAAGAGGAAGAGGAGTACTGGTTTGTTATGTGCATAAGGGTGGAAAATTGTTAACAGCTTTATTCAACAATGTATCATGATAAAACTATTTTGTATCATCATTACATGGCCCTATATCTATATATATATAAGTGCAATTGACAAGTAAATTCATGCATGGTCCATACAGGAACCAGTTACCTCCAAACAAGCAAAGTACTGTAAATCGGCGTATGCAGCGGTATCCCGGACTCCATCAATCCCAGGGAAGAGGCCAGTCTGTGAAACCAGCAGCTGACTCAGACGCCCTGCAGAAAATCAGCACACTGGAGAACGAACTGCTAAAACTACGTGCACAGATAGCCATGATTGTTACTGCTGCTCCAGCTTCAGGTACCCTCGTCTCATCTCAGTTTTACGAACCTGCAAATATGATCACTCTTTAATTTTGTTTTTAAACTCAGCGTGACAGTCTTTTGTTGCTCTTTCTTTATTTCTCCAGGGTTGACAGAGTCCTTGAATGCACCAAATTCTCCTCTGGTGTCTCCTCCCCCTCCGCCAGTTCTTACCTCTACGCCTCGCTGTGCTGCTCCTCCACCACCACCACCACCACCACCACCCCCTCCTCCTCCCTGTTCAAGCTCCTTTACTGAGACCATGTCTGTAACAGAGTTGATCCGTCAGCGCAGAACGAATGAGAAAGAACTCGATAAGGGTCAACAAAGACCTCAGAGTGAAGTCAAGGGGATGCCGTCCATGCTGGATGTTCTTAAGGATTTAAATCAAGTTAAATTAAGGACTATAGAGAGGTGAGATAGACACTAAAGAAGAATGGTATACTGGAATAATTGATTACACTATTATTACTGTAAATGTCCTGAAATACCATGGACCATGTACTTTATGTTCCATCTTTTGCTCAGTTTTTAAAATCTTTTTTTCAATTAATTTGTCACTTCTATTATTTTGTCTCTGCTGTCTCCTTAAGAAGTTTTTTTTTCTTTATTGCCTTTGTAGATCACCTGGGGGTACACCGGTCAGAAGGAGGCGCAGTAAGGGATGTGCTTCATCGCTTAGTGACCCGGCTGCTCTCATTGCTGAAGCACTGAAGAGAAAGTTCGCTCAGCATCGACATAACGCCTCATCAGACAAAGAGAACTCACTGGAGCTCTCGCCGTTTGGAAGTCCAGAAACATACAAGGTTTGTTTACCACAGACATGTGATGTAAAACTTTATTTCAGACCCAGTTAGCCCATATCATACAGAAAACAATACAAAAGATCTAAAAATTAAGAAATTCAAGAAAATTAAAACACAAAGAGACTTTTTTTCCAATGCTTCCAGAAGCAAGAGGAATGTTTTGTGTCACTAAGTGTGGGATAAGCAAGGAACATTATGATCTCACATTTAGACTCAGTAAGACGACACATGAACTTGTACATGGAAGTGTGGGCAAATGATTAATAAGAAACATATTACCTGCACTTGTCCAGCTTGGTATTTTGAGAAATATTCTGTACGCATCATGACATGCCACCTGTAGCTTTCTGATTAAAGCTTTACTATAATTACTCCATAAATGAGCAGTATAGAGAGGTGTGCAGTAGGCTCTGAAGAGCTCTGTTTTAACATTGTGTGAGCACATGATATTTTCTTGCCAGCATATTAGCTTGAGCATATAAATTGCGGCACTGCCTCTGCACATCCCCATCGTCACTGAGGTCATCTCTGAAAATGTGCCCCAGATATTTCACTCTTCACATGCTTCAGTTTTTCTGCTTCTTCCTTCTAGTTAAAACATTTCAGTAGCTGGGTAATAAATCTTGTGTAGAAAATTAAGTTGTTAGTGGTGAGGCTTTTTTAAAATGGCAGTAAATGAGTCTCAGTGATCCACTGCTGGAACTGCATGTAGCCTCTTTTTATAACCCTGGCAGCACTTGATCAAAACAGACTTATCGTTATTTATTTTACTAAGATCAAAGTTTCTGTTTCAGGTTCCTCTTCATACCAGACGCAGTCAGGGTCGCCTCCACCTCTGATCCTCCCAACTGCTGCTCCTCACTAAATAATATCAAAAATCAAACATGCCATCAATCTAATGCAGCTCTCCCTGATGTGCCTCCTTCACTTGTAACTACTGCAACTCGTATCTTGGATTTCATTTATTTGTTGGCTGTTTTTATTACCTTTTAGTGTTTACTGTACATGAACAATGTGATCCTTTTTTTATTTGTTTGGCGCCTTGAATGTATATTTTTTTTATGGAAAGAAGGTTTTTGGTACAGGTGGTTTGTTTTTGTATAGTGCAGTCTAATGTTGACTTCTAATGAGACTTGTGATATCTTTTAAAGAATAATGTGTTTAAACAGATGGGCTTTGTTGCTCATAGCTGTCCTTGATGTTTGTTAAATACTAAGTGGTCTCAGTTTTTACTTGAGTGAATGAATAACTAAGGGAGTATAAGGTTAATATGGCTTTACTCTATGCAACTGCTGTGTAAGATTTGAGTTTATTAAAATGTTTTAACTGCTCTCATGGAGTTTTGGTGGTTCTCGTTTTCGTTCTCAAATTTCAATATGATCATCCTCAGCTGTAGATAAGAAAAAGAGACTTAAAACATAATACAAACCCAATTCCATTGAAGTTGGGAAATTGTGATAGACGTAAATTAATACAGTATACAAAGATTTGCAAATCCTTTTCAACCAATGTTCATTTGAATACACTACAAAGACGTGATATTTAATGTTCAAACTCATAAACTTTTTTTTTGTGCAAATAATCATTAACTTTAGATTTTGATGGCAGCAACATGTGACAAAGAAGTTGGGAAAGGTGGCAAAAAATACTGAGAAATTTGAGAAATGCTCTTCAAACACCTATTTGGAACATCCCACAGGTGAGCAGGCTAATTGGGAACAGGTGGGTGCCATGATTGGGTATAAAAGCAGCTTCCCCAAAAATTCTCAGTCATTCACAAGCAAGGATAAGGCGAGGTTCATCACTTTGTGAACAACTGCATAAGCAAATAGTCGAACAGTTTAAGAACAATGTTTCTCAAAGTACAATTGCAAGGAATTAAGGGATTTCAACATCTAAGGTCCATAATATCATCAAAAGGTTCAGGGAATCTGGAGAAATCACTGCACATAAGCGGCACGGCCGGAAACCAACATTGATTACCTGTGACCTTCGATCCCTCAGGCTGCACTGTATCAAAAGCCGACAACAATGTGAAAAAGGTATCACCACATGGGCTCAGGAACACTTCAGAAAACCACTGTCAGTAAATACAGTTCGTTGCTACATCTGTAAGTGCAAGTTAAAACTCTACTATGCAAAGCGAAAGCCATTTATCAACAACATCCATGAAATTCCCTGGCTTCTCTGGGCCTAAGCTCATCTAAGATGGACTGATGCAAAGTGGAAAAGTGTTCTGTGGTCTGACGAGTCCACATTTCAAATTGTTTTTAGAAATAGTGGAGGTTGTGTCCTTCAAGCCAAAGAGAAAAAGAACCATCCGGACTGTTATTGATGCAAAGTTCAAAAGCCAGCATCTGTGATGGTATGGGGGTGCATTAGTGCCTAAGACATGGGTAACTTACACATCTGTGAAGGCAACATTAATGCTGAAAGGTACACACAGGTTTTGGAGCAACATACGCTGCCATCCAAGCAACGTCTTTTTCATGGACGTTCCTGCTTATTTCAGCAAGACAACGCCAAGCCACATTCCGCACGTGTTACAACAGCGTGGCTTTGGAGTAAAAGAGTGCGGGTACTCGGCTGGCCTTTGACTTTGGCAAGTGTTGAAGCAATGTAATTCTTAGTTAATTATTATTTGCAAAAAAAAAATTAAGTTTGAGTTTGAACATTAAATATCTTGTCTTTGTAGTATATTCAATTGAATATAGGTTGAAAAGGATTTGCAAATCACTGTGTACTGTTTTTATTTACATTTATCACAATTTCCCATCTTCAGTGGAATTGGGTATGTTGATCATCTGTGTAATGATGCAAAGTGCCTGGACATTTCAGGGAGATTTTACTGTTCAGCCAACCCTAGAGGAAAAGAAACTCAACTTCTATGATTCAACATAAAAGGGGAAGAGAGAAAGCAAGAGCTTATGTTTGACTGGTTAGGTGGTGCTCTACTGAAGAGCATGACAGATTATTAAAGCCTTTTAAAAAAAAATAAAAATAAAAAAAGATTGTAGACTTTTTTTCTAATTAATTCCTTCCCACAGGAACGGCAAATGATTCACGCAACTGAATGGCCCAGCCAGGCTAGTGGTATTCCCCTTCAAAACAGTATTGTGCTGCGGATTGTTGACCAGCGACTTGGATGTGCTTTTAACATGTGAGAAAATGAGAAGGAAAAACTTGTAATCTTCAAAAAAAATTCTTGGCCGATGTCTTTGAAAATAACTTTAATCAGTGTGAAGAAGAAATCTTCAATGCGCTGCGTTTTTTAAAAATTTTTTTTATGTATTTACTTGCATCTGTAAAGCACTTTGAATTGCCTTGTGTATGAATGGTGCCAGAGCCGGCCCAAGCCTCAATGGGGCCCTAAGCAAATTTGATTTTGGGGCCCTCTATTTCTGCCAATAATGTTTATTGTTGATTATTCACGCACCTTCACAATTCTCTTTAACATTCCACGACATGCAAACACACCTTTATCTTGGCGTTTTTTTCTCTTCCCCTTTCTTCTCTCTGCTCCTGAAGGATATGTCCTTTTTTGCGACATTGTTTTGCCCCACAACTACCTGCACTTTGGATGCTCAGTGCACATTGCACAGCAGGAAGCACAAATAACAGTAGAGGAGCTTTGACATATCAGCAGTAAGATTCATAGGCCTACATCAGCAGCAGCACTAAAATATTTTGACTTTATTTTATTTTAATTTTACATTAATATATAATAGATCATACAGAAAGCATGACTCATACACGCAAAAAAAAAAAAAATGCTCTTGGGGGGGCCCCCTATTGGCCGTGGGGCCCTAAGCAGGCACTTGGTTCACTTATGCCTTGGGCCAGCTCTTGTCAGGACAGCGAGTAGGTTGATGGTTTGTTACTGGCTGACTAGATAGATGCACAGATTTCAACAGAGCAAAAAGGGGTGCAGGTAGAGGATGAGGAAAATCTCTTCAACCTTAATGGTGTAGAAAGGGCACAACTACAAGTGGAGCACAACTACTTGGTTCACCTTGTAGAGCGAATTTCTTATTCACCAAAACATTCTTTCTCCTCCAGGAAACTCGCTTGTTCTCACTCTAGTTCATTAATATTCTGTTTCTTCTGGCATTTAAATTACAGTCCCATAAAAACTTGGAAAACAAGTCCCATGAGAATGTGCATGACATTTAAGTGTTGTGCCAAAAGCTGTACCTTTGGGAAGAGGAAAAATAATGAAAAATATTGAAAATCATGTTTGGAAGTGACCAATTTGAGCTCATTTTATCTATCAGGCTGCTGAAAATCTCTGTACGGTTGTTATAGTTTCACCTATACATGGTGGGCTCTATTTTAGTGCCCAGCAGTGGCATGGGGCAGCCCAGCGCAGTGGTATTTTAGTGCAGCGCAGCCCGGCACACAGCCAGTTTGGTATTTTTGTAGACTGAGGCGCACCAAGATGTGCCATGCTGGGCGTGGCGGCGCAGTAGAGGGAGGTGTGGACAGAATCAGCTAAAGCAGTGACCGTCTTCTGGGGAGAACCCTGCAAGAGCTTGAGACCACAATTTGAAAGAGATACATGGGGTTTTTGATGGGCCTGCTTCAGGAGACTCAGTGGGTGCCCTAGGAGGACAGGCTTGAACCACCTCACTGAAAGCCACAAGGGTCATGTGGCGTTGCTCCTTCAAGAAATTCTCACTTGAAAATAGTTCAGCTGTGGCTGCTGTGTAATATGGGACTGATCACTGGGTTTGAATCGATTCAAAACAAAACAACCTCTGAATGTCTAGGTAGCAACTAAAAAAATGTTCATTTTGTACTGAGAAAATATAGATTTTACTATAAATATGCCAAAATTAGCGTTCAATCAGTATAAGGTTACATTTTGTTGTACTAAACACACTGTATTTGGAAAGTTATGCGTTTTCTTGTTTGTTTTTTTATCAAATATATGTGTAGATGTAGTCTAAATGTGACAATACACCACCAACATACTGTTAGCAACTAAAATGACTGCAGATTACATATGACAACAACTGTACCGCAAATCATTCAAGAAATAATTTCATTTTGTTAAAACATGTGCTTTCAGCAGTTTAGGGTTTACTTCTGTAGTCTTTGGTTATTATTTTATTTATAAAATGGACAAATCTCAAGGCTAAAGCTAACATCTCCTGCTGCTGCAGTTGATTTATTTTAGTGATCAGATGGGTTATTTACTTCGAAAATTTAAACAAAACAATAAAAGAAGCTCTCATTCAAAATTACCTGTTTATCTAATGTTCTCACATCCTTAAAATTCTGTGAATATTCAATCTAGAGTCAGGCCCCCATATGAATATTATAACATTCAGTTCTGTGAGCCAAGTTCATTTTATATGTCAACATCAATGAAAGAAATAGCCAGACCACCGAGCGCGATGCGTCCTTTACACATAGGTTGTTTTAATTGTAATGCGCACAACCTACCTTTGTCATGTGGGGTTTAAATATATGCAACTTGATGTGAGTGTCTTTATTTGTGGAAAAGGGTGTTCGTCTTACCGGTGGGTCCAACCTTACACACACCAAATCCCTCTGTACTTATATGAGAGATTGTGGAGGACGCCCTCTGCAGCGCTTACAGCGACACTTGTTAAGGGGCAAAATGCCAAAGTGTGCTTGGGCATGCCTTAATGGCGCGGCGAACCTGACTTACGCCAGGCCTGCAACACGTCACCAGCGAGGCACGAAAATAGAGCCCAGTGTTTGAGGACATTTAGAATTGCACCATCTGCAGGACATAGTAAGAATAAGAACAAGAATAACTTTATTTTATCTTGGCCAAGGAAAATTCAATTGTCGTCTCTTTTGTCATGTCTCTAAAAGTCATCTACTATTTACAGAAGAGTTGTAAAGTCTGATGGCTGTGGGTACAAAAGGTCTTCTGAATCTTTCTGTCCTGCAGTGAAGAGAGAGGAGCCTTCTACCCCTATTTGCCCTTTGGCCCATTAAGGTGTTATGAAGTGGGTGATCCATGTTCTCTAGAATAGTCTCCACCTTCCTCAGTGAACATCTCTCCACCACATCCTCCAGTGAGCCCAACTTGATTCCAACCACAGAGCCAGCCTTTTTCTCTAGTTTGTTCGGTGCTGTACAAATAATCTTGCCTTGCTCCGTCATAGAAAGGGAGACGTCACAGATGCAGTTTCATTCCTCTACAGCAGGTGGCGACAATTAGCCGCAGAACTGCTGTGCAGACCACATTTAGCAGCTGACGAAGACCAAGGACAAACGAAGCCTAATTAAAAACAAATATAGGACACGTGCGGACTTTCCAACACCTCAGCAGCTGCCAACAGACTCAAACAAACTAGAATCATCTCCGAAACTCACCAAAACAGACAGCAACAAAAAAGACACTGGTATGGGAGATTCTGTTTTTACTATTTGAAGAAGTTGTTAGTGTTAGTCATACATTTTATTTTAGTAGTTCTACATACGTAAATGATGAATTTTGTGTTATTTAGCCTGTATTAATGATGTCATTGATTGCCACTTTTATTTAACGATAATGAAAATAGCATTTGAGTGATTTTAACTAACTTTGATAGGTGGGCTATTTAAACAGCTGCAGGCAAGTAAAATAAGGCAACAAAGACATGCAAATTAAAACCAAAATACTGTAATTTGAACAATAAGGTTGTTTCTTCTGGTATTTTATTAACCCATCTTAAATTTCTCCTCAAAAAACTCCCACAAAGTTACACCTGATGGACTGACTACTTCATAAACAGAGGGAGGAGAGTGAGTCGTCCTGGCCACCCTTTTGAGTTGTCCAGGCCTTTTCAAGTTTGGGCAGGAGGTAAGTAAAACCATGGATAACTTTACACTTAGGAAGTAAGAGCAGAAAAAAAGACTCAAATACAGCAAATAATCATGAAATAGCCCCAAACAGAGGTCTTTGGTTGAGAGATAAGCAGTTTTACAGCTTTCTTAGTATTTACCTGGAAGTACTTTTACAGAGATTTTAGGAGTCCATGTTGTTTTCAATAAATGTGTTGCTGTCAAAACCTAGCTATAAAAAGAAAAACACTCAGTAGACATCAAGTTTTTTTTCACATTTTATTTCATGAGGTTTTTATTTGGACAAGAAAGGTTGAGAAAAAGCACAAAGGAGAGCATCATTGTTTCGAGGTGACAGACGAGAAGCAACAGCTGAAATAAATTACTAACAAAAACAAAAAAACTATCCCTTTTTAACCCTTGGTTCCTGTTAATTTTAAGCTCCATCCAGCCTACTTTGTCTCCAAAACAGACATGCAGATAAGTGTTCATAAAGTAATCATTTTTGAACATTTTTTTGACTGCCAAAAAAAGGTTGTAATATGTTGTTATGGTGCCATAAACACATGGTCAAAAAATGTGTTTTTAATGGAAGTCTATTGTCCAATTTGAGGACAAAGTAGGGTGGATGGAGCTAAATTGTGGCGACAGAAAACTTAAAATAAAGATGAAAAAAATGACAAATGTCCTCAAAACGGACATAGTAGGAACTAAGGGTTAAACTGAATAGAAGAAGAAGAAATATCTCTCACATGAACCAAGGTTTAAACAATCACATCTTTTGTTTGAAATCCATCAAGAGTGTGACACTGCAATCTTGCACAACAACAATATTGGTAGTGTCAGGTTTCTTGTTTCTTCAGTCCAACTCCATCGAGGTCTCCTCCTCCTCCTCCTCCTCCTCTGAAGTGGGCGGCTCAGGCACCACAGTACTGCATAAGGAATCAACTGGTTATCAATGAGTAACATTTACATCTTAAAACTGTGTAAATGTATCAAGTCATGTACTAAATGTTATGTGTGTTTAATCACCAGTATTCACTGTTTAAAGATTTGTAAGAGGTGTGGATCCAGCCGTGTCCTCACCACTTGTTGCTCAGACACTTATCAATACGAACCTGTTTGGATCCATCTGAGAGTCCCCATCATCCTTAATGTGGGTTTCCGGTGAACTAATAGGCAACATGACAGATACAATAATGTAAAAATCAAAGAAAAAATGTTCATACATAATAAAAAGAAGAGCAACTGATGACAAGAATGAATTTACCTGGGAGGTCCTTCAACAGGCCCATCGGTGGCATCCTGACAACGAAAAGAACAAAAAACAACTAAAAAACTGCACAGCAAAAATCACCAATATTAATGAAGACTGTGTGACCATACTATTTTGAGTTTATCTTGTTTACTAAGCAGCACAAAGCAAACCTGGAATGGAAGGCCGATCTTGAGGCCAAATCCACTGTCACATTTCAGCAGACCAGGCCGCAGGTCAATACTGCCGAAATACTTCAGTGATATCTGCAAAACCATAAAGATACAACAACAATTCAAGTATTATATGTAAATCAAAACACAAACTGATTCACCTAAAGGCCTATAAAGCTGCATGCCTATATGGGTTACTATGGTTAAATAAATGTTAGGTGCATTTAAGTTATTACCTATGAAGTCTTTCTAGTGTTGTGCATAACACTTAATGATGTTTTACAATAAGTCTATTTCAGGTTTTTCTGTTATGCACTCTCTGATTTATTTCAAACGCTAGAGTACAAGAACGTACAGTATTCTGTCCCATTGCTGTTTTGTTGACTGTGCGACATCTCGCCTTGGCCAGGACATTGCTGAAAAAGACCTTTATTCTGCCAAAGCCCTTCAGAGATACCTGCACATTCATAAAAAATATACAATGAAAACTTTTTATTTGCAATGTGTTGATCAAAAGACTCAAACTGATTCTCCGGGCTCATCTAAAAGTACAAGAACCTACGTTCTCTGGTCCCACTGCTGTTTGTTTGTCAAATGCTTTAACGGTGGTGCTGCCCGTCTTGGTGAAGACATTCTTTAACACCTGAAAACTGCCCAAAATCTTGAAAGATATCTGCAAAGTCATAAATAATACAGTTGGAATTAAATTTGCCATATTTTAATCAAAACACTCCAGACTAATTCTCCTTCAAGTTTTCAGTCATCATGGTCATCGATGTCAAGGGCAAACGTAATCATTAGCTTCACATGCTAATATTTTACCAGTGCAAGTTTTACCGGTGCAACAACCACACACAACTTATAATGTTAACAATATTACATCACAAATTTTTCTGTCTCTATTGGTCAAACACCATCAATCGTTAATTTTTTTTAAAAGACAAATAATTTCCTTACTTGACGCGCTGCCATTGCAAGCTTGCTGTCAGAACAACATGGACGACTCGATGCAAAATGCGCATGCGTAGATCATACGTAGATCATGCGTAGATCATACGTAATATTTGCATAGTGCGTGGCACCGCCTATCACCCCACGACATATTTACACATGGGTTTGTCAAATAACAAACCACTTTGATACCTAATATCAGAGAAATCATCGTTAATACTTTTAAGTCTCTACATACCGTCCTGGTCCAGGTCCTCGCCACAGCTGCCTCTATTCGTGGCTTTGCCTTTACGGAGGGACTCAAACATCCTCAATGTTACCATGTGGAGCTCAACTCACTTCTTTTTTTTCTTTCCTGGTTGATGGCATGGAGTTGTCATTAATGTATACTGTGTGCTAGCCTTTCTATAGCCATAGACAGGTCTCTGTCCTCCCAGAAAAGCATTTTTCTTGGCTTCAACTGGCTCCATATTGCTGGATTTGTAACACCCAAGTGAGTTTTACCAGTCTTGACTTATTGGTAGTAATCCATTGACCCTTCAACTGTCATTTAGGGCTTGTATTAAATCCTTGTCCTTTTGTATTTCCAATGGGGACATGTCAGAGTGTAACTTTCCTGTAAAAATAGTGTAAGAGCTGATAAAGTCTTAGCAAGCTGGTGTTTTCAGTTCATTGAACGTTGGTTTACATTTTCTCCAAAGTTATAAACAATCCCATTGCAGTCTACAGTGTAAAATTCAGCCAGCTGCTTCCATCCCATCTTGTCGTGACCACATTCAGAAAACCAGTTGAGGGTCCTCCCATTTAGAGGCATTAGGAGTCTTATAGCAGTGTCCAGTGTCTTGCCAATGATGTTTAGAGCTGCCTTCAAAATTTGTAGCTCTTAGAGAAATTAAGTCTGAAGGAATGGCTTATTGGACTCAGAGTTGATGATTTTTGTGCGGTGGATGTGGACTGTCATCATCTCAGTCTTTAAAGGTGAGCCAGAGGGCTGGAAAGTTACCGGTGGAGCCAAACAGTCGAGGATAATCTTTGTGACCTTTGGGAGAATGAGACAGTTCATTAGATTAGTACCCTAACGTTCCCCTCTCTGGGTGTTCTCTCCTCACACACCAACCACTTTCAGTACCCTTTTTTGCCACATTAGAGCCTTTCTCCTTCCATTTATTTCCACTGTTTGCTGGTTTGTTATAAACAGTCTCATCATTCAGGCTGGTTTTTTACATAACTGTGGTTGAAAAAATTTCAGTTTATGTGATGAGCTTAAGAACTTTGTTTGAATAGAGTCTATTTCTCAAGGCTGTATCAAAAAACACTACAGTGAAAATTAATGTTAAATTAAATTAATTAATGTACAGATGACCAAGTGGGTTAGCACGCCCCATATATGGGGACCACGTTCCCCACAGACGTTGAAGATTTGAGTCCAGCCTCGACGATGTGCTGCATGTACTCCCCCATCTCTTTCTATTTCCCCACATTTCACCCTGTACCACGAATATATGAAATAAAAGAAATGATTACCAACTGGAGTTCTGCTGGATCCCAGTGCTGTGCAGCCCTTCTCAGGATCATGGATCGGTCCTCTGTTCTCTCTGTGTTGTTCTGGCTCTGTTTCAAAGACATTGTTTGTCTTACTTTATAAGAGACTCTATCTGCCCAAGAAGAGCAGAGTTAGTCCTTTGCAGAGTAATGTATACCAAGGAATAGACACTCCCTAGCTGCCAGTTATATCCTCTTTGTGGCTTTGAGGGCAGGGGTGATTTTTCCAAAGTTGACGAAGGTTCCTCCTTTTCCTGGTCAGTTCAGTTGTTTGTCCTTCTCCCATCCTGTCGGTTATTGCGTCCTGTTCTGAAGTCATCTTGAACAAAAGACAATTAATCTTATATGATGGTCATAATAAAGCGATGAACCAAACATGATTCAACATTTTAACATAAAAATATTTAACTTTCCATCACAATACTTACTCTTCTCGAAGCCAGTATGCTCTGGACTGTGGCTCTATCACAAAACAGTCCCACCCAACTTCTCAGAACCATTGCAGCCAGCCCATTTCCATGCCAGAGGTCATGGACGGTGCTCTAGTGGAAATTCCAGGGCACTGTGCAGCTGGACGATGACAGTCATAAGTCACTTTAAGGCTTTTACTTGTTGACACACAAAACATACACTTTTTAAAATGGTATTAACAGACCAAACCTATTCCATGAGAAATTATCTCAATTCAACAGGAAGTCTTTGTCCTTATCACATCCGTGCAGAAACCATTTTTTCCGGCTTTTCACAGTTGCTGAATGTCAGACATGTTCAATAGAAACACATTGAAGCACATTGTCATCGTCATAGTCACCAAGACTTCAACAAAATAAAACAGCTCAGAAACGGACATACTGTAGATGGCTGCACCTCAACATCACTCTTCAGTTTTTATTTTTTGATTTGTTTTGTTTTCAAATGTTTTGTGTTTGTCTTCCACGTCCACTCTTTAGCTAACACAATGGAGCAGTTATGTCTTTGAGGTCTATTTTGGGTCTACTTCCTTTATCCTCTATGACCTACACCATACAGAGGAGTACAGCTGCTGCCTTTTTTGCTTGGACAACCTTTAAAAGGGATTTTTAATCCAAACATATTACTCCTTTTATATTAAAGATAAATGCGAATGAGCGAAAAATACACTTCAAAAATGTTTGTGAGGATTTATATTAAAAAATGATGTCTGTAATTAGGGTCACAGTGCAAAAGCACTGAGGCATTGGCCCCTTTTATAAAAGTATAGGGGGTCCTACAGTTTGATGAGTTGGGGGACAAATTTCATATCAAAACATACAGTTTGATTGGGATCAGTGTGCTATTACTTTTCTCTATTGTACACCAATTATTTAGCAAAAAAATTATGGAAATTTTTCGCAATAGAGTCAACTGGACAAGGGAAAAAAAAGAGAAATTATTGGAGTTTTTCAGACATCTACTGGCTTGGTATACTTTGACTTAGAGACTCCATCAAAACTTTAAAATGTAGAAACAAGTCTTGTCTATCGGTGTATTAATCCATGTTTATTTTTGTTAGTTTAGTTAGTTTTTGATCTCTCTCTGTTCAATGACCATTTTCACTTTCTGCAAAAAAAAGGATGTCAAGAGTAAGAAAAGTTGCATGAAATTGTCTGAAACTTTTCTCTTTCCTTGCTCTTCTCAGCCACAATTACACCCTATACACTTACTGGCCCTCATTTATCAATCTTACGCAGACCTGAGCGCAGGATTCATCCTACGATAATATACACGTGAGATTTATGAAAGGGTTCGTATGTGACCAATCCCAGCATACGTATAATCGGGTCTTGGTAAATGCGGCGGCTGAAATCGATCGTCATTAACATGTTTACGCCCTTAAATATTCGTGGTTCAGAAGCCTCGCCCACTGAGGTCAAACATGAAAGAGGAGAAATATTAGAAAGATGTGAAACTTTTCTAGGCTGACCGTGGATATCCTCACATCTTTGGTAGAAACTAACAAGGAATTTCTCTTTGGAAGCATCAAAACTGGTCTAAAAGCAGTCCAGAAAACTCCTGTCCGGAGCAGGATTATGGTGGCGGTGGACAGCTCTGCCGCGGAATAGCGGACAGTGGCTGAAGTTTGAATAAATCACTAATCAATTAGTTGCTTATGATGATAAATTAATATCTTATAAATGCCTCATATTTTTATTGGTATGACATAGGGTACGTTGCTCCTAATATTTAAAGTATTTAGTTTTAATTTGTTGCGTCTTTGTAATGTAGAGCAGACTGGAGAGTCTGACAGAGGCTGAACAAAAATAATTATTGTCACTAAACTGTGTGTTGCTGCCCATGAAGCACATTTTTATGGATTTCTATTGGATTTTTATCACTGATTAAATAGCAAGAGCACTTTCTAAACTTATATTTTACATCAGAATCCACCGATAAGGTCCTGTTTCCTCTGTACAGCACCATTGTGGAGTCTCTCCTCGTTATTGTTCTACAGGCATCGGGTCCTCACGTTGCACCGGCACAGCCAACGGCACTGCATTCGCCAGAGCAACATTGTGCAAAACTGTACTGGTCCAAATGATGTCCCACCTGCCTTTTAGGAGTCAAACGCAGCGCTCCGCAGTGGCGCGTGTGTGCGCAATGTTAAAACAGCGCTCCTGCTCTGTGGCTGTGTTTCTGGGCAAAGTTATTGAATAGGCCTGTTCACTAAAGACATAACAAATTTATTTATATTTATTGTATTTACGTCTTAAACTTTAATGATATCTGGCTGATTGTGATTAATGACAGGTTTGAGGTTTGTATATCAATTATTTTGAGACAGACATTTGCTGCACCGCGGATCCACACTGACTCAAACTTGCGTACACGATGTCAGACCTGTTGTGAGATCTGGTCGTAGCGTACGCTCAGGTGCAGATTGATAAATGCCGATCCTCACGTCAAAATTTTCGTACCCAGGGGTGTACGCAAGTTTTCTGCCGTGCGCAAGCTTGATAAATGAGGGCCATTCTGTTTCTAATGATGTGTTCATCCAGGCAGAGAGACTCAGAATGTAAACATTGAGTGTGTCAGTGTCTCTCTCTGCTCCTAATTGATGCTAATACAAACATTGTTCTGAGTGAAGCAGAAGAGACTGTTTATAACTTGCAAGTTTGTCCAAACTATTTACTGTGGAAACATCCAAAACATATCAAAGTATTCAGGAAGTCCTTACGATGGCCACAGTCTGTTTTTTTTAGCTTATTGTCATGGGCAACCAGTTCAAGTTGCAGTTGCAACCTGCAAGTGTCAGGCCAGGCCCAGAGCTGAGACCAAATCACTAATCAGGGACTGCTTTGATATCTCTGCATCATTGAATCACTTTTACAGCAATTTGGTTCATGTTTAAACACTGACTCTCAATCAAATTTCTTCATTAGGGCCACAGGGAAATGCACAGAGGCACTGGCCCCTATACAAAACATGCTGTAAACTTTACAGCTGGCCCCCGTACAAAAATATCTTGGGGCAAAGCCGCGAGGCACTTTGGTAGCTTGAAGAGTAGAAGGACAAATTATATACCAAAATGTGCAGCTTTATCAGGATCAGTTTGCTATTAGTTTCTCAATTGTATATGAATTTTTCCCAGTGTAAGTCTTGCAAAAAAAAAAAAAAGTTGTATTGAAGTCAATGGAACAAGCCTAATATAAAGTGCAATTATTGGAGTTTTTCAAACGTCTACTGCTCTGGCTGCTTTTGTTTTTCTTTTTATAAATAAAAATCAGAAAAAAAAAAACAATCCAAGTAACAGCGACACTGCCTGCGGGGACTTTAACATCCCCGAAAAAGTCAGCTGTGTTAAGTAGTATGCCTTGGTGTTTCAAATGTTTGGAGAACCCTGACTGATCACGCAGCTCGAGGAAGAGGCTCTCATATTATTTTCATCAATTACTGCAACTCCTTACTGGCAGGCCTCCCAGTATGCACAGTCAAACCTCTGCAAATGGTCCAGAGCACAGCAGCTCATCTGGTGTTCAAGCAGCACAAACCAGCAGGTTACTCTGCTGTTCCTCTCTCCTTATTGGCTTCATCCCAGCTGCAGAAAATTGTAAGGTGGAGTCTAAACTTTAATTTTACTCGGCACATAGATTGATGGCTTGAATCAATCGAGCCACCTTAAATGTCAGAACCATGACTGACTGTTGTGGGTTTTTTTATTCCTCTTTTCTGCATGACACACAATAAACTGATAGATCTTGAAGTGCTCAAAAAAGTGTTTATGACTTTTAGGCCGGATCGTATTAAGCCAGTCTGGTAACATCTGACCAAAAAAAGTTAAAAATGTCACACAACCCAATCCAATTACAAACTCTTTTTAATCTCCATTTCTCACATACTGTATATATTAAATCCTGTTAAATAATGATTTAAAAAAAGCGTATTCCTGCCAACGGTTTTCAACTTTAAAACTCAACAGAGTAAATCTTCTTAATCCTCTGCACATATTTCATACTTCTCATTGCTCTTCTTACTAATATTTAAAAACCTTAATGGAACAAGTCTTGTCGTGTGAAACCCGGAGTAGCTGAGTCTGGAGGAACTGTCATGAGTCAACAAGATGTGTTGAAGTTTCATAACTGGGCAGCACAACTGGGGTTCTTGTCTTTTTTATTTTTTATAGTACTACCATCTTATGGACACAAATTGAATTGCAGGGCGTTGATGAGGGGCTGGGTAAAGATTTTATTAAGTGGAATAAAAAATACTACTAATAAAACCTATAAACCGTCTAATTGTTCATATGGTAAGAACATGGCACAAGATCCTCAAAAGGGCTAAATTAATGAATAAACTTTATCCTAAAATACTTGAACGGGAAAACAAAGTCGTACGAATGATATTCAACAATGCAATTTTTAAGCTCCAGCATGATTAAGGCATGAAATACCCTAAACTCTGTTTTAGTCATGATATCAGTTTGTCCTTTAATATCCTTTAAACTACTTCAAGACAATCAGTGTTTCCCCCAGAATTTTTGTCAGCAGCGGCGCTTGGAGCTACGCTGTTATGTTCACGTTACATTATGATGCCTGCACTACTCTCCATATAGACCATGTATAAGCTTGAACGTTACCTTTCACACTAATGGAAGAGGGTCCAATAGGATTTGATGTGTTCTTTAAACCCAAAACAATAATGTCCTGTGTTGTTGTGCTGACACAGTGCGAGTAGAAATCATTAGTGGCACATTGATATTAATGCTAATAATGTCATTAATGCTACTCGCTATATAAACGGTGTATAAGCTTGAACGTTACCTTTCACGTTGATGGAAGAGGGTCTGACAGGATTTGATGTGCTCGTTGATGACTCAAACTAAGTCAAAAATAACGTTGTGTTCTTGTGCTCACACAGTGTGAGAAGAAATCATTAGCGGCACAGTGATATTAATGATCATGTGAAATTCCAGTAGTGGCGCACGTAATTCAGCGGCGGCAGTGCGTTGCTGCTAAATGAATTAGGGTAAACACTAACATACTTATTCATCCAACAAACAAAAGTTGCTGTTCTGCATGACTTCTGAGTCATCTGATGTAGCTTTGACGTACTGGAAATGAAAATGAACTGATTTGAATGAAATGAACCAAACTGACTTAATTACCAGGATACACACTAAACTGTGACTATATCGTACCACTACTCCTCTACTGCCCACCAATATGTATTCATAAAAGTGTTCTCCAGTTCAATTATGTTTAAACCAAAAGTTGCACACTCTTAGTCATTTGGAGTGAATAAGGTCTTTTTACAAGCCAAACACATTAAGAATCCACATCACTAATCAGCTGCAGCAGTCACATATTTTAATAACAGACAAAAGTGGTACAAAAATATATGTTAAATCTAAAACAAAACTCATTACAAAATAAGTATATGCATAGGTCAAAACCCAAAATGCCCTGTATTAATTGATGTTGATGGCTAATGGCTGTAGATGGGTAGATTGTAGATCATGTTCTTCACTCTCCTCCTCCCACTCCTCCACAACACTGTGAAAACACAACAGAAGAGTTTGAAAAGCTTTGATACCAGTGATATCATTGTGACAAGAACTGTTTTAATTAAAATAAAACTACAGTTATTTGTACTTTTATTCAAATTAAAGAGATTCGTGGAAAAAAAAAAAAAAATACCAGTCTAGTAAAGCGCCATCAGTCTCAGGAAGATCCCAGCCCTCCTCATCACCATCGTCACTGGTTGTCTGGAAAGGTCGCACAGAGCTGCAGGAAAGAAATGTCACAGAGAGCTAAATGGGTTTAACTTCAAGCATTGGCAGATGTTACTGAGAATTCACTGCATTATATGCTATTTATGGCATATATGCAGTGTTAATGCCAGTTGGCATGGTTTATTCTTTGTAAGGGAGCTACTGCTGAAACAGTCCAAACAGTTATAGCTGTAAAGCAAGGAGACTACAACCCAGTGGAGTACCAACCAGAGCTTCAGTATTTTAATTTGACTCAAAACTGTCAACAAAACAGTTGCCTACCTGTAAGGGCCTTCCTCATCATCAGAGGCACTCTGCACATTAGCATTGTGACCATGCAAGAGAGAAAAAAAATGCAGGTTAAAATATTATAGTGGTTTTTTAGCTTATGCACTTAGATTTTGCAACAAACCATAAATGGTAATAATCTTACTTGTGGAGGGGAAATGGGAAATGTCAGGTCATCGTACACGATAACACCAGGATATCCTTCAGCACTGTCCACACACTCAGTGGAAAGCTGCAATATCATCAAAATACAAAACGACAATTTACAAGCCAATACCGTGTCACTTTGATGGCAAACAGCAACGATGTGTGCTTGGCTCATTAGCATGCTAGTAATGCTAATGCCATTGAGAAACTTAACTCAGACTGAAAGTTAAGCAGTGTTGGTCCACATCCAAATACAAGCAGATACTTTCCAAACTATAGCACTTCCACAATTTTAACCAAATGCTCCTCCAGTATGTCAAAATCCTTCTTAAATACTTAAAACTTACCGGATACTCTCCATCACCGATGAGCGCCATCATGTAGCTTCAGCTCTTACTTTTACTCATTACTGCGCATGTGCAGAGTTGCACCAGACCCAGTCATTGTTACACATTTCATGCTGAATTATGCTTATAAATGTGCAGAACTGCTATTAAAATAACAAGTAAAAAGTTGTTTTTCCAGGTTAGTCGAGGTTGTTTGTGGAAAGATGACTTTGTACCTCTTTACCTTCATTTAAAACCCCTTCACTTCTCACTGAATGCTTTTTGTAGGCAGGGGTACTCTTTTAAAACCCTTTAGTTTTCTTATTAATACCCCTCCTTATTAGACTGCTTCACAGTGGGTTCAACAGAATCTGACATCTCTGGGGTCAGATCAGCCCAAAACATACCCAATAACTACACTGTCAAGAACACTATACCAAACTCTGTAAATTATTTTGTGTGTTATAGCGTACCTGTTTTCTTGAAGTCCCTGGTGGAGATGCTGATAAGGTTTCTCTTTTAGTCCATGAAGGTCTCAGAGAAAAAACTGAATAATGACAGCTATGTAGCAGCCATGCACACTGACTGGGAACATGTGATCTGATTGAGACGATCTAAATCCACATACCAGGAAGAAGAATTGTGTAATGGGAAAAAATGACAGATACCGTCTCCCTAAAAGACTTCAACACCCAAAATCATGCTAACTCAGCAAATAAGTCTGTTTCAGTTCTCAAAAAGTCCTTTATTGCATAGATTTTGTTGTCAGTTTGGGAGGTGCAATGCTCCAAGTGCTCCACACTACTGCACAAGAGTGTTTGGTTTCACTGCATTGCTAATTTAAGTATAAACCCAACATCAGAAGAGAACCTTGCAACAACACAAGAGCCCAACAGCATGAATTAAGACAAAGAGGTCTTTAGATGCAAGATCAGTCAGAAAGACAGAGAAACTGTAGAAAAGATTAGTCAAAGAATGATACAAAAAAGCTATGAAGAAACAATAAAATTAGATAGAATGAAGACATACAGTGGATATAAGTCTACACACCCCTGTTCAACTCCCAGGTTTTAGTGATGTAAGAAAATGACAGCAAGATAACTATTTTCACAACTTTTTCCACCTTTAATGTGACCTATAACCTGTACAATGCAATTGAAAAACAAACTTAAACCTTTAAGGGGAAAAATAAAAATAGAAAAGTTAAAATAACCTGGTTGCATAAATATGCACACCCTTAAACTAATACTTTGTTGCAGCACCTTTGGCTTTTATTACAGCACTCAGTCTTTTTGGGTAGGAGTCTATCAGCATGGCACATCTTGATGTGGCAATATTTGCCCACTCTTCTTTGCAAAACTGCTCCAAATCTGACATATTGCGAGGGCATCTCCTATGCACAGCCCTCTTCAGATCACCCCACAAATGTTTGATGGGATTCAGGTCTGGGCTCTGACTGGGCCATTCCAAAGTCTCAATCGTATTCCGGTGAAGCCATTCTTTTGTTGATTTAGATGTGTGCTTTGGGTCATTGTCGTGCTGAAAGATGAAGTTCCTGTTCATCTACAGCTTTCGAGCAGAAGGCCGAAGGTTTTGTGCCAACACTGACTGGTATTTGGAACTGTTCAGAATTCCCTTCGCCCTGACTAAGGCACCAGTTCCAGCTGAAGAAAAACAGCCCCAAAGCATGATGCTGCCACGAACATGCTTCATGGTGGGTATGGTGTTCTTTTGGTGATGAGCAGTGTTGATTTTGCGCCAAATATAACTTTGGTTTCATCAGACCATAACACATTTTCCCACGTGTTTGGGAGATTTCAGATGTCTTTTTGCTAAATTAAGCCGGGCTTTGATGTTTTTCTTTGTAAGATAAGGCTTCTGTCTTGCCACCCTACCCCATAGCCCAGACATATGAAGACAGCGGGAGATTGTTGTCACATGTACTACACAGCCAGTACTTGCCAGAAATTCCTGCAGCTCCTTTAGTGTTGCTGTCGGCCTCTTAGTAGCCTCCCTGACTGATATCTTTGAATTATGAGATCCCTCTAATGATTTGGAAGCTCTCTGTGGACCATGGCTTGTGCTGGAAGATGTGGCTACAAAATTATCAGGAAAAGCTACTAGAACAGCTGAACTTAATTTGGGGTTGATCAGATGCACTTTAATTGGTGACAGGTGTGTGCTGACTCCAATTTAACCTGAGTTTGAATGTTATTGGTTAAATCTGAACACAGCCACATCCCCAGTTATAAAAGGGTGTGCACACTTATGCAACCACATGATCTCAGTTGTTTACTTCACCTCCCTGAAAGATTTCTGTTTGTTTTTCAATTGTGTTGTACAGGTTATATGTCACATTAAAGGTGGAAAAACTTATGAAATTATTTATCTTGATTCAATTTTTTTACATGAGAAAAACCTGGCAGTTGAACAGGGGTGTGTAGACTTTTTATATCCACTGTAGATAAATAGGACCTGATAAAGCAGTAACAGAGTAAAACTAAGAGGAGGAAAGCATAAAAAATGGAGATTAATTCGATTTGATTTGTCCCGTAGGGAGATTTGTCTTCGCTGACAGTACATCTAAGACGACAATGAACACTACATACACACCAACAATAAATGACATACACAACAATAATAACAATAATGACAACTTATATGACAGCACAATAGCGGACAGACAGATCAGCGGACCTGCTGTTCAGGGGGACTATGGCTGCAGGGATCAGGCTTTTCCCCAGCCGAGCCCTCCTGAACTTAATGGTACCTGGAAACTGTACCTGTGCCCAGAGGGTAGTGAGATAATATATTGGTTCAGTGGGTGAGTGATGTCTTATGCAATGTTGTTTGCTAGATGAGTGATGGGCTTGTTATTTAGTTCTGTGTGGTTGGGTGTGGGGAGACCAATGATTTTAGCAGCTGTGTTTGTGATGCATGTGAGTTTGGCCCGGTTGGTGACAGAAAGCTTATTAGCATGAAGCATGAAACCAGTAAGAAGAAAATAAAAAGAGACTTTAGTTCAGGAGCTTTTTTATGCTACTGAATTATTTGGCCAAGTGGTGGCATATAAAAAGAGAACACATGAGGACTAAAAACTCAGCCCTGAGGTACACCACAGGTAATGCTAGAAGGTAAGGAGAAGTAATCACCCACTGTAACTGCAAAAGCTGAATCTGAAGGATGAAAAGAGACCAGCAAAGTGCAGAGTCACCAATGCTTACCCAATTTTAAAGACATTTAATAAAAATAGCAAGATCGGATCAGATAGGTCTAAAAGAACTAAAATTGCACTCTCCCTATATCTGACTCTAAAAAGTAGATTATGGGTTAGATTATGGGAGGCTCACTCTGTGCTATGACAAGCTCCTAAACTGGGTTAAAATTTAGACAAACATGAACAAGCTTTATATTTTTCACTCTCATTTCGAATTACTAAATTTACTGTGAAAAATGTGTTGTGCACAAATAAAGGGAGCCAAATACAGAACCTTGAGGAACATCCAATTTACACTTACAGACAGTACATAATTATGTGTGTCACATGGCATCGTGTGAGATAGACATGAAAATAACACTGGGTGAAAGATTAAATTCAGAAGCGTTTTAATTAAGAACATTGTCATTTACTGTACCAAATACCTCATACAAGAATACAGCACCAACAACCCCATCTTTACTGTCCAAAAATTGAATGCACCCTGTTCGATGTAATGGGGTTGTTTCACATGAAAAATCAAATGTTTGTCATATTTTAGTGCTTTAAGTAAATGTTTGACTTTCTCGATGATAGTAAGATTACAAGAGTATTATTATTATGCTGTTCCAAAACATGTCAGGACTCAAGTGATTTCTTCAGGTTAGCACCAAGATTGGACTGGCTCTTTCTTAAAGCACCCGAAAGAAGACCATTTGCAAAAATAAGAAAGAAAATCCAATTAATGTTCATCCTATTGAGAATCATGAGGAGACAGGTTTACCCTGAACTAGCTGTCAGCCAATCACAGGACTGATGCTGACAGCGACTCGGAGACACCTACAAGCAATTAAAGTTACCACTTAACATAACAAACATTTCTTTGGGCTGTCTTCCTCCTCATCCTCCTCTTCTTCCTCATCCTCCTCTTCTTTTTCTTCCTCCTCAGAACTGAGGAACAAAATAGCAGAGAAAACTTGGATGACCTTGTGTTTCTGGTTTTATATTCACATGGATTATAATTGTATCCAGTCATTTGTAGCGCTGTAAAATGTACAATGTGTACATGTCTATTCAGTGGCACCTAAACACTTGTACAAAGATGAACAAATATTTATTTGTAGATATCCAATAAGCTTTAACTAACCAGTTAAGAGTTTAAGTATTTCATTACAAGCTTTGTGGGTTTTAGATTCAAAAGGATCTTTTTCTTACCCAACAAGTGAATGACCATCAGTCTCTAAAGGAACAAAGTCCACATCCTCATCATGGTCTGTCTGGAAGGGTCGCACAGAGCTACAGATGAAATAAAATAAAAACATTTTGTAGAAAGTATTATTTATACCTAAAAAAATACAGCATAATGCATGTATTGCTATCCATGCAAAATCTTTCTTTGATCAGTTTTTATTTTAACCCTCTTACTTCATTTTCCTTTGGGATCAATAAAGTTCATCTTATTTTCTGTACTTTGCTTTCAGTTAGAGCTCACAGCAATAATGCATTAATTGAAATGGGATTGAGGTCCAAAATGAAAGCAAATTGTGAAACGTAATTGAAAGTAGCAACACCACTTTGCATTTGAATGGCACATTTTACTTCACAGAACTTCTAGATGGCTCAGATGACAAGTCAAAACCAATATGCACTTTCTGCCATTTATCTATTTAGAGTTTAAACTACAGTGGCTGACAGGGTAAATGATCAGCAGCAGCCTGAACAATCTTCATTTGGAGAAATGTGCGGCAACGACTAGCTGCTTTTCAGCTTGGTGGTCCTTGCTCAGATGCTATGCAGCCTCTTGCCTAAGGGGAGGGTGCGGGATGGGTGGAATCCCTCATGACGCAGGTTGCTCTGTCCATGCATCAGCAAGTGTAAATGCCTACCAGGACTGGTGGGCTACGTCTGAAGATCCTCCAAGCTGTCCTTACCACCCTCCGCAGCTACTGCTTGGTTTCATATAAGTGAGTAATGTAAAAATCACTGCACCCAGGGGATTCAGAGCTGGATTTCGACACCAGTATTGGTGAGGAAAAGGTAGGGGGTTAGAACTAGTATCTTCTTTGCCCCAGGAAACCTGAACAGGGGTTCTGTGTTGCTGCTTCCAGATGCCTAGAGCTAATGCTAACGGCGAGTGGAGCTTTGTAGCCAACATGTTGTGTTTTGTGAACCTTAAACTGAGCAAAGTTGACGAATTTGGTGCTAACTGTGTGGCTTACTTGGTAGAAGAAGCTGGACTCAGCAGCTCAGTGGAACTTTTGCAGAGTTTAATTTTCCAATGATAGGAACCAAACAGAGCCTGACATTTAAAGGGATATTCTGGCGTAAGATAAAGTTAGGGTCAAACACACCGTAACACAGAGTTAGACACCTCCTCAAAGATGAATGCTGCAGACTGCTTGCTTCTGTAGTTATACCCACTTTAACTTCGACCACACAATAGCAATACACAGAGATCTATTTCTCCATGCGCAAACCTCAACCAAAACGCCACTCTATAGCCACAAATAATGCTCAAAACAGCACAACAGCTCACAACAGTACATACAGGGTCCCAGCCATAGTACTAGCCATCAAACATCTTTTTAGCTTTGCCTGGTTTCTTAAGCAAAGAGACCAAACACAACTCACCCACTCTCCTCCAGCAGCTGCTTGTTTTTAGGGAGAGCTCGGACGAGTCAATCACTGAGTGCTGCATGGTTACATAGCTTAAGGAAGAGAGTTTATGATCTTTATGTCATCATTTCCTTTAATTAATAATCATAATAATAATGATCATTTTGCACTGCAGACGCGATAGTTCTTCTGCATTAGCTTCTTGGTCTAAATGCATTACCATGAAGTAATGATCATAAATTTCTTCCTTGAGCTGCGTAACCCTGCTGCACTCAGTGATCGACTTGTGCAGCTTGTTTCTTTTAATAAAGATCGACTGGGCTGTTGCAGAACACCTGCCCTCATTGGCCACTTTACAGACCTCAGAAATCAAATCAAGTCAAGAGTTGACGTGGGCTTTAAAATGCTTTCAAACCGCACTGGTGTAGCAGTGCAGCATTAAGTTGAATGAAAATATCAAAGTCAAGATTCTAAAAAACATTTCATTGTATTCATTTGATTCCTAAGCAAGACGTTGGTAAAAATTCCTTAACTTGTTAACGCAGACTTTTTGAAATGTAAACATACAATAAAATATGTGATTGATCATGTTTAACCAGTACAATTCAGTCTTGCCAAACCTATAATTGACTTCTTCTTCACCAAAGGCAGACCCCTCGATAGCATCCTGACAGTGTTAGAAAGAACAAAACAGGATTGTTAACTCTCTCAGATAAATGATGCCAGACCATGGAGGCTTTTTCAACATACTCTAATGATTTACTTCTTTTTAAATGGTATAAATCTTACTTCTGCAGGAGAAATGGGGAATGTCTGGTCATCATACACAACAACACCAGGAAATCCACAGTCAACACACTCAACCGAGAACTGAGTATAACAAAAAAATATGTTACAAAAATAAAGTTAATTGTAATTCAGTACCATACTCTCAGAGTTGGCATCCCTCAAAGGAGCTTGTCATCATTGCTTCCACCTCTAAATCTGAAGCCAGTTAAACATTTTCAAGAGCAAATCTCCAATTTATGAGCCCAGTTGAAAGAAGCATCATAGACTGAGGCAAGCCAACAGGGTGGTGACAGATCATCAGCTTCTCTGCTCCTTACACACTGCTCTGCTTCAGTCAACAACACTTTTTTTTTTTACCTTATTCCTCATAAGGTAAATGTCCCTAACAAATAAACCATGAATACATTTCAAATAAAAGGAAATGCAAGTAGCAGCTAAGCCATGTGTGGAGAGATAATGTTCATTACATGACGTGTCAAAATGATCAAATTCAAAGTGATAAGGTTACTGTATAAACCACATAAAGAGAGCTGAACTGAACATCGGTTTAAACTGAAACACTTTTTACAAATATACACCACGAAAATGAAAACGAAAAAAAAAAAATTCCCCAAGTCAAATTATACGAGTTTTAAGATGGATGGCTTGAAATAATGAGCTCCTTGCTAGCTAGCAATGCTAATTCTTCATTTAAACTTGCCACAGATTGAATTCATGCACCAAGTCAGTAATATACAAACTCCCCAAGCTGTACAGAAGCACACACACACTATATGAAACACTGAACAACTTTTTTCATAAACTGTTAAATCTTACCGTAACTGTGCTGTGACCATTTGCGTCCATGTCGGGGTTTGTGTTTTTGATTGAAACGAACTCTGCCCACTGTCGCGAGATCTTATTACCACAAACCTCAGTAATATGAACATGGGGTCTTGCAAAATTTTATGCTGAATGGCATAAATAATAAGTAAAAATTAACATTCGTTAATATCATATTATAAATAGTATCACATCAGAATATTAAGGACTTAACTATAAAAAAAACAATCAAAATATCTTTTCTCCAATCCTGTTACCAAAATCAAAAACCTCGACCAACTTCAATGCTGGGCTCTGACTAGACTTTAGTTTCAACTAGATTCTCATGCAATAAAACATTTGTTACTTGAGGAGATTTATAAGAATAAAAGCATTAATCCAATTAGGCTCATTTTTTATGCCGATGACACTCTATTTCACAGTTGAAATTGTTAAAATACGAATCATTTATCTCTTAGCCAACATGATGTTTAAAATATAAACTTTCACTTTATCTTTGTTCATGTTTGCAGATCTTTGTGTATTTACCTCAGCTGAAGATCAAATCATAAATATCAAACAGATCATAGGCTTCCTTCTTCTTTACTTCATGAGCTGTAAGCAAAATTTTTTAATCAAACTGCAAAGTGTTTAACAGTGGTTGCAGTCCTTACAGGAAAGAGAAACTGCATGACAGT